CAAGATAACGCGCGGATTCATACCTCAAAGTTGTCGACTAGGTGGTTCCAAGACCATCAGATTGCTTGCATCGATTGGCCACCTCATAGCCCAGACCTGAATCCAATTGAGCACATTTGGAGGCAGATGAAAGATTATTTATACCGAAAATACCCGGATTTTGGTAGTCTAAAGGATAACCAGGTCGATAGGATCAAGATGATGCGCGCAATAATAGAGGCCTGGGATTCCATCGGCCAAGACAAGGTAAACGCGCTAATTGAGAGTTTACCGCGTCGTCTGCAGGCTGTACTTGAGGCAAAGGGCTGGTATACTAAATATTAGCCTGTTCTTTCCATCTATGAAGTTTTTAGAGCGGTTAGCCTTTGTAATAGTAATGTATCGATTGATTTATATTGGTGATGCATCTTGTGGTGGAGTGACCCCTCACAGTATCTACTCACGCCACGCGCCCAACATATCCCCTTATATATTGGGCGCTAGACACCCCAATCAATACCACCCCAACCAACATAGAAATGATCTCCAACGCGACGTTTCGCGTTATTTCGCCTCCCGTTGTGGTTTCCATACAAATTTGATAGTAAATTAAAAGATGCACCAATTCTGAAGGAATTAGTCTTTTTCCTGATATTCTACCGATATTGTTTCGTTGTGTTCTACTCTGCTCAAGTTCGTCAGTCAAGACCATCAATTTGTATCACGGTTTTGCCCTACCTAATACTCACCACCACCCATCATGTCTGAATATTTACTCGAGGAGAAACGCGTGGAATTGGCTGCTCAATCGGTCCGTACAGGCGAACAGCCTAATGCAGCGGCTGCGGCGCGGCATTTTGGTGCCCAATCTCTATACCGTCGTATCCTCGCCCGCCTCAATACCACCGGGTCCCGCTCTAGGCGGCCCGGAGATACTTGTTTTCGCCTTCCTCCTTCTGCAGAGGAATATCTCGCTCAATATATACGACGGTTAGATGTACTCCGTCTACCACCGACGAAAGCGCAATTCAAAGCAGCTGCGGAGTTCGCACTAGATCAATATAACGGTGGACCACCGGGGTCTATCGTTCCGCCTCTGGGTCAGCATTGGGTTGCGCGGTATCTTAAACGACACCCTGAGATCAAGACCATGAAGCAGAGGACGCGAGATCTAAAGCGACGAGAGGCAGAGGATTACGAGTCTATCCAGAGCTGGTTCTAGGGCGTCGAATTCATCATTAATGACCAGAATATCGAACCTGAGAATATATGGAATATGGATGAATCCGGATTTATGATCGGGGTAGGCAGCCCCTCCTTAATCGTGCTCGTTCGCGTAGTCTCCGACGAAAACTATAGCCGAATGGCGGTCCCGGAGAACCGTGAAGTAGCTATCGTCGTAGAGGCCGTAAATGCGAAGGGGCGTGAGATTCCTGCCGCTCTTATCATGAATGGGAAATGTATCCTTCAAGGATGGGTCCAAGATGGGATGAATATCGATGAGGATATACTTCTTGGTGCTACGGAGAAGGCGTTTAGTAACGATCTATTCGCACTCGATTGGATACGTCACTTTGAGAGCCATACTAGACCGACTGGTAGAAAAGGGCAAAAGAGGATCCTTTTCCTTGATGGGCACGGATCTCACCAGACGAACCTTTTCGTAGACTTTTTCTGGGAACACGATATCTATCCGATTGCCTTTCCCCCTCATACGACGCACATCATTCAGCCTCTCGACCTTACCTGTTTCCAACCAATGAAGCATTACCACGGGAAGAGGTATGAGTATGCGGTCCGCCAGGGTATCACCGCATACACCAAGCTGGAGTTTCTAGATGGGATTGGAGAAGTGAGGCAGCAGGCCCTTACCGAGGGCACGATCCGCAGCGGTTTCCGGAAGGCTGGAATACATCCCTGGGACCCTGAGATGGTGCTTAAGAAGATCCGCCCACCACCAAGAGAGGCTGAACAGAGACCGTTGACTCCTCCTGAGCAGGGTATCCAGGAGGGTCAGCATGCCTCTCCTGGCCTGAAGACTCCCACCACCGTACGAGCTACACGGCGGTTAGGCAGTTTCATCCAGGAGGACGAAAGTATCCCTATTCATCTCCGTCCTCGCATTGATCAGCTGTGTAGAGGTGCCCAGACTCAGTCCCTTGAAGCGAAGAAGGCGATGCAGGATCTCTACGGCTCAGATCTCGCAAAAAAGATGAGATTACTTAATGCCCGAGAGGGTAACAAACGACGGGTCTTCTCAGGAGGCATGATTACGGTCGACCAATGCAGGACCATCGTGGATAACCGTGAACAGGAGAGGATAGATAAGGCGGCACGCAAGGAGGCGAAGAAGAAGGAAACCGCCCGGAAAAAGGCGGAAAAGGCGAAGGAAGCACGCAAAAAAGCTCGTAAGGATCGTGATAGTCTTACCGCCTCTGCATCTATATCGTAATCATGGCGATAACGCGTGAATTCGAAGGATGGGAGGAGTTTCAATTCGTGATGCATTTTCGACCTCATGGTGGGAGGTCTTAAAAAGTGAGATATAACCTGCCCAACGCGATTAGAAATTAATCCAGTCGGGAGATTACTAGATTGGATGGTTCTGCAAAGATCTACTGCCAAATTTGTATATTAACTCATTGTTTTGGGCTCCATATAGGAAATCTCATCGCTTGGATCATTTCTATGTTGGTTGGGGTGGTATGTTGATTGGGGTGTCTAGCGCCCAATATATGAGGGGATATGTTGGGCGCGTGGCGTGAGTAGTAGACAGGGTGGAGACTTGAGCGAGTTTGAGCGAACTCAAGTCTTACGTAATCGAGTCGCCCGACTCTACTCACACTCGTCTAAGAACCTTGGCGAGCGTGCCTGTGCCGTGGTTGCGCCAACCAAATAAAGTTCCAACTTTCCTTCCTGCTTATGTATAAACAGAGATTTCGTGGTGGTGAAGATGGTGAAGAGGATGATAATCTATATTACACTACTTATCTACATAGCCTCCGTAGACGCCTGATGATAGATAATCCTCTCGAGCTCCATATCACTGATAATACCTTGATTAAACCAATTCTGTAGGCAAATCAGTCTGTTCAACGTTTTTCCCTCCATCCGTGGCCTTTCGGTATCAAGAAGTCTCCCACAAGCTGACCAAATCCGCTCCATATCAGCGGCGGAGGAAGGAGTCGCGAAGAGGTCCAGAGCGATCTGGTATAGAGCGGGAAACCGCGTGCGATTAGCTACCCACCACGTAATAGGCGTATCAGTCTCCTCAGGGGCCTCTCGGAGATAGTAGGAGACCTCATCGGGCGTGGAGATATTACGTGGTTCAAAACGAGGCGCGAGGGCTGCCTGGAAGGCCTTGTAGACCCTTTGGCGATCACTAGGGATGGTCTCCTGCGAGGCCTCCTGTGCATTCTCTGCACCCGAATCATTATCCTGTATCTTGGATACATTCTCGCGGAGTTTGCGTAGGAGCTCGGCAGTCTTGTGGCTACTAGCTTCGGAGTCGTCCAACCACGCCTTCTTGTATTTTGGGTGGAGGAGAAGGGCGAGTCTGTACGCAGGAATATCCTCCATCTTAGACCGGTATTCCTTCGCCTTAACCAGGGCCGCTTGTATGGCCCTTACGAGCTCCTGGAGCTCCTGATTCTGTGAAAGATCCGCGAGGAAACCCTCCAGGGCCCGGATAATCATAAGAAGCGATGGATACGCCTCCCAAAGAGCCCCTTTAGCACCATGGTCCGCATTCCCTTCCAGGATCCAGGTCGCATGCTTCATCGGTTCGTACAACTCGATAAGTTTCTCAAGGATACGCCAATCGTCGACGGTAAGGCCCTGAAGGTGCTGATACCGCTCGCAGTACTGATCAATAGCGACACGCAGCTTGATGGCTCGCTGGACCGAATCGTACCGCGAGTTCCACCGTGTGGCGTTCTCACGTACGATTCTAAGGGGCCGATCGGTCTTAATGGACTTTTCGTTGCCCGTCATATCCTCAATAATATCAGTCTGTATCGTAAAGAACTCTTTCTCCTGTTTAGGACTCTTTTTGATATGACCAATGATAGCTTTAAGCTTGGTAATGGGCTCTATGTCGGTATTGGTAGGAAACCCAGAATCCAAATCCGTGTAGCCTTCAGCCCGCCTAGGTCGTATAGTATCAAGCCCATTGTCATTGCTGGCTTCGATATTAGACGAATGGTCCCTGGAAAGCTGTTGGCAAACTAAATTCACGATGTGGGTACTACAGCGTAAACGCCTTCCCGATAAAGTGAGATTTAGGAGCTTCCCAAGCTCTTTAACCGCGGTAGAGTTGTTTTCCGCGTTATCAGACATTAGGAACGCAATCCTTGCCTGTATCTCAAACGTTTGGATAGCCTTGGTAAGGAGCTGTGCGATATTGTCGCCGGTATGAGCACCTTCGATCTCCTCTAGCCGTAAGAGGATATTTTGTTGACGCGGTATTCCTTCCCCGGAGATGAAATGCGCCTCGATCCCAAGGAAAGGAAGGTCGTTCGTAGAGGTCCAGATGTCATAAGACAGTGAAACATTGCTAAGACTCCGCGAGATCTTATGAGAAACGAGACGACGACATTCCTTGTATGCGAGATCAATTTTCTTGCGCACAGACTTATGGTTGCGTACTCCCATCTCAATCTCTCCACCACTTAAAGACTCCATCAGCGCGTTGAAGCTGTTTGACGAAGCCTGACGAAAAGGCACTCCATCAACCACTAGCCATTTCAAATAGGCTGTGTGGGCGTTGAGGAGGGTCCTCTGACGGTATCCTGTAAAATCCTCCCACGATTCTGGATGTCCTGGAGGGATAACCTTCGATCCATGCCTGAGAAAACCGTGATCGTTTATGAGATGTCGACGGGCATTGGAAGTAGCTGATGTCGAATACATCTTGATATCGTTGATCGATTTCGCTTGAAACCAGCATTTACGACAGACCCAGTACGGTATCTCTTCCTCTGTATCGCCCATTTTCCGTACTGTAAACCCCCAGTACCATATGGAGCTTGTCCGGTGTTTCTTCCGCATTGCTTGACGCGTTGGAGGAACGTCAACCGCATATAGACCGTATTTGTCGAGCTGAGGTCGCAGGGGGACAAACTCTAGCAGTCGGTCTGTTTCCGTGGTATATGGGGTCTCAGACGACGAGGTCGAGGAGTACGAGTCTGTATACGATGCCATATTGATGTTTTCCATGATCGGAATCTCGTTTTCTTGAAATCTCACGGACTTTTGGTGAAACCGGACCAAGACACAGACTTGAATTTCGGTTTTGAGCTACTGTACATTTGTAACATGAGCAATGAACATCGAATTTCGACATGAAGCCGTCATTGCTATGTAATTCATATGGTTTTATAGCCATAACGAGCAAATCTGGGGTCCAAGTCCAGCAAGATTGGTAGACTAGTATGGAAGAGGATTAGCGGGAGACTCGCTACGAATCTTGAGCGAGCATCGAGCGAGTCCTTGGCGAGCGAGTGCAAATGAAGCGAGTGGCTCGACTCAAGTCTCCAGCCTGGTAGTAGAGCTCTAGCTGAATCGAGCGCTAGAAGAAGATAGAAGAAGAATTCAAGTTCTCCACTCGCCATGTTGACTCCAACATCATGTCGGAATATCGTTATTCTCAGCTTTCGCTACCCACCAGCATCCGCCTCCTTCGACTGCTACCAAGCGAAAAGGACGCAAAGAGCTTACGATGCGAACTCTTCGATTATCGCTTACGAAACTCAAATAAACCATCTCATCCTTACGAAGCACTATCGTACGTTTGGGGCAGCGAGGACAAACCACAGACCATCATTATCGATAACCAAAGTTTGGATGTTACGCAAAATCTCTACACGGCGCTTCTACATCTCCGAGACCATGGCTGTTCTCGAATCATCTGGATAGATGCTATTTGCATCGACCAAGCAAATGATAAGGAAAAAGAAGATCAGATCCCGTTAATGGCAGAGATTTACGCCAAAGCACACCGTGTAGTTGTTTGGCTTGGGGAGGCTGAGAACGATAGCGATCGAGCGCTTGAGGCAATACGTCTCACAGGCGAGACCACTGCAAGGATATCAAACACAGAATTAGACCAAACGGCATTTCTGCAACTGCTTCAACGGCCATGGTTTCGGCGAATTTGGGTAAGCCACTAAAGCTTAAATGCCAATATTCGGATAGACTAAATACTGTTTAAGGTTCTGCAAGAAATGGCAGCAGCCCGACATATTCTGATCATATGTGGTTCTATAGAGATTGATGGTCATGCCTTCTGCTCAGGTCTAGACGTTTTAGGTGCAGGCTTCAAATTCTCCACGAGTCAAGTTGCCTTCTTGATCCGAGGAGCAATATTCCGGTCTAGGAATATGTCGCGAAAGCAGGGGATACTCTCGCTAGATATTTGTTCTCTAGGCGAGCTCATTGATATGTACCATTCCCATCAGGCAACGAAACGCCACGACAAGGTATATGCCTTGCTCGGCATGTGCTCGGACGATTTAAGTACAGCTGGCCTAGAGCCTGACTATAGTCTTCCGTGGAGGGTGCTTATGCAGCGCGTGGTCAAGTTCCTTCTTAGTGATCATGTCTCCGTTGATACCTGGAACGAAAAGGAGACGGCGGTTATTAAGAGCAAGGGCTGTGTACTTGGCAAGGTGGCAACGGTAGGTATCAACAATGTTTCGGGTGGTAGACAAAATGTGAAAGCCATAATCAAGACATCACCAGGGTGTGGAATAAGTGGGAGCGCTAGTTGGCTTCTGCAGACCTCGGCCAAATCCATTCAAAACGGAGACCTGATATGTCTGTTGCGAGGAGCCTTAATGCCCACGATCGTCAGATTACGGGGGGATCATTTTACAGTTGTTGTAATCGCGGCCGTACCTCCGAAGCACATACATGCAAAGAATAATGATGTTGAGTGGTCGGAACTTGCGCAATCGGCATCTTTCATACGCGATTTTCTTCTTATTTGGGACTGGGAAACCTCCCTTCAGGATATACAGGATTCTAGTCAACACGATGCATTCATGCGAACAAATGATTTGCAGTCGCAACATACAATGATAAAGTTAGAGAACGATATAGATAATGTTATCCGAACATGGAACGTTGTACAGATATTAGGAGACATAGGAGCATTCAGCGAAGCAGAAGAAAAGAGAAAAAAGGCAACAGAGTTCTTTCAGGTAGCTGTTGGGAAAAAGCACCCGCATTCCACAGAATGCGAGTGCAGCCAGGTACCGCTATTATGGGTTGCAGAGAATGGAGATGATGCGGTAGTACGCATGCTTCTTGCGAGGGATGATGTTGATCCGGACTTGAAGGACTGCTCCGGCCAGACGCCGCTGTCGCGGGCGGCCGTGAACGGGCACGAGGCCGTGGTCAAGCTGCTGCTCGAGGCCGGCAAGGTCGACACCGACTCGAAGGACAACTCCGGTCAGACGCTGCTGTCGCGGGCGGCTAGGAACGGACACGCCGCCGTGGTCAAGCTGCTGCTCGAGACGCGCAAGATCGATGCCGACTCGGCGGACAACTCCGGTCAAACGCCGCTGTGGCGGGCGGTCGGGAGCGAGCACACCGCCGTAGTCAAGCTGCTGCTCAAGACGGGCAAGGTCGATGCCGACTCGAAGGACAATATCGGTCGGACGCTGCTGTTGCGAGCGGCCGGGAACGGACACGCCGCCGTGGTCAAGCTGCTGCTAGAGACGGGCAAGGTCGACGCTGACTCGGAGGACAAGGACGGCCGGACGCCGCTATCGAGGGCGGCCTGGAACGGATACGACGCCGTGGTCAAGTTGCTGCTCGAGACGGGCAAGGTGCCTCGGGAGCAAAAGTCCAGTCAAATGCCAAAAAACGCTCCAGGGAAGAAGCCATTAAGAAACCCGAGGTCGCTCTGCGCCCGGTGGCTCCTGAATGACATGCATTGAATGCAACAGTCCATAGTGGATCCCCGAGCGTTTGTTCGGTGCAGATCGGAGCGGAAGCTACTTGAGCTTATTCCGAGCGGTGGCTAGTATGGTCTGCAGGGAGCTAAAAGCAATTTTTTCACGGGACGACGACAGACCACAGAGAGTCGTACGGGAGTGTCTTTTCTTGCAATAGCTGGCTTGTCAATGTCTCATCTCAAGTTTCAATAGAAGATGAGGAGAAAAGCGACTGAGGGGGTCACAGGGAACGCTGGAAGCGACCAGCCGGTACAAACGTCATCATACTTACCCCGCACTCTCATCTCAGCTCTCATTGCACCAGGTTCATCCATCCGCACATTGATTGATTGCCCCCCCAGATACGACAGTGATACGGCAGCAGTACAACGGGAGGAGATATACGGTAAATTGTTCCATTGGAGACATGGCAGGTACAGGTACTTCGACCATATATCGCACCTGCCCTCCCGTGACTGAATCTATGCCCGCGCCTTCTCAAAAAGAACAGGAAGTTTGCCTGTCGCTCTTTCCCTTGTTCCTCTCTCTCGGTATCGCCATCCCACCCGACTGATTCTTTCGTGAACCATTAATCGAATATCTTCCTGATCGGCTATCAAAGAGCCATTGAGAGTTGACACGTGCTGTATGATGACTGGTAATTGAATGATCGCACTCTGCTCACCTTTGTCCATTCTTTTCGAGCTCCAGTCGTCGAACTCCGCCCGGTTCTTGAAACCTATAAGTTTCCAGCGCCAGCTGCTGGTGGTGGGATTCCATGTGCCTAGCCCAACAACATCACCATCACGTCACCGATATCGCCTCTCGAACGTGTGGAACGTGCCGAGTGAACAGCGCTTCACGTACCCCCAACGGTCTTGAAAAGACCAACAAGCGCTGCATCGGAAACGAATCTGTCGTGGTGAGTGGAGCCTTTCGCTTTCCCGAAACATCCCGAAGGGAACTCGAGCAGCGTCCTAGCAACTCCCGTGAAACCGGCAGCCGTCTGACGAACGCAATGCGACGAATGCAATGAGCCACGGTGATCGCCAATACCGGCTATCACCACCTGCCGATGCGTTCGCGGCTGCATGGACATCGTTGTGGGTACCACGCTGCAGGTGTCGAGTCTCCGTGACGGTATGGTGTGTAGCCGGATAAAAATATTCGCTGACCTGGGCTGCGGATCAGGATACTCCAGGGACCATAGGTCCTCAAGAACAACCGATATCTACCGCTTATAATCCTTGAAAAGTCGCGTTGCTCCTCGAAAAAGAGGGCTTGGTGGACTGTACGAGCTTCAATTGCTGAAAGATCGTTGAAATCTCCATTCCTGGAACAAATTGTTCGTACTCCCCGTCTGGAAGCATAGGGAGGGACAGATCTGACTGACAACAGGACAACAGTCAGGATGCCTCCATCCACCCACCTTGATGTCTCCAAGGCCCAACCTACCTCTGCTATTAGCGCTACCAAAGCGGGTCTGGTCGACGTTGCAGATAACCCTCAGGATGCTACCAAGTCATTTCTACGCAGCCCTTTCATGAAAGCAGCGCTTCCGTTCATCAACGGCGGCCTCGGCGGAATGTCGGCGACTGCCGTAATCCAGCCCGTGGACATGGTCAAAGTGCGCCTCCAACTCGCGGGCGAGGGCGCCAGAGGCGGACCCAAACCCACCCCTATCACCGTCACGCGGGAACTCCTCGCTTCAGGCAAAGCTCTCGACCTATACACGGGACTGTCCGCCGGCCTCCTTCGCCAGGCAGTCTACACGACCGCCCGCCTTGGCTTCTTCGACACGTTCATGAACGGTGTGAACGCCCGGGCGGCGAAGGCCGACAGACAGGTCGCCTTCAAGGAACGTGCTGCTGCCGGCCTTGCCGCCGGTGGAATAGCGGCCTTCATTGGCAATCCCGCCGATCTGTCCCTGATTCGCATGCAATCCGACGGCCTGAAACCCGCTGCCGAGCGCGCCAATTACAAGTCCGTCCTTGACGCGCTAGCCCGCATCTCGCGCAACGAAGGCATCGGCGCCCTCTGGGCCGGCTGCAATCCGACAGTCGTCCGTGCCATGGCACTGAACTTCGGCCAACTAGCCTTCTTCTCCGAGGCGAAGAGCCAGCTGAAGGACACGAGTCTGTCGCCGCGGAACCAGACGCTAGCGGCGAGCGCGATCGCTGGGTTCTTTGCCAGCTACTTCAGCCTGCCCTTCGACTTTGTGAAGACGCGGCTGCAAAAACAGACGAAGGGACCGGATGGCACGCTGCCGTATAAGGGGATGTTGGATTGTTTCACGAAGGTTACGAGGGAGGAGGGGATCCTGAGATTCTACCGCGGTTTCGCCACGTATTATGTCCGAATCGCGCCGCATGCGTGAGTGCATTTCATGTTACTCCGGGTTGATCGTGTCGCTGACAACATTTCTAGGATGGTGACGCTCATCGTGGCCGACTACCTCAACTTTCTTACGAAATGATTGCTTCTCGCCGGTCCGCAGTCGAAGTCGCTCGTCGGATAACCATCGTAGTCGCATTCATCGACCGGTCTCCAGACCGTGTGTCAAGTTTCTGTTCTCTTTTCATGCATTTATTATCAGCTTAAGGCATTTTGAATGGGAGTACTAGGGCGCTCATGGGAGGATATCCGTTCGTATCTGGTGCACCATGCATTCTCCTATTTCTCTTCCTACCTACCTACCTTATTGACATTCCCCTCTTGCAAGGAAGGGGTGGCAGAAGCCGGATCGGTTGCAACTGACGATAATAACATGAAATAGCTTATTGCTATCCAAAAAAATGCATCGAGTTCAATAGAATTCGCACGTGAATCAGTGAACCAACACTATTTATTGGTGATTTGATACAGGGTACAGTGTCCAGACCGTCGATGCTTGAGAGTGTCTGGACTCCGGAGTGTTGGCTTTGATGGAAGATGGCAAATCGACAACATTGCCGGTATCGGTTGCGATATATCCGAGCTTCAATCTGGCTGTGGTCCGAGCTTCTGTCAACTCCCAACTGGGCACTGGCGACAACTGCGGAACTGCCAACTGGCCCCCAACTAGCCAACTCCCAACTCCCAAGTGGCACTCTGTCATATACATACAAGTCTTGGGTCACGCCACGCGCCCCATATTGCCATATCTGCTCCCAATGCTCAGGCACAACAAGGCGCGCTTACGGACGTCGCTGGTCTTTTGCTGACTGCTGACTTATTAAATCGCTTTCTGGGGAGCGGAATGGCTGCTTTAAATTTCAAGCCGTGTCTGTTCCAGCTTCCAATTTTCCGCATGCCTTTTCATTGGATGAGGACTTCAAATGGCTTGATTTTGATCAGCAGGAGTCTCATTCGACTCAATCTTATCGCTTCACGGTTGCGAGAACTCGCATACGAGAAAGGAGAGCTAACCACCTCTGAATCATTTGTTCCAGTCGCTCCGTCTAAAACCTTTTTTATTTTCACGATATCCTTCCAATCTGCGTGTCCACTCTTAAAAGTTGGGAAGTCGTTTTTTTTTTTTGATTTGGGAGTCATGGTATAGGGGCAATCTGCGAAGCCGCTGTATCTACTGATCAAAGATAGAGCGCGAAACAACCGTATCGCGGCCCACGAGGAAAGGTACACGGAACCTATAGGCATGATGGAATACTCCAAAGGCGTACCGATCGTGCTGGCGGCTACGGCAGCATCGCTGGTTTACTTCGTGGTTCGGCTTGTACAAATCCGACGTTTTTACCAAGATCTCGTACGTTTCATTCCATCTCCATGATCATTGGCAACGAATTATAGTCTCCTTGGTTACGACCAATTTATTGACGTCCACTCAGCCGAAACCACCTCATAGTTTCTTGTTCGGCCATCTCCCCATCATGGGCGACGTCGTGAAGCTGTTCCCCCCGAACGTCCACCCGCAAGCCTATTACACCTACATCGCCCAAAAATACAACCTCTGCGGCCTCTACTACATGGATCTGTGGCCCTTGGGTCCCGCCCAGCTTATCCTCGTCAGCCCGGAGACCGCTCACCAAGTCACGGTGCTCAAAAGCCTACCGAAGCACAAGATGGAATCTGAGTTCCTCGGCCCGCTCATCAAGGAAAATAACATCGCGACATCGAACAACCCGCTTTGGAAGCATCTACACAACATGCTGGCGCCGACATTCGCCCCGGCACATATCAAGAACCAAGTGAGCGTGATGGTCGAGGAATTCCTGCATTTCCGAGACACTCTGGGGAGGTTGGCGGATAGCGGCGAAGTATTCCGGTTGGAGGATCACACGGCGGCGGCGGTTTTCGATATCATTGGTCGCATTACGTTCAATGAGCGATTGCACGCGCAGGCAGGCGGGTCGGAGTACTTGCGGAATTTGAGAGTCATGATGGCGAACTTCATCGCGACCAATCAAACGTGGAATCCAGTTAAAAAGTTCACGGCGAAACGGGCTTTGCGTAACGTGAGGCGAAAAGTCGATCAGAGCCTTGGGCGGACGGTGAAAGAGAGACATAGGTTACTACGGGACTCCAAAGTCGTACCAACAAAGAAAGACCCATACAGCATCCTGGATCTCTTCTTAAGAGACAAGCTGAAAGAATGTCAAGAGAAAGGATTGCCCGATTCGGTGGAGTTAGACCCGGAATTTGTAGATCTTGCCGTGCAAAAGTATGTCTCGGTCTCCTTGATCTCATGCCCGTGCTAATAATAGACGATTAGTCTCAAGGCTCTTCTCATTGGCGGTCAAGGAACCACCACCAGTACTATTTGCGTAAGTTATAGTCCGTGGGTTACTCAATTTCACTCGCTGACATAGCACCAGTGGGCATATATGCTACTCTCGTGCTACCCCGACGTCGCTCAGAAACTACGCGACGAGCATGCTCGCGTCTTCGATCCGAGTACGGACCGCACAGTCGAAATACTCCGTCATGAACCATATAAGACCAACAAGCTCGAATACACGACAGCTGTTCTCAGAGAGACGTTGCGTCTCTACCCCGTCGGATTCGGAATCCGCGTCGGCAACGAGGACAGCACTGTGCAGTGGGAAGGTCGACACTACCCGACGGCGAACCTAATGATCGCGCCTGTGCAACATAGCATGCACTACGATCCCACTATCTATCACAATCCCGCCGAGTTCAATCCGGAGCGATTCGTCGATCCCGATCACGCTACTCAATTCGGGTGGAGGCCGTTTGAACGAGGTCCGCGCAAGTGTGCGGGGCAAGAACTCGCCTTGGAGGAGATGCGGATTGCGCTGTTGCTGACGGTCCGCGACTTTGACTTCGAGGCCGTCGATGTACAGCCGAATTCTACCCAGCGAGTCCCGTTTACGGACTTTGACTTGAAGATTGGAGATATGGCGTTTCAGGAATTGGGGATGGATGCAAAGCCTCGAGGTGGGATGAAGATGAGAGTTCGTAGAAGGGCTCGTTAAAGTTGGTGTACGATTTATATCCTGCTGGATGGTTGTATTTTAATGTCGTTTAATTACTCTGGCGTGGGGTTGGAGGGTCGCGGGGAGTTTTGGAACTGCGGCTACTCTCCTCCAATCGATCTTCATTTTTAGTGTTCAAGAATAACAGACATCCACTAATCCTATCAAGCGGCACGGTCCCTGTGAAGATATGGAGATGGTAACGGCTGACAAATGAAGACTTCTAATCAACTTCGAGTGTCTTCGACCCCTTGAGAGTTCCTTGAAGCAATTCACATAAACAAGCTTCTCTCTGGGGTTTATATTCAGGTTGACTGCAACTGTTCAGTTCCATTTGATGCTCAATTGCGACCCCGCAGCACCCTAGCATTATAGAAGGACACTTTATCGTTCATCCACCAAGTCCTAATCGATTCGAATACGTAACTTAGTACTACCACTGAGAGCGTCTGAGGTGAAGTCCCGCCCAACTCTATTCTACTCTGCGGTTCCTCTTTGCTTAGTCAACCAATGTGCCTGAGGCACCCAGGCGGCAATCTGATATCTCTCTCAGTTTGACTTGACGGGACAACTGAACCCTGATTGATATCCATATTCCGAAATCCAACGAGCCTCGGTATCTGCTGCGTCAAGCAAACTTAACCCAAAGACCTGTTTGGAACGGATACAGATACGTGCCTCGTTTTGTAGTATGGCGGAAGAACACACCGTGGACATTTCAAAAGCAAGGCCGCGGAAGCCCAGGGAGCCCATTGCCGGGCCAGACAAAGTAGGGCCGCCGTTTCCTCTTCGGATAAGAGGACCGGTCATCAAAGGCTTTGGCAGAGGCAGTAAAGAGGTACGGTTTTTGAACTGCTATTTTGTGTTGGTTTTATATCTATGTCTTTTGCGGAATTTATGTAGTAAAGTTTATTATTGTTCTTGCTATGGACCCTATCATTCATGTCAAGTCACGATAAGAAACTCTTAACATCCCCTCCCTATTTGACGCCCTGTTTTCGCCAGCATAATTATTTCAAACTTATCTGACGTAATTCCAGCTTGGCATCCCGACGGCCAACATTCCAATTTCCGGCCTCGCCATCGATGGCAACTCCGAGATAGCCAAGGGCGTCTACTATGGCTGGGCGGGCCTCGACTTCGTCTGCTCCAACACCCCCACCGACACGCTCGCCACCTCCGTCCCCTCGTCACCCGTGGCGCAGATCCACCCCGCAGTTCTCTCCATCGGGAACAACCCGTTCTACAACAACGAGCGACTCTCATGCGAGGTGCACCTCCTCCATGGCTTCAAGTCAGACTTCTACGGCGCGCGGATGAGCCTCATGGTGCTGGGCTATATTCGGCCGGAGTATGACTATGAGGGGTTGGATGCGCTGATTGAAGACATTAAGACTGATGTGGAGGTCGCGAGGAGGAGTCTGGCGCGGGAGGATTACTTGAATTGTGCGAAGCAGCCGTGGTTGGTGGATTTCGGGGAGAATTGGCACGCGGATGGAGGGGAGGGAGATGATGTAGGAACCGGCGCGGCCAAATGAACGTTAGGAGAGCTTGATGCCGAGCTTTCGTGTACTCGAAGCGATGAGCGATGCCCTTCAATAGATACAACCCGCAGATCCGATTACATTAGAGCGCTGGAGAATCGCAACGTCATAGAATATCACCGATATCACGGGCATCACGCCTGATGCGCAAACTGTGGATTGATAAATAGAACACATTTGCTTGGGCAGCCCTCTTTTCCCCCGAGGGAGGCCAAGCCGGCGATCCTCTTCATGCCGATCGTGAATCTCGTAAAATGCAGAATTCATCAACCTGTCACGATGTTCCTGGCTCAGATCGGCAAACAACCCGTGCCTCTGAAGCCCTACGCGCAACGCCGTGATATGAAGAATTAAGCCCTGGGACATGCAGATGAAACATTTTCGCGAGTACAAAGGAAAAAGAAATCCCAGCTGCAGTCGTTTCTCTACTGCGAGAGAACAGGGAGGAACTGAAAGTCGTTAGCAAGAGTGTAAACGAAGGTGGGGACGGGGGCAAGACTCACGTTCATAACCAACAAGGCGGGCATCCCGAACAAATCACTTTTCACATGCCAGCAGAACATGGTATCCACGCTCCCTTCCTTCTCACCTAACCGATTCATCCCCGCCTCCCCCTCCATCTTCCACCCAGAACCATGCACGGCCTGCAAGCCTCCAATGCCTTGTTGATTGACCCAAGCGTCCCGGTCCCTTCCCCCCTGAGCCCGCTCCTCACTGACCCCTCCGGTCCTCCCGTCTACATCCTGCATGGGACCCGTCTCCGCCGCCGCTCTATCGGGGGGGTGCTCGCGGTACTTTAAGATCCGTCCCCGTCGCATCACCCAGTCGTTCGATGCTGAGAAAGCAAGGCGCGAGAAGTCGTCGAAGAACTGGACCACGGAATCGTCATCCAGCAGCTCGGCGATCGAGATCGGGACTGGCTTTTCTGCGTTCTGGGATTTCTGTGGCGTGTTCCCGGGCAGCGAGTTTTGCGGCGTCGCCTCGCGTTCCTGGCCGCCTCGACGGAGCTCGGGGCTCCGGGTGCCATTTCTCATGTTTCGCTCCCGCTCTTGTTCCTGGGTCGGGATTCGCGGTGTATTTAGCCCGGCTTTCCCAGTGCCGACCCGGCTATCCTTCACCTCCCACCGGTTGCTGTTGTGATTCTTCTCCCTGCCGAGCAACACCTCTCTGTTCCACCCGGTTAAGATACAGAACTCTTTGCTACACGCGGCAACTTCTCCCGTCCGTCTCAGGATGATCGTCGGCGTCCCGTGAGCATTCAAGTAGCCTTCATATTCCCACAGCCAGCGCTGGAAGCTTTTCTCCGCGTGGACGAGATCCTCCCGCGATTGATGCTCTTGGCAGGAGATGAACGACGGACGAACCGCAGAAAGGGAGCGTGCGACACGAACCAGATTGCCATGGCCGAGCCGGGAACGAAGGGTCGAGACTAGGGCGTGAAACGAGGCGGTATATCCGTACGGTTCTTTCACGCTGTAGCAGACCGAGGCGTCACGCTGTCGTTTGGTGACCCGAGGAGGTGGAGGAGGGAGCTGTTGCACGGGCTGTTGCGATGTTTGAGGGTTCTGAACGGGTTGGTGGTGCGCCAGTATTTCAGGAGCATGCGCCTGGGTTGCCTGCGCGAGGTTCCCAGGCGTGGATTGTGATCGTGATTTCGCAGTTGAATCCGCCTGAGGTCCAGGGTAGATAGGTACCTGGTGTTGCTGCTGCGCTCCCGGAGGCTGCGTACTGAACAGGCTTGGGGAGATGGGCTGATTATCAAACCCACCCATCTCCTGTGCCGTTGAACCAGGGCTTGCTGATGATAGACTGCCTGGTCCGGCACCGATTGCGTATGCATTCGGCATCCCACCAGTAGCCACTCCGCCTAGATCGACTGGTCCGACAGTGGGAGTATTATGCGGAGTGCTCAGCAGACCGCTGACGCTGGAAGGTCGTGGATGGGAGCTTTGCCAATCGGCCTGCATAAGGGCATCCTGACCAAACAGGTAATGCTGCCCCGATGCGTCGGAGAAGCTACCGGAGTTTAATGCTTGCGGTTGCTGTTGTCCGTACGTGGCTCCGGGGAAGGGAGGGTTCAGAGAGCTGTCGTTATCACTGTCGCCAGCACCGGTCGCGATCTGGCCAAGCATGCCGAACTCCATCGCACCGTAGTTACTGCTGAAGTTGAAGCTTGACACATCGAAGTTGTAGATGGCCGGATCACTCGGGTCGAAGAGCGGGCCACCAAACTGATTGAGCGGATTAACGGATGACTGGCCACTTTGGGGCATGGAGGTAGCCATGTTTTGGAGAGGGGGCGTTTGCTGGTGTCCCCCTAATTGGAAGGGAGGAGATATTGGAGTCTGTTGGTTACTGAACGTGCTGCCTCCGGGGGTGCTCTGCATAGGAGGCTGCATTTGACTCTGGGAGCTTGTTTGTTGGTACATGTCGAAACCAGAGGTTTGCGTGGGCGAGAAGAAGGGGGCCGACTGAGCCAGTGGAGTTTGCGACATTGGCAAGCTGCTCTGCGGGGCATTGGGTGCCGACTGGGAGCCGTTGCGAAGATGGTGATGGTAGTTTCCTCCCACGCCCGGTAAAAGGGCTTCCGGGGGTGCGTCATGGAGATACTTGGCTTTCTTACGGACACCATCATGGCATTGGTCGGCAATACCGCGCTTGACGCAGCGCTGACAAGGTCGTTCGTCACCTAAGGAAAGCTGATTAGAGGCCAAACCACAAAATAAATAAAAGCTAGGCTGAAGACAAACCACAAGTCAAATGAGCCCGTTGACAAGCAAAGCACGCTCGTCTCGCCTTCTTTCTTCTCGGTCTGGTCGGGTCTTTGGGATTGGGTTTAGTTGCTGCTCCATTGCCATTGGTGATGCCCGTCTCTCCAGCACCAGTGGACTCATCTCGAGTCGTCTCGCGAGAGTCAGTCCCTCGTCCATCGTTGCGTGAAGAGCCACCTCGCTCAGTCTTTAGAGAAGTTGATTCGGCCATTTCGTCGTCTGAATCAGGGGAGGGTGTTTTCGCAGGGGAGGGCGAAGACGCATTGCTGTGGGGGGCTTGGGGGAACATAATATCTTCCAGAAGCAGTGTGATGACAGGGGTGTTGCGTTTGCTGAGTGTGCCAGACCAAGGATGATGCCCAGGGATATCATATACGGACGAACCGTAATAGAAAAAGGTAACCCCACTTGTTGGAGTGTGCAACTTGAAGGATAAAATAATAGAATGGATATGACGCCTTCTTTGAGGTTCTGACGAGCATCCACTGGATAAAAATGGAGCGCAGACCTTGACGTCTCAGACTCGATCGACTCCCAATTGGGTAGTGGTTTATACCACCAGGAAAGGTCTCCCAGCAGGATACAAGGCTGCCTTAAGCGTCACCTAGTTCCTCAGTCCGTGCTGACTATGATCAAGTCAGCCACGGAATTTACAGGAATGACTTTAAGTCAAGATGTATGTCTGGTGATCCAGTCTTCAGCAGCCACAGGACTGGAGCACTGCGGGAAAGCCCGTTCAGTGGCTTACTACCACCGCAGCTAGATCGACGACCGAGAAATTGCCCCGGTGCAAATGGCCCCAAGGTCTTACAAATCCACAGGAGGCCCAGCAATAGACCAGGGGGTTGGTGGTTGCGGATGAGGATATCAAATCCCCGGCCAATGAGACGATCGACCCCGACGAGCGTGGCGTCAGTTCTCTATGTGCATGTATGCACGGCAGGGAGGGGCGTAGAATGGGAGCCTTGCTTGACGCCTTGCTCTCGTCGCCCCTGCACAGGTTTATGCAGCGTCGCGGAGCTTCGACTCTTCCGAGAACGAAGGTTCCAGTAGGACGGGTCGATAATCTGCTACCAATCTTGGAAATGATCCTTCGCCTGGCGACGCAGAGTCCACAATTAGGGCCTTCTGATCCCTGATTGCCTCAGCTCGCTTCTAATGTTGAACGCAAAATGCAGATCCGGTTGATATGACGATAGGCGAGGGGGATAGTTCGAACTGTCTGTGAAAGCCTCCAGGTCTGTTTCCACGTGAAAGAGGACACTCTCGTGCTGAACGTGAAGCAACAGCCAAATTTCGGACCAAAGTCCAACAGCAGGAAAAGTTTAACCTGCTTGCCGGAATAGGTACCAGCCCGTCGCGCTTTCCCACGTTGTCTGTCCCACCAAGTGGGATAGCTTTCGTTGCTCCCTCGAGAGCTTCCTTCGCGGCTCGAAAAGTCAGAGGGTAGGCGCGGACCCCCTTACTGCACGTCTAGGAATGGAAAAGGCCTCCCGCGTTGGACTTGAATCGGCAGTACAGTTTCCGGTAGAGCGTGTGGACGTCAGGTCCCTGCTTCAGCTTTCACTGACGACGGCCCCTCTCTGGATCAATATGTACGTGTATCGCACTGATGCGCACTGATGCGCTGTGATGTTGTGCGGAACCACTAACTGGGATACCTTCATCCAATGGCACGGGATTGCGGGAGCCGTGGCTGCTGGGGATCCAGTGGATAGGAGATCACGCGTCCCGGTCGGCTGAGAGTCCCTGGGAAGGGATGCGAGGCAATGGGGAGGACAGCAGGGAATATTTGTGTGACGATGCGAGACGCACGGGGTTTAGACCGAACGTCGATTTCCTGAAAGCCTGAAGGCTAGACTGCGGTTCGTGCCTTTTCGTGCCGTGAGCCGTCTTGTGGTTGACCAGTGTAATGTCGTCTCGTCTCGTCTTGATATGTATGATTTAGATATATACAGAATCGGTCGCGCCTCAGGTCCGAGCCACGTACGTTAGGAAGTATACTTCCTTTTTTTGCAGTTCGCGTTGGAAAGATGGTCGTCGTAACGGCACCGGCGCATTCGGAGGCGAATGGATTGTGTGGGTCGTAGGTGAGGGAGGCGATGGTGGTATCGTTTGTGGTATCGATTGTGGATAGATCTGTCGCTGCTGAAACGGTAGGATTGGCGACGAAGGCGGACGGTCCTCGTAATAGACCTGGTGGGAAGGATGATGATGGTAAAATGGCGGCGTCGTGCAAACATCCAAGCGCGTCGTGCAACCCTCGGTTGCGGTCATGGTGTGTAGGGAAGCCCGGCTTCCATACTTTCGGGATTCCAATCAATTGTTTCGTGAGGAGGGTAATGGAGCCTATCGGCGCAGTGTTTAGGAGAACCGACGTTCAGTGGACGACGGGTGTTCGATGGTGAGAGACGGAAAGCGGAGGGCAGTCGAGTCAATGTGGGGCAACAGAGGGGAGGGTGGGAGGGTGTGGCTTTTTGCCTTGTGCTCACGGGGAGCAAAAGTTGCGGGTCAGCGACGAAGAGACGAAGGTAAGGAGGTGCAATTGCCAATTGGAGAGACGGTTCGTTTAGAGAGGATTTCTAGGGAGACTGCAGCAATTCAAGGCACAGAATTGCGACTATGTTGTGGCACCAAAAGGGTGTGATTGTGATGTTGGTTGTGGATGTTGATGGATGTGGTTGGTGGTCAAGTTCCAAAATTTGGTGTCTCTTCCTTGCGAATCTTGAGCCGAGCTTCTGGAGAAGATCCTAGGCTGGATGATGCTGGTCAATGCAGATTGCAGATGATTGCGCGATGCCTTTCCTGTCCTGACCAGACCAGTGGAAGAGACAACGGGAATATCCAAAACGGATGACTACTTTTAGTCCTTGGAGTTTAGACTGAAGACACTGGGGACGATGATGATGTGGAACTCGGGGAAAGTAGAGTGGAGATTCCTGGTTGAATCCAACAGCCGCCGAAACGTTAAGCTCGTCTCGTCTCGTCTGCTGAGATATTGAAAGAATGGAAAGAAAGAATAGAAAGGAATAATACCTACCTTGTAATAATAGCTCATAACAATCCTCATCCTGCCCTGGACAAACCGCTGGACTGCCGAGCACACGCCGCCAGATCGGCTTCACTCTGTCCAATTCCAACACAGCAGCGGATGCACCGAGGCCTGGTCCATCCCTCCCCCCAGAGCATCCCCAGCGTGTCCACCACATCGTAAAGGATGCAATATCACCAACTGCCCCCTTCCGTCCGCGATGCGACACCACCATCAACCAATCCGGACGGGGGAGATCAAGATTCATCGTGTTTCCTGAACGATCGCCTTGGGCTCGGTTTCGTTCAGCAAATGACGACGGTCCAATTGCTCAGGCCTCCCTGTCCATCGTAACTCCCACCGCTAGATGGCCCTCCGCGTTCTTCCGCAAAATCCGGGGAAAGGAACAAACCGGAGGACTCCTTGGGAGTTGGGGGGAGGCTGTGAACGGTGAACTGCGTTCCTTACCTATTAAATGCATGAGGGAATAAAAAGCGCATGCATCAGCAAGTAGTTAGCTCTAGAGGGCTGCTTGAGCGGCGAGTGCTACAACGCCTCCCAACCACCATCCTCATTTCGTGATTGCTCAGGAGTGACGACTGAGGACTGACCGTATTATGAATCTGTGACCGTCTGATGCCGCCCTCTGGAGCCGAAGCGGCCAGAACACGTTCGATTCGACGCGTAGCAGTCATTAGTTGAATTAGAGTAGGAAGTCGGCGCAATCCGCGCGGCTTCTAGTTGTTCTTCGCGCGACGAAACCACATGCGACACCAAATATCTCTATCGTGAGGCATCAACTCAGATGCCTAAGGACGCCACCTGCACCTCACTTCACAGACTGGACTTAGCACTGAGCTTACGCCTTACGGTCATAACTTTTATTCCAGAGACTTTATTTCCGGTGAATCGCGTGCTCGTGTCTCTGCCAGTGAAGCGGACATGGCACAAATACAAGTCCCACCATAGCTACCTCAGCTTCGGTGACTTCCATTGTCGTGAGATCAAGAAATTGTCATCCGTAGAAACCACCGTCAAAGTACGATATTAACCAACATGGCAATAACCCAGCATGTCGGTGTTTCTGTTTCATATCATTCGTTTGCCTTGCCCATCAAGGTCATCTCATTTCCCTCTGACAGTCAGACTCCTGTGATTGGGCGTTCCGCTATATAACCACAGTTACACCACAGTCCCCCTGTGTGATCAATCATCCAAGCCGTCGTTCTCCATCATTCGATGCTCCTTGTGGGCGTACCGCATAGAGCGATGCGGTGACCGTAAAGGTAAGACCTCGCTTGCGAGCGAAGGCGGGTCGACGGCCCATCTTACGCAGGCTAGGACCTCGCAGTACATATCGATACGAGGTTAGGTGCAATGGACGTGGCGAGTGCGTGACTGGTATTGCAGAAGATGCATTGTTGCTGCGAGATTGCTGATGTACTGTGATATCGATCTGAGCCTGATACTTCGCATGAGATCTTGATCATCCCAGACTAGATGGCTGAATGTTCTCTGGCACTCCCCTAAATAGTACCTATAATATCGGCTTGTTCCCTTCAACTGACACTGGTCGTCGGTCGATCGATGGGAGGTGCACCTGCCCCCTACATGATGCCTCGCTGCAAAACATGCTGTGTAATTCACGTCTATTTATACCCGTCATCTAGCTTTCATTCCCCCAAATTTCGCCCTACTCGAGGATCCAACCGCTGTCGATTCCCACGTTCCCCAGAGTTTCGCTCAACCCTGCTCGTCGCCGGCAGTTCGTCCGGCTCACGACAGCTGGAATATTGCCGCTGCTGACATGTTGGGAACGCCGCTAGTGCACGTAGCTTTTTGAGCGATTTGCGACGAAGCACCGCGCCGGTCGAGATGCGGGTGGGTTGTACTCGAGCCGCCTGGCTTCGTCCATCGAGGGGAGCTTATACGTTTGTTGCGAACCTACTCCTACCCCGAATTTTCTTGCCGTACTTGAAGAATAGATATGGAAACCTGCATCCCTCGTAGCACTCGTTAGCATGGGATTCCAAATGGAAGGTTCGTTATTAGTGGACGGTTCTAGCTCGAGAGACGTACGGTGCCATGACTAAAGAAAGAAATGCGAGTAATGACGTCGCCCATTGATATCCAAGTTCTGTATCGATAGAGTTAGCGCGATGATTCGAGCGTCCGATAGCAGAAACCTAGAAATGCGCCACTGCGCCACTAAAAGGAGTCCATCGATATCCCCAACGCCTTCAAAGATATGGACTGCGGAATTACTTACTCTCATACATCTGGACACCGAACAGCGGGAAAGCGGCTGCGAAGCCCGATCGCGCAAAGCTGTTCGCTGCAAGGGCACTCGCGGCGTAAAGCGGATACTACAATGCATCATGTCAGTAGGCAGGTACATACGGGGTCCGGGCGCGCCCCTGAACCGCAAGCGGCTATCAAAATATGTAGACCTACGCAATCGACCAGGAATGTGAAGATTCCGGAGAAGCAGAGGATGTTCCTGCCCATCACCGTTAGCAGACTGTTTGCGGTAGACCCTTCACCGCTATGTGGGGTGAGGATCAAGAGGTCTGAAGGAGATGGACACGTCACTCACCCAAAGCCAAACACGGCAGAGAAGATTATTGGCACTGCGCAGTGGAGTGTTGGGTTAGCCTATTTCGACACTATGAGGACTCAAAACAGTCTTTGATCGACACAACGGCCCCAGGGCATGCAATCGTATTGAAAGTATGCATGTTCCTCTGCATCGTGCCGTCACAGGTGGAGTTGGATGTACATGTACGTACCTATCCAATGTACCTACAGATGATGCAAGGGTTAGCCACTAGGATATAATGGTTGCAGAAGAGGTCAGAGCACTTACCCGGGGGAATGTTGTCCATCCAAATCCTAGAAAGAGCCAAAGATCAGCGAACATTCTATAGATGAGTTTAAAATGAGCCGTGTCCTGCTTTTGGCGAGCTGCAGTAGTTGTCTGGTCCTAGGCTTCGGGAGGGTGCAGATACGAGATGTGGATTCCTTCTACCCTATGAAGTACATAGTCTTCTATTAAATGGTGGCGCCGGAGAATATTCGCAACGGGGGGAAACAAGTGTAGAGAACTGGGAATCCAAAAGAGAAAGAGCCAGGGCAAACTTACCGAATAGTCCTATTGGAACCATGATAGCACCAAGAATAGTCGGCGGGAGTCGGTATTCAGGCTCAGATCCCCCTTTCTCTCCCCCTTTCTTCTCGCCTTTCCGAATGAGACGGCGGTAATTGGCCCGCCAAAAGGGATCGGTAGCGATTCCGAAGAGCATTCCCACCAAGAGCCCAAGGAAGGTCAGGCCCGACTGGGAGAGGGTCATTCCGTGATTGTTTTGGAAGACCAGGGGAAAGGCGCCGAAGAAGAGGTAGACGATTCCAAGTAGGAGAGAGGAGATGATGCAAAGGTTGAGGCACATGGGCTCGAGGACCAGCAGTTGGAAGGGCCGGATGCAACTCCACATGACGGTGCGAAGAATGCTGCGTTCCATCTTCTCAATCGGCGCTTGCCATCTATCATCCGTCGTCTCTTTTCGCAACTGTCGCGCTTTGCGACGTAGCAATACTGGATGGTAAGTCTCTGGGACGAGCAGAACTATCGCAGCAAGCTGAAACCCGGCCCAGATGAGCGCAGTATAGAAGGTCCAGCGCCAGTTAGTATACTGGTTGATGAAACCGCTCATCAATGGTCCAAGCTGTGGTCTGTTGTATATCGTTAGTGCCTTCTAACGGTAGCAACAGGTTCGCGCCACTCACCCTAAAAATGGGGACGCTGCATATATCATCATAGGCATGCTAAGATCATGCCTATTGAATATATCTCCCACCGTTCCGCCTGCCACGGACAAGAACGCGCTTCCGGAAAATCCATCCAGGAACCTCGCGACCAGCATCGTCGCCATATTCTTCGACACCGCGCACGGAATCAGCCAGATGAAAAAGAACGAATAGCTAACCAGGTAGACAGGCCTCCGTCCATAAAATTCGGACAGCGGGCTCAAGATCATCGGGCCCACACCCAACCCGGCGACGAAAAGCGACAGTCCTATCGTCACCACTATACGGGAGGAGTTGAATTCCTTCATGAGCTGGCCGTACGAACCCACATACAGCGACGATGCACACGCCACGCACGTCGAACTCATGCTGACAATGGCCACGATAAGCCATTTGCGCGCTTTGCTCATGCTCCGCGGATTCATGGGGTCCGAGTCACCGCCCTCCCAGTGAACTTCGAATATCTTCTCGGGGTCTACCACCCCATCAATGGCAGTGACCGTCTCCTCCTCTTGATGCAAAGCATACCCGTCTTCGCCGCCATAAGAGCGGGTATTGTGGATGCTCTGGGTTCCGCTGAGGGCACGGGGCCGCCCCGGGGCCGATTCAAGTGCGTGGGAGGGTGTTTCCTCGATGACATGCCCCTCGCCTGTGGAGAGGGATGAAGCGACGGTTGGGCTCAGGGGCTCTGACGGCGAGACCTTCGCCTCCACGTCTTCTCGCTCGGAAAGTTTCGATGACATTGGTGATATCTGCTTCCACGCATGAAGAGTTTCAAACTGACTGGAAGTCTAGTAATGCGAAACGAGGCCAATTGACTCGGAAAGGCCGTTTGGTGGTATAGAAATGTAGACGATTGACTATGTCATCATTAAGCTGTGCGGTCCAGCTCTCCTTTTTATATCGTTTGGAACATCGGCGATATTTGCGGTATTCATATATGACTAGGAAGTTTTCTCAAGACGCGACGAGAATTAATATCCGTCCCTCTTTTTCTTAAACACCAAAACACTGTACTGATGTTCGATTCGCAGACTTTGTGGCAAGACCTGTTGTCTTTTGAACGTTAAAGTCTGAACAGTTCAAACATCCATGGGATCGTAGACTGACTCATTTCCTGGTCCCATTAATCCTCTAGTATCCACTTTGGTTGCCGCGTTCTGTAAAGGGCGTGCGGTGTTGTGCTTGAGCTTCATGCCACCCCACGATTAAAGTTAGACGGAACGAAGGGTTAGTGGCATGTCAAAGATCCCCCCCAATGGCAATTGTGTAGGTAGATCTTGCGACTGGAATTGCATAAAGAGATGACATATGGATACAGCTCCATCAGACTCAAGACTAGCTGGTGACGCCATACTGATTCTCCAGCTGGCTGCTGTTACCGGCATTTGGTCGACCATCGTGAGTCTCTGCCCATCTCTGGACAACCTAACCAATGGCATCGAGGACAACAGGGTCTTCGTACGTTGATTATCGGGCGTTCTTCAAGAGTATTATTAATAGTGAGATTTTAGTTTTGGGGTGAAATGTACCTCAAGACCTGGGTGAACGGCATAACGGCAAAGGTGATCGGCAAGCCAGACGGCGCAACGGCCGTATCGCGCGGAAGTGCGGGACCTATGCTGTAAGCGGTTGGCAGATGTGCTATGGTAGGACTGGGATGCCCAGTTATCAAGTTGGAAATCAATTGCGCCAGAATAGCTAGAAACTTGATGGTTATTGACATCATTGAGTTGCATCCGGTGGAAAATTACAGGATGAGAACTGAGAAGGTCTGAATGAAATGGCTTACCTTATTTGCACTGATGTGATCGGACGAAAAGTATGTGTTTCTGCCCTTGCCATGCCATAGGGTGTGAAGCTCGAAGATACTTGATATTTCCTATAATTGGTCCTTTACCTTGTGAAATACGTTGTATGTGGCCTTCAAAAACAGACGTAAAGGGTCAAGCAACGGCAAGGCCATCAATGAGCTGGGGTATGAACTTTGCTCGCCAATAGTCCCTTCAGAAGGCATCGTATTACAGTAGACAGATTAGAAAGCCGACAGCTTTCTTGGTGCCTTTACCATTTATCCCAATGTCACAACTTGGATCTATAATCCATATGAACTTCCGAAGGATCGATTTACACATACGTACCCTTTACTCCGTACACGGCGCTTGAACACAATATCCGTCATGATCTATCCCCTCCCAACCTGAATCTCCCACAGCCTCCGACACACGTCATACGCCTCCCTCTCCCTCTCGCGTTCCCTTTCGCGGTCCCGCTCCCCGTTTTCCTCTCTCGGGGTGGTCGATTCCCCTTCTCCATCAGGCGGTAGCTCGAACGAGACACGTGATCTTCTCGAGCCTCCCGGGTCCCGCACCTTCCTGTCTTGCTGCTCTGGAGTGGCTTGCTTCGACTGCGGATGCCGTGCCGTCTGCTCCGCCCCCTGTGATCGTCTCGCTTGTTCCCGCCGTTCCCGATCTTTTCGCCCATGGTGCGTCTCATCCTCCCCGAGCTCGTCATCAAGGAACCCCGAAGCCACGCTCGCGACGCTCCGATTCCCCTGCGTATGCCCACGGCCATCGGCGCCCCGTCCCGGGCCTTTGACGCCGTTCGTCGTCGGCTTCTGCTTCTCGCCAACACGCACCATCACCCGTGCTAGCCCTTCCGCAATCGGATCGCGGAACCGTCGAACGCCTGCATACTCCCCCGCGACCTGGTCGAACTGCCTCTGCAGCCGCGGATCGATCCGCCGCCGCCCCCCGCCCCCGGGACTCCCCCCAGGCCCAGACCCTGGATATCCGGATCCGTAGGCGCTACTAGCCGCAGATAGGGGCAGAAGAAGCGGCCCCGTCATCGTCCTTGGGATGATCGTAGGGATGTTCTTCATCGGCTCGAGGTTCGAGCTCGCGCGCTGCAACCATAGTTTTTGCTGCGTGCGCGACTGGTGTAGTGGATTGTTCGTGTCGGGCGGGGCCGTGACTGCTGCTCCGGTGGTGCCGGTGCTGGCTTTTGCCGAGACCGTGCGCCGGTGTGCTGGGGCTGTCGCGACGGCGCCATCATCGCTGTCTGAGACATCGGAATCAACGCTTCGTCGAGACGCTCCGTCGGATGTGGGAGTCGGCCGGGGCGGGAAGAAGCTGCTGTGCTGGTCCGTGGCTCCGGAGGAACCGCCGGCGCCATTGATAAAGCGGGAAACGAGTTCGCTGCCGGGACCGGACGGGGTGCCTGCGAGGGTGCTGGACTGGCTCTGGGAGAGGATTCGAGTGTCTTGGGGTCGGGTGCTGGCGATGACTGGGCGTGGATCGTGGCGGACGTCGCTGGCTGTGATGGGGGTTATTTGGGGAGGGGCAGGGTGGTGGTGTTGTGATGAGCGTTGTAGGAGTCGTGAGGTAAGGATGTCGGCGTCAGCAGGACGGGCGGAAGGGACACGGCTTGCCGAAGGCACGGCTTGGGTAGGGAGATTCGGGGTAGAGGCAGTCTGGTTGATGAGATGCCATTCATCGTGAGAGGTACCGTCGTACGTAGGCTGTGGGGTTAGGGCTTCCCGTTGAGCACTCCTGGTGTCTCCAGCTTCGCGCTCTAATACCACGGAATTACTTCTTGTGTGGTCGCGCGTTGTTTCCGGCGACTGCGAATTACTATCTTCAGTCCATTCTTGATCGTCTTCTCGCTCCAGTTCATCGCCTATATCGAATCGTACAGTCGGGTGAGGCTGTTTGGTCGGAGGGATATGGTGCTTTGCCTTCTGTACTGGAGCGAGACCTGCTTTCGCTGCAGCCTTCACGATATTTTTCGAGGAACCATGTCGCGGGAGGTGTGAGGTGGAATGGTTCTTCCGCATGCCAACTGCATGCGCTGAAGCGTTTCGTTTCATGCCCGGTCGGTGAATATGAAGTCTCTCTACGTGGTGATGTGCACGCGGACTTTCTTGAGGGGTCTGGACAAGGTTTCCGGAGAGCGACCGATGGTGCACTTCCAGTCGCGCGGACTTCGATGAAGCGTCGGCTCCGCCGTCGAGGTGGAGCGGGACCGGCTTCAGGCCATTGAGGTTTTTGGTGGAGGCGTTGCGCTTGCCAACAACATGACGTTGTGGTTTGTAATGGGACTGTCGATGCGAAGTAGACGACTGTTCTCCTCCAGACAATGATCGGGAAACATACGACGAGGAGGATGGATTCCGCAATAGGGCAGGGCGTTTGGAGGATTGCTTCGGTTGGGAATCTTGGGATTGGGGGTCATCCTGATTGGGAGACATCTGTGCTGATCGTGCGCCTCATGCGCCGAGGGACTCCATGTGCCTGTGCAAGATGCTGTAGCGGGTGGTGGGTGTGATGAGGCGAGATTGGTAGGTGATTTGGAGAGGATACGATGTCAGAAATGCACCAGATACTGGTATGAGAAGTGAAGATGAAGATGATTGAACGTGTCTACGAAACAAGAAACGGTCAAGAGCTGGAATGGTTCCGGTTTTACATTCTCGTCGGTGCTTCCCCAACCATGACGTTTCCGCGCAACTGACTCTTGCGACACATACCGTAATATCATTTGCCTACAGGAGGTTCTGGAATCTGGAGTTGTTTCGTTTGCTGGACTGCACTGCCGATCCCGCGGGCCTATCGCTGGCTTCGCTGGCTTCGCTGGGCCCCATGGCGGGCCTACCGCTGAATCGCGGGGCCTATGGCGCCGATCAGCCCGACACTGGGCAGCCGGCCCCCAGTTCTTGGCGAAGTCCCCGGTTTAGCCTCTCCTTGTGACCAGTCGCATTCTCAATCTGCTGGTCGAGGTAACGAGATTGTATCAAATAAGATCTTCATCCCATTGATCGACCCTCTCACAGGTCAAGTGTTAACACTAACCTAGAAGTTCCTTGGTGGTCGAGTTTCACGACATTCTGGAGACACTGACAGTGGGCAAGTTGGGCAGGTCGAGTATCCATACTGGTGACAAAAGGTGTCACATCCCAGTGTGGCCTCCTCCAGCCGCTGGAAAGTATAAATAGGGGCATACGATCTACTGTATCAAAAGGAGCATGGAGTTTAGCAATCGGTCATTTCTAGAGTGGCAAAGCAAGGCAGAGACCAAACAGTTTCGATGCTCCGGTGTACTTCACGGTTAGATATCCCTTTCGTCTTTTCTGAATGCTTCACCCCCTTCAAGACTTCCCCGTTTGGAATTTTCTATCACCTGTCCAAGTTTAACTCCGCCGCCTTGAATTTATTTCATTCCTTTTCATCACCTTCTATATCACTGGTGTCTTTTACTATGGAAGCTATGAGTCCGTTTGTGAAGCGCCGTCGTCATAGGCCATTTATCATGACCATTTACGAGGAGACAGAGATGCATAATGTCTTACCTCTCTACTATTTGGTACTACCTCCATATGGTACACAGTACCGCCTAAAGAGAGATCCTTGCAAACCAGTCGGTGTCGTACTCCGTGGCCGATGTGTCTGTATCTCTTGAGTCCTTCTGGACAGCGCTCCAAACGCAGCGTAACCAGAGGAGAGCGGGAGATCTTCTTCGCGCAGCATACTACATCTTATACTAAGAAACAACCGCGAGCCCAAAATTCTGACTCTAGTTCTATTTCTAATTCGCAACCTGATGGCAGTAGAACCGACAGAGACTCAAGTACTAGGAACAGCGACGGCCAGATAAAGTCTTGCGGCGTGCGGGAACAGTCAATGTCCTGGAGCACGAGAAAGAAGCCGGATAAACGGGGCGCAATTGTAGTACGCCGTAGGCACTCTAAGGACACTGCAGCACAAGCCCGGGACGGGACTGATTTATTAGATCATACTCAGTTAGGCAGTCTGAACGCAGTGCAGTATCAAAGGGCGCACTTGAGAAGGAACCTTGGTGTCGACTTCAGTGGTGGACAGTTCGTAGGGATCGAGCCGGAAGCCAATGAGAAGAGCGAAGGGGACGGCGATGAGGACAGCGATGAGGGAGGCATAGAGGGCGAAGAGGGGGGCGAAAAGGAGGGCAAAGAGGAAGAAGGCAAAAAGGAGGGCAAACAGGATGGCGAAGGGGATGGTGAGGGGGAGAGCGAAGATGCAGGCAAACAGGAGGGCGTTTCAGAGGGCACCAGCGGTATCGATGGCCGCCGCGAAGCATAGTTTCAAGTTGCGAATATCTTCAAGATACCCACAAGTGTATTTCTGTCTAATATATGCAAAGAGTCTACAGCTCGTTACGCGTGATTTCATTCCAAGAGTACGGCAGCATCCCTTCCATCATTCTACCAAGCCGGCCGCGATCGTCCTCCCCTCATACCGCAACACCACCCTCCGCCCCTTCTCCACCGGCGCCCCTTTCTCATCGCCAAACTCTACCTCCACCCTCCCCACCTCCCCGCCATTCAACACCTTCGGCCGCTTCTTCTTGACGTCACCCGTCCGCTCGTCGAGCAGCGCCACCAACGGCATTTTGACCTGCCCCTCGCGGCTCATCGTCCCGGCGTGTACCTCCACGAACATCGGCAGCACTTGCTCGAACGCCAGAATCTTCGCCTGGAAAGTTCGCACGTTCTGCGCCGGGGAGTCGCGAGCGCAGATGATGTCTCCTTGGCGGAGGTGTTCGGCGTCGACGCCGGAGAGATGGACCGTGGCGATGGAGCCGGCGACGGCCCAGTCGACGTCGTTTCCCTCGATGGTGATTCCCTGAATAATGGCGGTATCACCGCTTGGCATGGCAATGACGTCGTCCCCGACCTGCATGTTTCCAGCTGTAAGCCGTCCGCTGATACTGACTGGGTATAGTTGGCTGTCCGTTGATATGTCGAATACCTCGAGCCGAAGCGGCTTCTCGATCGCTCGTTCCGTCGGCGCTATAGAATCGAGTGCATTGACGAGCGTGGGGCCTGTGTACCATTTCACGTCTGCGTCGTCTCGCCGTTTGGAAACGTTGTCGCCTGTCAGGCCGCTGAGGGGCACGAACACCAGGTTCTCGGGCTTGAAGCCAACTTTCGTAAGAAAACCGGTCATCTGCTCCCGGATCTCGTTGAACCGGTCTTGCAACCAATGGGCAGCGTCCATCTTGTTGACTGCGACGATAATGTTCGATGCTCCCATGCTCCGGACAATGAGTGCATGCTCGTGCGTCTGGCCTCGAATGCCAGACTCAAAGCTATTCGGGCTTGCATCAACCACCAAAATTGAAAAGTCCGCTTGGGCGGCACCAGCGATCATGTTGGGTACGAAGTCCTGGTGACCGGGAGCGTCGAGGATGGTGTAGTTAGTGCTGTCAGTGGAGAAGTGTGAGGTCGCGATGTCGACGGTAATGCCCCGTTCTCGTTCGTCCTTGTTGGAGTCCATGATAAAGGCCAGGGCAAATGAGGATTTTTTCAGTGTATTCGCCTCTTTCTGGAGCTTGTCAAGAGAGCGTTGGGTGATGACGTTCAGGTCAAGGAGCAATCTGCCCATAAGCGTGCTTTTGCCGTGGTCAACATGTCCTGGCAAAAGGTTTTAGCACAGAACACGGCGTGAGTGACGGCTCCAATAGCGTACCTATCACGACGAAGCTCGCCGATTTCTTCCCCGAGACTTTCTTGTGCTCGGCAAGTACATCAACTTTCCTCCTCTTCGGCTTCGGCAGGTCATTGATCTTCAGAGCCGCAACGCCGTCAGCTATTTTGTTTCCATCCGATGGCTTACCGCCTTGTGTAGCCGCGGTTTTGCCCTTGGGTCCTGATCGATCGTTAGTTCTGGTCGGTGGTCCCAAACGTTTTTACTGAACCCATTGAGGCTTTCGACTGAGCCGCGATGACTACATCGTCGGGACTAGGGCCAGCGAAAGATTTGAGCGGGAAGTAGGAGACAGCGAAACTCGAGCTAGATTCAGGGGTAGAGCCTTGCGATAACCGCCTTGACGAAGTCGCTCCCAATAAAGCATTGGCAAAGGCGGAGGGATCAGCTTTTACATTCCCGACGTCTTGATTGCACACCCCAAGAACGGGTTGGGATTCGTGTTCTTTCACATCAGACACTGGCTCTGGCACTAGAGCAGATGGGCCCGACGGAGCTTCGTTTGGTGTCGGTGGTTTGTGGCGGATAGGGACCGGCTTTTCTTCTTCGATGGCTACTCCGGGGGATATTGCTTCCCTTTTCGACCCCAGCTTGTCGAGTAGGGTGATCGACCTATCCGGCTCATGCGAGGGTGCATTCTCTTTCGGAACAGAGCTTTCCGCTTGCTTCTTGCGACGCGCAGCTGCGAGAGCCGCTAGCTTCGATGGTTTTCCTGACCCTCCCAGCAAGCCTGTCTCCCTCCTACTAGAGCTAATGGACACGATCGCACCTTGCCGTGTCGGAGGGACCTGGAGCCATGGGCAATCGGAAAAGAAGTTCGAAATGCGTCTTTTCTTAGGAACTGGGACTGGGTATAGGGAGTATGGCTCTACACACAAACGCAACTCAGAACAACAGCCTCTCTGGTTTGAGTCTCGAACCACGACATAACAACTGACCTTAAGTCGGGCAAGCAATAGACTCCATCGTCTGCTCGACTAGAGAAGAGCAATATACGAGAGAAAGAACCAACCTTTTTGTATCGTGTGTTGCTTAGCTGCAACCTTAGCTGCTTGATCAAATCTCGACTCGGGTTTGGTCTGCTTTGGCGTAGCCTGTGCGGGCTTCTGAGCGTCTGCATATCGTCAGTTACGATATCGTACCACAGTTCAGGATCTATACTTTTAAGATAAGACACGGATTTGGTCACATCATAGTAATAATGCCATAGAGCTTCCTGAATGTCCTTGTCGGAGATCTTGTGATCTGGACCTAATCCTTCTCGGACGCGTTGAACACCTATTCGCATTTGCTCTTCGTCCTCCGCACTGAGACCTTATCATCATGTTAGGAAGTGGTTTTTGAGCACCGATACATGAAGATTTACCGTCCCCGCCTGCCTCGTCATAACCCTCTTCCTCATAATAATCGTCATCGTCATAATCGAGGTTTTTGACTCGCCGATGCGACATAGTTATTTTGAGGCTCGTATATTCCGTAGAACTGTAGATATGGATATCTGTCTAAGGCTATAGAGAGCTTAGAAGAGTTGATTTCGAAATTCTGGCATCTCAAATGAATATAATTAGAATGGCACCCGATGTGTGGATGTTGACGCCCAAGTACCAGGTGGGCCAGGTCACCAGCAAAGGCTCGAGTCATCTTGCAGCCAATCATGACACAATAAATAGCGACTTACTCATCAGTGATAGTCACGTGTATACCGTTGCCACAATATTCTGATTTTGAAACTGAAAGATGCAGTACCAATCACTCTTCTCCATTAAATTTACTTCAACTTATCATTGGAAAGACAATAGTTACTGAAGCTAAGTGGAAGTGCTGGTGTTGTTGTCTTGATCTCCAGCATCGAGAGGCGTTTCCTTCAAACACAATCCGAATTGTGGTCTGCACCCCCCCGAAGGACAATCAACCAAACCACGTCCGCATTCTACAACCTAATCAAACTCGCGAACCATAGATGTTCCGAAGCCTTACGCGCGGTGATCTGCATTGTCGAGTCTAGATTCATCGTTTGGAGGATGAGATCCTTAAAAGCCATGTCGTCAACCTCTGGCCAATCCCCAAATGGCATAACCGGGTGGTAATCGGCAATTCGATCGTCTCACAGGAGCCCCAACAGCTGGCACGCCAAAACGATCATCAATATGCTTCCTCAAATCACGGCTGATACATCGATGTACTACACGTGAACAAGAAGTTGTAATCGCTGGGTATCCACATCAAGTAGTGGCCGTCGTGTGGTGGGATCGGGCGCCCTAGTACGCTTCAGGTCCTCTTCGTCATCAGCCTTTATCGCGTCCCTTGATCTGATTTTTGTTCTTTTCCTTCCAAAACCCGCCTTAAATCGTTCCTCATAGTTTGCTTTAATGCACCGAGATGCTCAATGAAATACTCTGATGGGCTACCCCATTCGTGAACTACTAATCAAGATTTCTATAGGCTCGCTATTCTACACTTTCAACTACACACGGGACTAAGTTCAAAGGCTATTATTTCATTACCATAATTCAATTTGTCTCACTAATCGGTTTAAGAAGAATAGATGGCTGCGGACTGGCAAAGCCGCGAATAAGCTCCGGACATTTTCACGGACTCGGTCATACCACAATCTTATCACCAGGAGAATTCTGACCCAGAGCTTCCCTGCGTGACTTACTATTGGGATCAAAGTATGGGCGCTCACCCAATCCCACCGCCCGGTTACCGAAACGCTCACCCTGACCGTCATAATCGAAGGTTGCACTATGGAAGACGCTTCTGTTGTCCCAGATCGCTAGTCATATGTCAGCTCCGAGCCCCGTCTTCTTTGGAAATACGGGATGTTTACCAATATCGTTGGGGTTCTTCCACTTGAGGCGGACCTGCAGGTCGTGGTTCTTGTATACCAAGTCCAAGAACCAGCTAAGGAGGGCCTTGGACTCGTCTTCCGTCACGCCATTGATTTGCTTGATATGGTCTCCGACGGGGAAAATACTCTTCCAGCCAGTCACAGGGTTGGTCCTCACAACGGGATGCACCGCCTGCAACAGGGTACCAACGTTTTCGGGTGCGCCGCGAGGCTTGTCATAGATCTCGAAGCCACCGCGAGCAGCAGCGGCGTTGAATCCCGGTTGAGCGAATGTGCACGTGAGACCCTCAAGGAACTTCTGGTATGGCTCACTGATACGGTCGTAGATCTCGTATCCGGATGCCCATAAAGTATCTATCATGGCTGTTAGCACCACCTCTGGCGAGAATATGGGTCCCTCTCACCTCCTCCCGTCTTGGGTAGCTCAACGAGTCGAAGCGAGGTGTAATCAGCCGGGACTGGCTCAAAGGCGATATCCGAATGCCACAGTTCAGCGCTCAGTGTCTTTCCGCGGAGTCCTTGATCTGCAGCTTGGCTGTAAAACTTCTTGAGCTGGACAGAGCTGATCGTGGTGATCTCCGGATCGGTTCCTCCACCCTCCCGGCCAGTGTTCGACATCGGGTGAATGTGCAGGCCCGAGGTTTTCGGCTTTCCCGACAGTTCACCGAGTCGCTGAACCAATACTTTCTGAATATCGTTCGTGAGGCTGTCTTGGGCACGGAAAAATACCACACCGCGCTGGGAGACTGCGAGTCCATTAGTCTAGAGCACGTGTGTATTGGTATAGGGTGCTTTCTTTTTACGGCCAACTCCTTCAAGAGTTCATCCGCATTTGGAGAATTAATCCACTCGACCAAGTTGGCCGTTGAGAACTCCGTGCCGATGACTGGAGTTACATCGAATTGCTCGAATTGATCGAGAAGGCCCGACGATTTCAACGGCTGCGGTCTGCCTTTTGTAACAATTGGAACCTCCTGTTCCGTCACTGGGGGTGCCACAACTGCTGAGGGTGCCATATTTGCTGAATTGTTCCTTTGTTAAATGGGTTCAATGTGTAATCTGAGTGTTTCTACCTTCGTTTGCGGTGTCTTCGAGTCCTGATTTTATCCATCCTTTCGGATATTTAGGACATTTTCAAAACCGCAGCATATTGTCGAATGCAGCTTACCGATCACGCACTTTACTATTGTCCATTTGTTGTCCATCCATCGTTGATGTGTAAGATGTCGCATTAGACAAGCCTAGTCATGGCAGATAGATCCTAGACGATCACGCATGTTCCTGATCCGTTGCGCCATTCTGGGGCAGGATGACTACACCATCCATCGAATCAAGTCCATTAATCTTATCTTAAAGCCTTGATTTATTATTTTAGAGTATCTTATGCTTCATCCAAAAAATTCATTGAGCGGGGTACGTGGGGTAAATGTGCTGAACTGCTGATGGTCCAGGTTATACGGAGCACGATACTTTTGTGCCTGCCATGGCCCCTGGACTCTTCGCAATCCAACGAAAACTTAGGTAATAGAAAGAATGCGATTGTTATGAGCATCAATAATACCTGTGGAGCCAAGTTTCAAGGGGTAGTGCCACAATCACGGGTTGAGAGAAGCACGTGACCGTCATTACCCTTTCCACACGTTTCTTACTTTCTTCTTTGGATTATGTCGCAATCCGTGCTCCAACGCAACAACAACAATACAAGGGCCTCTGCAGTGACGGTGGTTATGGCCTTTACCATTGGTGCATACCTGCAGCTCTTACACCTAGAAGGATCGTCATTGGGCGACCTCCAGGATAGCGTGCATAGACGTGCTATGGTGGTTCTCTGCTAAGTGTGAATATGCACCTCTTCCACCATCGGGTTGGCGATTCATGGTCTCTGAACGTTTCACCCCAGAGCCATCGATTCCTACCCCAGAAGGGAGACCCGGTTGGGCGGCGGAGGTTGTCACTGGGGTAATGTGAGCCATTCATAATCGCTCGTAATCGACCCCAAGTCTGTCCCAGGACTGCCAGATCCCTTGAATTCGCTGGAAGGGCTAGAATAAGTTGCATCATGGGCATGCGACAACTCTATTTTCGAAGCGAATACCATATGATTGGCATTTTAACACCCCTTTCAAGCAATTATGCCATAGCACATCACTATCGACGACATAGTCGTCCCAAGCGCATCCAGGGCAACTCGTTTTCCTGTTCCCTCCGTTTATATTAACTTCATGGATGTACTATTGTGCCGGATATATGTCCCCTGAGCCAGTTGGAACAGGTTATTCCTTCCTTAATCTCAGTCGCTTTTCGTCAAGATGCCCACAGTGCTTGTGCAACGCTCCGTTGACCGGTCAGACTCATCGCTCACTGATATCGATGGCAAGGAACCCAATGTCACTGAACATCCCGTGGACGACAATGTTCCTCCGCTTGGTGTTCCTCCACAACTGAAGGTATGGTCAACAAATCCGATTGTCAAACCATTCCTAAGCATTGTATAGCGGTTTTGGTGGCAGCGAAGCGTTAAACTCGATCCGGATGCCATTGCTACTCAGGTCAACCATCCCTTCCATTTGGACTATTCTCTTGGTCCTAATACCTCGCAGCGTTCTGTATATGATCATGCTGAAACAGCCAACAAATACCAGCCAAGAGATGACTGGTAGACTTTCTCAATCCCCTCTAGAGCGGCAGATGTTGACATAAGTAGGGAAAACATCCACCGCTTCGACCCGCTGGTGAGAGCCGTCCACTTTCAGCTCCTTTCATTACTGTGCTCACTCCAGTGGTCGTAGTTCCGCTGGACCTGGGGAGAGGAGTACAAACTGGTTCGCAGGGTCGATTTGCTGATTATGGGATGGGTCTGCATTATGTTCATGGCGCTAGAGATCGATCGTTCCAATCTCGGGCAGGCGTTGACGGACAACTTCCTGGGGGATTTGCATCTGACTACAAATGGTATGTCGCTTCATGGTCAAAGTGTTCGTCCTTTTCTAATGGACGTAGACTTCAATCTGGGGAACACGGTGACTAGGGTTAGCTTCCTGCTTGCGGAGCTCCCATCTCAACTTGTTTCGAAATGGGTTGGCCCTGACCGATGGATTCCCGCACAACTGGTGCTCTGGAGTATCGTTGCAGCCTCACAGTTTTGGCTTAACGGACGTGCGTCTTTTTTGGCCACCCGAGTGTTGTTGGGAATGTTGCAAGGAGGATTCATCCCTGATGTGGGCATTCGGACTCAGTCGTTCTGCAGTAGCGCTAAACATGTCAGGTTATTTTGTACTTGTCATACTTTTACAAACACCATGAGCTTTCTATCCGCCTTAGCTTCTTCTGGGCCGCGATGAGCATTGCAGATATCATGAGTGCAATATTGGCGTTTGGCATCCTACGAATGAGAGGTGTAGGGGGGCACAGTGGCTGGCGGTGGCTGTTCCTCATCGAGGTAAGCCTTCTCGACTGGATCTTCTTATTTCTAATGCTCATTAAATGATATAGGGTCTCCTTACCTTGGTAGTTGGCATATTTTCGTTTGCCCTCATGCCTGCTGGGCCGGCGCAGACAGCAAGTTGGTTCCGTGGGAAGAAGGGGTGGTTCACCGAACGGTATGACCCGTCTCACATCAAATAGTACCCTTCACTTACCATCATGTTACAGGGAGGAGAAAATCATCATCAACCGTGTGATTCGCGATGATCCCACCAAAGGAAGTATGCATAACCGACAGCCTGTGACCCCGAAGCTACTCTGGCAGAGTCTGAAGGACTATGACTTATGGTATGTTTTCATTCTGCAGAAGATACTGAACGAATTATTTCTCATCCAGGATACAGGCCAATGTACATCCTGGGGCTCACCTTCCAGATACCTTCAATTCCCCAGCAGATATACCTTACACTGTCTCTGAGAGGACTTGGGTTTAACACCTTTGAAACAAATCTGTTAACCATCCCTTATACCGTTTTGCATAGTAAGCTTAATCTCCTTTGACTAATGCCTCCGGAAATTCTGACTTTTTATTGTTAGTCATCGCAATGTTTGCCATCACTGTTGTAGCCGAGACATGGGGACAATTGGCCTTCACGGCGCTAGCCGGGCAGATCTGGATTCTTCCCTTCCTCATCTATCTCAATATTGTCGACACCACGAAAGTGAGTCGGTGGACAATATGGGCGGTGACCTCCCTTCTGCTTGCCTATCCAAATGGTACGTTCGCGATACACTGTTCTTCCCCGATATCTATCCGACAACACAGTGAGGATCGTATCTGTCGTGATACTGAACTGACGTATCATCTCAGCCCATGCGATCCAGGTTGGCTGGAACTCTCGGAACAGCAACACCGTACGCACGCGCACCGTATCAGCCGCTTGTTACAACATGTTCGTGCAGGGATCCGTCATGATCTCGGCGAATATATACAGGATGGACGATGCCCCGCGGTATCAACGTGGAAACCGCCAGTTGCTTGCTATATGCTGTATGAATATCGTACTGTATCCACTGGTCAAGTCTTATTATGTGTGGAGGAATAAGTCGAAGGATGAGAAATGGAACAAGATGGACAAGGACGAGAGGGACGCTTATTTGGAGGCCGAAGGACGACAGGATAGGGGCAATAAAAGGTTGGACTTTAGGTTTGCGCATTAGAGAAATGCCTTAGACCACAATACGCAGGCCGGATATGTGGCCAGGAGAACAGGTACAGGTACAGTTGGTACTTAAGTTGTGATACCTGACGCGAACGCGTCGTGAGGCTGCTTTGGAACGTCATGCGCTAGGCTAAATTGGGCGATTAATTTCCATTATTACTAGCGTTGGGTGGTTGGGGTCAAAGCTCGTGTTGGGGACACATCTCAGCAGCCTCTCAATTAGTTATCATTACTTGGCAAGTTAACATTTCCTTAATACACCTGAGCTTGGGCAGGTAACCTGCGTTCTCGAAGTCGATAAGTTGAACTAGCTTGATCACCACTTCTTGGCCAACCTGGTCGAAGTTGACCATATTGTTATTAGGCTTTGATATCTGGGTATGATTGGCTCCGGTCAATAAGTCTATATAGCAATTAGTCTCAATATGTAAGTGGACAACATCTTGGTCATGCAATTCAGCAATCCCTCTCAAAATAGCATGAATTATTTGTTTCCTCGATCGCATCGAAATCTGCATTCTGACAAGCTTCAATAAGTCACTAGTAAAATACTTGTCGACCAATGTTGGTTGATTCGGGATGGCACCGAAGGGAAGTCAAATGCATGCTGATGCTTCTCCTGAAGTCGGGGCAGGATAATATTGTTGAACGCAGCAAAAATGGACTCCGGTATATCCTTGAGGGAGAAATTGTCCTCTTCAGATCTGAGATGTCGTTAGCCTATGATGTAGATAGTTATACCATAAGCGGGTAACATAGCTTAATGTTTCCAACCAGGCACGGCCAACATGTGGTTTATCTTGCAAGAACTTTTCTAATCGATATCGTCGTCCAGTGGCACTTATCAGCTCAGAGGGAGCGGAGGCCATCCGGACAGCTGTTCGAAGCATTATTTCATCACCGATGATGACGGATAGGCAGATTTACAGGATGCACAGCACCTGTCTTGGTTGGATTACTGTAACCATTGAGACTTAAAGTTCGGTTGTTGGGCCCCGTCCCTCAGGGGACGCCTTGACGCCACCGCCACAAAGTCTGAACTGGAAATCAGGAGTACAGCGACTATTGCTGGAAAGACGATGGCGGAATAGTTGGATACTTTAGGGACGGAACTTGAATATATCGGAAGAGTCCGATCCTTTCATTTAGACCGAACAATTAACAATAGTATGTATAATTATGCTATACAGTATCGTGACCCGAGAAAATGCACATCATTGCGGGGCACCCCCGTACGTGGCCTGCATCTCATCAAGTACCTCCACCACGCCATCCTCTAGCCCGTTCAAGCCGGCATCCTGGGCTGGGCCGGGCTCTTCGCCCTGTGCTTGGCTATCCTCCAACGAAGTGAACAGCCAAGCCACCGCCTCGACTAGCTCATCGGCTTTCTTCCGCTCCTCCGCTTCATTAGTCTTTCTAGCTCGCGCTTGGGCTTCCAGCAAGCACCTCTCCTCCTCCTCGGCCTCTTTGCGGCATCGCGCCCGCACGCCCGGTTTCTGCGTGCAGTTGGGACAATAGTAGTTCATCATGCAGAACTGGCAGCTGCAGCGGGGTATATTCATAGAGCAATCCTGTAATATTGTTAGCGATTGGTACGAGTTTGAGAGAATGCTACCATCCAGTAGGATGACACTTACCTGACAAACGTGAACTTTGCATTCCGTGCATTCACGCACCATAGCCATGCATCTTGCCCTTGTATCCCCCATCGGCCGCTGCTGCTGGCAGAAGTACGACCCGCACCCTTCCCACTGTACAGGGTGTCGAGGACTACATGGGAGCGGGTTATCTTCGTTCAACCCTGTATATTGCGTCTGCCGTGACCGATATGGCGATTCCCCACCGAAGCCGCTCAGGCTCATGGATCGAGGCCGTAAAGGGGTCATTCGTCCCCTGGGGATGAGCGCCGAGCTGCCAGCTTTCGGTGCTTCGATAGTTTCCCGTGACGCTGTGATCGGCTCGTCGAATTGGCTCGAAGACATGAGCGTCGGTGCTCGTGAGTCGGTGGCTACATCCGTGTCCATTTCGGAGCCGTCCATGCTTCCCATATTTGAGGAGGGGGAACTGTCACGGGCTCGGAGTCGGGATATGGTATGGTACGGGGGGATTTCAAGGACGGTCGGTTTTCTGTAGTTGCGGACAAACTCTCGTTCGGTGTGAAGGTCTCGGAAACCGCACTTGCGGATCTTGAGAACGCGGAAATCGTGTTCTTTGCAAAGGGGTTTCATACACGCTCTGCACTTAACCTGCCATTGCTTTGAGTCGAAGCAATCCTGACATAAACTTCGAGGACTGGTCGTCGCCTGTAGATCGAGTTTGTCTTGTTTCAAGAAAGGCAGAATGTCGACTTCGTCGTCAAGACCTGGTCGCCAGAGAACATGGTCTTGCAGAGCTTCCTTTGCGAACCATCGCTTCTTCGGAGAGAAATCGGGATCCTTGTATTGGCTTTCATTTGGAAGTGGGACGGACCTAATCTTTTCCGCACCATCTCCACCCAGGGCTGGCCCGAGAAAGACGATGCCACCTCCGCCCGAGAAAATCGGTTCGAGACAGCACCAATGCATACTCAGTTTCACAGGACTGTTAAAGAGACCGCCCGTTGACTGGGTATCATCGTCATCCGAATCCGAGTCGTCCAATGGCGCATTTTCGTTGATATGATTTGGTGATCGCACTGTTTCAGGAGCCCACCAGTACTTGTTCTTTGACTTGGGATTCTTCTCCCGGGAATTGCTCGAAACGTTTACGCTCTGCAAGAACGGCATGCCGAAAGAATCGAGGTGCGGAAGGGTAGGTCTTGATCTCTTGCGCTTCCGGGGTAACGGTCGATTGAACGCGCAACTCCCGCAAAGGGTTCTTCGACATCCCATGCAGTGCATCTGGACACTACATTGTTCGCACCGCTCGTTGATCTGATCCCCGCATTTATCACATCGGACATTGTCGACAAAGATCTTATGGCTCGTTCGAAGATGCGAGGGAGTTAGCTTACTCTCGCCCTTATGCGGCTCGTCCACGGTTCCCAACGGCTCCCCATTATACCCGATTTCTTTATCTTCCCACAACCGCCAGTTATCAGTCTTACCGGGCTTGCTTTCCGCACTGGGCCCGATCCGATTTTGCGATCTCCAGAGGCGATCGAACGGTACCCAAATCTCCTGGGTGCCTGGGGTGGCATGAGATGTGTAGTAGTTCTTTCGGCGGAAACATCGTTGGCCTGGGGTGGTGCACCATGCGGAATCCGTCCAGATGTTCAGATCGTGACATAGCTCAATCAGCTCGTGGGTCGGTTCGGAATCAGAGTCTTTTCGAATGAGAGAAGATGGAAGATAAGGGCGGCGGCGGTGGTGTCGGCAGCGGTAGGTGTACAGACTCTTGAGTTTCAATTCGCCCGGTCGTGCCCACGGGGAGTGCTTCGGGCTATAGCTTTGGAGGAAAGGAAGGATGTGGTATTTGATCGAAACGTTCTTGCACCCTCGGACGGAGAGATGCTCCAAAGTATCGAGCCTAGGCTCCAATACCCTCGCAACTAATGTGACCCCAGAAACGGCGGTATTGCAAAGGTCGAGACTCGTGAGCCGTGTAGAGACTGGCGCAAGTACTCTGGTCAGTAGACCATCGAACGCACACTGCCTGGCCTGCCGCTGGGTATTGTCCGTATTGTCCGATCCCGAGACCAGAGGATGCGGCAAACGAAACGATAGGGACCTCCATGCTAGCGGATATTTCCTTAGAAAGTCTCGGAGGTAGGACGAAGTATTGGAGAGGGCGATAATAGAGGTCGTCGGGAGGTTCGCGAAGAGAGATTCGAGAATCGGAGGGTATGTGGTCACGACATCTTCGAATAGTGATCGTTGTTGCAGCAGCGTAGCCGCCATGCCGCTTTCTACGGCATTCGTTTCCTCCTCTTCATTCTGAGGGTCTGTTAGACAAGCGAGGGTCGGTTCCCGGATTCCGGAGTCCGGATTCAGCACCATCCTCCCAAATCTCTCTGCTAACTCCGCCCCCAAGAGACAGTCCTCACGATGTAACGAACATGGACGGGAGTCGGTGGCGATCATGCAGCTGACGGTGGCATCGGGGATCAGTGAGGGTACGGCTGGAATCAGGCTCACGCGGTGGAAGTAGAACGGGAATATGGATAGGAGAATGTTGAATTCAGGGTCGAATAGTGAGGGATCTGGTGGTAGGAGTGGAATGGAAAAACGGTGAACAGTGAAGTATGAAGTGTGAAGAAGGCCTTGCGGATGTCCCTTTCACGATTCGCGGACTGCATCCCGGACATGTCAAACCGTGAGGGCGTGACTACATGAGGCTTGGCAAGAATTCCTCCCTCTAATGAGTCTCACTGACGCCGCCCGTCTCCGATAGTCCGATAATACACTCCAAGAATACAACCCGATAATACGGGAATGTCACCGTCTGCTGTTGAATTTGGCGCCTAGTAGGGGTGCTACTAAGCACAGGTAATTACTTGTGCCTATTAACTTTGTCCTTGTCATTAGTTAGCAGAACATGAGAGACCATACTTATTGCTTCCCAAGATGCCAACTCAGATGTGAATATCCCCCACTCCCTATCTCCTATATTTTGACGTGTCACGGTCTCATCCTTTGTCCTCACTATTCACCCACACGACATCAATACTAGCGCCTTAATCACTTGAGCAACTTGGTTTCACAGTTTACCTACTGAATGGAACAGGTGGTTGCCAACTTGGTCTCACTTTAAGCTCATGTTTTCTCTAGATTCCCACCAGAGTAGCCACGTGCAACACCGCCTCTCCCCTCTTCCATCTCTCCACCTTGCAGCTCGCTACTGAGCGGCAACCCATCCTGCTCAGTATTAAAGTCACTACCCAGGCCTTGCCACTCTCTCCCACGAAGAAATTCTGCTCCAGGTGACACGATTCCTCCAATCTGAGCGATATCGCCATTGGCTCGCTTGACCAGCGACGTTGACTTGGATTTATTAGGGTGCGCGTTTTGCGACCTGTCTGCGCGGGTCGATGCATTCGATGGTGCCATTGGCCGCGAATGAGACACGTATCTGCCGCTCCGCAAATCAAATTCTGGAGGTGCCGACTCATCGTCAGATATGTCTTCTTGGAAGCCGTTCTGCGCCGATTTGGATGCGGTTTCCGTCCCGTTGAGGTGCTCGGACTTTTGCTCGCTATCAAGGGCCTTGTTAAGCAAAGTCTGATAGTCACTGGACCACTGGCCAGTCCAGACCCGTTCTTCATCGCTCTTCAGCACAATATCTAGTTCAAACGGCGTGATGATAGGTCTCCAGAACTCCTGGTTTTCAATCAGACTGCTCTCCCAGCATCCAATGACCACCCAGCCGCCGATCTCACTGAAGTTTGCCACTTTAGCAGCATTGATCTTGCCAACAACGAAAGTGTAACTTTTCTTTCCTGCAGCAGCGATTTGCTTCTTGACGTACTCGAGAATATCCATATAATTGCGGACGGACAAAGTGTTGATGAGAATGCCGAATACTGATACGGTACTCAACGACGTGACTAGTCCATACCGACGTCGAAGAGTCGCTGATGCGTTTCCTTGCGCTACACTTGGCAGCGTGGAACCATCGGCATCGATTGAATAGATATTGAGGTTCTTTGCCCGGGCCGAAACGGTTAGAAGCAGCGCTGTAGGTGGGTCCCCGATATGAAACAAGCTATAATCTTGAAGCGCTTCGGCTGAATCGATAGCTGTGGGGAGTGCCCGGTTGGGAAGCAAGGCAGATGGATCGTGGACGACTGAAGTCATCTGCACGTTCTTGTAGCCTTGCCCGAGTAACTCGGCGTATATCTTGTCCAGGTGTGTCATGAGCGGCATATCAGCCATCAGAACGACCTTTTCCTGTGCGTCAGGGTAAATCATCTTGAACGTTGATATAACAGACTCGAGTATAAGAGGTTGAACGGTGAAAATATGGAGAACTGGAAGTCGGGCAGTGGGGGATAGACATCCTCGTCCATAATGAACGACCGAATCAGCGTCCAAGTGCTCTGCTGCAACTTCATCGACGCAGCATGAGCCATAAGACGTGTCTCCAAGAATAAAGAGCTTCACTTCAGTACCGGTTGGGTCGGCGATCGAAAGACTGGCCACTTGAGATGCCAGTGGATCCTCTCCCTGTTCGACCTCCTCCAGAGTCTCCGGCTGAGGACGCGAGAGGTCTTTTTGCAAAGCATCAATTACTCGTGGAGCATCCTTCAGCATGGCATCAGGGAATTGAAGCGCAACTCGATGCCATCTTCGCCTCCTGATCTCCGCCACGGTTCGTTGGATATCATAGGTAATTCGAAGTTGCTCTTCAGAAAGCCGTGAAGTTCGTTCCACCGTCGGCTGGACATCATAATCAAAAATCTGAGTATCCGGAGTGGATAACACCGGGGCCGATTCCATGACTGCAAAATGAAGTTGATTTTCGTAGGTAATATATGAATTCTTGATCGACAAGGCTTTTCAAACTTGGTGAAAGAAAATGTGAGCGCCTTACAGATTTCATGCCTTAGGCACCAATATACCATTTGCCTCAGGTTTATTCAACTCAAGCTCAACATTTCAACTGAAACTATATCCATGTTCGACACCGGACAATAGATTCAAGATTCAAGGTTCATAATATACTATACAATATACATGTCAGCGAACCGGAACCTTTTTATCCAATGTCCTACTGATGTCTTGACTATGACAGAAGAGTTTACCCGATCAAACACGAAATTGAGGCGTGAGCTGAAAAGTGCTTGGATGCAGATTGAAATATCAATATTATTGGATCAGGGGCATCGATATCGCCACCAATAACTCCTCGAGCCTAGACCGGCCGGGCCGGGGCGTAGTGGTTTCGCGCTGCCCGCTGCAGCCACTGTTCGTCCCCCAAACCGAACACGAAACAGCCCCTGTCGCCTAGTTGAGACCACGAGATAGATAGCCTTGGTTCCGACGGACTTGGAGACGTGCAACAAATAACCTGCGAACGAAGGTCATCTCGTCCTCGTTTCTCCTATCGACTTCACCTTCGTTCGTGTCATAAGTCATTGGGATGCTGCGTTGCTCATTTAATCCATACGTCTTTTCTTCTCTTCTTGAATTGTTCTGAATCATTATCATCAAAATGGCGTTCCGAACGAAAACCCCGCCGACGCACTACCCCCGATTCGCATTCCACTTCCTGCGGCTGGCCCAGCTAATCTCGTCGATCATCGTGGGGTCGATAATGTGCTATTTCGTCTACCACCTCTCCAGAGACCGTTGGGGCATTCCATGGACGTTTATCCTCTTACTAGCGGTCTCGTTCTTCACGGTGCTCGTCCTAGCGGGCACGATGCTCTTGCACTGCTGCTTCGGACTAAATCCGAAGCTGAACCTGGTCCTGAACTCCGGTCTCTTCGTGATATGGGTGGTTGGGTTCGCGCTGTTGTCGTGGTATTCCTCGCAGACGCTGTTCCATTATTGCAATAAGGAGAACTGGCATGAGCAGGCGGGTGTCATGGTGTGCAGGATCTACAAAGCCCTCTTCACGTTCGCCTTGACCGGATTGTACGTGTTCTCCCAAATGCCACTCTCTTGAGTTTGAAACCCCATGAGGTTTCTATCCAGCCTAGGTCTAACAATATGCCGTAGTACATCAACGCTGGCAGCCATGTTGCTTGATATCCATGTCTTCCGCCGATCCAATCGCCTTGGGAAATATAATCCGATGCAAGACCTCGATAGAAAGCCCCTGCAACCGGGCGCGCTGCATGGGGAGACGGTATTCGAAACATCATCATCGCCGCGCTCATCACCCTCGAATTCCCATAACTCGGCGCAACACGAGGGGACGAAGAGTACTCTGCGTACTCCCTTCAGCGCCAAGAAGGCAGGGGCGGGCGAAAACAGCCTAGACTTGGGCGTATATCAAGTCCCCGAAGAGCAATTCCATTACGACACTGGGTATCAGGGAGCAGGGCATGGTTCTAACGGCCGGGGTTAAATGTGTGTTTATCGAAAATCCACGATAGGGACGTTAGAGTTCCAAAATGTTTTTGTGATCTGCTGTCGGTATGCGGAGTCGAATACCTCCCAGCACGGCGTTTCAGCTAGAGGATCATTAGGGCGACTGGGAGGATTTGAATTTAGCGTGAATATGTATGTATATTGACGAATATCTGCTTTCGAAACATTCCTCGAACATCAAGATCGCTAGGTTCACCACAATCACCATTCTAGTTGGCTCCTAATGTGACAGTCTTGGGCTTCGCCCAGTCTGTGTGTTGTGGCCTTGCGGCCTAAGGCAGAAGGGATAGGTAGACCGTTCGCCCACAGATGTAAATAGCAGATCGCAGTAAGAGAGATCTTTTCCTTTCTCTTTAGCAATTCATCAGCGTTACCAGCTTACCAAATCCTTCGTGGTTTGGGCCCATGACACCTAAGCTATTTAACCCCACCCCCCACTCCCCCTATCTCCGTGCGGCATCTCAAGAGGGATAACATGCCCTCAACAAGTCATATTCTGCCTTAAGCAAAGGGGTGACCGATCCATGTTTCAACCCCTTTGGAAAGTTCCGGTAGTCCGACGGGCGCCAAGATGGGTTGTTAATGTTGTTCGTCTCATACGGGATATACTGCGTGTAATCGTCGAGAAGCAAATGATATAAACCAGGAGTTACATTATCCGCGAAGCATGCTGCTCCCTCTCGAGGTTTCTCGGGCCTGACGAAACCGCCTCTCTTAGTCCACTGACCAAAGAGGCCTCCGGTGGTAGTTTCCTGGTACATTTGGTTCTGCGTTTCATCCTTGATGAATCGGGCAAAGTGGCCTGGAGTGCCTAAGTACTGGAACTCCTGGTCAATGACGGGTGTATTTCCCGGTGCCACATAGTCTTTAGCACCAGAGAAGGTTGCGAAATCCTTGGTCGTCGAGAATCGGATGCGGTCGGGATTGGCAGCTCCAGTATGCCCGTGGTCATTTCTGTTGTAGAAACGCGAGGACCAGAAGACATAAAATTTCGCAGTGGCATCATCCCATACTGCGGACGGCGCCCACACCATTCCAGCCGTCTCATCTTCCACACTAGTGCGTGTAAGCGTATGTTGGGTAAGGAGACATTCCAATCCGGACCCCTTACATTCTTAGTGAAGGCGAAGACCAATCCACTAGATTGTCTGATGACCATACGACGATCCCTCGACTGCCTCTTCTGGTAGCGACGTCCCATGAGAAACCACGGGCGTTGATGTCGAGGTCTGACCAGTTGGAGCATATCAGTGGAAGTCCTCCATTCGATACCAGACCTCCTCACCAGTTGCGATGATGTACCACTTCGTTCTGTTCCCATCATAGGTCAAGAATACATCCCTAACAGCTTTGGTTCCGACAGTGGATGTCAAAACAGGCCGTCCTTTGTTTAAGAACGAGTAGCTCCCAGGATCATTTCCGTTTGACAGGTAGAACTGAACCTTTGGATTCGGATCCGAAAAGGTGCTGATTAGGTAGCCAGCAAAGTTAGATGCAGCCTGACGGCTTTCCAGCCCGTTGCTGCCGCCTAGGACTCCTCTGATGTAAGATGACAATCCAGCGACAGTGAGCAGCATGCACAAGATTCTGAACTGCATCGTCATGATCTGTTGGGTGGACCAGCTGCGTGGAGTTCACACAGGCGAAGCACATCGAATGTGTGGAGAGCCATTATATGAAAATAGTACGATTTGGAACTGGCGGAGAATTTCATCAAATAGACTAAACGGAATGAAATGGAAGTATAACGATATTGAATGTAACCAATAAATCATACGCAAGAAATTAAAACGACCCCGTCCTCACATCACGTCCTGGTTCATGGCCACCAATCGGAGGACAATAGTGCGTCATTTCATAGGTTCTCCGATAAATCAGAGAAATCTCATAGTTATACGAATAGTGTACTCATGAGTGTGTTACCATGATATCTGCTTCAATGGCCTTTTCTAACACGTCCTCATTGCCGGATCTGAGCCGTTCAACCTTCGAATACATGTCTGAAAGCAATGGAATATCTTACTCGTGTCGGATTTAGTCCAGTGATTCGGATTGCCGTGAACTAGAAGTACGACCAGGTACGATTTGATCAATGCATCAAAATGAAATCAATGAGGGAGGGATGAGAGGAGTGAGTTGAGTTGAGTTGAGTTGAGTTGAGCTGAGCTGGTCTTTGGTCGACTTTCAGTTCTGCATTATCCATAATATAGCCTCAAGGGATTTCCACTCCCCAGGTCCTCACGATCATCGTTATATTTAATATCTACCGTATCCTCGGTGTTGTCCTTACCTCCCAAATATGAAGACGTACGTAGGGCTGGACACGAATATTCGACTATTCGTATTCGTACGAATATTCGTAGTCGAATACGAATAAAATTTAGAATTTCCGCTTACTAATATTCGTACGAATAATATTCGCATTATTCGTAATTATTCGTAATTATTCGTCTATCTCTGAAGCTATTTCCATGTATCTCGCATCGGAGAGATGGTCGACAGAGAGCTTTAAGCTGGGGTCACTTGGCTTGCTGAATCGTCAGGAGTGATCAATTCGACGCTATTGATATGCTTTGTATCTCTTAGAGCTCAAATCCTCCAGATCGTGTTCGGGTAAACAAAAGTCGCGACTGTTGGGCATTCATTCATTGGCTCGGCTTTTGCCGAATAAGTCTTGGCATTATTTACGAATATTCGCGAATAATACGAATAAAACGTCTCAAAACTTAGTCGAATACGAATAATCGTTCAAGAGGAAAAGTCGAATACGAATAGCCAAAATCCTTATTCGTGTCCAGCCCTAGACGTACGCAATTCACCACTACATAGTATATCTGGAGTACTCCTTATTCCCAGATCCGACGTCCCCTAATAGCCGATGCATACATCGCCGTCCCCTTTTCAGCCTTATGGATACAGAAGCAGCACCAGCTGCAGGGGTTCCTGATCACCCACCACTGCCTCTGATGTTCGACGTTCAATTCCGCTCAATACGAAGCACAGAAATTCTTGTTGGTACCCACGAACGATACAGAATATTACTACCGAGTATGTGTCGTTGTATATGTAAATTAGTCCACAAGGCTATGCAAAGTTCGGTTTTGCTTCTTAGTTGTCAATCTGCTTATCCGCAAAGAATGAGTTTTCATTTTTCAAACCAGCATTCCCTTGGCGCTCATGACCAAGAAATTGGGGCCGGCAAGAGACTTCCAAGACAGCTTAGACGGCATTTTCAAAGGATGTGTTGAGGCTCTTTCTGACTCGGAAGGCTGGAATGATTTTCCAAGCTTTCGAATGCTGGCGAAATCCCTTGCTTGTCTGCCTGGCTTAGAGAGGGATGCTCAGATCGCTTTGTCCTGCCAGTTCTACATCGTCGATAAGGATATACGAGAACCTGATAAAGCAGATGAAGACGAGGATGAGACCAGCGTCACAGCGGAAGACTAACCCACTGAGGAGAGTGCAGGGCCGAGTGACGATACTGCTAATGTCAACCAAGCGAATAGCAGTGCATCGGCAGATGGGCTCCAAGGTCCGGGCGTCGATGGAGAGCAGTCAGTCGACCCAGACCAAACGACGGCTGAGTTGTCCGCTGGGAATGAAGACCTTGACGACATCTCCGCCGCCTGCGATTCGTGCTACAAATCGTTTTCGAACTGGACAGAATCGCCGCTGTACCTGTGTTCTTACTGCGTGGACACCCTACTTTGCGAAGAATGCATCAACCACAAAATTGCCCAAGAGGAAGGCAAAGAGCCGGCTCCCTGGCGCTCAATTTGTGTACATGGTCATCAGTATGTAAGGCCCGATAGAAGGATGGAAGGGGTGTAAAGATGGGATTCTATCCATTGGGGAGGAAAGGTTTGCGTTTAAAGATTGGCTGATAGAGCTCGAGGAAAAGAAGTGGAAGGAAGCATGGAACGCATTTTGGATGGATGAGGGACGGAATTAAGTCACTCTTCTCACATCTGATGGTCGACATTTCAACATTTTCATTGGCATGGACATCAACCCAATGGAGCTTGAACGGCTGCATTCCTCTCAAATGTAATAACATTTCCTTCTAGATAATTATCTACTTTAATCATAAGTAGTTCGCTCCTTCTGTGTACCTATCGGCCATTCTAGCTGTTTGTAATATCGTTCAAACCCGATCATCGTGATGTTCTTCTTCCGAATCTTCATTTTCATTCCAGAAATAGGTCATCAACCCCGCGATGGTCAGTGGTATGTGTAGGCAGGCAAATGTGAGAGTGATCAGGGTGTAGAGATTGAAACCGGCTTCGGTTGAGTTAGTTTAGAATGTGGAAATACCTAATTAATGAGTTGACTTGCCATGTCCAGCGCAGACCATCACATAAGTAAGTCCGGATAAGGTGGTGAAAAGGACTGACTCTAGTCAGTCAATTTGACCTCGTTGATATGACAACCCGTGAAGATGGTTGACAATCACGAACTTACCGCTGATGACGATGGCTGCACGTAATGTAGGGAATTTGTTGCCGAGGAAAATTACCATAATGCAGCAACTGATGAAAGCCATTGAGGCTAGGAAAATAAGGAAAATGTATGAGAGCCAGGTAGGGAATTGGCTAAGGTATTCAGCCACCTGCAAAAATGATTCGAAATGATCGTGGAGCTCGAGAGACAGCGTTCGTATCTCAGATAGCTCCGCCCTAGCCTCGATAGCTTCTTGGGTCATATTGGCCATAGCAGCATGCCCCGTCTCCATGAGTATCTGCATCTCTCTGGCACGGACCTCAAGGCCACTGAGGGAGTTCGCAAGAGCCACGATCTGATGTTGAGACTCTTTGACAAGGGCAGCATATTCCGCGTCCTCCGCGATGCGCTTTTCCATTTGCCATGCAACAAGCTCTAGTTGGTTCGAGGCTCGCCTTTGAAACTGGTCCATTTCTTGCGCGTTTTCCCGGACATTCTAAGTTCTGGTTAGGTATGTGGAGTTGAATATTAGTTTCAACCAACCGATGCTGCCGATTCGGCTTCTTGGTGCATTTCCTGGAGTATGGACATGATAGATTGCATGACGGTCGCCTTGATAGTTTCTAGTGACGCACTGAAACTCAGTACTCCATTTCTGATCTGACGGAGTCCAGTCATGATGTAATCGTTGGTTCGCATCGTTTGTTCATTGAGATCTCGAAGGGTTTTTACAGAGATTCCAAGCCTTTCTTGAACTTGCTGGGCATCCTCAACCATGTCCTTGAAGAGGCGCGCTGTTTCCTCTAGGGATGATAAGTCAGCGCACGTGTTCCCAATATATTCGGCGATCGACCTGTAACTGCGCTCTCCACGCCTTAATTATACATACCATGTTCGATACTAGCCCTAGCGGAATAGCACAGAGCCACTGCATTTTGACGGTTGTTGCTGTAACTAGTCCAATGCGCGGAGGAATCCATTAGAGCTTGCCGGCATCTCATTTCATGCTCAAGGCGAGCGAATTCTACCTCGCCACGATCGCAATCATAAGACCAGAGAGAAACAATGCCTGTTTTCCTGCAGGGCCGAGGGTCGGCAACTGGTTCACACTGCTTCGGAAGTCTAACACCAGCAGACTGGATCTCGCACAGTCCGAGACGAAGTGCGTAGGTGTTGTGAAATCCATCGACGCTGACGGGGCGGAATTTGGGGCCGTTAGGCGTGGGGGAGTTATTGGTGGAACTAATCGTCGATTTCTCGTCACTTCCAAGGGCACTACACGAGTGGTAGAGCGCTTTGGTCGCCTCTCTGTGGCAACTTGACATCGCGGTGAGTTCCTTTAGAATGGCCGACGCTTTCGAGAGCACCATATCTCTTGAAGCTGTATCTATTGGTATAACATCTAAAACGTTAACTTCTACAATTGACTATAAAACGTATCGATCTCACCTTGATCCTGCTGATTCACCATCCCCTCCCCAGTACCCCAAACTAACTGGCAGACCATAGATTCGAGTATAAGTTGAAAGGCCCATGACGGCTTCATCGTGAGAGCTGCTGATCTGGGTCAGCTACAGCGTGGTTAGCATGAATTGGTATATGCAGATCCCTTGGATCTGTTCAGTTTGAGATCCAGGCGATCATGGCCGAGAAGTGGGAAAGATCTGGATGCAGACGTAGACGTCTAATTAAATTGCCATTCCAGAGCAATGTGAGTGTTGGATTAAAGTGACAATTTCTGTACTTGATTACTGGCCAGATATAATAGGAGGAAGTTGATAGATTCAAGTGATATTTCACTGATGGAGTGAAGTAGCGTGGAGCGGAGATGGGCGGAGCGGAAGTAAATGGATCAGCGTGTGATTGGTCAGATGTGGAAGTGATGTGAAATCCGCGGACGGGGGTGGATCGCCTCTGGCGGAAGCTCTACCAAATCCTTGGCGGAAACCTCCGAAGGACTTCATGAATTGACTTCAGTCTCTCGTTCAATGTCTGAAATGCGCTTCAGAACCGTGGATCTCCAGACTACAACCCACATCTAGGATGATAATCCTCAAGCGAGCTGCTTTCGGCAGCTCCTTGTCCACCTGCTGCAAGAATGCGGCGACAACCCGCGCCTTCGCCGTCCGCCAATTCACAGTTTCCTCGCGCAGAGAATCCAAGATCGGGGGGATGGTCCTCTCAATACCGCCAGAAGTGACATTTGATGTCCTACCACCGACTCTTCGGAAAGGGAAATATGCAGACCTTGAAAAACCATTTAATGCTGTTATCAAAGGACCATTAGGTTGGCAACGCATTCTGCATACTGGCAGAGGATCCCATCGCTGACAGTTGGCGTAGGTGAATTGTCCATGGAAATCCCCACATTCGTCGCGATAGAACGGTCAGAAGACGGAGGCGCAGTGACCGTATCCGTCGAGGATCGCAAAGTCCGTCATCAACGGGAGATGTGGGGTATGTTGGAATCAGACATCACCGTTTCACGCGAAGTACTCACAGAACTAGGAACCACGCGAGCATACCTACAAAATCACATATTGGGAGTCTCCGAAGGCCACACAGCGATTCTGCGCTTCGTGGGTGTAGGATACCGCTCTTCTATCGAACCTACCGCGACCACGGTATCCTCAGAATACCCAGGACAACAGTTCGTCAACCTCAAGGTTGGGTTCTCTCATCCGGTCGAGCTTGGAATACCCAAAGGCGTCAAAGCGAGCACACCCCAACCTACACGATTGCTATTGGAAGGGATTGAGAAGGAGGTGGTCATGTCATTTGCGGCGAAGATACGGAAATGGCGGCCGCCAGAGCCATATAAAGGGAAAGGAATATTTGTGAACGGGGAGACGATTCGTCTCAAGGCGAAGAAGATTAAGTAAGGGGCCAAAAATGTGGTATGTTGTTCGTCTTTGTATAAATATGGTTCTGCATAGCGTTCGGGTGTATACTACTGGTCTTCTGCCAGACTGGTGTCGATGGCTTGTACTATCAACTGAGCCTTATTCAACGCTCAATACCTCCTGAACAACTTTCAGCACTTGAGCATGTATGGCAGACCCTGCTGCTACCACGCCCGTGTTTCCGGTGAGGAGTGGACCCTGAGAAAAGTCAAGACTCTTGCCCCTGATATCGGTGACAGTGCCTCCTGATTCCCTAGTGATCAAGTCACCTGCAGCATGGTCCCAGATCTTTTCGATGTAGTTCCCTCCTCGAACTGGAAGCCTCAAATAAATGTCACCTGCACCCCTCGCCACCGAAAAGTATTTCGCCTGGGAATCCATCCGTACGCTGGGTTTGGTGATATCGAGCTTCTTCGCAATCTTCGCGTTGTCTCCATGCGATGAATGGTTTGCTTCCACACTTTCGCAGAATGCTGCTTCTGAGGGAGTGCTAATGCTTTGAACTGAGATCTTCCGCGGTGTCTGCAGCTTGCCGGTGCCAAGAGGTCGGCTCTGTGACCCTTCCCCTTTCACGGCGCTCGCAAGGGCGCCTTTGCCCTCAGCATCGGACTGATTCTCTCCAATGCCGCCCTCTAAGGGTGCAGAATCGTCGACCGGAAGGTTAGGGCATCCTAGGACTCCCACTTTGACATCTCCGTCCACAATAAGGGCAACACACACAGCATACTGCCCACCGCGTAAGAAACCTTTGGTTCCGTCGATAGGGTCAATAGTCCAGATCCGTCCCTTCCCGCCACCCTTGCTGTTGCCTTGATCGATGATATTTAACATGCTTTCTGCATCAGTGATTGAGCCTCCCAAAGTGGTTTCCGCGGAAGGGTCATCCAGTTTGGTTTCTTTAACCAGGTTCCAGACCAGATCTTTCAGGGCCGCATCCTGTTGAAGATCCGTTGATTCTTCTTCGGCAACAATCTCATCAGAGGGAAAGTTATGCTTCAACGCCGAAATAATCAGGGCCTGTGCTCCATAGTCACCGATGGTGACCGGAGAGGCATCGGATTTCGTCAAGGTTCCTTTGGATTTCGCATGGAAGACTTGTTTTGTGAGAATGGAAGCTCGCTGAACTGCCAGAAGGGCAACTTCAAGTTCTTTTGGATATGACGACGACATTGTAGAGGACTGTGAAGGATGTTTGACAGTAGAGGGCAAGACTTGTCGACTGATCGATGCCAACCGATGGAAAACTGATGGCGCAGAAGTGGCCGCCAGAATGACGATGATAACTGTGGAGAATCTGAAAGCGAACCTGGTGTGGAAGCTCATAAATTCAGCCTTGCATTTCCTTACACCGTGTAGTATTTGACCGAACCAAATCCGCGGATGGGACCTATTTGCATAATTTACCGGTAAGAGGCAACCTTGAGATCTTGGGGACCTGGCCAGAGGGGGTGGGAGGAGTTGGTGACTGGTGAGTGGTGACCCGACGCCCGACGATTCCCAGTGACAAGCCGATGTACGAGCTAGTGTGTGTGTGTGTGTAAGGCGTAAGACGCAGGCGTCAGCGTGGGTGGTAAGGCGGTAAGGCGACGAGCGGTCTATTGTCGCCTGTCGGTCCACCATCGGCTCATTGTCGGCCCATATCCTGCCAGTCAGTTGCTGTGGAATTGGACTGTTAACCAAAGTGACTAAGTTAGTTAACCAAAGTGACAACAAGGGTTTCACTTCCCTGGGTCCTTCATCCTCGACACCGTACTCCGTACTCCATACATGCTGACTATCCAGCTTGGAAGATGCCACCTGCATTGAACACCTCTAAAAGAAAGTTCTACAAGCTCTTGGACGGTCTCTCGGGCTCCCAGACTACCATCTCCGGAACGAAGAGGAGGAACGATATATCTCGCCCAACAAGTTCGGTCGAACCAGAGCCTCCTACCAAGCGGTCGCGCCTCTCCGCCGAGTCAGATCGGAAGTCTGATAGTGGTGTTGCTCGACCTAATTCAGAGCCCATAGCAACTACGGCGCCGTCACCTGCAAAGTCACTGCGCGAGCTCGCGAAGGAGCGCGCTCAGAGGAGGAGGGAGGCGGAAGATGCGGAAAGGAATGCGAGAGTGTCGCTCGAAACGGCCGCGGATATTCTTCCAAACTATGCGCCATGGTCTCAGATACAATTCTTCTCCCGCTTGAAGACCTTCGCCGATATCAAGCTGTGGCTTCCGAAACCCGACAAGATCAATGAGGTTCAATGGGCAAAACGAGGCTGGGTCTGCGATGGGAGAAACACCGTCGCTTGCAAGGGCGGATGTGCTGCAAAGGTAGTTGTGGACCTGTACAATCCTGGGCAGGCGGAAGAAGACTCAAAGGAGGTTGATGAAGACGAAATTCGTTCGTGATTACTGGCCCTAGCGATTGATATCGTGGCTAACTGCGGCTTAGTGGAACAACTGATCGAGAAATACGTCGAGCTGACTGTGAACGGTCATGATGAGCATTGCCTATGGCGCAAAGCTGGATGTAGAGGTAATAAATGTTTCACGAATCATTCTCTTCAAGGCTGACCGGCTTCAGAGGATATCTACAGAATGCGAATCAGTGGTAGCACTCTGCTGCAGGCGGAATTGCGCGGACGCTACCATTCTTTCACTTGTACCGGCTCAAAACAGCTTCCGCAACACTTCCATTCGACATTCAAACGAAATACCCCCGGCTTGGAGAATGAGGAAGACCTTGATATCGAGGCCATCGTCCGTGATGTCGAACCTATAATTCTGAATGGATCCTCTGAGCACAACTTAAATCCTCGGAAATCAAGCGTGGCCGGTACTGAGCTCCTGTCTGAATTGCAGTTAAATCGAGCGGCTGCAATATTGGCTTTCTTTGGCTGGACCGGCACAGCCATTCAACGCATTCCGATGGCAACCTGCTCGCATTGTTTTGCGCGGATAGGTTTCTGGCTATACATGGACGATTCTTCCCTTGAGAACCCAAGGCCAAGTACTGACGAGCCCCTCGAATTCGACCCCACAATGCATCGCGACTATTGTCCTTGGGTCAATGCAGACTCTCAGTGCGCCCTTGGAAAATTCAAAGGTTTAAATGGTTGGGAGATTTGCGCGGAGTTCCTTCTCACAGACGCACGAAGAAGACAGCATGCCGAGAAACGTAGAGAAGAAGCACTGGCGGCCAGTATGCCAGCAGCTCATGTGAGCGAGGATGAGGATAGGGAACAGGAGGCATCGAAGCCTAATCGAGAAGAGATCGAGCAGCAGGATCGTGTGAGGGATTCGAAATTAAGGAGATTGAAGGCAGCATTTTCCGTCCGGCGGCCCAAGTTATCGAAGCGCGTTGCTGAACCTGCTTGAATGTACCAATTCCGATCATAGCAACGAACTCCTGGATCAAAGCACGAAATCGTATCGTCAAACACCACGCATCAGAAGCGGGCCGGCTGAGCAATGGACTGTCTGCCGCGGAAAGGTTTCAACTTTTAACAGGATATGAGTACATATTTAACGAATTATTCAAACCCCGGTGCTACCTATTGTCCAAAATAATTCACACCTTGGAACCCAAGTACGTGATTTATATCTTAGCCTTCCCAATTGCCTTCTGGCTCAGCTTGAGCGCCTCACGCACACCAAGGTCAATCATCACGTCCTCTGATCCACCTGCAAAGATATTAGCCCATGAATTACCGGTGAACGTATCTTGTACATACCTGGGACGATGAGTGAAGGGATACTACGATAAGTAGCCTCAATTCGTGCGCCCTGTCCAGTCGTGGTCAAGCCGAGACTAACATAGGAGTTAGTATGCGAAGATATCATCAAGGATTGGCTTGACTCACCCTCCCATAAGCTTCACGCACTCGTCGGCCACAAACTTTCCGACGATACCACCCTGTACCTTCAACAGCGCCGTAACACCACCAAGTAATCGGGATCCTTCCGCATCGCTCAGCTGATCAAGCTCGTAAATAACCTGCTCCGTCCACGACTGTAAGGAGTCGATTTGCCTCGCCATTTGGCCGAACTTGTGCCGCACCACGGGTTGCTCGATCAACGTCATGCCGAACGCCTCACGCTTCATCGCCCAGGCCATGGCATCCTCGATGCACGTCCTTGAGCCTCGGAGACCCTGGAAGACGATCCACAGACGCTCGTGGTTGAAGTTCGACAGCGTATATCGGAAGCCCTTGCCTTCCTCGCCAACCAGGTAGCGAGCCGGGACCTTGACATCTTCGAATGTCACGAAGGTGGTCGCGCTGAGTTTGCCGGCACCGATGGAGACGGGGCGGGTGCGGATGCCCTCCATGCGGGGGATGAGCAGCATGGAAATGCCCTCGGCACCGGGACCACCCGTCCGCACGGCGGTCATGAAGTAATCGCTGTACATGCCGTTGGTGATCCACTTCTTCTCGCCGTTGACGATGTAGTGCTTTCCATCCGCGGTCTTCTCGGCGGTGGTCGAGATGTTGCGGACATCAGATCCGGCCGACGGCTCGGTGATGGCGAGGCAGATGCGCTTTTCGCCCTTCAGCACCGCGGGCATGAACTCCGATTGCAATTCTTTGGAGGCGAACTGGCGGAGCGGGGGTGCGCCGACGGTCAGGCCGATGAAGATGCTGGAGATGGCGCCGCCGCGGAGGAGCTCGTCCCAGAGGATGAAGTCGTGGAAACCGTCCCAATCTTCGGGCTTGATGCCGCCGATGATGGGGTAGTGGGCCCACTCCTTGGGGATCTTCTTGCCCGCGGCAATGGGCATCAAAAGGCCATCTTCGCCGCACTTGCGATAGATCTCATCCGGGATCTTTCCGTCCTCCTCCCATTGATCGGATTGATCCATGACATTCTGTGCTTCGATTAGATGCTGTGGGTGCGAGGAGGTGTTTCGATGGCCTTACGTCTTCGCACCATTTTCGGACAGCATCCCGCAGTTGGATATGGGTTGGCTTGTAGTATGGCGAAGGGCGGCCTTGATACCTATTGTCGTGAATTGTGAGCTCCTCGCGTCCGTCACAAGTGTCGCGGTTTAGCTCTTCTAGCTTACCAGGGGGGCTCAGCCCAGGGCAGTTGGCTTCCGTATGGGTTGGATCGCATCTTGAATTGCTATACTGAAACGAATGGAGTCTGAGATAGTGCACTTAGAGTCGAGTAGGGAAATGTAGAAGTTAAATTTGGGCTCTATGTTAAGACTTAAGACAGACCCTCGGATCTTTACATGTTTAGATCTTAAGCTCCTGTGCTCGTAATTAGTCTTTCGACCCTCGTGTTTCCTCCACAATCCCCATCGATGGTTCAAGTGGGGTCGGATACCGGCTCAAACATGCATCCGATGAACCTAAGACTGTGTTTTGTGAGAGATACTCCCAGGCCATTCCTTCTGGCCCGAGGCTCTAAAAATCGGCATTTTCGAGTTCTGCTAAGAGTACTTATTCTGGCCAACGAAACACGCTGAAATCCGAATGGGAAAGGCAGCCCTCGGTGTCATGGAACCAGATTCCAGGAACTACGCAACCTGCAGTCCTGTACACCTCCCGTCCACATGATCAATAGACGCAGAGGTGCTCAAGATTGCCGAATCCTGCCGAAGGCCTGGAAGCTGGAGCAGCCGAAACGCCCAAGACCTTTCGCTCATACCCCTGTCCGGACTCCGGAACGGTACGTACCTGTCCCTGGCACATCGGATCAATAGACAGGGTGTTGTCGGCTTGTCGCCTGTGGGTCCTGGACGGGAGGAGACGAATCATGGTCGAACAATTGTCTCCGCTCGCATATGCCAAATGCTCTATGGAATATTAATAAGAATTTGGTTGATCCGATGAAGATATAGCAGCTCACCTCAAGGCCGACGAGCCTCCTACGACAATGGGATTTATGTACGAAATTGTTGTAATGATTAATCAGGATGCTTACTAGCTATCTGGAAGGTGCTGACAAATGATTGCGCGATTCAGTAGCTAATCATATTTGGGAATCCAGCAGCCAAATGCGCCCTGCGATTTAGTGTCATGGATATGTTTGATAGAGAACCTAGGTTGAATATAAAAGTCGCAGTCTCATTTCATAAGTTGATACGGAGAAGTTTGTCTGCAACAGTTTTACCACAATATCGTATCCAATATGGCCTTCTCTATAGCCATGCCCTGGAATGCCGGCGAGGAACGAATGCATGAGTTGATGCGTGTCCCAGAAAATGACAATCCCACCTCAACGATGTTAACACCTCGAGCGACACACTTGCTCCAAATATGCCCGCTGCTGGCGGTTGGGACTCTAGATGATCAAGGCAGGCCCTGGACCACGATATGGGGAGGGGAGCCCGGTTTTGGGACGTCCCTAGGTTCATCCATGATTGGCATACGAACACTGGTCGACGCCAGGTACGATCCCGTGGTTGAGGCTCTGAATTCCGGAAAAGCGGACGGCAAAGTGGTTCAAGAAGTAGGAAGCGGACGGATGATCGGAGGACTGGCGATAGATCTCGACCAACGAAGGCGAGTGAAACTATATGGTCGACTTGCGGCAGGTGCCTTGGACCGATCTGGTGACCTTGAATACCATAATATTGGCCAAATCCAGATGGTTGTGCGGATCGAGCAAAGTATAGGGAACTGTCCGAAGTACCTCAACCGAAAAGTCATTCGGCCAGCACTGAGCAAACCAAGACTTCTCAGTGAGAGTCCTCAGCTCACCGAGGACGCTTTACGCCTTCTGGAACGATCAGACATGTTGTTCATTACCAGTGCAAACAAAGACTTGGATATGGATACCAACCACAGGGGAGGACCTCCCGGCTTTGTACGAGTCTTGTATAATGGAGAAGATGGCGCCGAGATCGTGTATCCAGAGTACAGTGGCAACAGACTTTATCAGACTCTCGGAAATCTCCAAATCACGCCAGTCGCAGGCCTGGTGTTCCCTGACTTCGTGTCGGGAGACGTGCTGTATGTGACCGGGAAGACAGAAATCCTCATCGGCAAAGCTGCCGCGGACGTCCTTCCACGATCGAACTTAGCCGTAAAAGTCAAGATCATCGCCGCCAGACTAGTGGAACAGGGTTTACCGTTTAGAGGCAAGCCGGGAGAGTACTCTCCGTACAATCCGTCGGTACGGCTGCTAGCAGCAGAGGGAACACTCGCAGCAAATTTCGGCAGGCCGGAAACCCGAGCGACTCTGGTTGAGAAAGAGAAAATCACTCCGACGATTACTCGGTATCGGTTCTCGACTGATAAGCCGATAAACTTTAGCCCGGGACAATGGGTTGCCTTGGATTTCGCGCCGGAACTCGACCTGGGCTATTCTCACATGCGAGACGACGATCCTTCGAGCTTGAATGACGATTTCATCCGGACCTTTACCGTTTCATCATCTCCAACATTATCTGGGAGCAACCAAGCTGGAACTTTCGAGATCACGGTTCGCGCTGTTGGTAGAGTCACAACCTTCCTCTCGCAAAAGAATCCCAGGGCCATGTTGGAGGTACCGATTCGAGGTTTCGGAGGAGAACTCTCCATCAAAGACGGCTCTGAAGGATCGGATATCCCTTTTATAGCAGGAGGTGTTGGAATTACCCCCTTACTTGGACAACTCGATTCTATTGATCGAAGCCGATTGAGGCTGTTCTGGACATTGCGAGCCGAAGATGTTGGGCTCGCTGCAGCGCTTCTGAGACATTATCCCGATGTGCAAATGTCTCTCTACATAACTGGGAGCAGGCTGAACGAATCTGCGATTAAGGATTCTTGGGAGTTATTGCAACATGGGAATGGGAAAATCATGACGAGACGGTTTGAGAAAGCAGACTTTGAGGGCATTGATTCGAGCGTTTGGTATCTCTGCACCAGTGTTCCACTGAGGGCGGTTCTGTTGGAATGGCTTCAAGGAAAGAACGTTGTTTATGAAGACTTCAACTTCTAATGTTCATAAAGATATACATACTGTAATCTGTATGCAACCGACGTCCAGTTGAGTTCTTGAATTTGCCGTTTCAGCATGGGCGATTGCGCATCGATGGAGTGGAAATCTGAAACTGAAGCCCAAACTTCGCGTCGCTAGAAGTTGAGCAGAGCGTGTCGAAACTTTGGCGCCTTGTGGCCTTAGACGCCAACCTGAACCTGAACTGACGCGCGACGCGAACCAACGACGCGTGCTCAAGCTTCGGAAAGTGGAACTCCAACGTCCAACCTCATATCTTCATATGAGGACTGTGCCCTGTGGAGGACTTTCAATTACAATTTCAATCCTGATTCATCGTTAGCATTTCGGTTCTCTTTCCACGGATGGCGGGCGTTTTTATGTTTAGTTTGACTTCATGAGACCGGAAAAATGGTTCAAGTCCTCTCCTCGGATCCGTTTCGGAGGCTCTCCTCTCGTGAGCCAACTCCCCCGAGCGAGAATGACGAGATCATTGAGGAGACTCTACAATTCCTTAGTTCGGGCTTGGACATTGACAATGCAGTCAAGTCTTCGGTGAAGATTCCTGCGAACGAGTCGGCCCAAGATACCCCACCCGCTTCTTCCCCACAGGCTCATACTCCTTCTGCAGCTGGTTCCGGTAGTGAGAGCAAGAAAAAGGTCGCTTTCTCGGGATGGAAGAATTACCACCAAGCCCCAGTCTATACCACAGATGGAACGGTTTCCACACCATTAAAGCAACTACCTCCTTCACGAGAGAGAAGACTACTCAAATCGATCCTCAAGGCTCAAGGACCAGCCCCTACCGTGGACTCGCTATCGTCTCCAATTCCGCAACACAACAATCAAACCTTCGGAGGTATGCTGGACTCTATCTCAAAGCAGTTGACCACCGAAGACATGGACAATCGAAACGACGCCTATACGACTTTGCTCGCTTCTCTCCAGGCATTCGACAATGTCCCCGACGCCTCCTCCTTGGTCGAAAAACTTCCCCTCTTTACCAAAGCCATCCTACAAGACATGCAACCATCAAGCAACCCTTCGGCAGCTTTGAACAGGCTAGAGCTCAATGCGATCAAGCTTCTCGCTGCATTGCTGAGAATACCACAAGTCGCAGATAGCGTTGACGTTGCCTTTGGACAGGCATTGCTCGAGGAAATTATCGCCGCGTTTCACAAACCCCAAGTCACCAAGCAGCGGATTATCGCGCGACTTCAGCTCTTAGTACATCTCCAGATACAACCGCAAATGATGAACCACGACCGAATGCATCGCCTTCTCTCTGGCCTTAAAGCTATCGATAGCTACCGGAGCAATGGGATACTAGGAACTCGGTTACTGGTTCTGCACCGTCTCCTAAAACAGGTCCCTGACTTGATCAGCTCCCATATCCCGAAGTTTCTTCCGTACATGTTCCATGGCTTTCTTAGTACACACAACGAGATCCGCGCCCGAGCAATTGAACTTGCAGTTGCAACGGGGAGGGCACTTGGTGACCGACCCGAGATCACCAAGGGAGTCAAAGAAGTGCTGGAGAGAAAGCCGAGCAATGGTCAAACCTACTGCGAGTTCCTGGTCCAACGGCTTGACGTGTTGCTGAAAGATAAACACCAGAGCCAGGACGTCCCTCAGATATGGGCTTCAGTGGTCTTGATGCTACGATCTGGCTCTCCCTCCGCTCGGATCAAATGGCCTTGCATGAAGACATGGCTACGCCTAATCCAAAACTGCTTGAACTGCTCCGATATTCGAACCAAAGTGCGGGCATATATGGCGTGGAACTGCCTGATATACACGTCACAACCGGACTTGGACACCAGTGACCAGCTTCGAGACCTGCTGCTAACACCGCTCAAGCGAAGGCTATCAGAGAAGGAGGATGATAGCAACCGACGTCTACGAAGTTCCGCTCTCTACAGTTATTGCAACTTGCTTTACTACGCTCTCAAGCCGACAGCTTCTCACGAACAGCTGGACATTTACTGGATGCGGTATGTGGAGAAGGTCATTTTCGCCATGCCTCACGGTTCAAGAACTTCGATTATACAAATCAGTCGTACTTTGATGGCCCTGCTTGGCGGGTTCCCACACAAGTCCTGGGTGGAAGGGCGGGCCATTATGGACTTGGGCACCAATTCCATGAGTTGCAAGCCACAGGAGCTCTCTCCTCTCGAGCCCCAATGGATACGGACCAATACCGGAGGGATCCTTCAAGTTCTCGAAAGGATCCTCAGTCCAGATTCGTGGAATCTGGGACAGGGCCCGGACATTGACAACGTCTGCTCTCCGAGAGACGTCTGGTTGGCCCTCCTGACAGCGATTTCCGACGCCGGTTCCAAGGAAATCAATATGACTCGAGAAGCGAAAACGGCCTATTCCCACATCTTCAATTTCCTCTTCCGGTTCTGGAAGAATCATAGCTCCTGCAAGTCCAAATTGTTTAGCTCCTGCTTCAAAGATATCATAACGGACATGGCCCAGAAACTCAACCCCGTGATATTTGTCGAGAAGTTTCTGACACCCTGGGATGGATCTCTGCAGGCCCAGAACACATACACCTGTGGGCTCTTTGAGATTGTTGAGCTGGCAACCTCGACTCACAGCGAAATGCTCCACGACAACACCTCCCAGAACTATCTGGAGACGGTCCAACTAATGGTTCAATGTGCTCTTCCCGGTCTCCCGAACAGCCGATCCAAACTTGACCTGCTGAGCGAGGCTCATGGCGTTTTGTTGACTCGGTCACCATCAATGAGATCTGAGTCCGGAAAGACCCTAAGAGATTTTTTTCTGAGCGAGGTCACTGCTATCCTGGACACAAAGATGTCTACCCTAAATTCGCCGACCAAACTTCAACAGCTGTTCCCCCCATTGCTTCAAATCTTCAAGTCCTCCTTGCGCGAGTCCACGCTGGTGCACTGGCCTTCTACTTCTGCCATCGGGAATCTCCATGATACTTGCGTCAAGGCAATCAAGAAATCTGCAGGACATGCAGAAGTCGTTCGCCTTCTCACTGAGCCGCTAGCTAAGGCCATCTTGGAGGAGCACAAGTCAGAGATCTCTGTCGAAAGTCACCGCGAATTCTGCATCTCAATGCTAGAAGCAGAGGTTCCACCCACGGTACTTGCTCCTGCAAAATCCGGCCCCGGAAGTTGGAAAGGGAAGAAGGCATCTCGTGGCCGCAAGCCGGCTGAAAATTGTCCTTACAATTACTTCTTCCTTTTGATTGATGGCCTGTCGCAATCAATGCTACGGGAATCAACACATGGGTCGAAGTGGAACAAAGACCTCCCGATACGCTTCATATGTTCCTTGAATGGTTTTCTGCAGCGCATTCCCATGGCATACCGCAGTGGTAGCTTGAAGACCTTGCAACCCGCAGTTTGCATATGGATGAATTACTCAACACCAGTTCAGCAAGGCTCAGGGCTCAGATCAAGTTTGATTGCATCGGTATGTCTCTTATACTTCAGTTCTGCTCATTTCAGTGCTCACATACATTAGGTTCGAGAGCTTAATGAGATGATGTGGCGCTGCATCGCAACCATTGATAGTGGCAAGAGCCTGCTTTTGGCAGCCTTCGAGCCCTTCTTCAAGGCTAGTTTACAGTCACGATACCGCTCCGTACTGAATGTGTCTATCCGTGAATGTAATGCGTGCTTTGGAGCGGAGACCAGCTTGAACTACCCATCTTCTCTCCGAGATATCCTCGAAAAGCTTCGCTCTATTGCCGACCTCCAGCTTCCCGGCCTGGAAGATTCGACATCTCAAACTGTTAGTATCGCACTCTAATTTCTCAATGCACTGTTTGCTGACCCTTTATAGCCTATTCATACTCAATCATACTTCTTTACCGAAGAAGATGAAAAGGAGAATGCGACGATGCCAGTCGCTTGGCCCAAATCTCCACTGCTACGTAGCACTCAATCAGTCCCACTCTCTCCCTCGCGGCGGACCAATTTCCCTGTGGACCATACGACACAGCTTTCATCCGTACGGAGAGATCCAGAGCTTCGGTTCCCTACTCGCCACGATGATTCTCAAGTCATGTTTACCTCGATTGAGCCATCGGAGAACCCTGCAGATACACCATTTGTTATGGAGTCACAGCTACTCACCGAGAGACAGAAAGAAGTGCGAGACCGTCAAGCGCAGGACAAGGCAATGTTCTCGGACCTTCGTTCAGAACTGGAGCCGTCCAGTGTTCGGAAGCCCGCTACGGAGCCGGAATCGAAGCAGAGCAGTAATCAATTTCTGCATTATAGTCGGCAAACACGGCTCACTACGCCTCCAGTTTTGCAGTCAAGACATTCAAGATCTATGGAGCATTATCTGAGTTCATCTCCAACACCTGGTTCTGCAATGAAGAGGAGAGAAGCAATGAGGCATCAATCGCATGAAGATCCGGACTTTGATGAGGATATACCATCCTCCCCTCCAGAGGTTGAGGATCCCGAACTTGAGAGGATCATGGAAGTTATCCCTGCAGAAACGGATGGGAACAATCTGGAAGAGGAGGCGCAAGAGCCTGAAGCCCATTCCACGGATCGCAAGGCAACAGAAACTACCGATACAAGTGACGGCTGTGAGGTCTCGAAGTTGGCTCTCGGTCTTGCCCATATGACCCACCATCACGATAGTCTGGAGCAACCCAACCCGACCGCAGAAGCAGCTAAAGAAACCATGGGCAACACCCGCCCTGTGTCGCTAGTGGGGATGGAACAAGCCAAGGAAACGGGCACTCAAGAGGTAGTGGAATGCCAGGCTGAGGGGTCAACAGTCTTATGCTCATTTGCATCGGGTGCTACTGCGGAGATATCGATGACTGAATCCGACCCTTCCCTTATTACCAAACAATCCAGCCATGTCGATACCCCTGGACCCGCATCGACTAATCTTGAATCTCCCGCGTCGCAGCTAGCCTGGGAAGCTGCTGAAAGCTGGCGCCGAGAACTCGAAGTCGAGGAAACGAGTCTCTCCTCCAGCATTCTCGGTCTCGGCCGACCGGCTGATCTCATGGCCAGCACCCATGCCAAGGTTACGCCCACTGACAATGGGTCCAACTTAGACGGTGGTGCCCTGGAACTCGACGAGGATACCAGGACTCTACGCGCAGACAGCAGGAATGGACCTTCAGAGACTTTCATAAAAGGCAAGACGTTGGCAACAAGGCAGAAAGAGCGACAGTTGCAAACTCCACAGCATGACGGCACCAGCGAGGTTCCAAAGTTGTCCGACACAAATCATGTCCAAGTACCATGCACAGACTTGAAGAAGAATGATACAACGCATGGTTGTCCGCACCCACAGCCTGTACACGGGAACATCCAGTCCGACGAAGCAGATGTTAGCCGTGTTGAGAACTCATTTCCAAGTTCGGATGGTGCTGCCAACGATGAAGGGTCGAATGGTCAGACCTTCAAAAGACAGGCAGAGGTGGTTGTCCAAGTTTTGTCACGAAAGCGCAATCCGGACGACAACGTCTTTGATAAACCCTCTGCCAAACGACAGCATTTGGATCAGCACACTGCCCATCCAATGCAAAAGCGTCCCAACACCTTTATCAGTACTGTGGCTCACAGCAAGCCTACACTTCACTGGTTGGCTTCCAAGGGATTTCAGCTTGCTAAGGAGCAGGGCGTTTCAGAAAAGAAAGAACTCGCAGATGAAGGCAGCGAAGTTGTGATACCGTCAACCGAAACGGGCTATCTGTCGGCGGAGCCGGTTCATAGATCGAGCGCCAAACTGCCATCCTCGAGATCTGAGTCACAGGATATCCCGACTCGCCAACTTGCAACAAATGGCAAGGTCAGGAATTGGGGCAGCGCCCACAGCGAGGAGATAGTACGTCGAGGGGAAGAATCCAGCGCACGCCGAACTCGATCCGCAGGTCCACTCGATATCGATACCTCTTTCTATCGGCCTGATCGCACAAGGATCAGTCCCAAGGCAGTCAATGTCCCAACGGAGACCGGAGAGCCTGATGACCTAGAACATAATGCGCCTCGACACAAGCGACAACGAGTGGATCGTTCTCTTACAGATGCCATCTCGAAACCTCCGCCCGATAATGGAGTTCAACTCAAGCAAGACGATGCATTTTTCCTCCGTCGTTTCCCACTGACGCCGGAGAAGAAGACTGGTGCCCTTCCAAAGAACGGTTTAGGCGATAAAGAGCGCTTATCACCGCCGAAGTCGAAGCCGAACTCTGGCATCAAGGGCCTTACCTCTCACGGAGATGTGGCACCAATATTCCCGAAGCCATCCCAGACGGAGACGCCAAGTCAACCGATGCGATCTCTAATGCGAGCCAGCTTCGACGCCCTGAGCAGCCTCAGTCCATTCCGCAGTTTCAGGAACTCCCAGGACCCCCAGAACTCTCAAGATCCAGTCGACAGCATATCTGTGCCGACGACTCCTTCTCAGAGGGAGTCGAAAGGAAAGCGGAAGCTAGAAGATATGGAGCATGAGGAGGGGGAGAACAATACCCAAGAGGATGTTACGGAGACTCAGCCCTTGCGGACCATACGTACTCCGCGTAGCATGATGGAGAAATTAAGAGGGGTACTGGAGGATTGCAAGAAGCTGGCGTTCGTGGGAAAGGAGGAGAGAGAGGTTGACGATCTCTTATTCGAATTGCGAAAGGAGGTGCATGAGGCCGGACGACGAGGGAGAGACGGCGAAGGACATTGACGACTGGCGCCAGGTTTACAGTGCTTGTATATGTATGTGGTAGATACCACCACGGAAGAACATCACCGATTAGTGATGCCAGGCAAATTGTACTCTGGCCATTCATAAGGCTTCATCTCATCAGTTCCAGGATTCCTCGTCCCCATCGATGTTCGCTGGAATGGCGTGACTGCCTGGATAGTATCCATTTACTTTAAATGTGAGATGTTTTTTAACAGCGAGAAGAACCGCTGGATTTCATGCCAGATCGTTCTAGAAGCCTGGGGTTTGATGTTCCTGAAATATTTAATACCGATTTCTGACACTCTCAGACGCTACCCCACACACCATGTAGCAGAATCGAACCAGTGACGTCTAGACCAGCAGAAGGTGGGGGTGGAGGCAAGGACGGTAATATTAATATCACTTCATTCCCCTCAACGACATGTCTAAGCACTAGTAATCTTCTCGCTTGACAGTTCGTTGACAAAGTCCAATCCCTATTTACTGTTGCCTACAGTATACCGTGAATTGTGAGTTGTACGCCTCCAGGTTCAAAGGCAGACGTCCGCATCCCGCCACCTCCATTCCACCCACACCGCTGCAAACAACCTACCATACCTTGCACAAAGTGACACGACGTCGTGAAACCGTTTCAAGGCCCATTGCATCAGACCTTCGTATTAGTACTCGAGAGTCAGTCAGGTATAAGGACCATCCTCCTTGCTCTAGACTTTCACCCAATTTCAACCTCCATCAACGCCTGTAGGTATCTCCATCCCTCGAACCTCAAACCAACAACAATCTACAGGTGCTAACCTGAAGGATAGAGGAGTACCTGACTCAAGTCCAAAACCTACTATCCAAAATGGTTGACCGTCCCCATAAGCCTTCGGCGATCTCACCGAGTTCCCACGCGCCCCAGCCGACTGTTGACATCGTTGATAACGGCCGGGTGCGAGCGACCCTTCCATCAGGAGAATCGATCGAGATCCTCCTCCACGGCGCCACCGTGATCTCGTGGAAGAGCAACGGCGTGGAAAACCTATGGCTGAGCGAGAAGGCGATCCTAGATGGGTCCAAGCCGGTCCGTGGTGGGATTCCGGTTGTGTTTCCTGTATGTACCTTTTGATATCCGGAACACATTATTGCTCCTGAACCCGTCTGGAAACTAGACTAATCCTTTGCCAGGTTTTCGGTCCTCCGCCTGCAAACCACGCCACCAGCGCCCTCCCTCAGCATGGGTTTGCTCGCAGCTCCCGTTGGGAGTTCCTTGGGAGCTCCAAATCCGAGTCCGATACGCCCAAGTCGGCTGGAGATGATACTGTCAAGCTGGACTTTGGGCTATACAGCAATGGACTTGACGAGAAGTCAAAGTCGGCATGGCCATACGAGTTCGGGCTGGTCTACAGCGTCACTTTGTCGAAGGACTCGTTGAGGACCATGATCACCATCCAGAACACCGGCGATAAAGCGTTTGAGTTCACCACGCTGTTGCATTCGTACTTCAAGATCAAAGTATGTATTCATCTTCACGCCTCTTCCGAATTTCATTGCTGATATCCCTAGGACGTCCACACCGCCCGCATTGCCGGCCTCTCCGCCTCCCCTTATGTCGACAAAGTCCTGAAAACCGACGCCACCCAATCTGAGCCCTTCGTCTCCATCCCCGGAACCACCGACCGCGTCTACTATCCCCCGGGCGGCGCCTCCACGATCCTCGCGATCTGCGACGCATCCGGCGCCTCATCGAACCCAGCCGGCACGCCACGCTTCGAGATCAGCCGGGACAACATGCCGGATGTGGTGGTGTGGAACCCATGGAAGGAGGGCGCGGAGGCGATGGGGGACTTTGCGCCGAAGGGGGACGACCCGAAGGGATACCGAGGGATGCTCTGCGTGGAGGCCGGGTCGGTCAAGGAGTGGGTGAAGTTGGAGGGTGGGGAGAGCTGGGAAGGGGGACAGGTGGTCAAGAGCTTGCTTTGAGACGATGCATGACATGTAGGACACTACGATGAGGTGGAACGATGATGGCATCATGAACAAGGCTCTGACAGAGGCGGATTGAGCGGCTGGGGATTTAGCCGCACTATGGAAGGTGTTCAGACGGCAAAGGGTGATCTGGAAACGACCGTAAGCCTAACTGGCCCAAGTACATCCTCAAATGAACTCCTTCCCCGCCATTGCGATGCAGTCAAGGCTCTTGCTTCGCCGGCACTTGAACTTTTCTTATCCGTGACCCTGTTCCATCAGCACAGGCTGTGGCTCGCCCAATTGTACATGCCGCAATCAAACGGCTTTCGGTAGTCCGAAATCGTAAGAAAGTCGCCAATATTGGTACGAACGGTCCGTGGTCTCGATCCGGTCTCAAATCGACCAGGTACACTCCCTCCAGCACCTCCAACTGTCTTCCGGGCGGGTAATCATAATACCCCCCTGCAATTCATCTATCCATCTTATGCCTTCGGACCAAGCGTGGCTCATATTCGCTCAATCCCCGGTGCTCAACTCCAGGTCAAGCTGAACCCCATTGCTGACCTCGTAATCGTCCAACGTCAAGTTATCCTTAAACGGGCGCTGTCCCTGCCGCTTGATCATGATCTCGTGAGGTTGTCGACCAATCTTTGCCGCCACCAGCAGCTTGAAATCGCCTGTGAGGATGGAAATCAGCACCAAACCCTAACAGAAAGAGAGGATCTCGACATACGGACGGTATCTGAAGCCAAACACGGGACCTGAGCCTTTGTCCCTAACCGATCGTTCACCGTAACCAGGATAAACGTAACCGGCGGCGCGTTCCTCGTCACCTTCGGCTTCTCAAACTTCTTTTCCTTCTCCTTTGGCGTTCCCGGCGTTCCAGGCGTTCCCGGCACCCCAAATTTCGCATCTACGCTTGCCGCATTCGGTGAATCCATTCCCCCCGCCTTCCTCAACCTACCGCCGCCCTCTCGATCACCCTCTAGTCCCCGATCCCTCTCCCTCCCCGTCCACTTATCACTATCCCGCCTCCGCGGATCCGGACTATTCCTAAAATCATCCGACTCCCGCCTTACCGTCCGCTGCCTTTCGACGTCCCCCTCGCCGTCCCGGTCGCGGCGCGACTCGCGGTACCGATGCTCTTCGTGGAGCGGTCGCGCGCGGTCCCATTCGCGCTCGTGGTCGCGGCGGCGGTCACGGTCGTGGTCGCGGCGGTGTCGGGACTCGCGGATGGGGGAGGCAGAGCGAGATCGGAAGCGGGATTTGGGGGGGGCGGTGGTAGTGGATTTGTAGCGGAGGCGGTTGGATTTAGCGGGGGGCATAGCCGTGGTCAATTGGGGGTGGATGCGGGACAGCTGAAAGTGGAAGGATCAATGGCGAGGAATCAGAGGATAAGCAAATCGTTGGATAGAGGGTAAATGTGGTTGAAGAAAGTTCGTGACACTCCAAGACCTGAGTTCTACTTGATGCTTTACGTTGCGACATTTGGTCAAAGATGATGAAGCACCGAGTGGTGGACTCTTCGGCCGCCGGTTCATACCAAAGATGCAATTTATATCGTGGCGTAAGCAGCCTTATGGGCCTTGACTCCTTGAGTACTTCACAAACTGTGCCTGGTGAGATTCGTCCCCAAGGTTTTGAGATTTGTCCCCAACACTAGTAATAATGGAAATTAATCGCCCAATTTAACCTAGGCACGCCTAGGGCACAATTTCCTAGAGCGGCCTCGCAACGCATTATATAAGGCCTTGCACTCCTTGCTGACCTTTCGAGGCCTCATTCAGATTGTCGATAACTACCAGAATAACTACTATAATTCCTTTGCATACCTCCTATCACACTAACTCCGAACTTCCCTTCGCTTATATCTACAAGATGCAGTCGAACTCCAAGGAATTACTGGCTCCAGATAATAACGTTAATATTCAACCCCGTTCTCTGCGATGCCACGGTGACCGCGCACGAGAAGCAGCAGTCATTGCCTCGCCTCACCACCGCATGTCGCCCCTTCTCAGCACACCAAGCGCGGGCCACGACCTCCTCACCGTCTCCGAGCGCGTCGATGATGACCAGCTCACTACTCAAGGGCGACTCGTCCTTGAGCTCGGACACCTTGAGGATGTTCTGTAGCTGGTTCTGTACCCGCCGTCGATGGAGGACGTGGACGCCGATGCACGGCGGAGCGGCGACGAAGACGGGGATCGAATAGAGCGTAAATGTCGTTGCGACGCCGTTCACTTCGAAGTCGAGCATTGCTCGATATTCTTCCTTCGGGTGTGCAGGTGTCAGCAGGTATGGCGTGTTTGAGACTATTGGGAGCAATTCGAGTCGGATGCCCTTAAATACCGATTTTCGCGTGTCATTCGATGGTTTTGTCGGAGGGTCGGGCTTGATCCACTCGTTCTCGTCCATTATCTCTTGGATGCTTCTCTCCAGCTCCTCGTTCGTTGCAGGCTGATCGACTCCCAGATGGTGCAGTGCACTCTGGCCAGGCGGAGCGCTCACAGGGATCGGAACGTCAACAGGCCTCGCCCTGAGCCTGACCCAACCGGAAAGGTTCCCGATCGGCTTCGGAACGGGTCCGATCCAGCCACCCATAGATCTAGAGTTTTTAAGTCCTCCGAGGATGCGTCCTAGAACCGTCCGTTTGGGCCAGTAGCTCTTATTCCCCACGATGATGCCGTTCTCGTAAAATGGAGCCGGGCCGATGCTGCGGATCGTGGGAGAGGCGTAGACGAGGCAACACATGATGCGGTGTTGAAAGATCTTCCCCGGCAGGATTAATCCAAACAACCAATCGCAAATGTCGAAGCTCACGGTCCCCGTTCCCGATGAGAGGTGGAGGTAGGCAGTCTCAATATATTGCCTCACCTCGTCCATGTATGGCCAGGATATGGTCTCGGCAAACTGGATCAGACCCTGAACTCTTGTATTATAGCTGTGCGTACAGAGCGTGTATCGAGGCGGGGCCGTCGTAGTCGTCGTGGCTGCCGTGGTTGTAGTGGTGGTCGTGGTGGCCGAGGTGTTTTGGTTGGGGCCACTGACGGTTACATTGTCCATCCACAGCTCGGCGAGCACCGTCATGGCGGAGATGTTGTCGGTAACAACCATCGCGTACTTGGTCGACAGCGACTCCTTTCGAAGCCGAATCAGTATTTCGAATCCCAACACGATCTGAAAAAGGAAGTTCCCGAGGCCACGGCTTCCTTGTGCTGCTGTCCCAAGCGTATGCACACTGAACATTCTATCCTTACTGAAATCGACAAACCGAGTCGGGCAATCGGTCACGCTTCTGCTGACTGCCATACAAAGGACTTCGATTTGCTTCTGTCTGGTTCCGCCGACGAGGCCTGCTTGTAAAGCTTCCAGTCTACATGGTTAGCCAAACTTACAACGAACGTGGTTGCCTTCTAGACTTACTGAGACATGCCTAGCAGCTTCACCAACCCTTCATTATCCTCAAGGGTGCGAAACACTTGCAACTTGCGCATGCGCTCCACGACCTGATCAATTGGCAATTCTGGTATGGTTCTTCGACCTTCTACAGATAGCTGCACGACCGGTTTGGCTATCAATTGATGCGCCCTATATTCCTCCGACCAGCCAGATACCGTAACAGTGCCGGGCAATTTGCCATCGTAGTTACTAACACTCGTGCAATCCATATCCAGGAAGGTATTTGCAGGATATTTAAGCATATCGACGGCGCTAAGTCCTATTCTCCATCAGTTGTTGCCCCATCCAGGGTTACGACGTACCACATACGGAAGCTTGGATGAATGTATATTGGGATGGGCAACTCGCGTGCTGTCAACTCCGATTCAGTCAACCCGATATAGAGCAGGCAGACGGCATCAATGTCGACTGCTGACGTAAAAGGTCTGAGAGAAAGGCCGCCCCTGTTTCGAGTTGTCATTGCAGTCTGCAATTGAGCCAGACGGGCAGATAGCGTCTGTGGGGAGAGTGGCGCGCTTGTCCAAGCCTGATAGCCTGGACTTGGGGCATAAGCTGGGGGTGGATCAGAGGGTGTCATATCCGACATATCTATGAAGTCGTCTGAAGTGATCGGGATGCTGGACGCGGGAGTTTCGCTAACAGAAGTCGTGTTGTAAGCTCGGCTAATACTTGTCGTACCAGGAGCTGCGCTACTGCCCGATGCTGCTGAAGGATGTTAGCAACATATGTATTCTGGTGAAACAAAACCTGCCTGGTGGAGCATTCTGACTACCGGTCGAACTGCTCACTTGACCTGGGGTCGAGCTAGGCGGTCCATGCACCGTCGCAGACCTGAAAGGCATGGCGCTGCCCGTGGAAGGCTGGCTCTGCGGCGTTGGAGATTGAGATTGCGAAGCCATAGGTTGAGGGGATGGATGAATCGGTGGCTGCACTGGAAGGGTTGACGCTGATACTTGGGGTACTGTCTGCTGCAAGGGGTGTTCCGATGGAGTTGTAGGCGGCTGGGATGGGGCATGCGGTTTTTCCGCCTGAGAAGACGTACTGGCATTCCCGACTGGAAAATCAGTGGATTGAGTGGGGGAAGCAGCTGGAGAACCAGTTGGGTGCGGCGACAGAGGAACGGCAAACCCGGTAGTTGGGGCTGCCTGTGCAGCTTTGTCTTGTGCGGACGCCTGAGCGATGGCTCTCCGTACAGTTAACTTGTCTGTGCCGCCGGCTAGTTGTTCTGCACGTCGTAGAGACTCAATTGCCGACGACGAGTATCCAGCGTCTTGCAACAGCTCTCCGCGCTGATACCAGCCTTGCCAGCAGCTAGAGTCGACCCGGATAGCGGTGTTGGCATCCAGCATAGCACGATCTATCCGTGGCGGCTGGGACAGCTGGTACGCAATGCAACGACTGATCAACAGGTGAGTGTTTGTCGGCATGCTTCCTAGAGCTGCTGTATACATGGCTATAGCATCGTTATAGTTGCATTCATTGGACAGCTTATCTCCCTGTGCCCCAAAGATCTCGCCTTGGGTAAGAGGCGATGGGGATTTCGCAGAAGTCGTATCTGATTTTTCGGCTTGCTTTGAGGAGGTCCTAGCCTGACGGTAAGGACCTTCGTCATATTTTAACAGAGGTGAGACTTACGGAGCGGAAGGTCCACCATGACCATTTTGTCCTGTTGGAGGAGGGGACACAGGCCGTTTTCCCTTCTTCCAGGGCCAGTCGAAATGTTTGCCCATATTCAGGTCTCATTCATTGACAGTATTGAACGGCGAGATAGGGATCAGCGAACCTAAAAGTGGAGTTTGCGACGTGCCGAAGTTGGGACATTCGTGAAGTATACGATGTATACCCCGCCGTTGGCTGTAGCCTCTGGGCAACCGTTAACTGAGTTAAAGCATCGAGTCTGCCTTTCTGTGGCGGAGCACACCATGCCCCTGGTTATTGAGGGGAGCCGATGAAGAGGAAGCGGGTCAAGTTGAAGAACTCTACCACAATACCGGCCTGTAGGATTTTTTTTATTGATTTATCAACAGTCAATTCCCCCAGTTTCCTTGATCCGAAAGTACGAGTCGTATCAGGGCTACTCGATCGCGTCGGGAAAGATTTTGCGTAAAACGCGCAAGGAATATACTATTACCATTTCTATCAGCCAACATTTGCGACTGCTGGTCGTAGGATCTGGACACCCACCTTCGATGGCATAGACTGGAACGATCCTTACGAGTCTGAGCGCAGGCGATGTGTCAGGATATTTGCAGAGCATACAAGAAACAATGAAACTTAGAAAAAGAGTGAATACGCATGGGAAGCAGATGCTTGGTCTGACGCATTCGGTCAGATGAGAGATGATCCATATCTGACAATGTAATCCAGCCCCCTTGAGTCGAGCAGATTGGCAAAATCTTTTAGATTTGAGTAAGGCAATAGGGAAACAATTGTTATTGACACATTAGCTTCAGCAATAAGTCGTAAATGCGCGCAAGCCTCGCACCCAACGGTCCGGATGATTCGCCCAACGCCAAGCGCATGATCAAACCCGCTCTCTAGAAGACACTGATATAGTTCCCAATCCGCTCTTTTTGGTTCTGTGCAATGCACTCGGAAATCCAAGTGATATTACGTATCTCCTGTGACAATGTTAGAGATGCTAGGGGCTTCGGACCGAAGCACGACATACCTGTTCCTTCAACTTGACCCATGCATAGACAATGCCGTGAGCGAACTGTCGGGTGAACGCAAGCTTGGAAATCTCCATTTCCTTCTGGTAGAAATGATCCTCAAGACTCTTCTCGGCTCCCGCACCGCCAGCCATGTTGCTAATACTGGACCCCGTTTGATTCAGTCCGGTCTGGTCGAACATGGTCTTGTAGTCCGAGATGCTATCCACCGCGATGCGAACCCCTTCGAGATCATCCGCTCGAGAGAGCATTAAGCTGCCTTCCGGATAAAGCCGTCCGACTGCAGGGTATAGCTTCCTCCTCTCGGCTTTGGACAGCTCGGTGCCAAACGAGTTGATCGTGATGTTGATGCTTCGTCGGTCGGCTTCGAATTCGAGGATCTCGGACATGACTTCCGCCGTCGGCGTCCCGGACAGGTCGGGATGCGTGTTCACGAACGCGTAGAAGTCCTCGAGATAGTTCTTATACAGCGTGTTCCGGATGATCTCGATGTTCAGTTCGTCCAGGTCCTGGTGGCTTAACGAGCCTTTGAAATACGCCGCAAGCGGGGTCTCGATGAGCACAGAGTTGTACAGCTCCTCGATATTGGTCGCCACGCACAGGACGGGCATCGTCTCAAACCAGCCAAGGGGATGGCACCGTTCCAACAGCTCTCTTGTGTCGCGTTCATGGAGGGTTCCGGTGATCAGAAGAGCAACGTTGTCGATCATGTAACCATAGGTCAAATACTCCATAAACTTTGCGAGCGACCCTGTGGCATTTGCTTGCAGGTATCTGAATTCGGCGACGAGCTTGTCTGTGGTCTTGGCTGCCAAAGCTGATGTTGAGGGATTCGGAGGCAGGGAGGAAAGGAAATCGCCATAGGCTGGGGAGAGCTGGAGTTTGACATCTGGGGGAAATTAGATGGGTTTCCAATGGAGGATCATTGTTCAACGCCTTACCATCGATGGTCTCGCATTGTGTTAGGTTATTATAGTTCTGACTGGTGAGCAGCTGGTCTCTATAACCTCGAACAATGCCCTCCATGTAGCTAGGCAGCTGTCAATACATGTCCACACGATATACGATGTCATAGGACCCTCACCCATTGGCGACGTTGTAGAACATGCCCTCCATCTTCGCGACGGTTCAAAGAACAGCTTTAAGGTCGGAGGATGAGGTTGAATATGTCAACGGCGAAGTTGGAGAGTCAAGGTGTTAATGAACGGAAGTTCCAGGTGATGTCCGTAGTTGACTTGGAACTCCGTAGTTGAAGCTACAACCTTGTACGGTACATAGAGCATCCTGATTGGCTGTAACGCCTTTACTGATCAACCTGTGATAGACTGGTTCGGATGGGCCCATTTTGACGAGAGCTGCAATGCGCTGAAATCATATCAGGATTATTCCATGCCATAACCGACAAACGCCAAACTTCATGCGTTGGTGATTCGTATTCTATTCCTGACCCGATCACTGCCTAGCACATCCGACGCTCATTCGCTGTTGCAACATCCATATCACGCTTCCATCGTGGCAAAATGCCGTCTCACATCTTCTGGACATGACTGCTGATATAGGGCGCCACTTCAACCCCTCCAAGACACTCCATATCCGTTCGGGGGCCTCCTAACACACCATATTCCGTGTTCTCCAACCGTGCAAATCTTCTGGCACCGTCTTTATCGGTCACACTCCTTCCTTCAAGAGAGATCTGGCTGGGTGTTGGCATAATGGCACACAATACGAGGTACAAATCCACGGTAAGTCACTTGCAGCATACTCAGCCGGACGTTGCGCTGATGCATATTAAGGTCTTTGTTGAGGACTTGGTCCGCATACCAGCAGATCCGCGCTCGCTGGGTCAAGTCGAATCTACCCATACCGAAATCGATTCACATCAACCACATCCCCTACGACATGGCGAGGAAATTACACGGCACTCTTCAGTCTCCTCCGATGACCTCAACGAGTTCTTCCGATCCGGAATACCCCCACCCGAGACGGTTCTCGTGCACTGGCATTTATGTTCATCAGACGATCTTTCTCTCGGCTTCATGCTGATGAAGGAGCCGGGGTTGGAAGTTGTCGACCGATTACATGTGCTGACCGATCCGGTCCTAAGAGATGTTAATGACCAGATGGCCGGAGTCATCCTTGGAAAGCGGAGTACCGCCTCACTTGCACCTGTCGCAAGCGAAGTGAACGGGACGATCCAGTTTCTCCAACATCGGGAAGGCCCGATCGACCTAACACAATCCAACGTACTGCATGGGATCCCGGCAGAGGAACTTGTCATCGCTGAAGATTACAAGCCCAAGAATATCGTCCTGTACAAGGGATGGGTCGGACGCATAGTCGACATGTATGAAACCGTATACGTGGGCCTGTCAGATGGAAGCGTCGTGGAGCCGAAGGATCTAGACAGTGTCCAACACGTACATCCTGCGCTGCATTCCGACGAAACGACGGTCTTTCAAGTCGGTGATCATGTCCAGACCAAAAAACACAACCTCCGTCTCGGAACGTGGGTTTTCGGGGCATACAATCCCAATATTGAGCCCAAAGGATTCGTGTACAAGGTTCAAACCAAGGCCCTCCTGGTGGATTGGCACCGCAGCAGCAAAGATATGAGTCAATCAAGCGTCCAAGCCCCTCCCGAGGAATTGGATTCGGAGCTCGTGGTGAATGGTGACGCAATCATCTACGATCCTTCACGTCTTCCATCGTCGGTTTCGGGCTCAGAATTTCGGAGCGAGAAAGATGACCTTCCATACGGTACCTTTGTCAGATTCCGGGACCTGCCAGCAGCTTCCGCAAAATATTCAGATCCGGATGACCTCGTCTCACCGGGCAAAAAGAGAGGCGTATTGCAGAAAGTATCCCGAGAAGCGGCAAAGGGGTTCGATCTGAACTGTTTCGAGATCATCGAAACTCAGACGGAATGCACGGTTCTCTGGCAGGACAACACGGTAACGCGGGAGCCAGCAAAATCGCTTATCCCCCAACGACATCTGTTGGACATGGCCGTGTACGCACCTGGTGATGTGGTCATGACCCGCGAACTGCTCGGTGGAGAGGAAGACTGGATCAAAAAGCCAGCAAAGGTGGGTCTCCTCCAGTCCGTGAACTCCGCGCAGCGAACGGCCATGGTCCGTTGGTTCTCCGAGGTGGACGTGCGATACATGGAGTATGAGAGCAAGGAGCACGGCGTCGCTGAAAAGCAATCGACCCTGCTACCGAACCCGCAGCTCGGCCCGCTCAATCCTCAAGCGGAAGAGATCACTATCTACGACATCGATGGCATGGATGCTCTGATGCGACATCCCGGAGACTTCGTCTGTATCGAGTCGAGGATGGGTGGAGGTGGTGGTCAGAAGCGGCACCCGAAGGACTGGTTTGGAGAAGTGGTCAACCTTGGCTTAGAAGATGGGCTAGTGAGTGTTAGGCTGAGTGCCTTGGAAGAGGTGGTTGATGTGAAGGTCCCGCTGGACGATACCACGATTGTCTTCGGGCTTGAGGACCGGTTCAGCGAGTTTGACGAGGAAAGTGATGATGACGACCTAATGAGCCAACCTATTAGCGACGACCTGTCCGATCAATCGGAGCTAGCGTGGCCTTCGCTCCTTGGGTCTAGAAGGGAAATTTTGGAGGAGTTGGACCACTCCATGGACTCGGATGGATGGGAGACTGAGGACGAATCTTTTGATGGAGACGACGATGAGGGAATCGTATCATCCACGGATGACAACCCAGACCCTGACACCTCGATGACGGATGCCGATGGTCAATTGCCTGAGACACCAGCTGTTGATTACGCGACTACCGAACCGGCACTCTCTGCGGACCTTCCATCAACAACAGACATTCCTCCACTCCCAGGTGCTGATCAGCCTTCTCCGATTCCTCAATTCGATATCATAGACGGCCCTCTCAGAGATCATGCCTTTCAATCCGAGCCACCCACGATCAACAGCACGTTCCTCCGCAGAGTCAAAAAAGAGAACGACATCCTCCGAAAGTCCCTTCCTCCTGGTATCTACATCCGCTCCTCGTCATCCCGCCTCGACTTCTACCGCGCTCTAATCATCGGACCACCCGGAACCCCGTATGAGCAGGCACCATTTATGGTCGATCTATACCTTCAACCCGACTTCCCCACGCTCCCTCCCAAAGCATTTTTCCACTCCTGGAATACCAAAGGCGAAGGCGCAATCAACCCGAATCTCTACGAGGACGGCACCATTTGCCTGAGTCTCCTCGGTACCTGGACCTCCGGCTCGAACACCGAATCCTGGAACGGGGCCAAGAGCACCATCCTCCAGCTCCTCGTGAGCATCCAAGCTCTGATTCTGGTGCGCGAGCCGTACTTTAACGAAGCTGGCTACGAGGCGCGTGTCAACTTGGAAGACTCGGTACATCCGAGCCGCTATTACAGTGAGCGGACATATTTCCGATCGCGGGACTTCATCTCGTATGCGCTAGAGTATGACATGCGGGAGTTCGGGGATATCATCCACTGGCTCTATCTAAGCCGAACGGACGGGGCACCGAGATTGTTGGACGTCGCCATTAACGACGCGAAACGTGTGCTCAAAGACTGTGGGCCAGAGCCCAATGCAGCGTTGAGCAATGGAAGCACCGAGAGCAGCCCGAAGTTGGCGTTGGACGTGCTCACCAACGGAGCACGGACGATCTTGGAACGGAAAGTGGCCGCGCTGGAGAAGTTGCGAGATACCAAGGCCTGAAGGGGCGGTTCTAGGTTAATGGGCAGCTCGATTATGTTCGGAATGCCGTTTTCGGCATTCTCGAACTCACAGGGTGACTGCACAAGATGCAAAGCATCAGGGAAGGAGTGCAAGCCATATGCTTAGAATCCAATAAAAACACTTGCAAACACCTCGCTTGCCGCTCCTCGTGATTCCCATCCCCCATCGGGCTTCTCAATCCACTTTCTTCCATATGCTCAAGTAATCCGTTCCTTGACCAAGTTTGAAAGTTCGATCCGGTTGCCAGTGCTCTGTTCGCTCAAGCGGCGATACTTCCCCTGATCCCAGCTTCTTCACCTCGTCTTCATCCGGCTTTCTATCTTCACCGTATGGGATGTCTAACCCGGGATGCCCAAGATGTGCGGCGTATATTCCCGGAGTGAGTCCCCATGGTGGACCGCCAGAAGTAGTGTCTTTGTATAATGGAAACTCCAAGCACACCAGCCTTCCGTCCCTTGTCAGCAGTTCGCTCATTCGCCTCGCCCATGCGGGTCTCATCGACGGCTCCATCGCGCAGAGAAACTAGTCACGTCAATTCCGCCATATCATCGTCGAGGAGCAAATCGGCGCTCACAGTGTAATCGTAAATTAAATCCCACTGCTGGTCTTTCTGCCACTCCTTCGCAAAGAAGTCTCCCTCCAAAAACATCACACGTCCCTTCCCGTACTGACCCGCTTTGTAGACCTCCCACCCATTCTCCTCCGATCGCCTCCTCTCCGCCTCACACTGCTCCACCGCCTTCGCCGAATACTCCAACCCCACCGCATCATACCCCTTCGCCGCAAATAAAAGCACATCGTAACCCTTCCCACACCCCGGCACGAGCGCCCGTCGTCTCCTAACAACATTCCCCTGCCCATCCAGCACGACCGGCCCCGGAATGCACGAATTCTTCGGATGGGAGCTGTCAACCAGGTCGACGAGAGCCGGGTTGGGCTCGCCCTGATCCCACGGTGTGAAGTTGTTCTGCCAGAGCTCGTCCCATTTGCGGCCGCGTTCCTCGCCGTGGGTGGCACCGAAGTGGTTGGCAAAGAGGGCGCGGATTTCCGGGGCGGAGAGGTGGGAGGCAGCGTTGGGGAGGGGGGTGGGTTCGGTCATGGTGGGCGGCACAGTGGGGTTCGTTATGTGGCTCTTAACAGAATGCAGATATGAGATGAGGGAAAGTTCCTGGCAATGCAGCCACGGTGGATGTGATGATGAGGGGTGTGGATGTCCTAGCTCTTGTCGGTCTTTGACTGCCTATCCGATGGCGGATTTTTTCAACGTATTTCTACCCACGGGTTTAAAATGCGGGAGGCCCAAATTAGATACGGTTTCTGAACTAATCTACACTGAACAATGACATCAGGGAGCCCTGAGGTGATCAGAGTCGATGTATTCAATCCCAATCGGGCAAGGCTCAGTAGGGGCGTCGCCCAAGGTCCCCGTCAACATTACTTCAGCCTCACACTTATGTTTTTCTATCGCGAATTATACAACAATGCCTACCACAGAGAATCCTAACCGATTTGAATACAATACTGTACGGAAAACGCGATTCTTTGATGCCTACAACGCGCTTCCGAAAAGGTCTTCTTTTAACAACAGTTTTTGTAAAAGAGATGGAATAGAGATCCCTCCATCAACAGGTCGAACTTGGCTTAATATACAATGCAAAGAGTATGGTCGAGCCGCATATCGAAAGACTCGTAAGCTTAGTACACGTCTCGGACAGCCCTCTAGAATAAGCGATTCAGATATCCATCGCTTATTAAACCCATCAAATCCTCTCCGTTACCAATGGTACGATGAACAAGCCCTCGAATTCAATGTTAAAGGGAAAAAGTACAACGAAATGTAAAGAAATGGGCGGGAGATCAACGATTTCGAAAGCCCTATATTACAGCCATCTCCCCGGCGAATAAACGAAGATGGGGTCTCATTTGGTCAACGAACAATTCGTGGATATATTAGTGAAGTGTCTCAGCGTTGTAAAAAGCTCATCGAGCTAAAAAGAGGCCGAATTCGCTCTGGTAAGTGGCGTGAGTGGTATTAGGAAATGAATTAATGGATAGATCTGAGCCTTGACCAAGCCCACTTAGCTAATTATGCAATCCTCCAATTAAGGTGCTCAGGCAATAACTAATCATGTGATTCCGCGATTTCAACGTCACCGTTCTCACGAAATGATGAGAGTCAAGTTGATATTTGCGCATCACGGTCGCAGCGCCCTCAAAAAGCGTGTCATTCGCGTTTTCGTTACGCGACGACCGTTTCGATATTGTGTTAGCTAGCATAATTGGAAACTCAACATTCCAGGATCGGGTTCCACACCAAACTGAAGGACGACAAGGTCATGATGCACCTTGCCGGCCAATCATTGTTTATTCGTGACCACAGGTGTATCTACTCCTGTCATATTATATTCTTATTAAATTCGGAGCGGCTTTCCAATGCTTTTATAGGCTGTGACAGCCTTGGGACGATACACGGACGTTTCAGGACTCCTTCGAAACAGTGCGCTTGAAGATGCCGCGAAAACCAGGACGAACTCGTGGCGGCGTGGCCCCTCGTGGCAGGAAAGGCAAATCCGCAACAACCTCTAAGCCCGATATTTACGGTGAGATGCTAGCTGATGCAGCATCAGACCCAACTTCGGCAGATGACTCCGAACGGCCGAGAAAGAGGAGGCAAACTGCAAAGAGCGCTGTGACAGCGAATTCGTCAATCGGCTCTGCAAGCAAAGATATCAAAAAGGATGACGAATCTGATATTGAACCTGATAAGCCCCATCCCTATCGTTTGCGCGGCATCGGAGACAGGGTTCCCGGGGCCGAGGAGCAGCAAGAAGAAGCAGAGTCGGACGAGAGTGAAATGGACTGGGAGGAGGTTGGCCTTGATGAGTCTGCGGAGCTTGAAGATGCTGTAGATGACGGATCAGAAGACCAAGAAGATCTCTCCATCGTCCTCGGGGAAACGCCTGCAAAGCATCAGCAAAAGCTAGTGAGACCGCGCACCCAACCTTTGCTTGACAAGCGGATCAGAACCGAAGTCCATAAGCTTCATTTTCTCTGTCTTCTTGCCCACGGGTTCCTCCGCAACCATTGGTGTAACCTCGGAGAGGTACATGATAAATTAAGGGGCCTTGGGGACCCGAAAATGCGGAGGTTGCTGTTTCCAGATAGATCGGGAAGCCAGGCAGTTAAGACAGCGTCTTTCACAGACGGCCTGACGCAGGTATGTCAGATGTGGAGGACGAAATATCGAATCACTTCCGTTGGCCAGCGAGCACCTAGGTGGGCAAGGTCAACCCAGGAGGTCCGAGAATTCGAACTTCCCGAGCATGTAGAACCACGAATCAGCCGTGGTGGGTTCTACAGCGCTGCAGAAACTCTTGAAGGCTCTCAGGATACTGGCGCAGCACTTCTCTGCGCCTTTTTGCGTTCGATTGGCGTCCAGACTCGGCTCGTTTGCTCTTTGCAGATGCTCAATCTCGTTTCTGCCCCATCTACAACGACCGGTCGTACACCTTCGAATACGAAGAAGACCATTTATATCTACGATTCGGAGGACGATGCTAAAGGTCCAGCAGAGCAGCCTGAGACCAAGGTTTCAATATCAATACCACCACCCCGGGCGAGGGCAGGACTCATGAACGCCTCGGGGATTTCACGTACTAGCGGGCGCAGAATATTTGAGGAGTCGTCGTCTATGGACCTCGGAAAAGCTCCCTCACAAGTTCAAAAAAAGACGATTCATGAGAGCTTTCCGGTTTTTTGGGTTGAGGCATTCAATAAACACATCCAGAAATGGGTGCCCGTGGATCCTCATGCGACTTATACTGTTGGTAAACCATCGAAACTCGAACCGCCGCTGGCATACAAGCAAAATGTCATGGCCTACGTGATTGCGTTCGAGAAAGACGGCGTTGCTAGAGACGTGACTAGGAGATATGCCAAAGCATTCGTTGGCAAGACTAGACGCCTTCGGGTGGAGAGCATCGAGGGTGGCGAATTGTGGCTCAAAAGGGCGATGAAAATGTTTAAAAGACAGACCTTGAAAGCGAGAGATCAAGTTGAAGTCGCAGAATTGGCTTCGAAGGAAGCCCAGGAGCCGATGCCACGCAATGTGCAAGATTTCAAGGATCATCCTTACTACGTGCTCGAACGGCACTTGAAGCAGAGTGAAATCTTGTATCCGAAGCAAGAGGCGGGTCGAGTTAATACCGGCGGCAATGCATCAGGCAGACAAGAAGCGGTGTATAGACGACGCGATGTCCATATTGTACGAAGCGCAGACAAGTGGTTTCGTCTTGGTAGAGAAGTGAAGGCAAGTACCTGTCTCTCGAAGAGTAAATGCTGTGTCCTAACGAAGCTTCATAGGAAGGCGAACAGCCTCTGAAATACGCGTTTAGGAGGAGGGCCGCCCAGCGTTCCAGACGAGGGCATTCCGATGCTTCTCTTGATGAAGAAGACGATGATGATGAAAGGAAGCCGTTGTACGCACTGTTCCAGACCGAACTATACATCCCTCCACCGGTTGTAGGTGGTCGTGTCCCGAAGAATGCCTACCGTAACCTTGACATCTACGTTCCATCCATGATTCCAGCTGGAGGCGTGCACATTCGCGCTCCTCTTGCTGCTAGGGCCGCAAGACTCGTCGGTGTGGATTATGCCGATGCAGTTACGGGATTTCAATTCCAAGGTCGCACAGGATCGGCAGTTGTGCAGGGTGCGATTGTCGCTGCAGAGTATCAAGAGGCGGTAGAGGCAGTGGTGGAGGGGCTCCAGTACGCCGAGAGCAAGTCGAAGGAGACAGAGAGGTCATTCCTGCTGTTATCACTCTGGAGGCGATTCATCACGGGTATGAAAATCGCAAAGAGAATTAAAGAAGAGCACGGTGAAGTGGAAGGGGGGGAGCAGATTATGGATGATGCTTCGGACGTTCATGATCCGGCTCAGGAGATGGAACAACGGCGCCAACCTTATGATGACGAAAGCGCGGTACATCAAACGGACCAGCCGACTCGACTGTTGCCCCTCAACGAGGATCTCGTTGGATTTGAAAACACAGATCTAAGTTCATATGCACCCAATAAGAAAAGGCGAGTCTGGATTGAACGACCAATGCAGAACATCGTTGACTGGTATGATGACCTTGACCTGGGTGCGACAAGAACTCCATCAACTAGGAAAGAGGAGGTGGACAGGTCGAAACATGCTCAGACGAGCAGCTCAAACCGAGCATCGATGCTCACTCCCGGCCCAAGTTTTGATTTAAAGGGGATTGCAACTGAAGGGAAGGGAAAGAACCGACTCATTGAAGACTCATTTGCCGTGGTTGGAGAGCGCCAAAGAACTGCGGATGTGCTCATGAAGAGTGAAGCTCCCTTGGAAGAATATGGATGTCTTGGAGGGGGCTTTATCCCAGAGGAATCTGATCCTGTCTCGAATCAAGACGCCAAAATATCGGACATTGATGCAGGCTCGCTAGCGTCACACGATCCGGAAGATGAAGACGCTGAACCAGATTGGCTTATGAGCGATGCGGAGGAATGAATAACACTTTGGATTGGACCACGTTCCTATGTGAAGTGTATTTCACAAACATCGGATCCACTAACCCCTCCCCAAGCGTTCCGTTTCATACCTCTATTGTCAGTATTTCAGAGCGTGGATAGCTTTTCAATCCTCAGAAGACGCAAGCTCCGCCTAGGAATCGGTCAGTGAGAAATCCCAAAGTACGTGGGTAGCACCTCAACTCACCATCGACAACAATGTCTGCGCCATTGATGAACGATCCTGCATAAGAGCAGAGCATAATCAATGGCCCCGCCAACTCTTCCGGCGTCCCCATCCTTCCCATCGGATTCCTAGCATTCCACTGCTCCCTCGCCGCCGCAAGTCCCGGGCCTTCATTCAAGATCGTATCCATATACCCTGGCGAAATTGAGTTCACTCGGATACCGTACCTCGCCCACTCCGCTGCAAGACACTTGGTCAAGTGGAGCACTCCCGCCTTCGAGACATTATAGCTCGCCTGCGGCTGCGGAAAGTTGACGATATGCCCTGAAATCGACGCAATGAACACAATCGACCCACCCGTCTGCGCCGCCATCATCTCCCGCGCGACTGCCCGTGCCGTGACGTACGATCCGGTCAGATTCACGTCGATGGTCTGCCGCCATCGGTCGACGTCCAGGTCCACTGCATGTTGGCAGTCCACCACCCCGGCAAAGCAGCAGCAGATGGTGATATCATCCAGCGACGCTTTTGCTTCTTCCAGGGCTCGGCGGACGCTCGCTTCGTCGGTGACGTCGGCTTGGAGGACCAGGACTGTGGAGGAAGGGAAGTCTGTAGTAAGGGAGGAGAGCGCGGCTCGGATTGTAGGGTCGGATGGAGGCTGGCGGTCTAGGAGAGCGAGTCCAGAACAGCCGTGTTCAAGGAGAGCACGGGCACAGTTCAGGGCGAGCGTACCAGTGCCGCCAGTGACTAGGGCGTCCGTTAGCAGGGCGAAGCGTTTTTCATGGAATATACAGATATAGACGACGGACTATTGCCCATCACTACCAAGACTGATTATAAGAAGCAGTTGGAATACGACGTGTACGGACTGGTCTCAAGATGAGAGAAAACATGCAACAAAAGGATCCATTTTGACTGAACCTAAGAATATAATGAAACCTGCCACATACTCACAGCACTTCCCTCCACTGTGAAGCGATATCTCGCCTTCCCTTCGCTATTCAAGTAGTGTGGAAAGGGTAATGGCGGTCCCGTCATCGAGCTCTCTGCCCCATCCGACAGCACCATAGATGGTAGCTGACGGTTCACCAACGAACGTCTCTCATCAGTAGAAGCTGCATTGGTCTCTGCCGTTATGTTATTTGGTATATTGGTCGGGTTGACTGCCATGACGAAGCCGATTTCATCCAAGTGAAAGATAACCGGAAGTTCAATGTCGGAGCTGAACTGGCAAATGGGACGGACCACTGGAAGAGCGTTGAAAGGATCTGTTCAACAAGACAAGAATAAAATTAAGTGATCTATTTCAAATGTTTTGATTTGGTATTGAGACTTTAAATATGCTTTGTTGATGAATAATAGTCCAAGAATTGGAGCGCTTTCGGATAAAACTCCACTTATGGTAGTATATCCATCCGCCACTTGAGCGGACTGTGGAAGTCGATATACGCACTGCCGGATTCCCTATCGCGATCAGCGGAGACAGCTATGGCATTATCTCAGCCTACGGATTTGAAGCAGCCAAAGGCATGATAAGGTATTCTCCAATTACTAAGACTGTGTATGGTATCTACATTATTACTTTTACACAAGCCTGCCCCTTAACCCATCCCACCCCACCCGTCCGACCCATCCCTCCCATCTAAGATGCAAGCAGCACCCAAAGTGAATCCTGCTGCCGGATCTCCTCCTGAAAACCTCACGCTCCGCTCGCTTATTAAGAAAACATGCTAAGGTCGTCGTGTACTTGCATCGTCAATGAAGAGAATGAATGTGAACCGCAGCAAACAGTCCTGACGCCGGTGCTTCCGTTTCCAGTGAGAACCGTTAATCGCGACGCGTGTGGCGGCCTCTCTCGCGCTATGCCAACCGAAGGAACGACCGTGAAATTAGTACCGGCTCTTGCCTCGTGCGCTCCTAGTATTGAAAATGGAAAGAACGCGAAAAAAACAACGCCTGGTGTGCTCTGGCCGAATCCCGACCGAATTCCCGTGTGGATATAATGATACCGAAAGATGCATGGTGAGACCTAGGGAGAACGAGAGAGAGAGCGGAGATTCGGATCGATTTCCACGCATCAAGCCACCGCCACCTCTCCCTCACCCCCCAACGATCTGCCTCGCCCCCTCCTTCCCCAACACGCCCCTCTCCTTCGCCTTGGGACTTCGATCCCGCCCCTTCTTCCGCGACAGGAACCCCAGCACCGACCCCGGCTGCCTCGGCCCGCCGCCGCCTCCCAACCGATGTTCCGAGCTCCCGGAGACCACCGTCGAGCCTGGCAACTCGCGAACGCCCAGCTCGCTCCAGCTGGCGCCCGGATCGAGCACCATCTGCACGCCGCCGCCGACGGACGTGCTCCGCGTGTTGCCGCGCCGGGGGTGCGACGTCTGGCCGCTGCGCTCGGGTCTCTCGAGTTGCTCGTCGGGGTCGCGGTCGCGGTGGTGGTGATGATGCGAGCGGGTCGAGCCGTGTCGGAGCTGGTGCGATCGGCCGTGGGGGTCGTTGGGATCGAAGGGTGCGTCGGCGCCGCCGTGGTCGTAATAACCACCGGACTGCGGGGAGGACGGGTGGAGAGCGCCTCGCGGGTCGGATGTCGGGGGATGTGGTAGGGGTGGGTTGAATAGGGGAGGAGATCCAGAGGGTGAGGTGGTAGCGGAACGGCCGCGGCGGGTGGCAGGTGGGGCAGGGGCGGCGCGAAGGTGCGGATCGTCGAGCGCGGTGCTGGAAGGGTCACGGGAGATAGGGCGTGGTGCGGAAGAAGAGGGCCATTCGTTTGGTGAGTCGCTCGACGAGGGATGCGGTGAGGTGGTGGTCGGAGAGGGTTGACTGTAAGTTGCATTGGTATAATTAAAGGGCTCGAAGAACTTTTCAATCATCTTGTGTAGTTCCTCGGCACGGATTTCTTGCGCTGTGGCGTCGTCCTTCAGTTGTTCTCGGGGTTTCTGTCTCCGTGCTCGAGCCTCGAGGGGTGCTTCTTCAAGCAGGAGCTCCTCTAGGTCGTAGGTGGCATCGAAATTGGTCTTTTCGCTTGAAGGGACGAAGATCGGCTCAATCTCTTTTCGCTCTAGTGCAGCGAAGTCGATCGGACGGAAGAAAGGGTTATCGATGAAGGATTCAAAGCTTTTGGCTCCGATACGTTGTTTCCTATCCTTCTCAAGCAGTGAGCTGATAGCGTGTAGGCAGACCATTGTGACAGGTGGAGTTGTGACGGGATAGTGCACGTCTCCCTTCATGATCTTCTGAGCAAGAGGTTCGCCCGGGCTGGAGTCGAAGGGTCTCTGTTGATTCAATTAGCTGGTAGTTCGGTAACTGGGACTAGTGCGTCGTACTCGGTTGTATATGCATTCGTAGAAGAGCACGCCCAATGACCACCAGTCCACCTCGCATGAATAGCCCTTGGCTCGGTATACCTCTGGCGCAAGATAGGCCAGCGTTCCGGATTTGCTGTTCAATGGTTTATGGGGCGTGAAATCGGAGGCGACGTTCTTCAGCACAGTCAATACCGATCGACTCTTCTATTCAGGAATGCACTCACAAAGTCTGCCAAATGGACATGGCCCTCCGAATCCAGCAAGACGTTATCTGGCTTCACGTCCCGATGTACGATTCCTTGCCCGTGAATGTATTTTAGGGCGCAACCGAGCTGCGCAATCCAAAAACGGACCGCCTCTTCCGTAAACGCTTTCCTTGAGATGTGGAACCGCAGATCTCCGCCGTTCATGAGGTCGACCACGATATAGAGATACTCAATGTCCTGGAAAGAATACCGCAGGTTGCATAGGAAGGGGTGATTCAAATGTTCCAGCATGCGTCGCTCGCGAATGATGTTTCGCACGCTTTCACTGCGCACCACTTCATCTTTGCGGATGTATTTGAGAGCGAATGTCAACCCAGTATCCTTGCGCTCGACGATGCGCACTTTTCCGAAGGCGCCTTTGCCAACGACACGGAGGAGGCGGAAGTGGTTGAGGTTGACTTCGTCGGTGAAGACGACGGGTTTGCCGTTGGAGTTGCCCATTGGGTCAGGTCGTATCAAAGATACTGGTGACGGGCAGCTGGGGGAAAAGCAATGATGGGATCGGTATTTAGGTTATAAAGGCTTCGGCATTGGAGCGGACGAATTGATTGATGTGCTGTCGTGTGCGGGCTAAGAGGATCGCTTACGGTCCTGCTGGTGAGACGATGATGAAGGTGGAACGTGGTGTCTGAGACCTTGTTTGTCGATTCAAAGGAGTGTGAGGCGATTAAATCACCGCTGACTGAACTGTCTTCTGTATGATTGAAACAGCCTACAGAGAGCTCTAATTGAGTCCGAAAGACCAAAGCCAGGTCTCACGTCCGTAATGAGGATGATGGTGAAGGGTTGGTTCGGTGGTGGGCTTGATAGATGGGGTGTTTTGGGAGACCGACTTTGTCCCTGCGGGGTACGGGGAAGGTCCGCAAGTAGTTGAGGGTCTGGTTCGACTTTTGAGAAATTCCCCGAATGAACGTATTCCTGGCAGCTGGACGTTCTTTTCTTTGCACACCACTGCGAAGATGGAGAACTGGTGCTGGATTGCTGGTTCGGATACCGGGCACAATCCCAAGGGAGCGAAGCTTTGTGTGTTTGTGGGGCAGCGGAGCACCTTAATATTGTGAGACAGCTAAGAGATAGTAGCGGGATTCAATTGCCACTTAGGCAGTACGGGATAGGGCTCCAATCGGTGTCTAGCAATAGAAGAAACCTGTCTTCGACAACGAGTGAGATGCGCGGACTGGTCTTCGTGGGGTATGATCGGTCGAGGGGGTGATGAATGGTGGTTAGGAGTAAATGGTAGACAGCGTAATAGGAAAAGGATGTGGATAAGACTGGCCTCACAGTCGTACTGGAGTCTGGACACACAGGGCGCTGAAGCAATCCAACAGGGTATGGCACTTGGCGAGGACAAGGTCTCGTGCTTCGATCAGGATCAGAACCTATATTGCAATGCTTGGCTCCGATGTCGACCTGTGGGAATAAATCATGGATCGTAGGACAGGGCGAGAGAATAGTTGCGAAAGGAATACAAAGTCAGGAGTTCTAAGTGTTCTTACTGCCTACTTTACGACATACTTCATGTGATCGTCACTCTAGAGGATGGAGAAGCCACTACGGAATACATGTGGTTACTTTCAATCCCGCTATCATCCATGATTCGTATTCTAGTCTACTTGCGTTTAAGACCAGGCCACCAGTACGACAGGGAGGGGAAATAGTATCGTAAAGACCAGCTCGTGCTGATTTCTTCGTGTTTCGAGAGTCGGGTTTCTCGACTCTTTAGGAGAGTTGGTAAGATGCAATAGAGATACCAATTCCAGTGTCCAAGAATCCGAAGGAGCCCCAGCAAATGACCCTCTTATGCCACAGATAGATGGGCAATTGGACACGCATCCAAGAACATCCAAGTGATCAAACGCCCGCTACTGTCGATCAAGGTCAGTCACAGCTTCTCGCGTTCTCACATTAGGATCCGGATTGGATACGGTCACGCTACGGCGTGGCCCTTGTAGTCAGGCCAATGCTAAGTCCTCTGTATTGGCTCGCCCTGCTGCATGTAACGAATCCTTCCCGGCACCACCCACGTTTTCCACGTTGTCGCCAATGGGCAAGAATAATACGGGATTCAAGGCGAAGGCTAAAACTGAACCGAGTAACTACCGATCTGTGGACACTGGACCTGAACCTGGCGTTCTCTCTTAGCTTTCTTCCATGGACGCAGCAATGGAGTACTTCTCCTTCCGTCCGTTACAGGACATTGCCTGTTCAAGCCACCATTTGATATTCGTCGGTCCGATATCACAAGCCGAGCAAACTGTATCATCCCTTTCTGGCCTCAGCCTCCAGCAGTTCAGGGTGACCGATGGTGAATAAGGGCGAATGGCCCCGGCAACCCTGTCTCGATCCCCCTGGAACGTGCGGAACCCCTAGCCTTTCCGGACTGAAGATGGAGTCGAGAATCTCCCTGCCGACGCGCCTACCGCGGTCGACTGCACCGATTTGGATGCTACGCCGATGCTAGGCATCGTGCGCATCAGGCGAACGGCTACGGCGGACATTCGTGGTTTCATACCTGACGATGATGATAATGCTAGACCGCTACGTATTAGAGGAATTTCTATGGCAATGAGCCAAGGCCCAAGAGGAGGATTGCTGCCGGGTTGGATTAGAAGAAACCCAGGAACCCCGGTATTGGGATATCGTACTGAGGAGGTTGGATTAGACTTGGTAGACGATTGAAAGCTCGCTCAGCCTGCATGCATTAAAGATATTGTGCGTTGCAGTTTTAGACTTTTATACGACTCCGATGGTTTGGCCATGCCTTGTCAATTTTCATGCGTTCTCTACGGAGTAACTTCTCTTCCATCGTGAATTCGTGGCCGTGGGGAATACATAGGCTCGTTGTATATGAGTCAAGTTGCACCCTAGGCTGTCGGACGGATGGCTAGACCCATGTGTCATGTGTGCCATGGGGACTTCTAGAAAAAGCGTCGAAGTCTCCAGAGCTTCCTCATGTTTTCTTCTGTTCTCCAGTGTTCAGTCAGTCCTCATTCCGCATTCGGCCTGTGTCTCCTTGCCGACCCGTTCATCCCGTCATCCCGTGTTTTAAAGTGGCCAGGGAGCGCGAATGAAGTAATGAATTCTGAACGAGGGTGTGACCCCTGAATGCCGCTTGTCTGAACAGTGGATATGTCTCACAATCTCAGCCTTGAGCATGGCAACCGAAATGCATCTCGCTTCCAACCGAGAGTCGAAGATCTCATGGTTCTAATCTGGACTCCGTCGCAACTCGCAGGGAATCGTTTGATCTCTTGGACGTTGGAGGTTGGAATTGTTGATGCCGTGAGTGCTAATAATCAATATATATCGCCTCTTGAAACTTCGCGTGCAGATCGACCCTGAAGTCGATCCAACGATCAACGCCCACGAGTGCATATCAAATCTCGGTACCGGATACATGGGCAAGAAGCTCTGATCTCGATCGTGGATCATGCTCGTCTTTCACGTCGCAGATTGCGAACCACCGAGTTGCTCATAGTATCCTGTATCACAAGAAATTGAAGGGAATTGACAACTCCACACTGCAATATTCGTTGAGCATCGTCCGCAGGAACCCAAGATCGAACACCAATCTCTGAAACTGCGATCGATATTATCGTCTTTCGTCGTAAGCAATAGTGAATTGTCCTCTACCCTCACCTTCCTGGCCGCCGTGGAGCAAGGGGTGAACGTGGCAACCCTGCACGATGTACGAAATAATATCTACGCGACCTTGCTGTTTCATGAGGGCTGGATGGAGCAACCCTCAGCATGGCCAAGACGCCAAGCAGTCGAGAAAAATGTAGATATAGAGTAGCCATCGGCCCTTCTTCATCTCCATGGTATCCGCGAACGCGACCTCGAAACGGATGCTCCTTTTACGTAGGCACCGGTAGGTTCCGGCGTACGAGGACCTTTGATAAAAACTGCAGATGGATGGGTTGCATCAGGCATGCATCTCGTTATTCTCGAGCCCTGGTTCATGCGGATTGCGTGGCCTAATACCGGAACTTCCCAAACGATGAGGAACCTTGCGCTGCTGCTTCAATGCCTTCTTGGCATCTTCATGGTTGGGCCGAACTCCGCAGGCACCGAACCCATTCTGGAGTCCTGATCCAAACAGCTGCTGCAGCCTGCAAAAGGAGAGACAAAAGGAGAGACTGCTTCCAGCAGAGAAAAGGGGGTCGACTCAGGAGCGTCGGGATGTAACGGCCGTTTGCAGAGCTATTGGTTTCACGGGGTCCGAATACGAAGCGAAAGACCATCTGAAGATGAAGTGGTATTGATTCCTGTCAGATCTATGTACCGTCCGTACTGCTGGGTCGATCAATTACATGTCTTCCTGGCCCGTATTCCCATCACTATGTCAGCACTCCTCACCCGGGCCACTCAGCCTCAACAACTTCAATTCACCCTCTATTCACCCTCGCATATCACCCCTCGCACGGTCACCGAATAACATAAGGAGAAAAAGGACGGAACGTGATCGTGCTGAGAAAACCCCTTCACGGAAAGCAGTTGTCCCAGGTGCCATGTACGCCGCTGATGTGATGATATCGTAGTCCCTCGCCACGGCGGTTCAAATACGCCAACAAGCACCGAGGACGAGGAAATAACGCGCAGTGGCCGAATGGAAGGAAAAAATGAGGATGGGACCGTTGTGAAATGTGCATCGTAATTTCGAGGCCGCGTTCTACACCTCCATGTTGCCGGCCGGTTCCTCGTCGTCTCCGGACTCGTAGCTACCAACCGAACTCATCTCTTCCTCTTCCTCGCTGTCCTCGCCCGCGTCATCAGCGGCTTCCCTCGAGGCGTATTTGAGGACGTATTCTGCAGGAATGTCAGCAGGACGATCCGAAATCCGTCAACACGGCTAACACCGGGAGGCAGCATCCCACTTACCCTTCACCTTCGCCTCGTATGATTTGGGTTCCCGCATCATCAACGCCGCGGCTTCTCCGTTTAGGGGGTCGGTTGGGTTCGGGTAACGAAGGAGCTGGGGGAGGAAGACTTCGAAGATGTTGATCATGTCGTACATGGGAGACCATGTCTGGTTGATAACGTCCAGGCAGACGGAGCCGGATCTGGGCGGAGAACATGCCGTTAGTTTTGTGCTCACAGGGGAGGAAGAACGCAAAGATTGAGGACAGATTCCCCAAAGAATACTCTGGGAGGGCATGACCATACAACTCATCGATGTTGGGATGGAATATCCGGTTCACGAATCCAATACTTGGACTCTTGTAGGGGTATTGATCCGGTAGTTCAACATGTATCTTCCAGAGGCCGCCTTCGAATGGTGCTGTGGGGGAAGATTAGCATGTCGAGTTGGGGTAAGGGAGGTTTCTTGCCACATACTCTCTTTTGGCCCCTTGAACCGGACATAGAATTCTTGCCTGTCACACCGTGAGTCCTATAAACATTGTGGTCGACCGACTGCTCGCACGTACACTATGACATGTTAGTCTGCTGGGGGTTTGCCATGAACAATAGTAAGGGACATACTGTTGTCGTTCACCAGTGTCACCTCATAATCGCTCATCAACCTATAACATCATGAAAGTTAGACCATGCGCCTCTAGTATATACCCTAGCGCGTGTTGTGGTGCTATAATTGTGCGTACATCCTGCGACCGGGTTAATTTGGACCTCTGGCAACTCTCTAGGTGTATAAACGTACTTCATGACCTGAATAAGAACAAAGACATGATTGTCAGCTTTCTGCATATGGAACGAAAATATCTCGCACCAAACTACGTACATCTGTCTCAATTCTCCTCTTTGGACTGCTCATCTTGTAGGTTGTTTGCTTTCGCTCCGATATACGGGGTGGCGGCGGGGGTCCGTGGAACTGCGGAGGGGACGCAGCAAGAATACGGGACTGGTCCCCTTTCTCTTAACAAATGCTTCAGTGCAGAGGGTAACAAGCTTCTGCAGAATGGAAATCCGAGCGAATGTTGGTATTTACAAGCGATCGGTTGGCAGCGGTGGTCGATATCGGCGGGGTGGTGGTCTGACGGAGGTGGAGATTGCCTTGGGAGTTGCGATCCGGGGAAGCGGCCGTGAAGCGAAGGATGAATCTGGTGGTGACGGAACAAAGCTGACACGGACAGTAGGTGAGTACCTAGGGAGTTGATCAGGGCAACGATGGATATGTACTTAAGGTGCGGTGGTAGGTAAAGAAAGAAAAGAAAAGTGGAAGAGGAGGAGTCTTTGGGATAAGGATAGTACAATCACGGTACGTACCGACTCCAGTAGCACGAGCGAGATGCCTTGTACGATTGGTGGTTGAAGGAGTGTCTGAGTGACGAGTAACTAAGATATTGGTCCAAAAGTGCAGCGTGACTGCGTGACCTCATGGCCAGTAACTAGTCAACCCCGCCAACGCCAACCGGATACGGTAATAATGAATTCTTCCCAGAATACGTGGATGGTGTCAACGGAGTCACTGGAATTGCACGGGCTTCACTCCCGCGATGCCAGGTGGACGTAGGTGACTGGTAAGTCTTCTAAGTTTCTCTGTCTATGCACATTTCCTTTTTCATAGGATTTTTAATTTCTTTGATGAACCCCTCCTGGCTCCGGAACTGTCTTACCCAACAAACCACGCCAGAGACTAACTAAGTCAAAGCCGTGGATTTTCGCAGGAGACCTTGATGGTTATCCATCCGATGCCGACTTTCCTCGGCGGGGTATGCCCAGATATCGTCACCAACTTCACGGTGAATTGACGTGGCAAGAACCCATATCCGAGAAAGATTGGCCTGATTACTATTGTCCTAGTTGTGAACTCTTTGGAAAACCGTGGCGATCGCCGGACAAGAACAATAGGGCGCATAATTATAAAAGAGGAATGCGATCTCGCTGGTGTTCCCTGTCCATTGTCCCCTTGCTGTTAACACCAAGTCTGGCCTCTTACGGCGACATCTCCCATCTCAACCTCGGAGTGCCCGTTCCTAGAGAACCCAAAGCGAAAGCCAGTCTTGAACAATAATCATCATGTGTATGATCCTCTACTAGCAAGTCGAGCGGTGAAATGGGCGTTGGACGAATCATGATGATTTAACCGATGTCGCCGAGGCGACTCCCTCCAGCTCCGTCTTTCAACCTTCATTCTCTTTTGTACAATGCAAATTCCATCACGGTCACCTCCATAAAATGCCTGCCGCTGCAATGCCGCCCGCAACAATGGATTTAATAGATCCATTCGATTTTCTCTCCTTTTCATCCCTCCACCCCTCGAAACCCATTTCAACATGTCTACACGAACTTGTGTGGCTGCACCCTCACTGTCGCGTGCCTTAAACAGGGGTCTTCAGGGACATAACAACGTCCTTAACTCCCAGTTCTTACAACCTCGCATAGCATTGGCCGCATCGTCGCCTGCAGCCCAGAATCGATGGAGCTCACATTCGCCATTGGGCTCACCTCCGGCCATTTCGAGGAAGAAGGTCACTCTCAACACCCTCCAGAACCTATATAAGAAGAGGGAACCCATCACCATGATCACCGCACACGACTTCCCAAGCGCACATGTCGCCGACCACGCGGGAATGGACATGATCCTCGTGGGTGATAGCCTTGCCATGGTTGCCCTAGGCATGGAGGACACCAGCGAAGTCCTCCTCGAAGAGATGATCCTCCACTGCCGCTCCGTAGCTCGTGCCTCCAAGTCCTGCTTCATCGTATGTCTCCCCCCCATCCCACTCCTCTACCCCCCTAACCCTCCCAGGTCGGCGACATGCCTATGGGCAGCTACGAAATCTCCCCCACCCAAGCCGTCACCTCCGCCATCCGCCTCATCAAACAAGGCCGGATCCACGCCGTCAAGCTCGAAGGCGGTGCCGTCATGTCCGACGCCATCGCCCATATCACCCGCGCCGGCATCCCCGTCCTCGCCCACATCGGCCTCACTCCGCAGCGCCAAAATGCCCTCGGCGGCTTCCGCGTGCAGGGCAAGTCCGCCGCCAGCGCCCTGCGCCTCCTCCACGACGCCCGCACCGTGCAGGCCGCTGGCGCGTTCGGCGTCGTGCTCGAGGCCGTGCCTGCGGAGGTGGCGGCGTACGTGACGCGGGCGCTGCGGATCCCGACGATTGGAATCGGCGCGGGGAACGGATGTTCGGGGCAGGTGCTGGTGCAGGTGGATATGACGGGGAATTTTCCGCCGGGGAGACACTTGCCGAAGTTTGTGAAGCGGTATGGGGATCTGTGGGGGGAGGCATCGAGGGCGATTGAGTCGTATCGGGAGGAGGTGAAGAGTCGGGCGTATCCGGCAACGGAGCATGAGTATCCGATGGCGAAGGAGGACTTTGCCGAGTTTGAACGGTTGGCGGAGGGGGTGGGGAAGGAGTGAGGGGGACGGGAGCCTTCGTGGCCTTGGATGAGAGTCTCCAAGGTGCGGTATCTGTGTCCAGCTTTGCAATTCTCAATTTCCACCAATGCGAATTGAGATGGGTGATGCTAAGTGACTGCTCGGGGTGTTTTTAGATGGCAGGGACCAAACTACAGTTTTAGCTGGCGCCCATATTGGCGGCACAATATTATATCGCGTTTCTGACGACTTGCTCTATTCGATGAGGCTAGCTTTGAATGTTCATATGCTCCTTGTTCGCCAAAAAATCCTTCATGTGCCCGTCCCGTCGTAACGTACGCCATCTCAATGCTATCCCCTCTTCCCAATCGTCAACCAAACGCCGGCGCCACCGAATAGCACACCACCAACTCATCCTTCACCTTAAAGCACTGCGCTCCGTCAACCTTTACCCTTCCAAAACAGCAAAAGCAGGAAAGAATAAACAAACTCAATTGACAAGAGCGAAGAAGAGGCGTACATTCCACAAGTTCCCCACGCCCTCCTCCGGACTGGGCGAGAACACCGAGTTCACGTAGCAGAATACGCTCTCCGACTCCTTCAGCGACAGCTTCTTCCGCAGCGACCGGATCACCGTCTCGAACTTCTTCGACGCTGCGATCTTGAACACGCGCTGCCGGAGGATCGGCGCCGAGCCGACGGGTTGGAGGCGCACGGTGACTGCATTGGCGGGGATGTTAGATAGAATGCAGAGGGGCTGAATTAGGGGAGACCGCTGAAGAACGGGTTCAATTCCCGGTTTTGTGAACCGGAAGTTAAGACAATATATATATCGGCAGTGGATAGGGGGGTTCAAGCACACCACCTCTCCCATCTAGAAACAGAATCTACGCACCTTTCTCCAACGTCGTATCCACCGCTCCCTCCAGCGCCGCTGCCGCATCGCGCGGTAGCGCGTCTAGCACGACCGACGCGGCCATGGTGAGCGGCATCTCCGCCTCTTTCTCCTCGTCAGAGGGGGGCGTGGATGGATCGTAGCCCGGGGGGACGGGCGGGGCGGGGGTGGCCATTTTGCGGGGAAGGAATGGGGGTGAGGATATGAGGGGAGGTTTGGGCGGTAGGTGGGTTTTTGAGAGTCGGGGCTGGGAGGTTGAGAGGGCTGATGGGACGAAGTTGGGGCCTGGTGGGTGGATAGGTATGGGTGATTCAGATGGAGGGAGACAATGGAGTGGGGAGGGGCGGGAGGAAAGGAGCAGGATGGTTCTTTAGGGACACTTTATTCGTTTGCATGGTCGATGACTGGAGTTTAAGACTTGCTTGTGACCTTCGGGGCATTTGGTACGTTTATGATTCCAAAGGTTGTCCAAACGACAGATGGATATAATTACATGTTGGATGCGGACGAGTGCTCTCGTGCTGAGAGATCTTGGTGGGGCAACTTCAAACTGCAGCGTGGCATTATAGTCGTTTGAGACCAATAGACGAAGTGACATCAATGTTGATACACGAGCAAAAACAACTTCAACTTTAAATTTTCCGAGATGATTCATACCCAAAGAATATTTCCATTGTCCTATTTCCAGAAAAGCTATGCAACGCTAAACCTACACCGTACATAAAAGCGCTGCGCCATGCTAATGAGACCGACAAGCTAAGGTACCATGCATGAGAGCCCCATGGAAATGCTGCACTGGATTTGACCGTGTCCTATCCGTATCCGTAAAAAAGTACATCACCAAACCATGCTCCCGGACCCCGGAACGTAACAGCAGAAAGATACGTGACAAGTGGATGAGCGTGGTCATCGTGTCGAACGGCCTCCATATGCGTACAAGACGATAGACGAAGAAGAAACTCGTGTAGTGGAAGTGAATACCTGACAAAGATGGTCGCCGTAATCGTGATCAAAGGCTTTTCAGTTCGCTCCATGTATCATCGAAATGAGCAGCCATGCATGCTGCGTGTTGCCTCTGAACTAATCGCAGACCATCATCTCTCCGCGAACCGGACGCTCTAGTTGGGACAAAAGATCGTCCAGCTCCGTCCAGTTCTCGATAGTGGAAGCGAATTTGCGGTGTTTGCGAGAAAGGCAATGCTTTGGACAGGTTAGCAAGGCACACATACGAGTACAATTCTGGCTGCCATACCTGATCAAAGTCGGCGAACTTCTCCCGACAATTCTCACAGTACCCAGGCTTCGCTTCCTTCTCCGCCTTCCTCTTTCGAATGACCGTCTTCTTCAACTTCCGGGTCCGCTCCTCGGACGGTGTCATATCCTCATGGATGTAGCCTAAAGTCTCCTGTGCTTTGAGCTTGGCTGCCCGAGGCGGAGCGTCTCGGAGGCCCGTGTTGATGGCAGCGCGAACGTCGTTGAGGTAGGACGAAGGCACACTGCCGCTCCCTGAAGCAACGCTGTTGCGTTCGAGGACTTTCCTCTGCAGTTGGTGGACTTCCCGGCTGGTTCCTGCGCGAACGCCTGTGCCAGCGGCGGTGGAGGAGATCATCTGCGAGCGAATCGCCGAGGTTATGTGGGATGGCTGGATTCCAGAAGCGACTGGCTCTCCACCGACGACGCGAGGAGGCATACGCATCTTGAGTTGGGCACTACCGAAGAGAGGTGCAATCCCATCCACGGTACCTTTCTTGGGTGGGGCCATCGACGGATCTGATGGCTTGGCAGGAGACTTCTCGGTGTGGCCGGCGAGGGTGCTGTCATAGCGTACTACATTAGTGCTGTTATTCTCAGCAAGCGGGCGACGTTCCGGGTCCGCCAGTCGAGATCGAGATCGATCATCTCTAGCCCGTGGAATGGCAGAACGAGTCTTTGCGGCAGTGGGTGCGAAAGACACAGGTTTTCGACGAGGAGAAGCCTGCCTCTCACGAGCGTACTTCCTAGCATGCCTGTCAGGATCTTCAATGAATGGACATCGCCCTGCCGAGGAAGCATGAAGCTGGGGCCAATTCCCCGGACCATCGTCGGGTTTTTGATAGTCCCGTATCATGATGGGTTTGGTCTTTTCGTCCTGGTCGTGTACGTAGATGTAGTATCCACTGAAAGTGACCATTTCCTGCGAAGCTAGGGACACATTTGCTGGTCCGGTAATTTTCTCCTTCTGGAGCAATTGCTGCAGATTGGCATCTTTCCCAGCCCGGTCGAGGACCGGCAGATTGGGTTGTTCGCCAGTGTCGGTCTCGAACATGGTCGTCATCATACGTTGCAACTTCTCCAAAGCCCAGATCTTCATCCCCATCTCCCTGGCCTTGTGGAGGATGTCCGCTGAATGGCCGTATTGCTTGCGTGTCTCGACATCTTGGAACAAGCTGAGGCAATTTAGCTACGATCACCATAGATAGTATCATAGAACGTACCTCTGCGCTGTTGCATGAGCAGCCCGCGTCATAGGTGCGTCGAAGTTGAATTTGCCCTTCTGGGACTTCTCGCCTTGGGTACGCTCCAGTAAGGATGGATTGATAGTTTGCGGTTGGCCGTTGGCCATACTCTGGTCTTTCCCATGCGAGGATGGAGGTCGTCCATTTGCGGAGCTCGATGACTTGTACTCTGGGGGAATGGGACGCGTCGTGACGACATGGGTGATTGACTTAGAGAAGAACTTCTCTTCGCGCTATGTTACATTAGCAGGAGCGAAGATACGTTGATAGAAACTCATTCATACCGCCCCTAATACGCGTAGTTGCTTGGAAATTTTGGGTTTCACATCGTCGGGGACATTGTCGAAATAGAATGTATATTGGGGAAATGCCCGCTTGTAATGTCGTTGCCAGGTCCTGATATGCTCCAGATTGCTGTCCACGGGTTGTTGAGTGGGTTTATTCCGGGCGGAAGCCTTTGCATCTCGCACCGCCTCGAACTTGAGTTGAAGCTCCGTGGGTTGGCTCGCGTTGGTCCGTCGGGGCAGAGCTCCTCGACGTGCTTCCGGGTCGGTGACCTCAATTATCTGCTTCTTTGCAGGTGGCTGCTGGCCAAAGAAGGACTCTTTGGCATCGACAGCCTGCGAGCGAGATCGCTTGGGAGCAGTGGTTGACAGAGTGTTGTGCCTCAGCGGTGAATTGACAGCATTGGGGACTTGTGCGAGCGGCACTCGTCGATTTGCCATGGTGATGGACGGTTGATGTGATGAATGAAAGGAATCGATAGCAGCCATCCGACTCTGGCCCTCAGAATGAAGAGCAGAGAGGGGGAAGTGCGGGAAGTGTGGTGGTTGAGGAATATATCAAAGTCGAGGAAGGTTGGAGGGGCAGGGAAGGTGCAAGGGACCAGGTTAGGTCGGGCACACGCGACGTGTGGGAGGAATCAAGTCGCGCAGAAACCTGGTCAGCGAGAGGCTGGAGTCATGATGGGGAGTGAGATTGCATTGGGTCGAAGTAAATGAATATCACAGAATGGAGATCTCCACCTTGAATTAGAATGGACGTTGAAGGGGAGGGTGGAGGAGAGCTGGAAATTGGTGTAGAGATTCTCGTGTTTTGTTGGAGGTTGGAGGTTGGTGGTTGATGTTGCAGTTGTTGCTGGTCGGGGCTCTCGGGCAAACATTGGGAAAACTCCTGGGCGCTGATTGGCCGAAGCTGCAGTACGTACCCTCAGCAACCACCGCCCGCTTCAATTCACCAAACCGCATACAAACGCCCATTCCCTTCACAACATGTGAACTCGGCTCAACAGTTCAGTCAAGATGAATTTCGGCCGAAGTATCATCTCGTTTCCTTGAAGTCTGATAATTTCCCCTTTTGAGGGAATCCTACCTTGACAAACTGACATAAATGGTGATTATCATGGCCTATGCTGTTGATCCTTCCTAAGGCGACGCGGGGAAGTGGTTCTAATGGTTGACAGCAAACGGAATGACCATGTTTGATCGCATTATCATTCTCAGGGATGAATTGGCTACAATATTGTACATATGCTCAACATCATGCGGTGACTCCCTCCTGTAGTATGCAAGATTAGATCCAAGTACAACCCAGCCGACGGCAGTCCGCCATAACCCCCCATTTCCATCATCTCAACGCCTCGATATCGACCACCTTCAACCAGTTAGCAAGAGGCTCAAAGAAAGCATTAGAAATTCGCAATAACTTACCTCCTTCACGGCTTCCGTTGTCAATACATACGGATGCTCTTCCTGCACACAAATGCTGTCCTCGATCCGGATGCCTATTCCCCGGAATGCCTCCGGCCATCGCTCGTCGTCGGGGACATATATCCCCCTACACGTCAGGTAAGAATCTCGTCATGGCCTCACAATAGATTGCAACTTACGGTTCGATGGTTACACATTGTGATGGTTGGAGCGGAGCGTTTCGTAGGTATCCGGGAGAGTCATGAACGTCCAGCCCAATGTAATGGCCAAGGTGGTGCGGAAACAGGGTTTCCTTGGCCTAGATTCAAGGAGATTCAGCGATGTTCACAAGAGGTAGGGGAACGTGAGACTTACGTTGCCCTTGAGATTGAAGCCTAATTGCTGGAGACCATCCATGAGCGACTCCTCCGCGATGCGATGTAGTCTATCCAATGACAATTCTGCGTTTGCACGGCATAGGGACACGCATGTCCGCTGTGTTCGAAGAACCACTTCGTACAGATCGCGTTGTGCTGCAGAGAACTTCCCATTCACCGGCCAGGTGCGGGTGATATCTGTAATGTAGTTCCCGTATTTCTGCAATCGTCAGTTCCATCGACTCCATATAGATTTCTCTATCAGCACTTACACCGCCAGCGTCAACGAGGACAAGTTCATCACCGCTAAAAACATCATCGTTCCGAACATAATGTATACTCAACCCATTCTAGAACCCGGTCAGTCAAAGATTTGATGCTTTGCTCGAGGACTATACCTGGCCGCCGGCAACAACAGGAACATAAGCAGCCCCATCCAGACCATTCGATTGGAATTGATACTCCAAAAACGACCAAAGGGATTTCTCGCCACTGAACGACTGCCTCATCGCTTCGGTGATGGCACGCCCCGATTGCTTTCCAACTTTTCTCATCAGTTCAATCTCCGCCTCACTCTTAAATACTCTCAGCTTGCTCAGGTGCGGTCGTAATGGGCTAACGCCCGAGGCATTTTGAGATAACGCTCCATCAAATACCGCACCGTGATTTCGTTTCCAACCGCTCAGATACTTCGAGAATCGGGTGCGTGGCTCAATGGACTTCGGTAAGTCCGTATAGACGCATGTCGCCGACTTGATCATGGCAGGAAGGAACTTGCCCACCCCATCGATGTCGCCGCTCTTTGATCGTTTAGTTAAATCCATTCGCTCGAACTTATATCCGCTCGTACCTCGTCCGCATTGAACACATCCTGCGCCGCTTCGATCCCCGACCGCGCCCCTTCCCACAACTCGGATCGGGGGTCCTTCGGCCTCACATAGAGATGGAAGTTATGTTCCGCGCCGTCTCCGGTCTTTTCTACGCAGTTTCAGAATCTGTCCATATCCGTTCCCCGAGGTGTAGGATGCGCAGTACCTATGATTGCCAGCGACTCCGGCTCGTTGAACCCTTGAATACCGTCAGTTCTTGCCCATGTGACGTGCGATCGGATGCGCTACCGGTGAGATAGTAAAAGTCGGGATCTTGGTGGAATTCGTAGAAGACGGCCCCCGAACGGTATTTTACGTCGGCAGAGGGAATGATGGCGACGGCGCCCTTTGGGAGGATAGCCGCAAGCTTCGCTCGACGTTGGGCATATTCGAGGGCGGAAATGCCGGGGGTGACTGGATCAGGGTCAGGGTCAGTTCTGGGGGATCAAATACAATTGACAGTATAGGTCATGTCCATACGTTCACCCAGTTGGAGAAGATGAGGATGGGTCTCATGCAATGGCTGGCCAAACTGAAGGTCCGCAGCGGAGATGTAGGAACTGTATGGACGACGCCTCAAAGGATTGACGGCGCTCCTCCTGATTGCAGCATTGCCGCATCGTATTACGGGAGGTAAACATACCGTGCGAGCATAGCTACGGATTCTATGCATCGCCGACGGTTCGCTTTAGGAACAATAGAATGAGTGACGAGAACAATAATGAGAGCCAGAAGGTCATCAGTTGCACCAAGAAAAGAAGACCAGATCTGGAGACTACGGGTATACCCTTATCGATAAGCTGTTTAGCTTTATGGAGGGAGATTCCGGTCTCACCTCCGTCCTCCCCGCCTGATGTACATGCATGATGCATCTCCCTGGTTAACTACACTGTCACTATATGCAGTGCTTCTAACTACTGTACTATACTCCCGTATTTTGCTTTCAGATTGCCACACTTCCTGCATGCACATTTAGTGCTACGAAGCCACGCCTCATTGGCAGGGACGCTCTCAGCTGCTGGAGTTATGTAGAAGGAACTTGCTATCCCGTCCGTTTTACTGAATCCACTATCTTATATTCCCCCAAGCTTGAGTCAGAGTTCGACGTCACTTCAGTTATATGTTAAAGTCTCATTTCAACTGTCCGATATCCAGTTCCTGCCGTGAACGCCTACGTCAAGATGCCTCACGCCGTAGGCAGCACTTCCCAAGCCTCCCAGAAAATCGAGTCGTTTGCCCAGCACCTAGCCCAATCGAAGCGGGTTCTGGCATTGCTTGGTGCTGGTCTCTCGGCATCCTCTGGCCTCCCAACCTTCCGAGGGGCGGGTGGACTATGGCGGACCCATGAAGCCACCCAGCTAGCTACTCCCGAAGCCTTCGAGGCCGATCCAGGTCTGGTGTGGCAGTTCTATTCGTACAGGCGACACATGTCACTCGGAGCCCGGCCGAATCGCGCGCACTACGCGCTGGCCGAGTATGCGAAGCGGAATCCGGAGTTCATCACCCTCAGCCAGAACGTCGACGGTACGTCCGCGAACCCCAACTCCAATGCCCGCCACTGACCACCCCAGGCCTCTCCCAACGCGCCGGCCACCCCTCCGAGTCCCTCCATCTCCTCCACGGCAACCTCTTCACCGTCAAGTGCACCTCCTTCTACTGCGGCTACACCGCCGACGACACCACCGACCCCATCGTGCCCGCCCTCGCCATCCCCACCTCCGGCGACGACCCCACTACCACCTCCGCCCTCCACGCCCGCGACCTCGATATCGCCGACGCCGCCATCGCCCTCCCCGAAGTGCCGCTGCAGGCCCTCCCCCACTGTCCCAAGTGCAAGGACGGCATGTTGCGCCCGGGTGTTGTGTGGTTTGGCGAGCGGCTGCCGGAGAAGGCGCTGCAGTCGATCGAGCAGTTCGTCGCGGACCCAAGGCCGATTGATTTGATTATGGTGGTGGGGACGTCGGCGCGGGTGTTCCCAGCGGCGTCGTATGTGGATATCGCGCGGACGAAGGGAGCGAGGGTGGCGGTGTTTAATACGGATGCGAATGATGCGCCGGGCAGTGGGATCACGGAGGATGATTGGTTCTTTTGTGGGGATGCGGCGCAGTACCTACCGGAGCTGCTGAAAGGGGTAATTGGAGATTTGCCTGAAACTAATTGAGCAATGCCTCATGTATGACTGATCACGGCCTTGGAATAGATGCCCGGGAAACGGCACTGGGGGTCGGCGTTTGATCGTATACTCTCGATTTCCTGATGTTTCATGATATCAAAAGCCATTAATTAATGAACTATCTCTTCAGTCGTCAATTCTTTTAATTCAACAAGTCCACCACCCCATAGGCACATAAAATAATTCAGCTTCTCTTCGGGCTTCCAAACCCAAGGTCATTCAACCCAAACGGCGTCGGCTTCTTCACCGGTGTCTGTCCACCACTGGGGCCGGGGGTATCCCCCAGACTTTTGCCCGAATAAACCCCCGGCGCTTTCCAACCCAGCTCTCTTCCTCGCTGGTAGATCCACTCCAGCCGATTCTCCCACGTGCCAGCTTCGACATACTCCTGATATTTCTTCCACAGATTCAACGCCGTCAGGGAGTCCTCCACGCTGTCATGCATGCCGGTTTGGATGTCTTCTTTCAGGAGCAGCCAGGCCAGGAATCGAAGCCCAAGCTTGCGCCCGCCCCAATGTTTCAGGAAGAAGATATCGACCGTGTCAACGACTTGGGCTTTGGGGACATGGATGTTGATGGTGCGGAAGTCCTTGGGGAGTCCGTGCCCCACAAATATGCAGCCCATGTTGAGCAGGAGCCATATCTTCTTGTAGGCCACCTTGAGGCTAACCAGCACATGTCGCGAGGTCTTCGGATCCAGATCTTCTGGCGAGAGTCCTGAATACGCGGTAAGGTAATCCGTAACCGGTTCAGCCACGGCAATGTAATCATCCACAAAGGGTAGTCCTTCATGTTCGCCGTAGCCTCGAAGGACAGATACTCGGCCCAAAGCGAGCCGCGCAGGGCGAATGGTCTCACGAATCCCGCCTGCTTTCACCGAGAACTCCTCGTCCTGGACACGAACGAACTCGGCGTCTATGGCCACGGGCATCCCTGGGAAGGGCGATTCGGACTCCGGTGACAATAACCGGAATTTGTTCGGATCGTCGTCCTGGCGTGGTGACCATCGCTTGAAAAGCAATGACAAATCGAGTTTCTGTTTCCATGCGTCATCGATCTTGTGGCTGGCGGACTTGACCTGGTATGTCACTACGCAGGGTAGTTTCCAGTTCGAGTCAAACCGGAGCGCTTCTTCTCTCGGCATGCCTTTGACTAGGAAGTCATTGAACAAATGCCACTCCGATTGCTCGTTTGCATCTCTTGATGAGGGAGCAACTACGAGCGCCATTAGCACAGCGGAATCTCTGAGATTTGGAATACTTACCGTTGACCAAAGAGACCAGATGCGGCTTCTGGTGCTCTCCGGTATTGATCTCCGTCACAACACCCACTAGCTCATACACAGTGATATTGAACATCTTCCGGCCTAGATGGAAATTCAGATCTCCCCCCTCGTAGCAGAAAAATTGCCCTTGATCCACGATGACTCCAATCTCTTGGGGCAGCCAATTCGGCGTGCTCCACATTTGTTTTGCATCCGCGCTTCGAATAGCAGTGTTGATCATCATGACCGCCGGCACGCTTTGGATGGCTTTTCGTGTCGACAACTGCTGATATCTCTTGCACTCGTTGCACCATCCCCGCGAGTGGTCTTGGCGCTCAACACTGGCTTTTAGGATCTGTGAGAATGTCGGCCTGGGAACCGGAGCACGTGGATTGGCTTTCGGAGCTGCTTTGGTTGGGTAGATGAGTTCATGCACATAGGTTGCCCCTGGTCGAGTCACCTCATTGTTACAAGCTGCGCAGCGGATCCGAGCCATTGCCGCGGTGACGAGCGCGCTGTCCATGTGAGGGGCGTTGGAGTGCTGTCGGAAGTCCGACGCAAGCTTATCCAGCAAAAACCGGTTCAGCGATTGAACCATTGACGCTGTGGTAGCGCCATTATTTTGCTCCTCGAGGAGACTTAGTGATGACGCGCTGGATAAGCTACTGAAGGTTTTTAGAAAGTTCGTTGCTTGACAGTTCTGTCCGGCTGCTTTTTCGAGCATGTCGATCAGAAAGCCCAACTCGCACAATAAGCAGTTTTCGTAGAGACAGGAGGTCGCAGTATGCTGCAATGCCATGTTTCGCAGGATAGGCGTGAACTTGTATAGCTGCAACAGAGCATTGGCGTACGAGTTAGCAATGTGGATCTCTAGACCAGAGTATTTGGTCTTGTTGAAGAATCTATACTTGATTAGCATATCCCGGCGTCCCTCAAGAAAGGGGTCCATACTCGAAATCAAAGTCGTCCACGCCGAACTTGGAGTACTTGATTTCCACGCTCTTATATATCACAGGAATCTCGGTGCCCCCAGATTTGTCAAAAGATAAATCATGCAACAACTCCAGTGCATCTTCGGTCTTCTTGATATCCTCACCCAACGCGATTGCTTCCCGTGCCTTCTCGCTCAGGAATTTTGGCGCCGCTAAAGAAGTCGTGGTCTGTTCCGCGAGCCGAGTATTCTCGACTTGATTTCGCCTCGTCTTTCTTGGATTTGGTGCGTAACCTCCAAGTTCTGCACGTTTCAAATTTGCAACGACATCGGGGTCAAGCTTAGGAGGCGGCGCGCCGACTTCGAAGGTCATGTGGGATGGCCACGAAGACAACAGTGGCTCCCTGTAATAAGGCATGCCTATCGTGTTCAACGGACTGGACATATACTTAGTGATTCGTCAGGTCAGCATATACGAGAAACTCACCTGTCCGGAGACCAATCCAGATGCGGGAGAGGCATACTCTGGTCCGCAAATTCGGTGGGGTTGCTCAGTTCTGCGAAATGGATCTTGGCTGGCGAACCCCATAAATGAATGGCGCTCGCGGAATCTATCAATGCCAACGCTTCGCCTGACGGTGCCATCTCCAATGCCAGTAGATAGGAATCGTACAAGTTGACCTGTCGAAGGTTCACAGTATTCGGGTTCATGATGTCCACAACTTGCAATTGCCCACTCTGTGATGCTACAATGCTAGTCGTGGACATACGCGGATGCATACGCACGAAGGCTGCTCCGGGTTGGAATGGGATTGGTGGTAGTGGCATTAACGTCTTGAGATCGAAAACATTCGCAAGAGGATCAAGAAGGTAGCCATGTTGCTGTCTCGGCGAGTAACCACAAGTTACGAGGAAATCTGCTTTCGCATCCATGTCGTTGATCCAACCAACATGGGCTTGCCACGTCTTGACCACTCGGAACTGGGTGGAATCGAGGAGATGAACGGTACCGCTTTCGGTCGCAGCACAGATATATTGGCCACCGCGCTTCATGATCGTATAACGGCCTTCAGCGGAAATCTTCTGGGTAATTGTGCCCTTCTCAGTATCTATCCTGAACATGGTGTCTTGGCACCCCCCGGCTAACACTTCGCTCGTGCCTTTGGTGGTAAAGCTCATGCATCGGAGGTCCACGAAGGCCTCGTCTTTCAAATGCCATAGCGTCAGCCCCCGTCTGGTCGAGAAGTGTATGCTCTTCTTCGATATCGATAGGACTCCCTTGTCGTTTATGAGGATCTGCTTGACAGCGGGTTCGGGGGGCGCATGAGCTCTGAAAGAGGTATATCGCTGGAGTTCGGAGCCATAGAAGGATGTTACACGGCCCTATATATTGTTACCATTAGTGTGCGACCGTCGGCGGTGTCAGATATGTTGTTCAGGCATACAAATTCGTTTCCGGCCCAGAGTAGCTCTTGCGATGTGTCGAAAGTAACAGTGCTGACAGGTGAAGCAACATTGCCGAGTCTGGATGGGGAAGGAAGAGCTATAAGAGCAACCTATTATACGGTAAGCCTTCGATATGGTGTGGTGACCGGTAGAATAACATTACCTCATCCGCATCGGCCTCCATCTTCTCCGAACAGTATAGAGATGTTATGGTATCAATCGCATGGTGCTTTAGGATTGGAATACCTATAGCCAGAGAGGGTATCCTCAGACTTTAACCGGCGGCGTGGAACCTGTGGGGTGGGCCAGTATAACTTGCAGGATTCTGTCCTGCTATATCTCTATGGAAAGTAGGACAGACCCGTTGAAGGAGGCTTGATATTCGTGGAGGGTGATATGGGATTCGGCGGGAGAGCGGGCTGAACCTTCCACTCCACAGCTTGAAGCTATCACTTTGACATGAATGGTTAGCTCTCTGGTATTCCCATGTTGTCTGATGCTGTCATGATGTACTAACAGGAAGAAGCATTATTATCCAGAGATGTACGTACCAGAATCGCGGCAGCTGCTGAAGCCCCTCATGATTCATGTTGCGAAAACGGTGCCTGAGTGCCTGACCAGGACGACCGCATTATTTACCCGAGATCACCCCGACCTCTCAAACCCTCCGACGACTTGGCTGGAGATGACTTGCCCGATTAACTCACACGAAGCTCAGCCTTCTGCCTTCATCATAGACTCTAACTAGTTAGTTAGTTACTAACATTGTGCCTATAGTTCTTTTCGCTTCCTTTTAGAGTTATTCATTTGATACATGTTATCATCTACTACTACTATAATTTGCAGTCTCTCCTGATTTTAAACCGTCCAACCAGCCTGCTGTTCAATCCACTTCGGTGTTGATATTGACATATTTCTGACCGCGGATGATGAACAGGCGACGGCCAGGAGGCTAATTAATACTAACACTGGCCATTTTGAGGAGTATATTGGGAGGCACATTCCTAGATATGCGATCCTTTCTCACACCTTGGGGGATGAAGAAGAGTTCAAGGATATGAGCGATCCATCTTGCAAGACAAGAAAGGGATACCGGAAATGATTCCCGGGACCAACAACTACGCTTTAGTATCGTTCACGGCAACGGAAACAGATGACAAGCATTTGCCGAAACCTGTTCTGGACGATCGAGTTCTCCTACGATATCTATGAGGCTGATGTGATCCCGCGGATTTCTAAAGGGTATTGGGGATGGTAGCCCATTGAGAGAATACCGAATACATCGGTACCGGCGACAGACGACAGACGACAGACGACAGACGACAGACGACAGACGAAAGAGGCCTTGGATGTATGGCTTAATGCATCTAATTATGACATGGTTTACACAAGGAATAGCTAACTATCCGCACCTCGCGTGCCCATTTGATTCCATCATGTTGCAGAATTGGGCGCATGGCGTAAGTGGTGTCAAATCTGGATCCGCGATATGATTTTCATCTCACTTCAATTTGGTTATCACTATTATCTTTCCCACATATCCTCTACTACAATACAACATCCGGCCTATAATCTTTCCCGACCGGTTTCTTCTCTATCTTACATACATTGTAGATCAAGCACACAAGAAGCAGTTCACTAGTGTCAATGAGTCCATGATGTGATCTTCATTTCACTTCAATTTGGCTATCCCTACCTCTTCCACCACTTTTGCCCTCCACTCAATACAACACGCCACCTAATCCCATCTCTCCTCTCGATCTCTCCTCCTCGTATGAGCCGTCCCGAAAGAAACCCGGCTAGGTTTCTCAAATAAATATGCATGCCATATGGTGAACACCGGCCATCCCGCGTGCGTCGCAGATCAAGCCCAAAGCAAATCAATCATCAGAAGCAAATTACAGCGCAGCGCAAAATGGATATGGAGGAAAATGTGTCAGGGCTACAAATGCATCATGCGTCACTAAGCAGCGTCCACCTATGACGTCGTCTCCGGCTTCGGTGCCTCAGTGGCGGCGGGGGCGGGGGCGGCGCTGTTTTCTTTTGATGCTTCAGCGGGAACAGCCTCAGTGACCGCAGGTGCAGCGGCAGCAGGGGCAGCCTCTGTAGGCGCAGGCTGAGCTGGTGCAGCCTCAGGAGCAGGGACCTCAGCCGCAGGGGCCTCAACAGGAGCTTCCGGCTTCGCCGGCTCCGTGGGCTGCGGTCCAGCAGCGATGACCTCGGCGGTTGCCTGGTCGGCGTACTTGGTGAAGTTCTCGTTGAAGAGGACGGCCAGCTTGTTGACCTCCTCGGAGAAGCTAGCGTCGGCGGTCCATGACTTGCGAGGGTTGAGCAGCTCGTCGGGGACGTTGGGGCACGACTTGGGGACGTGGAGGTTGAAGACCTCGTAGGTCTCGTACTCGGACTTGGCGAGCTCGCCGGAGTGGATGGCGTCGAGGATGGCGCGGGTATACTTGAGCGGGCAGCGCTTGCCACCCGTCATAGCGCCGGCGCCGACCCAGCCAGTGTTAAGGAGCCATGCGTTGGCGTTGTGTTGTGAGATCTTCTCGGCGAGCATCTTGGCGTAGCGCATGGGGTGCAGGGCGAGGAAGGGTTGGGCGAAGCAGGAGGAGAAGGTGGCTTGGGGTTCGGTGACGCCTTGCTCGGTGCCGGCCATCTTGGAAGTGTAGCCGGAGATGAAGTGGAACATGGTTTGTTCGGTGGTGAGTTTGGAGATGGGTGGGAGAACGCCGCGGGCGTCGCAGGTGAGGAGGATGATGTTTTGCGGGTGGCTATTGCTAATGCAGGGGATCTTGGTGTTCTCGATATATTCGATGGGGTAGGCACTGCAATTCTGGTTAGCCGCAGTTCAATACAAGAGAAGAGGCGAAACCATACCATCGAGTGTTCTCGGTAAGAGTGGAATCCTCATAGTCGACAACACGGGTGACGGGATCGAAGACGACGTTCTCCAGGATGGAGCCGAAACGGATGGCGTTGAAGATATCGGGTTCCTTCTCGGCTGACAGGCCAATGCACTTGGCGTAGCAGCCACCCTCAATGTTGAAAACCCCGGTATCCGACCAGCAGTGCTCGTCGTCACCAATCAAAGCACGCTTGGGGTCGGCGGAAAGGGTGGTCTTGCCAGTCCCTGACAGACCGAAGAAGACGGTGACGTCGCCATCCTTGCCCTCGTTGGCGGAGGAGTGCAGGGTCAAGACGTTGTGCTTGACAGGCATCTCGTAAAAGAGCACAGTGAAGATACCCTTCTTCATCTCGCCGGCGTATTCGGTACCGAGGATGACCATCTCCTTCTCGGCAAAGTTGATGGCGACGGAGGTGGCGGAGGTCATGCCGGAGGTGTATTTGTTGGCTGGGAACGCACCGGCATTGTAGATGACATAGTCGGGGTGGAATCCTTCGAGCTCTTCACGACTCGGTCGGATCAGCATGTTCCTCATGAACAGAGCATGGTATGCGCGGGCGCAGACGACGCGGACGCGGATGCGGTACCGCTCGTCCCAGCCGGCGAAGCCATCGACGACGTAGATTCGGTTTCGGGTGTTGAGGTAATCGATGGCACGTTCTCGGTTGATATTCCAGACCTATTTCGAACGCCATTAGTACAATTCGGGCCATTGAAACAAATCGAGCCAACAATAATAGCGCAATATGCAAGGGGTTCATGCAGTTCTCCGTTCTCGTAGTATCGGTTGTTGTCGGATGGTTGACGTTGGCAATTGGCACGTGCTTCGGCGGTCGGGCCAAGACGTCAGGCACTTAGGCCAATAGCGGGGCAGCAAGACCACGACATGTCCCACATACAAGGGCAGGAGCAACAAGGCAACACTGCAACAACCGAGAAAGAACGAGTGACAAGAGGCGAGTGACGGAAGGAGCGAATGGCGAGCGTTTGCTCGGCACCATCCTCTCGAGTCTTGTCTCTTCCTTGGCCCTTGCAGGATCTGCAGTGAGCACATGCGCAATTCCGCCTTCAGGCCAAGGCAATCGGATTTCTCCACCAACGCCCCTCGTTCCCCAGTCCTTGAAATGACGTCGGCCGCGGCTATGCGCGTTTGATCGAAGAGAATGACCCGGCATCGTGCCCCAATATCGGGCTGACCGGATCCGCACCCCAGAGAACATGCATGGGACAACTGCTGAAATGCCGAAATACGGAAATACTGAAGTAATGGAAATAATGGAAAGCATGCTGAGGTCATTTCTCCCCCAGCATTAGGAAGAACTTACATCTGGGCTCATGGGTTTGTTTACTGGTCCCCACCACACTTGGTCGACGTTGTCGACAATCCGCTTGTCGCTAGGTGACCGACCGGTCTTGGCTCCTGAGTAGGCGCTCAAGGCACCGGATGAGGTAATGGCTGAACCGGTCTCGTAGACCAGGGCATCTTCGTAGAGAGCAGGTACTGAGGGGTTGGCGACGATGGCTACGCGGTCGTAGTCAATGTGTGCTTGTTGATGCTGCGTGGATGTTAGGACAAGGGCAGTCTGGCCGGATATCAGCATGTTCATGGTGATCTACTCACAAGTTCCTCCTCAATCTCGGTGTGCTCGGCTTGGGGACTGGAGATGGATCAGTAAGACGACCAATTGCCAACACCAGTGATATCAAGTAGGACTTACATGACACCGCCCGGGTGCAGGGCTGTTTTGTTGACTGATGAGACCATGTTGACGTTACGGAGAGAGGTAGAATGGAAGTTGGTGTGTTGCTGCTTGGAAATTTGCTGCCGTACAAAGTCATCGGCCAGAGGAGCGGGCGAAGCCGTCCTAATTATACCTCTGGACATGCTGAGGGATCGTGACTCGGGTCTTGATGGTCCAGCAACGTCAAACAGGAGGGACCCCAGCGGCGCGAGCTGATTGGGCCGAGGTGCGAAAAGAAACCGGTCGTGTTCCGACGTCCGCCAAAGCCTGCTCGGGTCTTTGCGGGTTCCGGTGATATGTGGGGAGGGTGTGAGGGACAAGTACACGCGCGGCTGAGAATGCGGGATAAGACGTGCGAGGTTGGGTTCCGTGAAGGTTTTAAGAGGAGTGAAGGACATCCAGAAAGGTTCCGACGAACATCACGATAGCAGGAATTGGGTGGGGAGGGTGAGGAATGGGACAATGATGATGATGAAATGGGTGTGACGACAAGTCGCCGTCACTGGAATGCTTTGATCCATCATCCAGATTCCAAGCAATCCAACTTACCAAATGGATCCAGTCTCTCCTTGAAATGCGGGGTTTGGACCAGTCAAACGTCAACAATCAAGTCACAACTGAGCCAGATGCATTCTTTGCAGCAATTTCCTGTTTCCTTGATGTTTCTTCGGCCTAGACAGCCTAGAAACGTCTCAATACCAAATAAAGGACCAATCGTAGGCGTTGGATTATTTACAAACAAAGGATGATTAGGTAGGTACTGGTAACTAGTTATGATACCATACTAGGTAAGCTATGATCACTTGCCAGTCCACAAACAATTTTCCACGGTCACATCACTCATCACATCCTGTTGATGAGTGGATCGCATCCTCTCTTTTCCATATCACGGTTGATCTAGTCACCACTTGATCCATCGTCAACTCATCCATCAATTGCTCCATCACCCTCATTCCCGAACAAAGGCCTAGCCAGGCCCAGAATTTCCGTCCGCAGCCTGCTCCGCCTCCCACTCGTCCGGACGGAACCGTCACCGGGAGCCGCGATCCCTGCTCTCGGCTTCGTGCTTCGGGAGCCTTCGCGATGCTGATGCTTGCAAGGGGAAAACTTGGGGGAGAATTATTCCAGGGCCCACAGCTGGGTCCTGACTCCGGCGGTGGCTGAGGTGCGGGCGGTTGGGCTGGACCGGTCTTTGTTGTCAGTTGGAGAACTTTGCCACTGCAGGTGATTCGTCTGATGTTTGGATCGTAGACGAGACGATTTAGGTCCAATATCGATTATTGACTCCGAGGCGCCAACGCGATTTCTTATTTTTATCAATTCTTCTTGTTTCAAAGGCCTCAATGTGATGCACGAAATTCACTACAATGGTTCTGTAAAGAGAAGGATGTGCTATGCGCGTTTCCCAGTCCGTCGTTAATCGTTGTCTATAATGCTTGTAATTCCCATGTTCGCGAGTTATATTAATGCGGCATTTGTTCGCAGCGCCGTGAAACTGCAACCTTATCCGCGTCCGCTCTTATCGACTCGGCCCATCAAGTCCATCAATGACAATGAACGCGTCGCCTCCGTCAGCCCTCCTGCTTCACCGCCACCAGGTACCACCAGCGTTCCCGAGAAATACCGCTTCCGAGCCTGTCCTATTCCCCGCGCGGTGTGCTGCAGATTTAGTACCCACGCAGATTGCCACCCCGCGTGCGTTTCGGACCGGACGCCATCCGTCTAACCCACTGCAGATTAACACAATCTCTGGCGCGAGGGGGATCGGGGTGGTTCCTGGACACCAAGATATTGAGTGAGACTGTGAGAGGCGACACGGAGAGCTTGGGTTCGGAAAGCTTAGGCTGCTTCATTGAGAACAAGCATCCGTGGCAGACGACGATCGGAACAGATGAATATCATATCAATTCCCTTTGATATTATGTTACATGGAAACTTTTCTAGACTGCGGCAATAATGTCGATGAAGAGGGATCTCTCTCCTTTCTCCAGTTCAACCCTCCACCTTCTCCTCCTCCGTCTGACGGTTGCGGTTCTTCATTTCCCTCTTCGCCTTTGCCCTTCCGATCACCCCTTTCATCTTCTGCGAACCCCTCAGGTAAATCCATGTGAAGACGAACACCATCGCGAAGTTAAATGCGATATATCCCAAGAAGATCCCATAATCTCTCCATCGGAATCGGTAGAACGCGTTGAAGCTCGCCGCGAACTGATCGCCATTCGCATACTGACAGAACCCGCACAACCCCCCCTCCACCGTTTCAACATACCCTCCCATCTGTCGCACGAACGCCTCCGTGAACTTCTCGCATGACTGGCCCGCCGGGGGTGGAAACCTAGCCAACTCCTGCGGCTCGCACCGCAGCGGCACATCGTGCGTGACGAGCGTGAGGAACATCTCGAGCAGGTAGCGGAAGGGCGTGAGGTGGTACATCCAGGACTGCCAAAAGTGGGGAAGCACAGCGTACGGGACGACGATGCCGCAGAAGGCGACGATGAACATAAAGGTGACGGGGACGAGGAGCGACGCGACCAGGTCGTTAGGCGAGATGGCGGCGATAGCTTGGCCGTAGCCCAGGTAGTAGAGCTCGAAGAGCATCACCAGGGACCAGACGATGCCGGAGGTGTAGGCGTCGCGTGGCAGGCTAGGGGGCCAGTACCTGAACAGGGGTCAGTGAGACAAGAGACGGGAATGCAAAAGCACAACATACCAGGCCGCGAAGAACAGCGTTCCAGCAACAAAGCGGTAAGGGATCTCGGACACGATGACGGAGATGACAAATACGGGCCAAGAGTAGGTCCTCGAGCTGGATTCGCGCGACTCAAACAGCGCCCTCGCCGCGAGAAAACGAGGCTGAAGCTGCTGGATTAACGGGGGGGAGATGGTGAGAACCATGAAGATCGAGAATAGTCGACTCTGCATGTCGATCTGGCTGTTGCCAATGTCCCAGAAGGTGAAGGCATTGAAGAGACCTGGTATATGTCAGATACTGGAGGTACATTCTCGGGGGGGAAGAACACCCCCGAACAGACTTACCAGTGAAGATATGAAGTATCATCATCCCAACGACGTAGTCCTGGCTTCGCCACATCGAAACAAACGATCGATGGGTGACCAACCATGTCTGCGTCCAGAACGGCGTTGCATACCCGCCGGCCTTGGTATTCCGTTCACTCACTCGAGTGCCTTGACGTTCGTTGTCCAGCTTTTCCAACTCTTGCTCGAGCTCGCGCTTCTCTTTGGAATTATCCCACACCTCGCCATAGTCAGGGCCTCGATAGGTCGGATCACCCGCTCCGATGACGTCGAGCATGTACTCTGCGGGATTCGTTTGAGGTGGGCATCTCTTTCCACCGTTGCTCTCGAAGTAGTTGATAAGTGTACGGCCGTTGTTGCCAATCGGTCCGAAATAGGCCGTCTTACCACCACTTTTAAGCAACAGCAGGTTATCAAAGTACTGGAACAACACACTCGAAGGTTGATGGATAGTGCAAAGGATCGTCTGCCCCTGATCCGCCAACCTACGAAGCAGCCGCACGATATTGAACGCGGCTCCACTATCCAACCCCGACGTCGGCTCATCAAGGAACACAAGCATGTCTGGCTTACTTGCCAACTCCACCCCAATCGTCAAACGCTTCCGTTGCTCCTGTGTCAGTCCATTGCCCTCGGAGCCAATAACCGCCCCAGCAATGTCCCGCATCTCGAGCAAATCAAGCACCTTCTCACAGTAGTCGTACTTCTCTTTCGTCGACGTTTCGTACGGTTGTCGCAGCTGAGCCGAGAAGCGGAGCGCTTCGCGGACCGTCGACGTCGGCTCGTGGATATCCATCTGCTCAGCATACGCGGGTGCGAAGCTGTGAGGCAACGGTTTGCCGTCGACGCGGAAGTCACCGGTGACGGTGCCGATGCGGAGACGCTGCGCGAGGGAATTGAGAAGGGTGGTTTTCCCGGCGCCGGACGCGCCCATCAGTGCGGTCAGTTTGCCGGGTTTGACGTAGCCGCTGATGCCGTTTAAGAGGGTCCGTTGGCCGCCTTGGTAGGGGATCGTGTAAGTTACTCCTCTCCATGTGAGTACCGCATGATCGACGTTGAGCGCCGTGGTAACATCTTGTTCTTGACTGCCAGACTCGGTTGGCGAAGGATAATTCTTTTCCATTCCGTGCTCTTCATCAGATGCGTATTTCTTTTGCTTCATGGGGTCTGGAGTGTAGCCCCGTTTGTAGACTGTCACCGAGTCGCCGCTGGTATTTGGTTTCTGGCGCTCGAGACCCACCGCAGTGAGGAAGACGAAGAAGAAGAAAAATGCGAAGATGATGCCGACGTTCCTCCATAGGTGCGAATAAGAGTAACCGAATGCGGTTTCGATGTAATCGTCGCCAAGCACAGTCGTAGAGCCTGGCCTGCTGCCTTGAAGCGCACAGCCTTGGTTTGCTGGAGGTGCATTCGGCGGCACTAGATAAGGCGTTGTGCATTGAATTTCTAAGCCGTGAAACTCGTTGCTGATCATACCCTCATAAGCATATTGGATAGGATTGACCCAGATCAACCACTTGAACCAAGGTCGCATCTTGGTTTTGGGAATTAGGTAGCCGGTATAGACTACAAAAATTTGAATGGCAACCCCAGTGATACGCGTCGCAATATCCAAGGACGAAACAAAAGAGCCAACGGCTCGGAAGAATGCGTACATACTCATGGTTGCGACCCATAGTAAGAGAAAATCGATGAAGAACTGGCTCGGAGTGCGCGACAGATTAGCCATAAAATAAACAATCAGCTGGAAGATCGATATCTGAATGAAGACCAGGGGCACGTCAATGACGGTTTGCGCGATGGCGTACGCGCTTGGGCGGTAGAACGCAAAACTTTTGTGTTTCATAAGAATCGGCCGAGACTCGAACGCAGCGGTCAATTCCGCCAAGGCAAGGAGAGCGTTGAACAAAAGCATGAAGAACAGGACACCACCACGGGTAAAAACGCCGGCGGCCGTGTTCGGGAGGTTGTAGAACAAGCTGCCCGTAATCAGGGCCTGGAAGACAATGCCGAACCACTTGCCAATAAGACTCTCCTTGTCACCGAGCATGACGAGAGCCTGGCGTTTAGTGCAAGCGATAACCTGCTTTTGGAACGAGACAGTGTAGTTCTTCTTTTGAGTGGCTTTTGACATCGCCCGTTCTCGATCTGCTGTGATGCCTTCAGTCTCGATCTCGAACTCATTGACTTCGTTCAGATTGTTTCGGTAGATGTCACTGTTCTTGAAGGATGCCGCGAACTCGCTTGCATTACGAGGGATGCGATTCTCGTAGCCATCCTGAATTTGACGCTCATGATCATCAGTCACGCTGGTCAAAAAGTCGGAGGTTGTCCATCGTTCCGGTTGGGCAAACCCCAGACTCTTGAAGTACGGCCCCGCCTTCTCGGTTGGCCCAAAATAGCAACATTGGCCTTCGTTGATGAGTAGGACTTTGTCAAACAGCTCATATATCGACTGGCCAGCTTGGTAAAGGGCAACGCAAGTGGAAGTGGAGGCCATGTTCGTAAGCGCCCGTAAACTTTGCACATACTCCAAGGCGGTCGCCGCATCTAAGCCGCGCGTGCTATTGTCCCAGCATTGAACTGTGGCTTTCGTAACCAAGGCTTCAGCGATGGAGACTCGCTTTTTCTCGCCGCCTGAAACACCACGGACGAATGCCGAGCCAACTTTGGTGTCCAGAGTGTGTTCGATCCAGAAGAGCTTCGTGACGACCTCGAGGAAATTTCTCGAGTAGGATTTGCGGCTCTCGCCCTCTTTCCTTGACTCCTTGCCCGGGGTTCGTGTTTCCAATGCAAAGTTAAGCGTATCCCTCACTTTGAGAGTCGCATAGTGAAGATCATCCTCTGGGGCGTAAATGACTTCACTTCGGAACTTCTTTTCCATTTCTTCCGAGCTCGTTCCACCATAACGCACATCGCCTTCGATCTTTTGGTATCCCGATCTCTGGTTTCCGATCACCTTCAGGAAGGTAGAACAACCGGATCCAGGCTGTCCGAGCACCAACACTAATTCACCAGGCTTGATGCAACCGGTGAAATCATCTAGGATGGTTTTCGATGATTTTTTGAAGGAGCTGGTACCTCGGCTAAGTAGAGTCCATAGTTGACGTGCCAACCCAAGGAATACGTCTCCAGTGGTAGGCTGAAGACTCGTCCCGGCGGCTGCACCAATAACCGTGAGATGTTTGAAGACAACGCCAAAATGCCGTGTCTTCTCTTCTTCGGATGTCTCTTGACGTGATTGACCAAAGACTCGCGAAAGGAGCTGGCGAATCTCCTTTTGCGCTTCGTCCTCATCTGGATCTTGCGTGGCAACCGATCCGGTCCTTCTTCGAGAAAGGGTTTTAAACAACTGTTCTTGGGTAAGCTGTCGCGAGATTTTTGCTCCCTCTGACATCCGATGGTCCTCCCGCTTCGTGATGGGGGCGGTTATGGGAGCAAAAGCGGCATCTTCTCCCTTCTCTTCGGTTGGGGTCTCAGCCTCCTCGACGGGCATGGAATTCTTGTCTTCCGGTGAATCGACTGTTGTGGTGTCGAAAGAGTCTGCGTCGCTAGAAGTTGATGACCGGTAAGCTTCTTGATCGGTACTAGAAGGGTAAGTGCTCGCCGCTGGGGGTCCCGACCTTTTGGTTGAGTCGAATCCGTTGCCAGTGCCGGGAGTAGGGGTTGGTTGCGTCCCAAATCCCGAACTTTGCCTATAGCTAGGCGATCCACCAGGTACATTCTGCCTGATCGGTGTTGGCTTGTCGCTCCCCATGCTTCCAACTGTGTAAAAGTTTGCTTTCTACCAATTGAAGCTGGCCTATGGCCGTGCGTCGTATCTCCACAAAGTTCAATTATGTTGACGCACAAAAACTTAAGGACATGCTTCTGCAAACACCCTTTACATGAGCCAAAGTGACACGATAGAGAGAAAAGAAGGGGAATATAACGAGAACGCGAAGCGGATGAAAATGTAAAGCAAGACTCATTAATAATCGAAAAATTGACAATAGTAAGAAGGACGAGTCGATTTTGATAGTATCCAGTTAATATCATTTTCTTTCGGCGTTATCAAGTGAGCAATCAGCAATATTGATTCCTAACTCCGGCCTGGTGAGCGTCATCGGTCCCTTACGGAGGTAGATTTGGTCGACCACCGTTAGTCGCTCCACGTCATGAACCCCGACACAAGCAAAAAGAACAGACGATCACGGTGGTTCGGAGTTCTGGAAGCCCGACCCTAGCTGTTGTTTCCAAATAATTTTACATCATCGACGTCTAGAACATCGACTTCCAATTTCCAGATGAGTAACTAGTACCTTCCCCTACATCCAGGATGGAAGAAATTAATTGCCCTTCGCCTTCGACGTGCACCTCAAGCCTAATATAGATGGGGAGCTCTCCGTCTTTAAGAACGGTAATAGGAGGCGAAAGCAGGAAACGACCAAGAGTTCTTGACGCCCTGAAGGTATGCTTCAGCCTTCAGGACCGACAATTTCTTCGTCCAGATGCTAGTGCACCAATGCGACGTTATTCGGTTGAGTAATCAACAGTGGGATACCAGGAGAGACATGGAGCCACTTGGGCACTCTTTGGCATTGTTTTGACCTCGAGTTCTCGGATGGACATGGACGTACATTGGGGAGGACGTAGATCGGGGGAGGACGCCAACATTGAAGTGACGTGACGGAGAAGTGCGGTTCCTGGCACGCCTGGATACGTGCCGCCAGCATGAGACCTCGGACCCTGGTCAATCTCGATCGATCCACCCGACTCGGCGAACATCTCAATTATCAGATCTTATCACCGATCACGTGCTGCAATTCTGCAGCCGAAGGATGAGGTCAAGGGTTGAAAATTCCCAAACTTTAGAGGGCATCATAATAGACGGGAATACCTGTTCAGTGAATCTTGTTGGATTGGAGTTAGGTACGTAAGGCGAGAATGAAAGGTATTAATGCCTCAAAAGTCAAAACCCTTAAGACGTCACAGGAGCCAACAACAGCCTTCAGCCACATACCTGTTTATCCATCTGGCTGTGCAGTGACTAAGCCCAATCGGTCTACGGCTCTACGCCCCTTTCAAGGTCAACTTTCTTAATATTATTCCTTGAACTCTTCCAGCAGTCAGCAGTCTCCCGTCTGACCTTTGTTGCACAGGCGAAGGAAGCGGGACCCGAAATATATATGACATCCACGGCCATGAGCTCGGCTATCCCCTTGGTTGACGTCTCCCGATCCCCATCGCCATATCCCCGGAGCCGGCCCGGAAGTGCCACACAATCCGACGATGAAGACGACTTCGCCGTCCCTCCGAGTCTGAGACCCCTGGTGCACGAACAGGGGGAGTTTTCCAACCGTTCCGCGTGGAAGCGGGTGTTTCTCGATGGCGGGTTCGGGGCGTTTTTATTGAGCACTTGGGGTGGCTTGCAATTTTACGTTGCGTTTCTGGTGTTCGCGGTGGCGGGATGCGAGTTTGCTCTTGTCGTGTTGAATAGATTGATTTTATTGAGTATGTCCGACCCCGAAAAGTAATGCATGCGGATCGATTCTAACATTTCGCAGCTGGAGTGTATAAGTATGTCTAGCCCACCCGGAGCAAGGACATGACGCTAAATTTCTTTCAAGATTTCCATATCCCCTAACGGCAACATGGATTCAACTTGTCATTGCACACGTATTCTTCCTGCTCGCCGCCGGCTTGACCCGCCTAGTAGGCAAATGGCTCGTCAAGGCCGGCCTTGGGGCAGCGGTCGCGCCGTCTCGTTCGCCATCGAAACGGCCCGGTGCCCTGCAATTGGAAGCCAACCGGCCGCTGTGGGTGAGAATTCTCTTCTATCCCTTCCTCCACAGGTTTGGTGGGATCGCCGGGGGGGGGATCTTCGAGTTTGATTTGCAGATCGCGCGCCAATGCCTCTTGCTCGCCGTGGTGTTTATCGGCAAAATCATCCTGAGTAATATCTCGTTCGCGTGAGTCGCATTACGGTCTAAAATGTGGATGTATCGTTGACCACGCCCAGCTACGCCGTCCTTCCCGTCTATACGCTGTCAAGAGTCGGCACCACGCCCACGACCCTCCTCTTCACCACCTTTCTCACCGGTACTAACCACTCGGTCCCCGTGCTATCCGCAGCCCTGACCTCCACCTTCACCCTCCTGATCGCTAGCGTCCGCAAAGGATCCCGCGTGACCTGGGAGAGCATCCTCGCCGGCACGTGGTCGACCGTCTTCGTCAGCGTGTATCCCATTATCCTCATGCGTACAGTTCGCGTGCTGGCCGACATGCGCACGGTCCCGCGCGGATCCCAACCTCCCGAAGTCCTCCTCGACATCGACGATCCCTACGACGAGGCGAGCGGCCGGGGCACCCCGAACGCCACCCGCCACGCCGCCGTCGCGTACTGGCGCGTCGTGCATTACGTCTCGGTGATCTCCCTCGCGGTCCTCACGCCGCTCGTCATCCTGTCGGGCGAGCTGGGCCAGATCCAGCGCAACTGCTATTTCCTCGACGTGCCGTGGTTCTGGTTCCTCACCCTGCTCGGCGGGCTGTCGTCATTCGCGGTGTTTCTATTCTACTTCCTACTAGTCAAGGCGACGAGTCCGCTGTCGGCGAATTTCGTGAGCGTGCCGCGGGGCGCGTTTCAGCTCGCGATGCTGAGTGGGAAGATGCCGGCGCATGCGTGGGTGGGCGTGGGGGTGTGCTGGGCGAGTTCGGTGTGGTATGCGTTGATCAAGCGGAATGAGGCGCGGTCAAGAGGGAAGATGAGATTGGAGGCGGCAAGGTGAACGGAACGGGTCGTGTGTCATCATCTATGTGGGAACAACATGGAATCTAATACAAGGCATTGCATGGGCTTGGAAAAGCTACGGCGTCTGGAGTACAAAAAAAATCTGGATATCATTTGGAATCATCCGTCCATGGCCCCTTTGGCGCTCCACGCTGGCTTCCAAACCGCCTCTATTACCATCGTTGCGTGATCGTCATCGCACTTCGTAGTCTAACCTAAAGGCCGTTCACCATCATTTACTGCTTTTGCAGGAATTGGACCAGCTCATTCAGCTGACCGCGCGTCTCATCGTTGAGCTGCTCCTCTGGTGGGCTCAGCACCTTCTCCAACGCCGGCTTCATCTGCTCGGTGAGGGCGAGCATTGCCTCGTTTTGTGTCTTGTCTGTTCAGTGGTTAATGAGATGGCATAGAATAAGAGATCCGTGATGACCTACAAAGTCCGACAATGGTCTTGTAGACCGGTGTATTCTCCTCATAGTCTTCTCGTAGCGGCAGCAGGTCCACGAGGACCGGAAGCACATCCTTGAGCGGCAACCGGTTCGGGAAGCGGCAGATGATCCTGCTCAGACATCCCGCCGAGTTATCGGCGATCCGAGCCGGCTGCTCGGAATCCAGAAGTGGCTCGAGCTTCGACGTGATGGAGCCTAGGTTCTTCAACAACTCGGCCTCGTCGCCCGACTTCTCGTACAACATCCCCACTCCGTACACGGCGTTCGACTTGACCTCCGGGTCCTCGTCGCCGACGCGATGCAACAAGATCTTCATGAACGAGCTGGTGTACGGCGTCACGCCCTCACCCATGTGAGCGATGCACTCGGCAATCGAGCCGATCGTTGCGGAGCGCTCGTATCCTTCTTGGCCGCTGGCCCATCGCAAAACGTACTTCTCCAGGCGTTTCCACAGCTCGACGAAATCCGGACCGATCACGGCAGCGAGAGCGACCATCAAATCGAGAGCGGTTTCGATGATGAGCCAATCGTACTCGGATGACTCCTGGGGAATGTCCTCCTCGTCGGCGTTCTCATCACCAAGATCGAGCTGGCAGCGATGTTGCTTGGAGAGAATGGCGACGATGCCTTCAACAAGCTGGTGGACGACATTGCCGGTGCCGTCTTTCTTCACAAGTGGTGCGGGTCCGCATTGTTTCAAAGTGGCGGCCAGGATGCGGTTGAGGTCGGTGACTGTTGGTCTTCATCCGAACGTGTTAGCAAGCTTCAACTGAGGAATAGCGAGATAAGGTAACAAGAATCATGGAAAGATCAGAACTAGTTTAATCTTTGTGTTCTCTTCATACGCACTTAGGCGTCTGAGTGAGCTGGGTAACAAAGGAGTTGTCATCATAAAAGCATGGATGTTCAGGTTGAAATGCAGCACACAAAACTCACCGATCATCTTCCTCCTCCCAATTGGGCAACGTAGCCGTCATGATCATGTCTCCCAGCTTCATAATGTCGTCCGATGGCTGGACTTTCAGGGGGAAGCCAGGCTTCCATTTCTCAGCGCCATTCTGCTCGGCGAGGCCTGCAACAACAGCATATGCTCGCCACAGCGTGACAATCGCCGCCTTCCGGATGCCTTCGTAGCTATGTTCGGCAAGTTTGAGGACGGACTCGATCGTCTTTTCGAAGTGTGGGAGGTATCGTGCTTTGGTGTAGCTCAGCACGTCACCGATACATTCGATCGCGATTTCCTTCTCCATGCCGATGGCGGTGATGGCTTCAAAATCCTCATCTTCCCAGTCTTCACCGGACGGATCCAGATCGATGATCTCCTCCTCGCCGTCTTCATCCTTGGCGGTAGCGACGGTGAACTTCTTTCCACCGATCGTCACCTGAGTGGAGGCGAAATCTTCAGCGTCTTCATCAAACTCGACGTCGTCGTTGCCTTCTTCTTGATTGAGACTGTCTAGAAGCCCTTTCGCCACGCCATCGAGATACGGAGCAAAGTCCTCTTCATACAATTTGGCCATCGTACTCCAGAGGATGTAGCTCGTCTCGCGAACATGGGGATGGTCGAGATGCAATGCTTCCTCGGATGACTGCATGAGAGGCACCACGAACGGCTTGAACTCTTCCGGGCCAACCGCGATCGCGATCTTTCCCATTGAATCGACAACGACGCACCGGAGGTCGAGCTCCTCTTGCGACTCTTTCTGCTCCACGTATTTGCCAAGCGCCTGCATGGTCTGTTTGAAGTATGGGATGAACCCTTCTTCGGCGGCGGAGGCAATGGACCCAACCGCACCAATAGCGGCTGACCGTGTCCGGTAATCATCGTGTTCCAGCAATCGGCTGAATCGTTGAACCAGCTCGGGTGCGTACTTGGCGGCGTCCTCTTTCTCCAACCCTTCAATCAGAGAGTCGATCGCGTCGCAGGTGCTGCGAATGATTCTGAGCGCGGCCTCCTCGTCGTTACCGCTCCCAATCCCTTGGTATGCGGCATCAAAGCCACGGATCATGGTGGGAATCAGCTGCTCATGGTACTTTCCGAGTTCCTCCGCCAAGTCGTCCGCAAGTCGAGCAATGCAGCTCAGAGCAGCTTCGCGGACTTGGGCGTTCGAGTCCTCAAGAAGACTCAAAACCATGGGCATGATTTCTTTCAACTGGCTGCTCATGAAATCCGGTGCACCTTCCACGCACTGACCCAGGGCAATAAGCCCAGCACGACGCTCACCAGGGTCTTGCGAAGTGACATAGGGCCCAATAGCTCTCAACAACGGGACGACGACCTGGCTGGGCGGTAGACTTGAGGCAAGGTAGTCGATGAGGCTGAGCGCCATACGGGCAGGTGAGAGGTCTTCATCATCGCTAGCGAGGTCGTTGAGCTCTTTGACGATCTGCAAAGACCGGAGGGTGAGCTCTTCTCCAATCCGGAGGGATTGGATCTTGAGTCGCTTGTATCGTGCGGCTTGCATCAAGAAACCCAGAGCTTGTGAGCGGGAGTCCTCATCCATGTCGGGCTGAGAGGCAAGATCCATCATGAACTTGACAATGTCCTTGAAGTGTGCGTCGAGCAACGCCCCATCGGCAGCGATGAAAGTGTGAAACACCTCGAACGCTTGGGCAGCATGGTCTGCTTGGGCAAGGACAGCATCCTTCAAAGCGATCATCATCCCCGGCACACAGCTTTGGAAATCCTTCACGGATTTTTCATCCTCCTCCGCGTCAATCAACATGGAAATACGGCTCAGCGCCAGCATGGTATTGACACGGACTTCGATGCTCTCCGGATCTTGAATGGTTTTGCGCAACAAGTCGAACACACCGCCCAAGTTCTCGGAGAACATGTCACCCATTGCGTCGAGCAGGAGGTACGTGATATACACGCCTACTTCGCGGTGTCGGACATCGTTTTCCACTGCAGCGGCCTGGAGAAGGCCTGGAAGCTCGGTCCATGTCTCATAGTCTTGCTTGTAGATGCCACAGACGACACGGGCCGAAGCATGTCGGACCAGCCTAGCTTCCTCATTCAATGTCTTCGCCAACAGTTGGTTCCGAATCTCCGGCTTCTGGTCTTGTGGGATCTTCGACCAGTGCCTTGGGACGAGTTTACGGGCCTCGACGGCAGCCAGTTGCCGCACCTCTGTTTTGGGATGGGATATAAGAAGGTGAAGCAACGCTAAAACGGATTGTGGATGGGTATAGTAATTTTTGTTCAAGGCCTTGGTGGCCGACTTCACCTTCTCCGTGTCCGCTATGAGCCGAAAACGTTAGCGAGATGATGATACTTGAGATCTGAAGGAAAGACGTACGTAGAAGGAGACTCTCAAGGAGCCGAACAAATTCCTGTTCGTCCATGTCTCGAAGAATTGAAGAAGAGAGACAGGTGGAAGCGAAAGTGGGAAGAAAAAGAAAAATACAAATGCTGGTGCGGACAGAGCAGTTTTTCTAATGCCTGGCAACGCGAAATTATTGCTGGGGATGCCCCACCAGGCCACCACCAACATAAAATTAGGTACCTGAGGCCACAAGGCATATATATATTCACTTCCTCAATTCCTTCCTTGATTGAATTCCATTTTACTGTGCCACAATATTAACGCCACAGAACATGCCAAGCCACATCCCCTGTAAGGGAAAGAGCCATCCTTGGTGGCTGCTGCTCCAGTTTGCATCCCCAACTTCACGTCCGACTCTTTCACCGTAGAGAAGCTCTTCATTTTTGACTTGTTCCCATCCGTTTACACCGCGATTCCCCCTCATCCCATCGCCATTAATTCACTTCTCGCTTCTTGTTGTTTACGATACCCTCTCATCAGTCCTCACTATCCCAAATCCCCCACGTGGTTCGCTATCACTTCTCGTGATTCCACACACCAGCCATATCAGCTCAAAATCTCCGCATTCCCCGGTCCCACTCCGAAATTCCCAACCACACTTTTCGATCAAGTTTGACAGATATCATCTCCTTCCGTGCACTCAAATGGCTTCGGTAAGATCTCCTCCACAAGGATTTGTTCCTATGGCCTTCCATCATCATTGGGACTTGACTAACCGTCCGTTTGCGACACAGCAAACCGCAAACCAAGGCCGCCCTTACGGCCATGGCTACCTTCCGAATGGCGCTGCCCCAAGTGGACCAACGCCTGGAGCTACTCCTCTACTTCCCAACCAAGGTCGCATCATTCATCAAGGCAGCACGCGCATCCTATGCATTGCCGACGTGAGAGGTGTGTTCAACCGCTCCATATATCCCGATGCATATCTAATATATATTTGTCAGGGAATCTGCGCTCTTTGAACGAGCTGGCCGCAGAGGCTAGAGCCAATATCATCATTCACACCGGTGATTTTGGTTTCTACGATGACCACTCCATTGATCGAATCGCCGAGAAGTGAGTTCGCGTTTCCATGTCTGCGGATGGTTGAAGGCATCACTAACATTGCTTAGGACCCTTCGTCATGTCGCGCAGTACTCACCGTTGTTGAGCGAGAACATGAAAAAGCAAATCAGCCAATCGGTCCCCTCACAACCCCTTAAAGAACGATTTCCACGAGACCAACTTCCCTTGTCCGAGCTCCCCATGTTCCTCAACAAGACCCACACTCTCAATGTCCCGGTCTACACAGTCTGGGGTGCATGTGAAGATGTGCAAGTCTTGGAGAAGATTCGGTCCGGAGAGTACAACGTCCATAACCTTCATGTCGTGGATGAGAGCATGTCGAGGCTGCTAGAGATTGGCGGAGTTAAGCTTCGCCTTCTGGGTCTTGGTGGCGCTCTTGTCATGCACAAACTCTTCGACAACGGTGAAGGACGAACGACAATTGCGGGTGGCCAAGGGACGATGTGGACAACCCTATTGCAGATGGGAGAACTTGTGGATACGGCGAACCGAGTGTACGATCCGACCGAGACGCGCATCTTCATCACGCACGCGTCTCCAGCACGCGAAGGTCTTTTAAACCAGCTTGCTGTGACGTTGAAGGCCGACTTCTCCATTTCCGCGGGACTTCACTTCCGTTACGGCAGCTCGTACAACGAATTCAGCGTCAACCCTACCCTCGATCACTATCGTGGCAAGCTGGCTGCATCGAAAGCGTCCTTTAATGACGTGTGGGAGACAGTTAAAACCGAGGTTGAACCCGCTATCTCAGACAACGATGCCCAGCAGCAGCTCCTGCAACTCGCCATCGAAATCATCAGCAAGATGCCCAGCGTTGCGAATGGCGGAAACCCCTTCGGTGGACAAACCGGGCCTGGCCAGGTTGACGAGAGCGCATTCAAGAACATGTGGAACTTCAATCTCGCCGATGCTGCCTATGGCTGGCTTGTCTTGGACATCCAGGATGGACGAATCGGCACAGAAATGCGGGCACAAGGCTTCAACTTCTCTCATCGTGGCAAAGGAGGACACGGTGCCCCGGCCCAGTCCGCTCCTGCTGCTGCGCCCGTTGTTCCGGTGTCACAGCCGCGCGGCCAGCAAGGTCCGCCCCCCGCCCAGCATGGCAGGCCGCAACAAGCGTCTCCTTCGCAACCTCGGGCTCCTGGCGCCCAGCAAATGCCCCTCCGCCCATCCCCGGGTCCGAAAGATCAAGGGAAGCCGACAACCCCGCAACAGATTGCGCAAGGTGCTTCCCCCGGACAAGCGTCCGCAACCCCACCTGCGACCGAGAAGGGTGAGGAGTCGAAACTGAATGGTACCGCCTCAGGAGAACACGAGCCTCAGGGCAAGACCGAGTCGGCCCCCCGAGAGCTGCCCAAGATCTTCGCCCTGTTCGTCCGCAATGGAAAAGATGAGGAAGTCCGCAACATCGTTTCCGAAGTGGACCGTCCCAAGATCATCAAGATGACCAAGGCCGGTATGAGCGGCGCTCATGTCCTGCATTTCAGCTCGGTGGAGGAGACCACCGAAGCGCTTGATCGCATCCCCGAGGAATTCAAGCGATCTGGAGGTGACGGCAAACCCGCCTTCTCGATCTTCCGGTCGGGAGGATTCCCTCGCGGTTACGGCGGACGTGGACCCTCCGGAAGTGGCTATCGTAGCGGAGGAGCCAGCGATAGCGAAGGTGGACGTGGAGGACGAGGCGCGTTCCGAGGCCGCGGCGATCGAGGCCGTGGACGTGGCCGGGGAGGTCGTGGAGGCAACTCGGCCAACAAAGAAGGAGGGAGCGCCGCCGCGAGTCCGGCGCCGACTGGCGGCGACAGCTAAGCGCGACGTCTGCAAGGAGTTCTGGATGTTACAGGCAGTGCATTTCCCGGGCGTCGTTCGCCCATTCGGTTGCCTGCGCGCCGGTTTGAATTAGATGGTCAGCCCAGCCTGCTTTTCTTGTCTCCGGCGAATCCATTTGGACTGCACTACGTCAATACGCTGCCGTTCCTGTAATTTTCTCTTTCGTCGGCGATATCTCTTAGTTCTGTTTGCTTCGGAGGATGAGGACGAAAGTGCTGGTCTGGCGATATACTCGGCTTGGTTTTGCCCCAGAGATCGGTTCTCTCTGGACTCACCATGCAAGCAATGTGTATTCTAGACAGGTGGAACATAGCCATGAAAGCTTAGCGTTGCCTTAGGTATAAAAGGTCGAGTGCATTCGAAATCAGCTTCTGTCGGATATCAGTACGAATGTGTGGGGGGCTAAGATGTCTAGGTCGGCTCAATCTCGAAACACCACGGCACATTAGATATCAGTTCATCAACATTGATGTATAGAATATGAGACCCGTGCCCTCAGATCTCCGGTTTATGCCATGCATGGATCGTCAGGAACCAATATCCGGAATATGGTAAGCCGTAATACAGTAGGTAATAAATACGGTGCCTTGTTAGGGCTTGCCAGCTGCCGCCAATAGTGACGTCGGCGCTGGGGCCGAGCTAAGCATCCAGCCATCCACCTCATCCCACAACATCACCCATCCTCAGGCGACAGACGTATTCCTTCATTACCAGCTCATCTCGAGAACCACAGAATCACCTCTCCTTATCCTCATAACGTACTTCGTCACCACAGTCGCTCCATTCCCGCTTATTGGCGTACCTACAGCTTCCTCGCGCTCCGAAGCACCTGATCAACGCCACACCTAGAACCATCCGACGAGATCCACCCGATCCCGAAGCTCCTGGACGACCGCACATCATAAAGCGCAATCGCGCTCCACCTCCCTTTCATATCCCTTCGCTCGGATCTCTCCCTTCGCCATGCGGCGGCTCCTCCGATGGCCGCTGCTCGCCGTAACCGCACTCCAGATCGCCTCCGCCTCCGCCGCGGCGCCCAGCTGGACCACTAAGCACGAAGCTGGTCGCTGCGCGGTTCGGGGCCACTGCGGCAAGCAAGGATTTTTTGGATCGGATCTCCCGTGTCCGGACAATGGGCTTGCGGGGGATCCGACGTCCGCGGCAAGGGAAAAGTTGGTGGAGTTGTGCGGGGAGAAGTGGGCGGATGGGCCGGTTTGTTGCTTGGAGGAGCAGGTATGGATGTCTATACACATGGATTGGTTCGGGAATGTGATTTGGTATGCTAACGTGCGGGTAGATCGATGTCCTTGCGACGAATTTAAAGCGCGCTGACCAAGTCATCTCGGCATGTCCGGCTTGTGAAGCGAACTTCTTCAACCTCTTCTGTACCTTTACCTGCTCACCAGATCAATCACTGTTCCTAAACGTCACCGACGTGGCGCCGAAGAGTGACAAATATCTCGTGACGGAGCTTGACAACCTGGTGTCCAGCGGCTACGGCGGCGGGTTCTACGATAGCTGCAAAGATGTCAAATTCGGCGCCGGGATGAAGGCGATGGACCTGATCGGCGGCGGCGCAAAGGATTTCTCGCATTTCCTGAACTTTCTCGGCGAGAAGAAGTTCGGTGGAAGCCCGTTCCAGATGAACTTTCCTAATCCAGACGAGAAGGAATTCCCCGGGATGACGACCATGGATGACAAGCCGAAGCAATGCAACGATGAGGACGAGCGATATCGCTGCGCTTGCGTGGATTGTCCAGCGACGTGCCCAAAGCTTCCAGAAGTATCCGGGGCGCATTATTGCCACGTCGGGGTGCTCCCATGCCTCTCATTTGCGGTCATCATCGTCTACTCCGTCCTGATCTTGCTATTAATCCTTGCCATATCCGGACATGTTGCGTATCAGAAACACTCCAAGGCAAAGAATGAGAGGTTGCAGCTACTGCAAGATACCGCACCAAGCGATGATGAGGACGAGGGCGATGTCCTTCATTCCGCCGGGATGGTGGACCGGCCACAGAGGGAGTATTACCTCAACAACGTCTGCGACCGGCTCTTCAATCGACTTGGCTATCTTTGCGCCGAGTTTCCAGCAGTCACGATCCTGTCAAGTGTCCTCGTTGTTGCGCTTTTGAGCCTGGGCTGGATCAATTTCGCGATCGAAACCAACCCCGTTCGACTGTGGGTGTCTCCAGACTCGGCGGCAGCAAAGGAAAAGCAGTTCTTCGATACCAATTTCGGCCCGTTCTACCGTGCTGAGCAGGCTTTCTTGGTCAACGACACGTCGCCATTTGGGCCTGGACCGGTGCTGAGCTACGACACGCTCGGCTGGTGGTTTGACGTCGAAAACCGAGTTCAACGTCTCATCTCTCTCGATGCCGGCGCTATGTTCGATGATGTCTGCTTCAAGCCTGTTGAAGATGCTTGCATTGTTCAATCAGTCACCGGTTACTTTGGCGGCTCCTTCGCAAATGTGGATCCGATCCGCTGGGAAAGCCAACTCGAGAAATGTGCCGAGTCTCCTGTGGACTGCCTGCCGCAATTTCAACAACCCCTTGATCCGAAAATGGTGTTCGGCGGGTATAACAAGAGCGTGGCTGATGCAAAGTCGTTGATCATAACATGGGTTGTGAATAACCACCCCGAAGGCTCATCAAAACTCACTGACACCATGGATTGGGAGAAGAGCCTCAAGAACCTACTCCTTGCTGTGCAAGCCGAGGCTCGAGATCGTGGCCTTCGACTATCTTTCAATACGGAGATCAGCCTTGAAGAAGAGCTGAACAAGTCCACGAATACCGATGCCAAGATTGTGGTGATCAGCTATATCATCATGTTTCTGTACGCCTCCTTGGCGCTCGGCTCGACCACTCTAGCAGCGCGGACTATTCTTCGGTATCCAGCCGATGCTCTTGTTCAGTCCAAGTTCATGCTTGGCATTGTTGGCATTGTCATCGTGCTCATGTCTGTTTCCGCCTCCGTGGGCCTTTTTTCGGCATGTGGAGTCAAAGTCACCCTCATCATCGCCGAAGTCATCCCGTTCTTGGTCCTTGCCATCGGTGTCGACAACATCTTCCTGATCGTGCATGAGTTCGAACGTGTGAATGTCAATTATGGGGATGCTCCGATTCCCGAACGGATCGGCCGAGCCATGGGCCGCATTGGGCCCAGCATTCTCCTGTCAGCATCCACTGAGACAGTCGCGTTTGCGCTAGGTGCCGCCGTTGACATGCCTGCCGTTCGCAATTTTGCGGCTTATGCTGCTGGCGCAGTCCTCCTGAACGCCCTTTTGCAGATTACTCTGTTTGTCGCCGTCCTAGCGCTCAACCAGCAAAGGGTGGAGGCTGGCCGTGCCGACTGTTTCCCTTGCCTGAAGGTGAGGGGCTCAGATAGCAGTGTTGGAAATAACCACGCAGCGTACGGCGTGGATGAAGAAGGCGGGCTCGAGAGGTTCATCAGGAAACACTATGCTCCGGCACTCCTAGGCAAGAAGACGAAAGTTGGCATCATCACCTTCTTCTTAGGAATATTTACCGTTGGCCTAGCTTTGATTCCGAAGGTCGAACTTGGGCTGGATCAGCGTATCGCCATTCCCAGCGATTCATATTTGATCCCCTATTTTAACGACTTCTACGCCTACTTCGATGTCGGACCACCGGTCTACTTCGTCGCCCAGGACCTGAACGTGACTGAGAGAAGGCACCAGCAGGAGCTCTGCGGCCACTTCACCACTTGCCAGTCGTTTTCTTTGTCCAACATCCTGGAGCAAGAAAGCAAACGACCAGATGTGTCTCACATTGCATCTTCCGCAGCGGTGTGGGTTGATGACTATCTGCAATGGCTAGATCCGTCATTCGAGAGCTGTTGCGTGGATGGGAGAGATACCTGCTTCGCCCATCGCGACCCACCATGGAATCGGACACTTTGGGGGATGCCCGAGGGACAAGAATTCGTGCACTACCTGAACAGGTGGCTCGAAGCGCCAACAACAGCCGACTGCCCTCTCGCTGGGAAAGCAGCGTATGGCAGCGCCATTGTCATCGACCATGAGCGCCTGACCATCCCGGCGTCCCATTTCCGAACATCTCACACGCCGCTCAAAAGCCAATCCGATTTCATCGACGCCTATTCCAGCGCACGCCGTATCGCATCCGAGATCTCCGAGCATACAGGCACCACCGTCTTCCCCTACTCCGCCTTCTACATCTTCTTCGACCAATACCTCTCCATCGTCCGACTTTCCTGCGCCCTCCTCGGCTCTGCCCTCGCCATCATCCTCGTCCTCACCACCATCTTCCTCGGCTCCCTTCAGACCGGTCTCGTCGTCACCGTCACTGTCGCCATGATCCTCATTGACATCGTCGGCTTCATGGCCATCGCCGGCGTCTCGCTCAACGCCGTCTCCCTCGTCAACCTGGTCATCTCCGTCGGCATCGGCGTCGAATTCTGCGCGCACATCGCTCGCGCCTTCGCGTTCCCATCCGTCACGGTCATGGAGCGGGCGCCGCGACACAAGTTCCGCGGCAAGGATGTGAGGGCGTGGAGTGCCCTGGTCAACGTAGGAGCTAGTGTTTTCACGGGGATTACGGTCACGAAGTTCGTGGGCGTTTGCGTGTTGGCGTTCACGCGGAGTAAGATCTTCGAAGTTTACTATTTCAGGATATGGGTAGCCTTGGTGGTGTTTGCGGCGACGCATGCGCTGGTGTTCTTACCGGTGGTTTTGAGCCTGTTTGGAGGAGAAGGTGAGTCTTCACTTCCAATATATCATCGTTTTGGGCTTGACTTGCTAACTTTGCACACAGGGTATGTTGACCCTGAATCCGACGGTGGCCTAGAACGAGATCTGCGGTCGCGAACGTATCCAGCGCTCATGCATGACGATGGATACGATTCAGATGAGCTTTGATCATTTATCCGATCCCAAATATGTTCAGGTACTGACATTTGATACCCCGAAATACTACGCTTGCGAGCAGCGAGCTAAATCAAGAATATTGTTCAAATTCCGCAATCTTCCAGTTTCGTAGTCTCAATGTGTCGTGTCGAGGTTCCGCATCAGCGTATGAGTGACAACTAAATATCACCGCATAGCTTATTCGTCGGGGTAGCAGTTCGATATACCCCTATCTTGGCGCTTCCAATCTCGCATCCTGCAGCTTTTCGCCTTGGACGTCTGATTCTAGCCCTGCTCCCGCATCCCTCCCATGCTACCTTTATATGGCAACGAACAACGATGTGAAGACCAAATGAAAATTAGGGACAGACCTCACCGGGCGCATACTCTACTTGACCGCTACACCGCCACGAGAACTCATGGTGGGCATGGGCGTCAAAACCTATCGAATCGGAAATATTGCCAGGAAAGAATGCCATATATTTGATGATGACCCAGCATAACCTGTCAAAATCTCGGAGTCTGCGAAACTGAAGCGGGTATCTATCTCACTCTCGGCAGCTACCCTCTGAGCGTGAAATGCGTCTCCATCGGTCCCCCGAAGGAGTACGTCGACCTTGGGTTCTATCCGAATGGGAATCTCAAAGAGATCCTAAGTATGACAGATATCACCATGTTGTTGCAGCTCTTGTATCTCTACTTTATCTAGGGATAAAATGCGCTGCTGTAAGTGGCCCCGGCGAACCATCAAGGTTGCAACGAGAATCAACAACTTAATTCTATGGCTTGATCCATGCGCTTAAAGTATAGGGTGTAGTATTTTCCCGGCCATAGATAAATTTAATAGAAATCATGGTAATTAATCAAACTTCAGAAGGGGAAGGGCTGAATCAAAGGGCAACTTGATACTGATTCTCGAGCTGTTGAAACCCCGTAGGCCGTGGCGGAGCAACCAGGATGGTCGAGGAGAACGAGCAGGGATTAACTAAGCTCCGATAAAGTAAAATTTTCGCTAAAATAATTCATCAACAGCTCAGTGGCGCAGTGGGTTTAGCGCGTTGGGCTCATACACAGTTTGTGAATGAGTTTACCCGAAGGTCGACGGATCGAGGCCGTCCTGAGCTATCTTTTTTTTTCTTCTTCTTCCAAATTTCTGGATGTGATTTCTTTTTGCCGGTCAACATCATGTTGGTTTGGTGGCTTGATCTCTGGAACTGTAGGCCGTATATGCGTGCTCATGAGATGGCGATGCGACTAGGAGGTAGACAGGTAGTGGCGAAGGATCGCAATGGGTTAGTTTATGCTTTCATGGAGGATAGTCGGCTCTGAATGGGATCGATATCAAGGGAACGGAAAGCTTCATTTGGTAGACATTCACTTTTGTCTGGTTATTAGCAAGGTACAGTCGGATAGAAGACTGACAACTAAACCAGAGGCCATCTATAATCATGCAGCCAAAGGCTGAAGAGTACACCCACTCACGAAACATTCCGGAAGTGCAAGAAGCCTACCTAACGAGGGGTTATCGCTCAATATGTACACCTGCTCGCCGCAACGATGGATATATGATGCCGAAATATGTGATATCATGCTGTATCATTAGCTGCAACTCATCCTTATGAGGGAAGTCATGGTCTGTTTAGGCAGAGCTGAGCTTCATGGAAGAGAGGAACATTGTGTAATGCGCGGCATATCAGTAATATGTGATAATTCATCATGGATGAGCCGCTTTAGCCCTATATACGATATTCCATCGAGCACATCGGCCCCCTCAGCCATCTGTAACTCTTCTGATTGTGAACACCCGCAAGATAGAGGATTCGAAATCTACGAGATGTGAAGAGCCGTGAACCGAAGGGTGTACGTCAACCGATGAAGTTTAAGGATAAACCCACGTATCAAGACAACCCCGTGGATCCATGGATTTGTTTGGGGCGACTCTTTGCATGGGCGCGATCGTTCGCGACTCTGTTGGACTGCAGTCAAGCTTCGTTGAGGATGCAGATGCATGAAGAAACGTTGTTGCGATCAAGAATAGAGGGTCACATCGTACTTCATTGTGTGGATAGGCCCGAATGGGGACGGTTATGCGTGATGCTTGCAGGGAACGGGTCGGCTATGTAGTCTGTACATGAAGGGTAGGTCACGGGCAGATCATATGCACATTACGCAACCAAGGTTGAGGTTTTTTGGTTTTTTTATTTTGGTTTAATTGATCTACCTACACACCCAGCCCATTTCCAGACATACTCCCCGGTGGGGCTCCCCTTACAAGTTAAGCTTTAACACTCTTACGGGGCGAACCATGTTCAGGTAGAAAAGACAAGGGAAAACAAGGTATGAGACAGGGCCGCCATGCATAAAGCTGCGGGCAGGCCACAGTCGAACAAAGTCGCGGTATCGAGCATGCTGTCCCGATGCACGCACTGGTCGCGACGACACATGAACGTACAAGGGAAGGGAATGCAAAGCGAAAACTCGGGCACCAGCCAGCGTTTTGACGCAACCGGCGAACGCTTGCCGATCAACCGAGAAAGAGAAGAATAGAAGTGATAGCCATCGACGCGTACAAGTCGCGCTGCATTCCAGCCATCCGATAACAGGTGATGGACGATCAACGCAGACGAGAGCGATCGAGGCAAAGAGAAAAGAACGCTTGGGAAAAGGGGGGTATTCACTGCAGAAGCTTAAGCGCCTCGCCGAGGGCAGGATATTGGGTAACAGCGCGAAAAGCCTCGGCTGAGAAATGTTCGAAGGAACAGAAACCATGAAAACATAGTGTGGGGTATGATGAAGCCATCATGGAAGATTCTTCGTAGTCGTGACGCGTCAACTCCTTCTCGTCTAGTATTCGACAGCCAGAGCCCGATCCCTCATCGTCTCAGCTACTGTCATACCGAATGACGTGACTTATAAGAACATGAAGCCAGCACCGACTGCGGCAACGCCGACCATGATCTGCGGCACGAGGAGTTGGCCAGCCGCGCCAGGGAACGGAACTTGGCCGCTGGCTGATGGAGCGGATCCGGTGGGGGTTTTCGTGGCGGTGCCGTTGCCGCTGGGCTTGAACGAGGCGCTGGCATGCGTCGGGGCTGCGGAGGTGGAGTTCTGCGTAGCGGACGGGGATCCGGTATGAGTCTCGGTGACGACACGGACAACGGTGCGGGTGGAGGTCAGGGTCGAGCAGGAGGTGGAGGCATCATCTGCAGCGACGAGAGCGGCGGGGGCGAGGATGGAGAGGAGAGGGAGGATGATCGTGGAGAAACGCATCGTGGCTGAGAGGTATGCGAAACGGTTGTCGGGTGAGTTGGTCGATGTGGAATGTGGTGGTGTTTGCTTGGTGATGATTTGTACACGATCGGAGAGACGTGCCAATTGAGGGTCGCGCAGTAAAGTATTGACAGAGAGCGACAAGGTCTAGTGCCGGAGAAGCTATTCAATCGAATGAATTCGTGCTGAATGCGTTGTCTGTCGCGGTGCGATTGCGATGCGTCGAGCGAAGGCGGTTTGTTGACGTTGGTGTTCGAGCGACAGCTGTGAGCTTGGAGCTATACGGAATCGGTGTTTGAAGCGACAGGATGCGCGCAAGGCGTAGAGTTGGAAATTGATCGATTGTTTCGATATCAAATGAGTGACAGAGAGCGATCGCACCAGCGATGACAGCGAAGAGCAGAGAGAGGAGTTGTTGCGAGAGTAAAAGAGTGTAAAGATTGGATGGGTGAGAGAGAGAAGAGAGAGAGCAGAAGGGCGAGAGAAGAGAGGAAGCGACCAGCAAACACAGGACACGAGAGAGAGAATGAGCGACACCGAGACAGGGAAAGAGCGACACGGGCTTGTCCAGCAAATCAGAGCGTAACAGGGATATTTCGGAACAGGGGCCCTAGATAAAGTTTAGCGCGTCCGACGGAAATTAAGAAATGGGAAATTGCCTTCAGCACCCCAGGTTTGATTGGACGGATCCCCTTGGTCTAAGCGCGGTGCCTGGACGCCTCATTGGTGGCATTGCCCCCCGGCCTCACATCATCAGATCCTTCCAACATTCCTCTAACATCCCCAACACGAAATCGTGGCAAGGCGGAAATCCAACATTTTCTCCTCTCCGCGTCGCATTGCCGATGCAGATATTATTCCGGGAAGATTTTTATTCTGTTGAGAACCCACTGTTAGAGCTTGAACAAGTCACTTGGATGTGGGCAGCAATAAAGGACTGGTCCCCCAACCCGCAACTGGCCGTTGCCACTTGTCGGTGACCAACTCGGTGATTGCTGTTGGACTGTTGGATTTTGGAGTCATTAGAGCGTGGAGGGAAGGAGCGACGAAGAGGCTCATTTCGCTTTCCATCCGCTAAAGGCACTTGCCAAGAGGCCAAAATAACGCCGAGCGGCAGTGACCAGGACACAGGCGGGACTCACCAACTTCACCAGGCCAACCATGCGATGGGCCATCAGCCAATTTACTTGAGATCGACACTCTTCACTCTCCCTGCCGCCCAATAAGCCAGTGGTTTCATTAAACAAATACGAACATCCCACGAGGAAAGGTTATTTGCCTTGTCAATATCGCAAAAGTCGATAGATTGAAAAGGAGGCAATATCCCATTCACTCTTAGTGCGAGAAAAACACCACGCATTCGCGCCATCTGTGGTGATCGTCGCTCTCGTGTATTGGACTATTGATGATATCGTAGACCAGTCACTTTGTCACGAACGCGACTCAGCATGACGAATTTCCCGCCGGATCCATTGGCTCTCCCATACCAAAAGCGCGTTCCGTTTGACCGTTTCACTCAAGTCCCATCATGCCAACGCAGCGCATATCTCTTTGGGCTTCTCTATCGTCCAACCACTCCCGGTTTTCGTTCGGAACATTTGGTTGCGACTGGCGCCAACGCAGAGGATCTCTACCACCCGAATGTTGCACTGTGTGAGCCCGATTGTGTGGCCTGGTGGCCCCCTCCAACGACCCTCCAATGCGGTCGTGCTCGTCGAAGGATCTCTTCTCGTCTTCTCTGAGCTCTCCCTCCTCCGTTTTCTATGCCGTGGTACCCTTCACCACTCTGTCTTGCGGTGCTGGTACCACCACGGGTAACGCATTGTCTCAGAGTCTCGTGCTGTGCTTTGACAGGTACCAATTGCCGCCGTTCGAGCTCGGCTCCTGACGTCCTTTTTGTCCCGTCTCTCCCCGTTTCATGGCGCGCCTCTCGCCGGGTACGACCGACCGCTCCATGGTACACTGTCTGCTGCTGTTTGGCCTGTACCGTGTCCAGTGAGCACTGTCTGAATCGCGTAGAGTACATCTGCGTTTTTGGGGACTTTTCGTTTGGATCTGGGTCCGCTACCCGCTGGCTCCAGTCCTCCCGCACTCCGTTGGCACTTCCCGTGGACTAAATCTAGTTTTAAATGTGCCGGAACACAGCCTATCATGAGGCTTTTTGCACGTGGCGCCGACCAGTGTAGGGCGGGAGAAGCCGCCGTCAAGGTAGCGTGCGATGCGCAGCTGCTATGAGAGATTTGCACAAGAAAGAGCGTCCGGATCACAGTCGCGATGATATGGCCGTTTGACGCGACGTAGATATGCGCATCACCTCTTTCCTCGTTCGCTTCCGTATCGAAATCAACTCCAAACCTTGTCGAAGGGGAGAACATAGAAGTCACGAGAGCGAATATAGGTAAGGACATTGCATCCACGAATAGACCAGACATCATGAATCAAGGAGATAGTTCTTAGCCACAATAAGAATATGATCGCGGTAGGATGTCAAAGTAGCGTCTTATGCCATAAGGTACAGTAGGCAGCGGTGAAGCCAATTCTATTGCTGTAGGGTATCTATATCGTCATCCAGAATAACCCCATAACGCTGAATCTCCCGATCACGGTCCCGAAAACATCAGGAGCCAACTTTTGACTCCCGTTCCCAAACCAACCCCTCAATTTATCAATCATCAAAACGCCTATGCTACCCACAGAACCGCGACCGACTCACCGTCGCGGCAACTCCCGGAAAACATACTCAAACACCTCCTTCCCTTTCATCAGATTCACCAGCCGGATCCGCTCGTTGTCCAGATGCGCCGAATCGCTCGCCTGCCCGATCGGCAGCTGTGCCGCTGGCGCATCGAACTCCGTCTCCAAGAACCGGATCGCGGGGATCGACCCGCCTTCTCGGATGTACAGTGGGCGCGCGAACGGCGCCGGCTCGCGGCTGGTCTCGGCGATGGGCGATTCGGGGGCCGCGGCGTTGCCGCTCCTATTCGCGGCCGGTTGGGACGCGGTGTCGAGATCGGCGACGCGGGTGCTGGTGCGCGAGAGCGTGGACGAGGTGGCTGGGCGGGTCGTGGGGGATGGAACGTGGCCGGTGGATGGGATGTTCTCTTTCTTAGCCCCCTCGTCACCATTCGCTTTCGCGCCGGCGAATTTCGACGCGTGAAAGCTGCTCCGTCGCCGACCCCATTGGTCGCCCCAGCTCTTCACCAGGCCCTCCTCCAACGTCTGGTAGATCTCATTGTGCACGTCACCCAACCAGGGTTCGGCGCGGTGGTCGATGGCGACAGTGAGCTTGTTCTGGCTACCGAGGCTGGCGAATTGCTCCTGGAGGAAGGACTCGAGCTGTTGCGAGATCGCTTCCGCGGACTGGTTCGGGACGAGGCGGAGGGAGATCGCGGCGCGGGCGAGCCGTGGGATGATGGTGGAGTTCTCTGGGCCGGAGGTGTGGAATCGGTGGATCGTGAGAGAGGCTTCGCGCCATCGGCGCATGAGGCTGGTGGCTAGCTGAATGGGGTCTCCGAGGTCTGGGTCGCGACGAATGAGGGTGGTGGTGATATGGTTGTACAGCTCGAGCTCTTCGGGAGTGAGTTTCAGGATCGGCTCGTAGAAACCTGGAATCTCGACATGGCCATGAGGCCCGGCTAGCTTTGACAGTAGGAGCACAAGATCCTTCAGCGACTCGTCGAGAAGGGCACTTCCGTCGACGCCGGAATGTAAATCAGGGTGGGCAGACTCGACTTGGACTGTAGCATGGATGACTCCGCGAAGACCGTACGTCAAGCAGGGGACGTCATCGTCCAGCCAGTAGCTGTTTGCGAGGAGGATCCAATCCACGTCCCCGATCAGCTTCCGGTTGCGACGAATCGTCTCGGCGAAGCCCCGCGACCCGCACTCCTCTTCGCCTTCGATGATGAAGATGATGTCCGATTCCAGCGCTTGGGATGTATTGAGTTGTGCGGCAGCGTAGATCGCCGCCATTATCGGTCCTTTGTTGTCGGAGACCCCTCGACCATACAGGTGCCCATCAATCCCGGACAATGTGAAGGGCTCTCGGAGCCATTTGCCTTGGGAGTTATCGGCTGCAATAACGTCGTAATGGCCATAGAAAAGGATTTTCTTTCTCTTGGTCGCGGTTTGGGGATTGCCACGGAATCGTCCATAGATAACAGGATTGAATGAGTCGCCGGACTTTAGGGATTCCGTCGTAGCCCCAAAGTTTTTCAGGACGGACCGAAGAAATGATGCTCCTCGATGGCAATCTCCTTTGAATCGCGAATCGGAAGATACGGTTCGATATGAGACGAATTCTTGCAATGACTCTAGCAGGTAGTCTATTAAAGTTAGATGAGTTTGTTACATCGCAGAAATGACTCTTACCGCTATGCGTCCTCCGTTTGTTTTCTCCAACGTCAATGCAGTCCTGAATATCCCATACTGCGATGGTACTGTCATTAGACCCTGTGACAAATACTGGCCGTCCGTTGAGGTTGATGAATGCAGAGCAGAGAATGCGTCCTCCGTGGGCTTGGAACTTAGAGATACGCTCATACTGCCTATTGAATTTCTGGAACAGTGTCAGTATATGATTTGTTGGGTAACGGCTGTAATATTACCTCAACCGTCCCGTTTACCCCCCCAGTGAACAGGTGTCCACCACCGACAGACATTGTCAAGACATCACCGACGTCTACTCTGAGGGTTCTGACCAGCTGTCTTGTTTCCAAGTCCCACACGTTCACGTCTCCATCTAATCGGCCGGTATAAAGGAAGGCCCCGTCCAAGACAAGGCTCAGGACAGAGTCGCCTTCTTCTCTGCCATCTTCAAGGGTATACAATTCATGTATCCGGCCGGAACCTTTCCCGTTGAGGCTCCAAACCTTAACGATACCGTCTCCGCCTCCCGATACCAGCACCTCTTCATCAGCAGGCGCATTCGGAAGAATGCCACGAGCCAATACCATGCAATATACGTAGCCATAATGTGCGAATTGATGTATGGATTGAGGGTCAATCTCAAGTGCCTGACCACCGTGCGCTTCCAGCGGGTCGTCTTCAACTTCGAGACGAGGGGTGCGAATGCCACCGGGACCGGTCGAGTCGAAGAAACGATCTTGTCGATAATGAGGATGGTCGGAGGGGCGTGGCGAAGGTCGACGGTCTTTCTCGCGAAGGTCATACCACTGAACACCGTCAATTATTGGTTCGTGTGCCTCAAAGGTAGGTTTATACTTGTATAGTTGTGTTTTGGGCTCCGAGGTAGACGGTCTTAGATTTGGAGGAGTAGCAAACGCAGAATACGTCTCCGATATCGTAGGTCGAGTAGATTGAGTATAATCTCCGGAGTGTCTTAGTGCACCAGACCTAGCAATCACTTGGTGAGCAAGCTGGTGGGTGCTAGAGTATCCGAGGAGCTCACGTTTACTATACGGTCGGCCGCACTTGAAAAGATAATGGTTTCCTTTTCACGAAGGCAGAGCCCAAGTACACTTCCCCTGTGTGCCTGGATATGCCCAATTCGTTCATAGGATTTGAGACTGAAAACCTATGGACAGATCAGCTCGATTCCAATGGACAGCGTTCACCAAGCGCACCAATATCTCTCCATTCTGTGTTCCCGCATATATTCGATCCTCGGATACAGTCAAAACCAATATTGACTTGTCATGTATCAGGCGATGTGTGAGCGACGGGCGTATATCTGCGCTCAAACCAAGGCTCATCTCTGCAGCTGGTCTATCATCGCGAATGGAGTTTGGACCAGTCCCTAGAGCCGTGAGCGAAGGGATCAATTCTGATACCGAACTGCCATCATCCGAGCTAGTGTCTGCCATCCTTTCCAATTCCAGCGCATTGTAAAAGTTCAGGAAGTGTTCGGACAATTGCTTGATATAAATTTGGATGTCAACAATTGCAACAAGCAAGCAAGGGACTCCAGCTGCCCCTCGGCCCTTGAGGTGTCCAATGCGCCCCCTTGCTAGCGGAATCGCTTCTCACCTCTCCCGACCCCTGTTGTTCTCACTTCTCATCCGGCGTCGACCGGCGTCCCTCCAGCTTCGATATCGGATTTCATCATCAAATACTGACGACTGACGAGACTAACGAAACTATCTTCTCAACTTACCTTGTTGATCTTCATCCCTTCTCATGAAGACTTTCCCATGATCTCTCCAGTCCATATCTGTTTGCAACGCCAATATCCATGACGGCTTCGTTCGACACGGACCTGAGTCTGCGTATTTTTCTTCCATGACGGTTTCCTCACCGTATTTTCATTCCAGTCATAACTGATGGCGTCTTTCATGGACTTCATTGCATCATCTCATCCCAGGTTCTCATCCGAACCCTATCAACCTATATAAGTAGGTACAATATACAGCGGTGTGCTCGTTTGAACTCGACAAACGAGGGAACTCCAAGACATTCGGCAGTTTGACTACTCTGCAGGTTGCTACAGGTTCGTGCAGGTACACCGCATCAAAAAGTCCGACCTCCAGTCCAGGGTGTGTGACTATCCTACCTACTACGATGAGGTGATGGCTCGCCTCGTTTGACGACGTGGCGCGATGGATTTTGTTCGGTTGGGATGGCTTTCATAGCTTGGATGTGCCAACTGCCAACGGCACTTTGCCCATCTACTCTTGCAACTCATGGGATGATGGACAAACGCCCGGTGAATTGACTAGTAACTGTCGAACTAGAGCACCCGTCTTCACTGACTACAGCAGCTAATCTACTATGCGCCCTCGGTCTTTACTACTTTTCTGATGCTAGGCGGAACAGGTGAGTCCCGCAAAACGAATGTAGGCGTACAATTCCACACATGAAGAAGCCCAAGTATTGGGAGTTTGCCCATCCCCAACTCGCGGAAGTTCAAACACTTTCGGTCAACACCGCGCGAATACCCCTCGACCATGGAACCACAGCAGCCACAAAGGCATCGTGGTGCACTTGCACATCCTCTAATGTAGTCTGATAGAGCTCCATCTCGAACCTCCTGACAATGACCGCGGTAGCAAGCACGATTTCCGCAGTGGCGAGGCTAGTTCAAAGGTACGTCAGTTTCGACCGCATGTTAATGAGAAAAGTCGAGTCACGTACTGCATCCCAATGCATTGTTGGGTGCCTTTGCCCCAGCTCACCATGTATCTCTCGAGATTCGACCTCTGTGCTGCTGTCCCCATCCACCGTTCTGGAATGAATTTCTCCGGCTCTGGGAAGATCTCCGGGTCGGAGAGAACGAAGTACGCAGACTCCGATACGGGGGTCTTTCACAGGCTTAGTCGATACCACAAGAGCTAAGGATGTGAACTCACATTCGGTGGGATTTCCCAGTCTTGGTACTTGATCGGTTGATCGGATACACGAGGTTGCCGACTGGTCAAACCATGTGAGAGCCTCAATCCTTCGCGCATGCAACCGTACTATTTTCTGTTACCATGACATCCTCAAATCAGAAGCTGAAAGTCAAATCTTACCAGGTACGGAATTTTCTCCAACTCGACCCAGGGGGGCACATTGTTCGGGTCTGGCATCACCTCCATCAGAGCGGCCTTGAGCTTAGCGTACATTTCCTTGTCCTTCAAAAGATAAAAGAGAATGGACGACAAAGCTCTGGCCGTCGTGTCTGTGCCCGCTATAATCAACACATTACCATCCGCGTTCAGTCGATTCAAAGACTTTTGCTCTGGTGGAAGGTCGCTGTTGATTAATGCATCGAAGACGGTTCTGTCACTCTTGCTCTCCTTTTCAACTTTCCCTTCCATAATTTTGATGATCTCCTTTCGAATAGCGAGTTTGGAATCCAAAAGCATCGCGAAAGCCGGACTAACCAAGGCAGCGGCCCATCGAGGCAACTCTTGCAGGTATATTGGTAACATTGGGAAGAGTCTAATGAACCCTATTGACTCCAAGCTTTCGGTCTGCGAGTCCTTATTTTCGGGATTGAAATGGGTATGATCGAGGTGCTTCCAGTCCTTTGCGAACGAATAATCGCAGATGACGTCCTGAGTGAGCGCGAAAAAGGCTACATCCAGTCGTACGACGCCTTTTGGGTCTGGCTTGGGTTCGCGAGTCCGGATCTCCTTACCACCTGTCCATCCCTCCTCCCGGCCTGAGATTCTCCGTTCCTCGGCTCGGGCTTTGGCCAGCGCAGCATCACCTTCCCCAACGAACTCCTTCAGTCGAGTAGCAAGCTTCGAGACCTTCTCCTGCAAAACTGGCTCCAGCTTGGAAACGGTGCTTCTTGAAAAGAATGGGTTCAAAGGGGTTCGGCGCTCTTTATGGGTCTTCGAGTCCGAAGCCGCGAACACGCTCTCTGGGCTTCCGACCATGGTACTCAACCGAGCCCATCTATCGGCTTTCCTACCCTTGGGAGCATACAAGGTCTCGTAGAAATGCGAGTCCTTGATGTGGATCTCGTCTGCGTTAATCCGAATAATGGGGCCTACACCATAAGTGCCGTTACCATCAGGGTCGTAGCTCAGGTGTCTTTGTGGAGCCTACCATATTTCCTATGCCATTTCTCAATCTCCCACATCATCCTGCCAGGCCTTACAACATCATAGTAGAATGTATACCACGCCGTTATCACCGGGAGCCTCGGTCCCGGGAACTTCGCCAGCGGGTGGAAACAGAGGAGGTATACAACGTCGAAAACCCAGTACACAGCATATGCCACCAGCACCGCACCCACGATCGAGGTGCGGTCGTTCCAATCGATTTCCAGTATCGGCATGACGAGAAGCAAGTGTCACTAACGACTACAAGAGCAAGGGAACGAAATGTTATGCGATCATGATATATCCAGGACTTTGGGATTTAATACTGACTGGAAGAGGGGTAGAGCGCCACCACTGCATCTCAGGGACAGCCGAAGACACGCCTTTGATGTCCATGACTCGTCAACTCTAAACCTCTAACCTACCCGCTACAGGCCCTGGTCACGAACGGGCTGGCACCCCCCCCCCCCCTGTTTCTTCTATCAACTCAACCTCCATTGTATGGCACAGGCTGGGGGGGGTGCCAGCCCGTTCGTGACCAGGGCCTGTACGAGCGTCCCGAGCCGTCGGGAACTAGTGGCTTTCTCCCCTACTAGAGTCTACTACGGAGTCTAGACCAATTCGGAACCAAAATTGCTTTTCTGGCTGTATGAATGTATGTATCGTCATTCGTGGGTTGTATCAGCAAATCCTTGCACCTCGTGCTTGACTGTGCATCGGAATCATCTGAGACTTCCGGATTCAACGCCTTTTACATGAGCTATCGGGTGGCGTTGATAACGCCAATGTAGGACAATATATCTTGCGATTGCATTGACTGGTGAAACTTATGATTGCGCTGCACCTTTCTCCCAGCGGTCAGATAGCAGAAGTTAGTCGAATGAATAGAATGCCGTCGCTGTGGTGGCCTCCTACTTCCCAGATTTCACAATCCTACTCCAAATTTCCGAACAATGCTTCCGGATCGGCTGGACTGACGACCTTGCTCACAGAGAGCGTGAATGTGGTTGTCACTATCCTTGATCTCGACCTTGGATTGTCAGGAGAGGTGAATGAAGTGATGGACGTCGTCGACTTCGACTCGGGCTCATCCCCGGATCCGACAGTCGGCTCGGGAGTTGTCGAGGACGAATCGATCTGCGTTAGAGCAGGACCACCAGGTGCCGCGGTAACAGTGACCGTCTCGTAGACCGTGATGATCTGCTGTGGCTCCTGTGCAGGCGTGCTTTGAGGAGCGCTGCTCTCCTCCGGAGGCGCCTGCATGAACGATCCGCCACAGTCCTCCCAATCCGGTCCTTCTGGCGTCCATTTCCCGCCGTCCCATTGTTTGTGAACCATCTTATTCTGCCTCCCCGAACAAATGACGGATATTTTCCCATCGTCCCAGGTCGCGACTCCGGGCGCGCTCCGACAGGACCCGCGCAATGTCTCCCACTCACTCCACCGATTGCCCCGCCATTCTCGATGCCATGCTTGCCCATCGGTCCCAACACCGTAGACGTCCATCCTGCCGCTGCCTGTTGACACGGCTCCCGGCGTGCTCTGGAAGCTCCCTCCGAGTGACTGCCAGCTGCTCCATCCAGTCCCAGCCCACGACTTGTACCACATCTCCTTGTTGGTGCCAACGCCGAAAACACACATATGCCCCTGTCCCCACGACACCGCCGCTGGCGGGCTCGTAAAGGCCCCCCCCATCGGTTCCCATCCCTCCCATCCATTCCCAGAGTTACTCCGGTGCCACAACCCGGTATCCGCCCCAATCCCGAAGACATCGAGACGGTTCGAACCCCACGAAACAGACGCCGGATGGCTCGCGAACTCCCCGCCGAGACTCTGCCACGGCGTCCAGCGGCCCTTGAAATGCGCGCTATGGTATAGTTGCGAATCGTCCTTGCCGACCGCGAACACGCTCATGTGGTCGCGCGCCCACGAGCTCGCCGCGGGCGGGGAGTCGGTCCGAAACACGCCGCCCAGAGTCTCCCAGACGGACCAGGTGGTCGCGTTGTCCGCGCTGGCAGACTTGTGCCACACGCTGCCGTCGTCGTTCACCGCGAAGGTGGAGAGGAGAGGGTCGTCGTCGACGTCGATCGCGTTGCCCCACGCGGCGGCCGCGGGGGCGGAGCTGAATTTGCCACCGAGGACGTTCCAGGCGGGGCAGGAGGAGGGGGTGCCGACGTCGGTGGAGTCGCGTCCGTTCCAGGAGGAGTGGTATAGGCCACGGTCCGCGCCCCATCCGATGATGTGGCGGTTGTTACGGCCGACCGAGAGGATGGCGAGGGAGAGGGAGAAGAGGGTTGTTGCCGTCCTGGATTATATGTCAGTAAAACGTGCCATAGCGCTTGGATAAGCCTGCTATGTACTCCGTAACACATACATTATTCTCAGAGAGTTTTGGCTCCCTTGTCTAGGAAATGAGGGGTAGAAGATTGAATGAGTGCCAGAACCCCATTGTTAGACTGCACTTTGCTTACTATATAGCAAGATTCGTTTATGAAGGATTTCAGACAAATTCCAAAGAAGAAGACCATTGCTGACCCAGTCCTTCGTCTCCATATCTGGTCCAATTTCGGTTATACGCCATGTTCTCCCTCTGCTTCGATGTAAGGTGTGAGACTGCAGTGAACCAAGAAGCGATTAAGTGGACTTATATTGAAAATGCATGCAGTAAGCCAGAAGAGATGAGGCCGTTGCAAATCACGTTGTAAACCCCATTCTGGGGCCATGTCGATACTCAACTCTGATTGAACCAACATGAATACGATGCAGTAATATGACCCAATAAAAAAGACATTCAGCGGCATTCCATAAGGAGGCCAATAAGCATGATCCGGGGAATTTGGGAACCTCATATAAAAGCAGATCATATAGCACAATTAGGCCACCAAGATAAAATGACGAATGTTCTAGACCGATTCGGCCAGTCTTCAGAATTGAAACAGAAGATGACTGAGGATGGCTGGAATGAAAAGGCATGGGATATGCCATTGTACCCTGTGTATTTACAAACTCTTTTGAGGCTGCTGGAGTCTTCAGTGAGTTCAGAGCAACCACCGAGATGCGATCTACACAACGATCAGGATGGTAGCATTTGATCGACTTGTAGGCTGTTCATCAGTTTATGGCACCGTACCCTAGCATCCTTATCGTCTGTCCCGTTAAACTAAGAACTAACTTAGTTAACTTAAGTTAAAGTTAGGCCGAGGTGTAACTTAGTTAGTTGAGGCCTAACTAGTTAACTTCCTGTTCATCCTGCGTAGCCTGTTCGTCCTGCTTATCCAGCTTGGCCTGCTCATCCAGTTCGTCCTGTTCGTCCAGATTGTCCACCTTGGCCTGCTCGTCCCGCTCGTCCCGCTCGTCCAACTTGTGCAGCTTGGCCTGCTCGTCCTGCTCGTCCTGCTCGTCCTGCTCGCCCAGCTTGTTCATCTTGGCCTTCTCGCCTAGCTTTGCCAGCTCCTTCAGCTTCGCCTGCTCGTCCACGAAATTTTCCCAATCCCGCCAGTCCCGACAGTCTTGACAGTTTTAGAACTCATGGGCGTCATGCACGGTGTGCCAGTCCTTCCATTCCTGCTCGTCATAGTTGTCATGTTAGTGTTACTTAGCTAGTAGTTAAAGGTTCGCGATGATTAATAGACATGATATCTGTCACTCGGACGTACGACAAGGATGTCGATGTTGTGTTACTAGAATCCAGCCACATTGGACCAGTAAAGTGCATCTTCAACTGTACAGTCTCTCCGCAAAAGTCTGCGCGTCCCGACGTTTTTCCGCGACGCGTTCGAAAAGACGCGTTTTCCACCATCTTCTCTAGATAATATATTATATATGTTTCCACGTACCCTTTACGTCAAATTGACGTAAATCGTCGTCGTAATCAAGAGTTATCTCCTCGATCAAGAGGCATCGTTTTTGGACTTCATTTAGCAGGAAAAACGCCTACCCAGACCGCCCGTGCCACTGAATTGCCTGAGTCGACCGTCAGGACGGTGGTGAACCGTTTCCCAAACCGCCCCCATGGAGCATCAGCACCACGTAGTGGAAGACCTCAAATATACTCTGAGCGAGATAAACGGTTGCTAATTCGAATCGCACGGGTAAAACCCACGATTAATTACCCTCACCTTATCAGGGAGGCCGGTCTCTCGATTTCCCACGACACGGCCTACCGCATCCTAAAGTCCGCGAATATCACCAATTGGCTTGCCAAAAAGCGCCCTGCCTTGTCCCCCGAACACGCCAGCATACGATTAGTCTGGGCCCGGACGCGAATTGGATGGGATCTGGACCGTTGGAGAAATATCATATGGTCGGATGAGTGCTCTGTAGAGCGCGGAAAGGGCAAGAAACGGGAATGGGTGTTCCGCACGCCCGCACAGAAATGGGACCCCAAAATGATCCAGACATATAAAAAGGGGAAAGATGTGAGCGTGATGGTATGGGGAGCGTTCTCTATAACCGGCGGGAGGAGTCGTATGGTGGTCCTTGACCGCGATTTCGTCGCGAAAAAGCAGGGCTACTCTGCGGAGTCGTAACTCGCCTGTCTTGATCACGAATTGGCTGAAATGTGGGATCCGGGTCTTGACTTTCAACACGATAACGCCCCCATTCATACAGTCCATTCGGTGCGCGATTGGTTTGCGGAGAAGGGGATTACCGTGATGGATTGGCCCCGTACAGCACGGATTTGAACCCCATCGAGCACATCTGGCGGTGGCTGAAGGAGAAGCTCCACGAATTTTTCCCGGAGATATATGATATCAAAGGTGAAAAGGCCGTACGTGAGGCCATAGGAGAGGCTCTCCAGGAGTGTTGGCGATTAATTGAGGAGCGTTGCTTTATTGCGGTGGTTCAGAGCATGCCGGATCGCCTGCAGGCGGTGATCGATGCGGGAGGGTGGCAAACTAAATATTAAATACGACGAAATTAGTATCGCTGAAATCCTTGTGAAATTTCCGATCTAATAGGCTGATTTATATAGAGCTCACGGTATTGGTAAGAAAGTTATGCCCACTGATTGTTTCTGTATGGTTTGAGGAATTTGGCGGGGAGACCCCGCACGCGCAGACTTTTGCGTTAGTACTGTACCTGCAGGAGTTGGAAGTTACATTCACCAACTCCTGAAAGATTTGATCTCCAATATTATCGATTTTAATAGGAACATAATAGTGTAAGGACGGAGTACTAAGGAGATCGTTACGGGCGAGTGAATCGGACCGCGGGATGATTTAGCTCCCGATGCCCCGCCGGGCTGCTGCAAATCTCGTGATGTCACGGATATTAGTCCATCCGCTTGAAGGCGAAAATTGCGCCTCACCCAGTTACGTCTCTCACCTTTCTCTTGTCGCATATTATTAATGTACACTTGAGTGATTCCTAGTTCTATCGCGTTGTCGATAAGTTGAGCGTCAAGAACACTCGTTGGATCGCGTACCTAAGGCCCTGATAAGATGAATTCGTTCATGTGATTTTCTCTATTCTGGATCTCTCCACAGTTTCTTTCCACGTTTCTGGAACCGCTGGTCGGCCAGAAGAAAAGAGTTGATAGCCATGGAGGAGAAGCGCAGAACTCGAGTCGCAATCGTCGGCTCTGGCATGGCCGGGTTGGTTACTGCATACCTGCTGAACAGAGACCAGCGAGAGCGGTACGATGTCACCGTCCTCGAACAAGTGAGCTACACCTCATCGCAATGAATTCTAGATCACTGACATGGCATAGGGCGATAAGCTGTCCCTTGACTCTGCCTCTGTCTCGGTTCCAACAAGGTCGAATACCCATTCCGAACGAATCGATGTTCCAATGCGCGCATTCGCTGGAGGATACTACAACAACCTCAAAGCGATGTACGATTTCCTAGAAATATCATACCATTCGCAGCCATTTCTCTTCGCATTCTCCGAATTTAAAGGACACGACCAGAACCATCCTCCGCTCTCGGAGGAACCTTACTTCATCCACGCTTCCAATAACCATCGGATACCCCCGCCTCGACCTGCCGGAGTGGACTTGGTCAGCCATATCATGGAGATAATGTATCTACTCTTCTGGTATTCGTGGTTCACCGTATGTTGCCTCCTTATGGCTCCGCTGGAAGCCAACTCAGAGGGGTTGTCTGAAACGTTGGAAGATTATACAAGGCGAATCCGGCTTCCCCTATACTTCTCGTCTCGTTATCTTCTGCCACTGATCGCCAGTGTCACCACATGCCCCCGCGATGTCCTCCTCCAATTTCCAGCGCGAGATGTGGTGGATTACAAACTACAAACACATGGTGCCCCACATTATACCGTGTCGAACGGGGTAAAGGACGTACAGACGCTTCTAGCAAGAGATATTCGTGTCCGGTTCCGCTCCAGGGTTATATCTGTGAAAACAGATGAAGGCCAGTGTTCTGTTTCGTGGCGTAAGATGGGCGATGGGGAACTTGAGGAAACCATCACTGAGGACTTCGATCGAGTGGTGCTAGCGGTTGCTCCAGACGTGGTTGGCGAGATATTTGCGCCCCTGCAAAAAGCTACCAGCTGCATCCCGACGACCCGGGTCAAATCTGTGGTGCATACCCGTGACGCCTGCACGAAAGACAGTCCTAACAAAGCTCTGGATGGTTCGGATATCAGCACTACTGAGATTGGACCGGTGAGGGCGCAGCTGATCAATATTAGGTCCTGTTTGAGGTCTGGGCATACGGAGGCGGCGCATTTCCTGCCGTCAGAAGTTGTCGTTACGACCTGTCCATTGACACCCCTGTCGGATGAGACGGTGATTAGTTCTACAACATTTACCCGTGTTCTGAGGAGTCCTTCGAGTAGGGACGTCATCAACAGAATAATGGACAAACCGGACTCGGGCGCTGGTGAAGGGGGCGACACAGAGTGGAGAAACGGAGACGATAATATCTGGCTGGTGGGCGGGTGGTGTTGGGATGGTATGGTGCTTTTAGAAGGTTGCATGGTTTCGGCTATGAGAGTTGCTGATGAGTTTGATGTACATATACCCTGGAGGAAAGAGCGGTGACGGAATGGTTGCAATGAGTGGATGCATATACAGTCAACCTTCGCTATAACGATTGAATCCGTACAGGCGAATCCAATCGTTATAACGCGGATATCGCTAAAACGAATTTTCTTGGCAGCATTGATTGAGAATCCGTGCAGGGAATATTATCGCTATAACGCGAATATCGCTGTAGCGGTAATCGTTATAGCGGTGGTTGACTGTAGTATAGTAGCATAAGTGCTCTCAACTCAATGACATCGGATGTAAATATGCCCTGCTGCATGGAATGGACAGGAAGGGGGAGGAACAGAAGAGACTACCTAAGTATGTGTTGCATGGTCCAGTCTTTATTCATAGGGATAAAGAGTGCTTCAATGGAGAGGTTTTGCAACCTAGAAAACCATTTTACAACTCGATTTACAACTCCACAGAAAAAGCGGTTAATATCTCTATATAAGGTTAGCGTATAAACTATAATATTAAGCCTGAGGCAACGAGGCAACAAAAAGTTGTACAAGTTGTAAAAAATAATTTTAAGGCATCAACATTGTGGCCTAAGGCATCAAAAACTTTGGTTCCGGCCAATCAAACTTCACGCAAGTTCGTTAGCGCATTTTCAACCAGTTGTAACTCAATTACAACTGTTGTAAATGAGTTACAACTGTGGATCATCAAAATTTACACCGTAAACCCGATTAGGATCTAGGGCCAACAGAAAGGTGGGTTGAAGTGGAGTTGTAAAATGGTTTTCGAGGTTGCAAAACCTCTCCAATATCAACATCCAAAGTCTAACACATATATGGAGACGCTTAGGCTGGATACCTTATCAAGCAACAAACGGCATCAGGGTGGGTACAGGAAAGAAATGGATGGAAGAAGCTGGATTATGGAATATTGCCAGTAACAGGATAAAGAAGGACCATCCGAACTGTCGATTTAATACTAGACCATGACATGTTCATCTTAAATTTCAAGAACTCTCGACTCACTTCAACTCCGACTCCTTTTGTTGAATCTTCTCGTCAATACTGTACTGTTCTCCTACAGTTCTGAACGATGCTCTGCCAGTCTAACTCGAAGCGGAATAGCGGATTCAATCCATTGGACGGAATTGTATAACTTCCATATGGAGTTCCCCCGTCCTTCTCATCATCCTCCATAGCCCGACGAAACCGGCATCATGATTCTAGGTTCTATACTCGAATTGGTCTTGGGCATCACACTCTCCGTCGTACTTGTCCGGCTTTTCGGTCCACATCCACCCAGCCAAATTTCCAACGTTGTTGCCGCGTCGTTCGGTACTGGCATCTCGTCCGGAGTTCGGTCGTTAATCAAAGATGGATGGACGCCTCCTCCACAGCCCGACAAAACCGGAAGCATGAATTGGGGTTACATACTCGAATTGGTCTTAAGAATGATACTCTCCGTCGTGCTTATCCGGCTTTTCGGCTCAGATCCATCGGGCGTGATTACGTACGCTGCTGCGTTCAGTTTCGGTGGTGGCATTTTGCCAGCAGTTCGGTCGTTCATCAAGGATGGGTGCAAGTTTCCGACGCATGATGATACCCGCTCGGGCTTTTATGACTTGGACCACTACAAGCTCAACCTGAGGCCACTGACGGAAGCCGGAGTGACGCAGAAGGGTGAATCCTCAGCCCTGTGGATGAATATGGGATATTGGAAGGTCATGATCCACTGATGTAGACATTGTATATAGTCCTATGATCTGACATGTAACAGGACACGAAAGATTTCCAGACGGCGAGCGAGAGCCTCCTCCTGCAACTTTTGAAATTCGCAGGCTTGAGGTCCCCCGATGAAACGCCATCTAACCACCGTCACCACAACTTGGACGTCTTGGATCTCGGCTACGGTTGCGGCGATCAAATTCTGGCTTTGTTGCATGCTCAAAGTCCCTTCCGACTACCCGGGGGGCCGGTTTCGTCGTTCCGCTTGAATAAATACGTCGGCATCACGTTCAATCAAAGCCACTGTGATATCGCTGGTCAACGTGTGGGGCAACGAATATCTCACCGCGGACTGGAGGCGGACGTTCAGCTGTTTTGCGGTGATGCTGCGAATCCAGACGGATGGAGCCGAACGCTTTTGGGGGAGGCCGAATCTCTTCGAAACCGAGCAACTGAACGAAATGACGGGCTCTTGGTCCCAGGCACCGAAACGTGGGTTCTCGCACTCGACTCCATGTACCATTTCTCACCATCGAGGCTCCCGGTTTTGAAATATGCTCGTCAAACGTTGGACGCCTCGTTGATGACTTTCGATCTTGTGCTCGCTGACGACGTTTCTTCCCTGTCTCGCCTTGCGCTTTCGATGGTTGCAAAAATGCTCGGATGTCCGTTCGGGGCCTTCATGCCTGTACGCGAGTACCGTGAAATGCTCCGTACGGCCGGATATGAGGACGACAAGATCCAGATCCAGGACATCTCGGAGCACGTGTTCGAACCCCTGAGTCAGTTTATCGAGAGGCAAACCGTCGTGCTTCAGAAGGTTGGAATTAACATCGGGAAATTTGCTCTTGCGAAACATTTGTTCAGATGGTGGGCGAATAGCGGCTCTGTAAGGGGCATGATGGTCGTTGCAAGGACTTCTGAACAGAACAAGGACGAAGATGTTGTCATTTAGCCTTAACCACCTTTGGTACGTTTGAGACTTTTCCTGAGAAAGCAGCCCATATGGAAAAGCTCACCCAGCAACAGATGACGTCCCAACCAACACTGCTTACTGCTGGGTGTTCGTGAAAAGCCCTCAGGATGCCGAAAAGCCCTTCCTCTGTGCCTACGACATCCACAGTGGCTTTGATCTGCAAGGTGCAGCCGAGCACAAAGACGAAGAGGTATACTCGTCGAAAATGTGTCTCGGCATTGGTCTGAGACTTGACAGTGAATCCAAGCTGTCGCGGTAGGCTGTGCAAATATAACGGAAGAAAAAGGAGCAAATGTGGGAGGCCAAGGACAATGATAAAGTAGGGGGTCGATCGCAAATATGGAATGGCAGCAACGCAACCAAATGATATCGACGCAATCAGGGACAGGAGCGTCTTGGATGGCACCCACAAGGTCGAAGGAGACGGTGATTCGAGGGGAAATAGAATCACGGCTAGAAATGACAAATTTGATGCAAAGGAGATGGCAACGATCTGACCCAATAACATGAATGCCCATAGATATGGGATGTGTCGTCTGTTCCCTGCATGCCATGTCAACAACCGCTCCGCATTCCAATATCAAATGACGATCCGTCACTCAGCTTCCAGCGTGGATCAAAATGAAACCGAAAATTGATTGCTCTCACCTTCAAATCCCAGGAAGATACTCCAGGCCGTAGTGAAGGAGAAGATCTGTTGCGTCCACCACAGCCGCCCGGGCGTGTCCAGCGCTGTTCCCCACGCCTCCTTAAACAAAGAGCTCTCCTTCAGCCACAGCGCCAGTTGGGCTCCATACGGATGATCGGATGCCATGATCCCACGATGCGCGGCCCAGGCTCGGTAAGAAGTTGCAAAGAACGCAAACATATAATACCAGGTCGTCGCCAGGCTGATCATCGTGAGGATGCCGAAGAGTGGCCCTCTGCGCCCCGCATGAAGCCCTTTCGACTTGCCATCGGCGGCCAACCGTCGAGCCCTTCTACGGGCTTGGGTCGAGAGAAGATAGATGAGACGGGTGCTCAGCCCCGCTGCGAGAAGCATGTAGGCGGAGAAGATGCAGACTGCGCGGAAACCGGGGTCCATGGTTCCGTTCGAATGTTAGGAGGATAGGGGAGGGGACGGATCTCTGGAGGCGGGTTCTCGAAACCTCAAGACCTATGGCCTTGGAGATGGTGGAGAATGCACGAATTTTCGAGTGTAACATGGTGCAATGGAAAATTCTTCTATGATCACCGCGGCGTTGACTTTGAGGCTCTTGGTGCCGTCTTGGAGTCAACGTCCGCGGACAGGGATAGCATCAACTCAACCTCGTTACGGAATACTAACTCTACAGTCTACACAGTTTCCCTTGGCTTCGATGCATATATATTGAGCAAATGGTCAGCAGAGCGAAGATTCTGACGCAGATTATCCTCTCCAAATAATCTCATTTCAACAGTTGAATTAACATGCGGTCGTTGGTGTATCACGAGTGACGTTGGCAGTTGGGATTGTATATCGCTCGCAATGAAGATCAATGACGATCAATCATAGCCAAATTCGTTGGAAAGATCGATCGCATTTATCGGATGTTGCCCAGGTCATACCAAGCTCATGGCGCGATATATGGTGTATCAGGCCAATTATCAACGTTGCAATTCTGCACTCCGGCCTCCGGCGGTTTGCTCTTGGCAATGGGCGGATTCAACCTGCCAAGTTCCCGCGTTGCAACTTGCAAGGTAGGAGAAATTGAACGATCAAACCAGGGCAGCCGGGAGGGAGTACCAGTGGCGTCCATTGATTAAACCGGTCCGAACGAGGCATGAGAGCACGCGACCACTTGGACGGCTCTGAGACGACGAGCAAAACCATCACGATGTGGAAGTATGGGCTCTGGTTGGATGGTGGGTGTTCCGTAACGTGAGAGCCAAACCCCCAAAGCAGACTCATATATCCCGGATGAGGCAATGATATGCGAAGGAACCGAAGCTCTCGTAACTCAGTCATCGTAATTTTCCATCAATTTGTACATCGTGTTTCCTGGACTGGTTGTCACTGGCTGGGCAGATGAAGAGAACTTTCCTCCGGTTAAGGCGAGCATCGTTCAGAGATGGGGCATGCGTGGAGGCGAACGGTAGCGTGGGACGATTTCATGGGAGGATTTATGGGTACCGAAGAGAAATCAGTCCAACGACAGTCCATTCAACAGGAACGTGTTTTTGTGAATGGTCCTGCGGGGTCCAGAACACCTCGTGAAAGAGAATTTAGCGTAGAAGCCACATTCTCGATACCACCCCGCTACCTCCCAAATCTGCACATTGTGCGGGTGATGAGTAACCACAACCCCCCCCTAGAATTAAGTGGCTACTGATAATAATCGCCCATTGTTTGGCCGGGGGTGCTGAGAAATTGGCAGCCACCACAACAACCACAGGCGGTCGACCCGCTACCTAAATCAGACCGGAAGGCCGCCAAATTTTTCAGCCCTAGCTCGGTACCATATCTCCTTAATCTAGATGTGGTGGTACTGGTCTTGATATTATTCATAGTGCTAATTGTTTGGATTTAGCGGATCCGTATCTTCCACTGCATATGCAACCCCGAACAACTAGGTTATGAGCGGCGCCGTGCGTAGAACCCCCAGCCGTATATAAAATATCCATCTCCCCCATCACGTCTCCTACTCTGGATCCCCTACCTATAGCCTTGCCATCACAAGTTCACCACCCGGTCCACACGCCGAACCTTGAAAATCTTCATCGAAGACTCTTCATTATCATGGCTCCGGCCCTCAAGCGTTACGATTGGATCCTCGCGATCATCTCCATCGCCTTCGTTTGCTCGTCCTTCGGTAACGGTGCGAACGATGTGGCCAACTCCTTCGCTACGAGGTACGTAGCACACTGACGACGTTCAAGACGCCAATGCTGATTCAGATCCCAACAGCGTTGCTGCTCGCACCCTCACCATGCCGCAAGTCGGCGTGATCTCGGCGTGTACCGAGTTCGTTGGCGCCGTCGCCCTCGGATCCCGTGTCACCAGCACCATCAAGAACGGAATCATGAACATCTCCAAATTCGAAAACTCCCCCGCGGTGCTTATGCTCGTGATGGGATGCGCTGAGATCGGTTCCGCCTTCTGGCTTATCTTTGCGACCAGCTTGGGTTTCCCCGTTTCGACCACTCAGACCATCGTGGGCGCCCTGGTGGGTTCTGGCATCGCCTCCACCGCGACCATCAAATGGGAATGGTCCGAAGGCTCCGTGTCTCAGATCGCCGCATCGTGGGCTATCGCGCCACTGATCTCCGGCGCCATCTCTGCCATCCTCTTCGCGACTTTGAAGTTCGCCATCCTGGAGCGAAAAGACCCGTTGAAGCGGGCGCTGCGAGCCATTCCCGTGTACTTCGCCTTCACCGCCGGGGTGCTCACTCTGTTCATCATCGTCGAGCTGCCGCAATCTGAGGATCTTGAAAACTTTCCGCTCGGAACCCTCCTGGGCTCAATTCTCGGGGTCTTCTTCGGCATCCTCCTCTTCTCCATAGTCTTCATGGTCCCGTTCTTCCATCGCCGCCTGGTGCAGGAGGACAGCCGCGTCCGAATCTGGCACGTTCCGTTGGGCCCTCTCCTATACCGCGAAAACCAATGGCTGTATTTCCCCGGCGCCGCGGACAGTGAAATCGTCACCGACTATTATGAAGAGGGTCATGACCCTAGGTATCCCGAAACCACACAGGGCGAGAAGTCTTTCGATATCAATAGCAACAAGTCCACAAACGAAATCGCTGGTAAGGATGTTGAGGCCGCCACGGGCGAGTCCACCGCCGTCCCCAATACCACCGGTGAACCAGTTCGACTCCGAAAGAGGAGGCCCGAGCCCGAGGAGCGCTGGCTGGTGCCGGTCAGACATCTCCCCATCTACCATCCGAAGAAGCTCTTGAACTGGCTCAAGTGGTTAGCGCTTCAGGGTGTCAGCCGAGACTGCATCACTCACCAATCCGAGCACATTCGCAAGGCTCATTCCCTAGCTACCCGCTACGACAACAGGGTCGAGCATCTGTGGACCTATGCCCAAGTCGTCAGCGCCATGATGATGTCCATCGCTCACGGGTAAGTTAGCAACCCGCATATACCGTATCTATACTGACCATCCCCAGTTCCAACGATGTTGCCAACGCTGTCGGTCCCTGGGTCGCCACCTACGACGTCTACATGACTGGCGTCGTGGAGTCGAAAACCGACACCCCCATCTGGATCCTCGTCATCGCCGGTATCCTCCTCGGCGCCGGCTTCTGGTTCTTCGGCTACCACATCATCCGCGCCCTAGGCAACCGCATCACCCAGCTCTCGCCCACCCGCGGCTTCAGCATGGAGCTCGGCGCCGCCATCACCGTGCTGATGGCCTCCCGTCTGGGCCTGCCCGTATCCACCACCCAGTGTTTGACCGGTTCCGTCATGGGCGTGGCGCTGATGAATTTGTCGCTCGGAGCCGTCAATTGGCGCCAGATGGCTTACATCTTGATGGGTTGGATGCTCACCCTCCCGTGCGCCGGGTTGATTTCGGGTCTGTTGTGCGTGATGGCGCTGAATGCCCCTCATTTCTGATTTGCGAGACTGTTTCGAATGGCGTAATGGGATTAAGATACCTCTTTTCAGTTGCAGCTGAGTTCTTCGCATGATAGCGTGCACATTCCATAGCTCCATAGCTCCATAGCTCTGGAGGTTTATGATGAAATAGATGACGATAAACACTTAGCTTTATTCACACTGGTATGCAAGGTGGATGAATCGTGGTCGTGTACACTCCTGTCGTGATTTCGCAACGATCTGTGGCTACTAGATACGATCGCCCGCTCGACTCCGCACCATTCCCTCGATTGGTGGATTTATTGTTGATTAATATTTCTGCTTCCAAACCAAGCATCTTTGTGATGGGACACTCTCGTAGGCGTAATCCTTTGTCACTGTTGACAGCGTTCCAATCACGTTAATCAAAACCGGGAGTTCCGTGCAATCCCGAAGTGATGTTAACTCGATGCATAGCCGCGATTGCCCAATTTCGAGGGTGAGCCGCACTTTGTCGTGCACACCTCTCAACAGGAGACCCGACCGCTGCCATCGCAACCAAACCTAGGGCTCCAGGATGCGTTGCGAATCTTTCCCATCCGGGCGCATTTTGGCTCATGAACACACTGGATAGTGCGGGATCAGACGGAGAAAAGTCCACGATAGATCACAATCGAGGCTCCGCGAAGTAAACCATAGTGGCTGATCCGTGACGTGTCCTCCTGGAAAAGAGAATATCCCATACCTGACATATCATAGCCTCCACCCATCAAGCCGCCGCCCTCCGCCTCTCCAACACCTGTGCCCTCAACGTCTCCACCGCAACCCCCGTCTCCACCATCATCCTCACCCCCGTCTTCCACGCTGTTTCTAGCCCTCGCAACTCGCCCTCCACCTCCCTCTGCATCCCTTCACGTTCCGCATCCACTTGCTCCACCTCGTCCCGCCGCTGCGCCAGCTCTTTTTCCAATCCGCGCAGGATCGCCTCCATGTCGTGGTTCCCGATCAACCACGCGTTCTTCCCGAACGTCTCGAGCAGCGCGAGTGCGTGGGTTCGCTCGGTTAGATAGCTGTGCGAGGTGTAGGCGCGCCGGAGGGTACGTTTCCATGCTTCTAATTCATTTTCGGGATGCGTGGGATCTGCGTCGGCGGCGGAAAGCGCTTCGTAGCGAGAGAGATCGATGCCGGTGTTCGGGTCGCGTGGGGCTTTCGAGTCGATGCGCCGGAGCTCCTGTTGCATCAACAGGGTGAAAGTTGGTTCCCAGGTCGGGACTGAAGCGTGGAGTGTAGTCGTATGGGAGGCATCGAGTTCCGAAGATATCAGGGAGTCGATAGCAGCGCGTGCGGAGGGAGATGGTTCTGGGTCAAGATCTGGAAGGATTAGCGACGAACATGGAGGAAATGGGGTATTGAGTACATACGTGGTAGGGCATCGGGGAATTCTTGAATGAGGACCATTGCGTTAGAAGCAGTGAGAGGCTCTGTATAGGATGAGGTTGTTGATATCGCCATTCCCATAAAGACTCTTGGGCTTTCGGACGTGGAGATGAAGATTATTCCGCTAACCATAAAAGGCCTAGCTCCTGTCGTTCCCTGGACCTCTTGTTTTTATTCCGCCGTTCAAAGCGACGTCATCGTTGCTTACAGCAATCACGCGTCTCAACTTGAGTCTCAACTCCCAACCTCCATCTCATTCGTGTTTCAGTTGGACACGACGCCATTCTTTTGCAGAGTTTGACACCTTGGATTCAAGTTTGATCTATAAACCCGTCGACACCGACGACCTATGTCGATACGAAGCGTGGAGCGGGCCGTCAGGGAATGGCACCTTCACGTCGCGCACGCGTACTGACTGCGGCTACCATAACATGGCTGCTGATAGTGAGTTGCATATGGGTGTCACTATCATGGAACCGGGACAGTTTTAAGTTATGGGAATTCTGGTCTTTCCCATCGTCCGACCATCATGGTGGGAGTGATGGCACATATGTCTTGGGGGTTGGAAAGGCAGACATTACAGGGTAAGCGACCGTGTCAGACACGTAAGATTGCTATGTACACTACTGACTTGCTCTTCAAGTCCGGTGGTAGAGCTAAATTTGATGGGTTACGCGGACCCAAAGCAAGTAGGTACAGGCTTGCAGCAACGCCTCTATTCCCGCGCATTCATCGTAGGAGACTCGGATAATCCTGGGGACTGTTTCGTCTATCTCGTGCTCGACATACAATCCGGGGATACTGCCATCCGCCATGGCATTCTCGAAGGGCTGCGAGAACTAGGACCAGAATATTCTGTGTACGGCCAACACAACGTTGCAGTCACTGGTACCCATTCGCATTCTGGACCAGGAGCGTGGTTGAATTATCTGCTGCCGCAGGTCACTAGCAAAGGATTTGACAAGCAAAGCTATCATGCAATCGTGGATGGAACTGTCATGTCCATCAAAAGAGCACACGAGAGCCGAGCGTTGGGCAGACTTAGTGTTGGGAATACGCGCGTGAAAGACGCCAATATCAACCGCAGCCTATATGCATACCTTGCCAATCCGAAGGCGGAAAGAGATCGATATGAGGACGATGTTGATAAGACCATGACACTTCTTCGATTCCAGCGCGCATCCGACGGCCACGATATAGGAGTGCTGACATGGTTCCCCGTCCACGGTACGAGCATGCTAGGCAACAACACTCTCATCACCGGTGACAACAAGGGCGTCGCAGCGAACCTCTTTGAGACTGTTGTCGAATCCGATCACTCGAACATCGCCCCTGGATTTGTTGCAGGCTTCTCCCAATCGAACGTTGGCGATACGTCGCCGAATGTACTGGGTGCCTACTGCGAGGACGGATCCGGGGAACAGTGCCGCCTCGAGGATAGCACCTGCGGGGGACGCAGCCAGGGCTGCCATGGCCGGGGACCATACTTTGGCCTCGATGACGGCGGAACCAAAAGCTGTTTTGAAATCGGCCGCCGACAATATCAGGCTGCCTTTGATCTTTTCAACGCCATGCAGAACGAAACCCGGAGCGAGGGTGGTGAATATCCTTCTGTTGATTTGCTGTCCCGATCTGCCAGCGAATTCATCCCCATTATCGGCGGCGTTGGTGCCCTCCATTCATTTGAATCACTGGCTAACTATACCTTCGTACTTCCCAACGGTACGACGGTGAGCACCTGTTCGGCTGCCCTTGGCTACTCATTCGCTGCTGGGACGTCAGACGGGCCGGGAGCGTTTGACTTCCGCCAGAACAGCACCGGGGGGAACGTATTCTGGGATACTGTCCGCAACGTCATCCATACCCCAACTGAAGAGCAGAAGGCATGCCAAGCTCCGAAACCGATTCTTCTTGACGTTGGCGAGACGAAGGCTCCCTATGATTGGGCGCCTAATATCGTTGACATCCAGCTACTGAGGGTCGGCCAGCTTGTGATTATCGTCAGCCCTGGTGAGGCAACGACGATGGCTGGCAGACGATGGAAAGAGGCGGTTGCGTCTTCAGTCAAATCTTTCGGACATCTTTCAGTTCTAGGACGTACCACTGAAGCGGACACGGAGCCGATAGTTGTTCTTGGCGGACCTGCCAATACCTATACTCACTATATCGCGACCGAAGAGGAATACCGCGTCCAGCGTTACGAGGGGGCATCAACACTCTATGGCCCGCATACTCTTGCCGCATACATGAATCTCACCCTTGAATACCTCCCAAGCCTTTGGAGTAATCCGAAAACCCATGGCGGTCGGCACCCTGACGTAGATTCCCCGAATCCGCCAATCAACACGAACCGGAGCCTCAGCTTCATCACGCCGGTCGTCGTGGACCACCCCGGGCTTTTCCATGGCTTTGGCGACGTGCTAGAAGATGTGAAGCCCGAGTACATGCACGATGAGACCATCTCGGTAAAGTTCGTCGGCGCCAACCCACGAAACGATCTGCGGCTGGAGGCGACGTACGCAGCCGTCGAGCAGTACATCTGCCAAGACGAAGGCTTAGGAGCCACCGACTGTTCCTGGGACCGTATCAGGGATGACGCGGACTGGGATCTCCAATTCGAATGGAAGCGTACTAACGAAGTTCTTGGAACTAGCGAGGTGACGGTGTCTTGGGATATCGACTCCATGGAAGGGGTGGGTTGGCGGCCCGTGGAAGGCAAGTTTAGAATACGATACTGGGGGGCCGAGAAGAGCTTACTGGGCCCCATCCACGCGTTCGAAGCCACGAGCGGGGAATTTCTTGTCAAGAGAAGGGGATGATTATGGTTATGAGAGATGATTTTATGGACTTCAATCGAGAATGCTCTGCGTTTAGCGACCCTATGCGGATGGGTATGGATGGCTTGTATGAGGTTGGAAAGCCTATATGTTTAGTGATTGTATACCCTGAGAAGAAATCGGCACCTAGTGGAATGAAATTGACTCAGGTTCATTGGAAGCTCGGGTATAGTCCACATATACACTCAAGGAAACACCTGTATGTTACATAGAAGACCACGCATGAGTTTATTGTATCCAATGATCCCACAACACCATGCAGATAGGAATGATGTATATATGACCCTTCCGAGCCGAGCACCATGCAGATATAAAACAACAACCACGGCCGTGAGAAAACCTGCACAAGTAAATGTAGAGCGAAAGGATTCCATGGATCGACTTGCAGTGTATCGGTTTAGGTGCTGGAGTCATGAACGTCAGCCAAAGCTACCACCAGCGCACGGTTGAAACTCACTAGATCTCCAGAGGCGCGATCTGATCCGTCGCATAGAGCCACCCACCGCCTCTCTCCTCCTTTTCCAGCCTATCTCGCATTAGCCCCATCCGATCATCGCAGGACAGTCAACTCACCAATCATACGGCCACACCACCAAGTGCCCCTGCACATGCTTCAACAGCTCTTCCGCATCCGTCTTATTCATCATCGCGCTATCGTCCTGTGCATGGAACGCCCGCGTGCTTGACCGCGTCGTCCCCCGCCGCCTCCGCCGCGTCGAGTTCTTCCCCACAGGCGTCTTGCCCGCTGCGTTCGCGGTCCCCGGGATCGTGATCGTCCGCTCCCGCTGTACCGGTTTCGGCTCCTCCGCCCCGCCCGCCTCCGCCTTCATCGCCTCCTTCTCGTCGAGCGTACGATCCGTCGCGCGGCTGCTGGCGTTGCGCTCCTGCTCCTCGGTCCACTCATCCACCGTGCCCATGGGGGGGCTGGCCCTGTTCTTCGCAGAGGTGAAAGGCTCCGCGACCTTCTCGGTCATCCCCTCGACCTTCTGCTCTAGCTTCACTGCCTTCTCGCTGAGTCCGCCGGGGACGTTGCCGGGTGGACCGCCGGTGCGCTCGCGGCGCTCGTGCTGGACGCGCTGCTTCGACTTCTCCTGTCCCTGCACCTGCGCGAACCGCTCGGCGAACGCGGTGTATTCTTGGTATTCCTTCCAGGTCTTGACCTGGTTGTCGGGCATGCAGCGGAAGACTTCGCGGAAGACCTTGGTGTTGTCCTCGGCGGCGGCGTGCCAGACGTCGAGGTAGAAGCTGTCATTGAGCGGGTCGCGCATGCAGTCTTCGGTGATGACGGGGCGTTTGAGGTCGCTGAGGTGCGGGTAGAGGACGTCGGCGGACCGGGCGGTGAGGGTGCGGCCGAGCGCTGGGCCGCCGATGTCGGTATCATCGGTCACCGGGAGCGCAGGAAGGGTGGAGATCGTGGGAAGGCCAAGTTCTCGGGAACTCAGGCGGCCAACTTCTGGGGGAGGAAAGAGCCGTTCTGTCTCTTCGAGCCGGACGGATCGGCTATCGCGGCTTGCAGTGGACGACCGATGTTGTCGGGCGTGGCCCTTGAGTTTCAGCTTCTTCGGCGACTGCTTCGGTTCGGCTGCAATATCCGACGCCAGGACCTCTCGACCGGTTTCATCGACATATGAGTCGCGACCAGCCAATATGTCCGGTTGTTCGGATTCAACATCGTGCAGACGGTCGTGACCTTCGCCGCGCACATCGCGAGCATGTGCCTCATTGCCGGTGACTCGCGGATCGGACGTGACCTTTTTGTGGGTCTTCAAATTCGGGTTCGCCAGCCCCCAGTCGATATCGTGGTTGTAGCTATACACTCGATCGATATCGGGCGACAACGATGACGATGGTTCCCCGATGTCGTTGTCCATGCTTGGCCATCGTTCCGAAACATCATCACAGGGTTGGGATGCTAACGACACCTCGTCTTCCCGCCGAAGCCGCTCTTCTTCCCGTGCGAGCTGCTCCTCGAGAATCTGGCGCTCCATGATGGCATCGGTGTCGATCCCGAGATGCTCTCGCATGAGCCGCATCCGGAGCGTGGATGGAAACTTGCCAACCATATACGGTTCCCCCGCCATCGTGGAGCTCACCAGTTCTCGATCACGGATGATGGCCGCGACTTCCGAGTCGCGATTCCCACGCATGGAGCGTTCGTTGATGTTCGCAGAGCCGATAATGGCCACCCGGTCATCCACGATCATGGCCTTGGCATGGATATACAGCTGCTCGGTAACGAGTCCTTGATCCGGGCCAATCTTCCCCCATGACCGCAATGCGTAGAATTGAATGTAGTCTTCCGGCTCGATACCGGCGGCTCGCAGCTTACCGAAGATCGACGTCTCTCCTCGACAGATGCTCCGGTATTGACATTGCATGATCAGACGCACGCTGCTGCCTTCCGGACTGTCCACGGTGTTTTGATAGCCGGGCATTAGCGGAATGACGATGATCGCCCTCCAATCCTCATCGTGCACGTGCGCCCGCTTGATGCGTTCCACGATGGCATCTCCGATGCGATTCTCGATGATGGTGCCATCCATGTTGCAGCTCGTGATGAAGAACTGGTTTTCCATGTACATGAAATGCTCCGACTTCTCAATCATCTTGACGTATGCATTTTCGATGCTGTTTTCCGTCCGATTCAACCCCAAGGACCATTCACCAGCGGAGCGCAGGATCTGGATCTCACACGTTCCTTCGAGACCCAGAGATTCAATTTCGCCGTGGATGAAGTCCCGCGGGGGTAGAAGGAATGGCGTGGGGCGTGAGGGCTTCCGCTGACGAAGAATATAATTCCAACGCTGAATGAAATGCCGAGTCAAATCCCGTGCCGGCTGTCCGACAATCTGCATGCCAATATCATGCCATGGCATTCTCGGAATTTTGCCGCGGTCGTACATCTCTTCGTATGGTTTATCCAGGGCATAGAAATCCTGAACCCGAGGGTTCGAGTAGTCTTTCCCCGGCCACAGCTGACAATGGTCAGCGTCCTTCGGCATATCGTTGAGCTCGAAGCCCGTGAGCTTGTCGTCAACCACCGAGTGGCCCGGCGTATCCCATCGACCATAGCATAGGTCAACCCCTCCGCAAAACGCCACTAGGTGGTCGACCACGCAGATCTTCTCATGATGCGACCAGAAAAACGTATTCTGCCGGAACTGATTCGGCGACCGCTGCACGAACACGTTCGGATGCAGGTCGAGTAGCGAGAACTTCGTGTACTCGGAGTCGATCGGAATCGCCGAATTGATGTTCCGGTACACGATGATGAAGATCTTCACGCCTTCTTGCGCCTTCCGCTGGAGCAGTCGATCCAACCGCCATTTCTGACTGATCGCCGCCGGCCGCCGCAAGTACAGCTCGGGACTGAGCCACCAGTCGTGGATGTAGATTACGTCCTTCGCCATGCTGATCGCCCGCGACACGTTCCACATGTAGTCCCGTCCATCGACCAGCCATTGGGCGAAGACGTTCTTCCGCACCGGGGCGAAGCTGTCGAACCGATGCTCTTGAGACCAGACGGTGTTCCGCATCATGAAGTTGACAGACTCCTCGAACTGGTGCAGTTGGCGCTCGTTCCTCGCGAGCAGCTTCATCGACCGCTCGGCATTGAAGATGCGCAGCTGGTGATGGGTCGGGTATTTGGTCTTTTCTTTCGCGCGCCGGGCGAGCTCTTGGGCGGTTTCGTCTCGCTTGCGTTTGCTTTTCTTCTCGGTGGTGAATTGCGAATCCACGAGGAGGACATCATAGACGTTCATCTCCTCGGGCGAGTCGACGCAGACGATATAGCTATGTCGCACGAGGAACCACTTCGGACTATGCCGCTCCTTGAAGTGGCTGGGGTTGAAACGGGTCTTACGGAAGTCGAGTCCACGGTTAGATGCGATAACCATGTAACCTTCTTTGCCGTGATAGCCTCCCTCGGCCGCAAGTCGAACGCCAAGGGCGGATAGCTCAAGGAACTTGCACAGACGGTTGCCATCAGGACGGAACATAAAGGTGGTAATCATCTGTTGCAGATACTGCTCCAGTCTTCTCCTTTGCCTTTCAGCGTAGGTTTCTCTCCTGAGACCAGCAGGACCCACCACCCCCGCATTAGAGCCGAGCGGATCGACCGTGCTAGATGGCGTCACTGGAGCATTGGTGATGCTGGATCTCCTCCTCATGAACGGGAAAGAGGACTGTCTCCTGCCGTTGCCGTTTCTCCTCCCTGGGCGGTCGGTGCCGCTTGCTTCTGCATCGGTTCCAGGCTCAGGAGGCATCATGTCTTCGTCCTCATCGTCCTCGTCATCTGCGAAACCACGGACACCACGAAGGTATGGAAAGGCGCTCTTGGGGAAACGTGGAAGCCGGTTTTGAGACTTATCGTCCGACCGGAGCTGGATGTATTTGTCGGTTTGACTCTGGATCTTGTATTTCAGATGCAAGTTGGCGAAGTCACGGAGGGTCCGATGGATGACCCATTTCATCCTTGTCGGGCCGCTCCCATACTCCAACTCGATCCGAAACACGACATGTCGATCGCCCGGCTTGTTTTCGACCCGTTGGCTGTCTACCACCCGCACTTTCAGCTGCTCAAGGAGGACTGGCACTCTTTTATGACCCTTGTCATCCCGTTGAAACATGCTGGCCAGAAACAGGGCCGCCGGAGCCCCGGCCAGGAGTTCGGCGAGCAACTCCGCCGATTTCGTAGAATCAACCTTGTCCTCCTTTTTCTTCGTGCCCAGCAACTTCAAGCCGGCTTTGATCTGCCGCCAGCGCATCGCCCCAATGCTCGGATGTCGATCCGCACGATTCCGGCGCATTGGCGACTCTTCCAATCCCGACCCACCGTTGATACCGGTAAAACGGCGCAAGTGGCTGGGTCGAGCGGAATCTGGAGCGTTTCGATGTCCTGGCACCCACGACGTGCCTCGCCGGAACATTCCCTGCTTCGCGAGTCGAGCGCGGCCTTCGTCTTCGGACACGTGCTGTCTCTGATTTTCCGGGATATCCTCCATCGTGGCGCGTCGGAAGAAGCCATGCGGACGCATGATTGGGGTATCTCCGGGCGAGTCTCTTGACCACGGTGCCATTCTGCTGGTGGTGGCCCTTGGCGTCGTCGGAGCCGTGTGGCTTTCGTCGGTTCGTCGACTCTTCCGTCGGGTACGTTGCTTCGGGCGGCTCGATGAGCCAGCCTGGTCCTCGGTAGCACTGTCTTCTCCATCCGCATCCGCTTCACTCTCATGCTCCGTGTAGTCCAACTCATTCGAGCCAGGCCCGGAAGACATGCCCACGTCGTTGGTGGAATCGCCTAGGGTCCATCCGCTGAATGACTTGCTGTGGCCGTGTAGGGATATCGGCGTGGCCAGTGCCTTCAATTTGTCGAACAGTCTTATAGCCTGCTTATCCTTGGCTTCCGTCTCTTCTGCCTCTTCTGTGATATCTGGCTGGGACGGGCGTCTTGAATGTGACGGGCCTGCAGTGTCTATCGTCGAGGGTCGAGCGAACTGGACGCTTCTCCTTCCGGGCGGCGTGGATGATTCCGGATCGCCGCTTGATTGTCTCTTCGTCGGCGCGTTTGAGGATGGCAACCGTGTTGCTTGATCCAGCCGCTCCTCCTTTTCGGCGGAGTTCCTTCCGTCTGGAACAGCATTGTCGGTGTCATCGATTTCGTCGGTATAATTGTTGGTCACGCTTTGGCCAGTGGTTCCAGGCGCCACATCGAACGGGAAGCCATTCGTCTTGACGCCTGGAGAGTGCACCGCACCATTTCCGTTTTGGTGAGAGTCGCTCGGCTTTTCTGTAGTTCCAAGAGGGGATTCCGGGGGTGAGTGGGACTCCACGGTTTTGATGTCGCGTGACCGTGTTGCTGGGAGCGGACGTGCCGACGGAGTGGTCATCTCAGGAGATCTGGTCAAGTCTTGATCCGGAGAGGCATCCATTGCGGGACTCGGACTCAGTACGACGGCGGCAGCGCGCGTCTCGGGACTTTACTGAGAAGAGCTCAGTTATCAAGCCGCAGCCGGAATGATTGATCTAGAGTGGAAATCATAGCAACGTCTTTTTGAGTGTATGTTCGCGCTTCGCGTCCTGAGTCGATCGTATTCCGTATGTGGGCTGGGGTGATACGAGTTGTGGAGTCTCGCTCTTTCGCTCGGATAGATGGGCAATGATCGGCTTTGAGTTGGAAGATAGGAGAGGGTTTATGATCGCGACCGGATTTCAGGGCGATTGGGAGGACAGGGAGAAAATTTAGATTCTGGTGGATGTAAGGAAGTGAAAGCAATTCCGGAATGGGGGTAGAATGGAGGTTGATGATGCGTGTCGCAGGACGCAGTTACGAGTCGACGGCGCAAGGACAGGGGGTGACCGGTGGTTTGGTTTTGGCAACTTTGGACAGGCCCAACAGGGAGTTAAGAGTTTGGGTGCGTTTTGAAATGGTCCAGAATAGATTCCAACTTTGGCATGTAGATGAATGGATGAGTTTACGGAGTGATCCGTGGATGGAGATGGTGATGAGCTGAAGGCTGAACAAACCGTCTTCGCTCTTCTGTTCAGCATTCATAACTGGACTGGTGATGAGACTTATTATTGAGAATCATCTAGTTATCTCTATTATTATACAGACTGCTCTTATCACCTTTTATCACTTAGGTGAAAGCTAAGGCAGATCCTCTATAACATCTTGGATTATATCTTGACCATCCGGATATCTGCTGGAAGATTATTACTAAGGTGGTACAGTACTAGAAATCGGAGTATAAGCTGACATGGGCGACACTGTTAATATTTTTACCCGGACTGGCGTATGGTATGAATATGATACGCCTTATAGACACCGAGTTACTTATCTGATCTTAGGACGGTCTTTGTTTCTGGTGCGGTTATTATACGGCCGGTACTGGGTCTCCTGTACTGTACGCCATGTCTAAGCCGAGGCCACGAAGACCCAACCCACCCGCAGTGCCAACCGGTATGGGCTCCAGCAGCCGAAGTTATTGACTATCGTCGCTTTTACTTAGTACCAGCTGGAGTGATCACTACATACTACCGCCGTGTTGACACTGAATCCTGATCATTGATCCGTCCGATCAGTGCAGCTTGTTCCTGTTCTTGTTCTTATTCTACCCTGGTCTCATCTCGATCGCTGCCAGGTTCAATTCATTTATCATCTCAGCTTTCTCTCTCCGCCTCTACCCCTCCTCCCCTCCAATATCAGAAATGGCCGCCCGCCATCCAGGAAATCCAATGGACCTCACACATGCGGAGAACGCTCCGCCCGACGTATCGCAAAAAACCTTCTACATCGCCGGCATCGTGACCACCGTCTATGGCCTCGATGAGCTGCCTCCGTCCACCTCCGAAGTGGCATGCCTATGGCTGCTGCATCCCCGCTTACAAAACCAGCAAACCATGAAACCCGCTGGCGCGCAATCGATCCATCGATGGAATTCGCTGATAAAAGAAGGCAAAGCGGGGAAGAACCCGAAAGGATTGATCGCTGTATCCTTTGACCAACGGAATCACGGCACTCGGCTTGTGGACAAGCAGCACAATGAGGCATGGAGATCCGGGAACCCGAGACATGCCCAAGACATGTACACATGCTATCGTATGAGACACTTACATTGGTTCGAAGGACGCATGCTAACATCCTCCAGAGGGTACCGCACAGGATGCAGCACATCTCCTCACCCACCTCACCTCCTACATCTTCGTCCGCCCCTCCGACCCGAAGATCACCGACAACTTCGTCCTCGGCGTCTCCCTCGGCGCCCACGCCGCATGGCACTCCATCATCCACGACCCGCGCGTCACCGCCGCCGTTATCATCATCGGCTGCCCGGATTACACCCGCCTCATGATCCACCGCGCCGAGAAATCAAAGCTGGCCTCCTGGACGAGCACGTCGCCGCCGGGCACCGCCTTCCTCGGATCCGCCGACTTTCCACAGGCGTTGATCGACGATATCCGCGCGCGCGATCCGATGGGCTACTTCTTCTCCTCGATCGACCGACCCGACGTCGCATCTCGAACCAGCATCCCCTCAAACCAGGTCGCCGCGATCGCGCAACTCCTCGACCGCCACCTGCACGGCAAGCGCATTCAGATCCTGTCCGGTGGATCGGACAAGCTGGTCCCGTACGAATGCGCAAAGCCGTTCCTCGATTATTTCAAGGGAGCGGTCGGGCCGAAGGGGTGGGCGAGGCACACGGGGGTGTATGTGGAGGATCTAGTGTTCAAGGGCGTCGGGCATGAGTTTACGGCGGGAATGGCGGAGGAGGCAGCGCGGTTTGTGATGGAGTCGATGATGGCGGCGGAGGAGCGGGGGGAGGGGAAGGTTCGGGACGTGAAGATTTAGGGGATCTGCATATGGTTGATGATTAACTAGTTAGAAATGAAATATTTAGCTGTTAGTCCAAGTTCATGTCCACATGACAAAGGAAAAAGTGAATCAGCATCGTCGGCGTCGTAATCCACAGCCATATATCACTCATAATTAACTGCAGTACGAAACTGGGAACCGTCCACCACGTAAGATGAAGAATCAAGACACGGGTAGAAGCCGGCAGCTAAGTGGGCTATTATGATGAATATGAGTACTAATTGAGCTAATTAGCAGCTTCAGTGATTTCCTAGCGCCAGGCCCCGCACCAAGCGGTAAGATTTGGCTGCAAGATTTGGCTGCAAGTGATTTGAAACCCCCCAGCCTCCTCGTACATCCCTCCATCTCCTTGTTCCTAATTACCCCCAACCTATCACGCCAACCCAATCCCTCCTCTAAGTAATCCAAGGCTTTCCCCCTCAGAAACTCGTCATCCTAAATCATCCCATTCAGCCCAGCAACCTCCTTGCCACCCCGAAGCTGTTCCATAGCTTCAATCTGTTGATTTGAAGCGTAATTGCAGGTCAGCGTGTTGATATCTGGACCCTGAAACCCCTTTTGTTGCCACCGTCCCTTTGGTCATCTCATCAGTGACGAAATTCCCACCGGACCCTTTCCCGATCCCCCTCCAGATATTAGGACGCGTAGCCCGCGAGCCCCGTTCATCGTCCAGGAAACTCTGTCTATTATATTACCAGGAATCCGCCATAATGGGAACTTATACATTCAAGTGGTAAGGTCAAACCGTGCTGTGGTGGTTCCATGGTACAGTCCGGCTAACCGTCCATGTAGGACTCATGGGAACGCTACGGAGGTCTTTGTGACCGGTACCTTCGATGACTGGAAGAAGTCCATCCAGCTGGAGAAGAAGGGAGACGTCTTTGAGAAAACAGTTGAACTGCCAAAGTTGAATGAGAATATTTTGTATAAGGTTAGTGCCAACTTCTTTCATGCTGATTCAGGATTGTGGTGGATTGCATTGAACGCCTCCCCACAGGACAAGTCCTATGTTTGCTATTCCGCTAATGAACGCTTCACAGTATGTCGTGGACGGCAAATGGACCACCGATTCAACCGCCCCTCAAGAAGATGACGGCAAGAATAACTTCAACAACGTCCTAAAGCCCGATGCCCTCGTGGCAGCTGGCGCGGCCACCATCTCCTCCGCCGCCCCCGACTCGACAACAGCCCAATTGGCCGGTGCAGTCCCCAAAGCCCCTGGAACCTTCCCCGAGACTCCTGCTGAGACTCCCGCAGAGGAACCAAAGGAACCGGAGATCGTCGGGGTCAACCCGATCCCCGCCACCTCCGGCACCGGCAACCCCATCAAGCTGGCTCCCGGCGAGAAGGTCCCCGACCCCAGCACGATCACCGACAACACCGTCGAGAGCACCGTCAAAACCGACGAGGCGTCCTACAACGCCAGCGATGCCGGCCCGGCGAAGGATACCGTCAAATCCCTAGACACTCAGGGCGGCGCATTCGGCGTGGCCCCGGTCACCAACAACATGATCCCGGAGTCCAGCCTGCCCATCGCGCCCGCGCCCGACAAACCCTCCGGCCCGGCCATCCAATCCGCTGCCCCCGACAGCACCAGCGCCGCCCTCGCCGGTGCCGTACCCAAAGAGCCGCGCGGCGTCCCGGAAGTCGTCGCCGAAAGCCAGAGCCAAGCGAACGCCGACCCCGAGGCCTCCGCGTCGGCCGAGGCGGTCGAGGAGAAGAAGGAGCTCGAGGAGGAGCTGAAGTCCAAGGTGCCGGAAGAGCCCGCCGCCGCGGCCGCAACCAAGACGCCTGAAGGTGTGCCGGTCGCGGTGGTGAAGTCGTTGGACGAAGCGCACTTCCCGCACGAAGCGGCTGACTACCCGGAGGCCGTGGCTGAGAAGAAGGCCGTGGAAAAGCAGCTTGTCAAGGAGCACGTGCCAGAAGAGAAGCCCAAGACGGAGGAGAAAGCCGCTGAGCCATCCTCCGTTTCCCCTGCCGCCCTTGCAGCCGCTGCTCCCGTAGCCGCCGCCCCCGTAGCCGCCGCCGCAGCGATCAGCAAACCCGACGACAAGCCCTCGCAGCCAGCCGCCGCCGCAGCGGAGCCGGAGAAGACCCCCGCCGCAGCGACCAGCAAACCCGACGACAAGCCCTCGCAGCCAGCCCCCGCCGCAGCCGAGTCGCCGAAGACCACCGCCGAGCCCGAACAGAGAGCCGAATCCGCCGCCGAAGCTGCCGCCCCGGCACCCGACCCCACCCCGCGCTCCAAGAACGACATTTCCCCCCCGTTGAAGCCCATCTCGCAGGACTTGTCGCCGGTCATGGCCGAGCAGGAGCGAGACCTGGGTGGAGTGGCGGGAGCCGATACGTCGGTCGATACGCCCCCAGTGACGCCGCATAAAGCGCCCGTTGCGGCGGCCCCGGCGACGGAGCCGACGATTGCGCCCACGGAACCGGCGCCCGCGGCTGCGGGGCCGACGACCCCGGCGAAAGATGCGACGACTCCAGCCGCGGAGACTCCGGCGAGCTCGAATAGCAAGGCGACGGATAAGAAGAGCAAGCGAAGGAGCATCTTTGGGAAGCTGAAGGATAAGTTGAAGGGCTAAGGGCTGGAATCGGACATGAGCGACCAGCGAGACCGCCTGGGGTTGTGAAGGATCGGGTGGAGGAGTGGGGTCATGGCTATGCAGTATATGTGCCATTCGTGTTTGCATATTGGTGTTTCTTCCCTCCCCCGATTTGTTTCACGTCCCGACGCACTTTGGGACCATTCGAACATTGCGATGGAGCTTCTTGATCGGCTCTTTTGGGGGCCGTTAGTCACCTGTTGATACCTCGTTTTTACTTTTTCGTATCTACCGGCATGTACCGACAGAAAGGTGCTGTAACTTGTAATTCACGCTTTTGCCATTGACTTTCCTTTGAATCCCTATGGGTGCCGAACTTGCATTCCGTGACGATGGTCCGAGGCTGGCTGGCGCGACCATAGGCCAAAAAGCTCCTGATTGATCTGCATGACCAGGATGCGGGATCACCACCCATCCCTCTCCAGCCTCACCCCCGACCACCTCTCTCCATCTCCAATTCAAATATCCACCAACCCCCATAACCCATCCACCGCCTCCATGCCTCCTCCCTCCCTCCACCAGTTCCACCCACCATGACCCAAACCTACGACGTCATCGTCATCGGCTCCGGCAACGCCGGCTTTTCCGCCGCCTCCTCCGCCCTCGACCACGGCGCCGCGCGCGTACTCCTCGTCGAAAAAGCACCACCCCAATGGGCCGGCGGCAACTCCGCGTTCACCGCGGGCGCGTATCGCACGGTGTTCCATGGGCTCGACGACGTACTGCCGCTGGTGGAGAACGTCTCGGTGGAGACGGCGAAGCAGATCGACATGGCGCCGTATACCGAGGCGGACTTTCGGGGGGATTTGGACCGCATGACGAGCGGGCGGGCGGATGCGGAGTTGGTGAGTGCGTTGGTGGGGGAGTCGAACGAGACGACGAAGTGGCTGGCGAAGAACGGGGTGCGGTTTCAATTGTCGTTCAATCGGCAGGCGTATCAGATCGACGGGCGGTATAAGTTCTGGGGCGGCATGGTGCTGTCGGTGGTTGACGGCGGGAAAGGCCTGATCCAGCAACACACCGCGAACGCGAAGCGCAAGGGCGTGGAAATCCGCTACGACAGCCCCGTAGTCAAACTCCTCACCCGCGACACCAGCGCCGGCGCCGGCCCCGAAGTCGTTGGCGTCACCGTCCGCGACCTCGTCGCCAACTGTACCTACGACGTCCACGCTCGCGGCGGCGTCGTCCTCGCGGCCGGTGGCTTCGAATCGAGTCCGCAGCTCCGCGCGCAGTATCTCGGGCCGGGGTGGGACCTGGCGTACGTGCGCGGGACGCCGCACAACACGGGCGACCTGCTGCGACTGGCGATCGACGAGGTGGGGGCGGCGGCGGCGGGCCACTGGTCGGGGTGCCATTCGACGTGCTGGGATGCGAACGCGCCACGGAACGCGGGGGATTTGGTGCTCACGAACCAGTTTACGAAGAGTGGGTATCCGTTGGGGGTGATGGTGAATGTGGAGGGGGAGCGGTTCGTGGATGAGGGAGAGGATATGCGGAATTTTACGTACGCGAAGTTTGGGAGGGCGGTGTTGGGGCAGCCGGAGGGGGTGGCATGGCAGGTGTGGGATCGCGAGGGGGCGGGGTGGTTGAGGGAGGAGGAGTATGGGGAGGGGGTGGTGGAGAAGGTTTGGGGGGAGAGTATGGAGGAGTTGGCGGAGAAGATGAGGGCGGGGGGGTTCAGGGGGGCGAAAGCATTGGTGGAGGGGGTGAGGGAGTACAATGAAGCTGTCACGGCGTTCAGAAGGGAGAACCCAGACGTCAAGTTCGATCCATCGAAGAAGGACGGCTTATCGACGAGGTCAAGCTCAGGGGGACTAAGGCTGGACAAGACGAACTGGGCAACGCCGATTACCAAAGGACCGTTCCTAGCCGTCAAGATCGCTTGCGGCATCACGTTTACCTTTGGCGGTCTCAAGATCGATCCGGGTAATGCTGCTGTTATTTCCCAGGCGAGTGGACGGCCGATCCCAGGTCTATACTGTACTGGGGAGATGGTCGGGGGACTATTTTATGGGAACTATCCCGGTGGAAGCGGATTGACGTCGGGGGCCGTATTCGGTCGTAAATCCGGACGGGCAGCAGCGCAGAGGAGTCAGCAGCTACGTGAAGCTCTTCTAAAATCTCAATTGTAGATACCATACTTGCACATATATATTCTTGCTGCAATACCGCCATATAGCCATCCCCTGAACAAAGATGAGCTTGTTTCTGGTCCAGACAGAGACTTACCCAAAATCTTATCGATATCGTAAGCATGGCTTACAGAGTCCATCCAAGAAATCCACATTGACATAATTATTTTGCATCCCAATACTTCGTGAGTGTTGTGGTATAAATCGGATGTCCAGGCACGGCGCATTCTGTGGGCTTGGACCCTGGGTCGTGTCGTTGAATCTCAAACCTTAAGAGTTCAGACAGCTTTGCACCATCATTTATCAACTTCAATCAACTATGGATCCAACATCATCGACAGGTATATAGAACCCTTTATATATAAGGTCCATGATGCAGTGTCTCCGAGCATCAAGACCAATTGGCGCATTCCGCTCAATACAACCCCAACGCGCCCTCTCCACCCTCCCAAATAATCCACACATCGTACGCTCCTTCTCCAATCTTTTGTCTAAACTAGATCCTCTAGACTAATCCTATCCCGAAGTACACCTTCCCCGACCCCCCGACCTCCGGCCACCTCCTCACCCTCCTCCCTACCGACCCCCCAACCCGCTCCCTCGCCATCGGCTTCTCCCCCTCCATCCCCCCCTCCCCCTCCACCTTCCGCGAAAATCCCACCTTCCTCCGCCTCCTCCATGCCGTCATCCGCACCCACGCCATCCACGATCCTCGCATCCAATCCCAAGCCCAGGTCTTCGCCGGCCCGGGCGGCTCCAGCTTCGGCTTCGGTGGCAGTACTACCCTGCCCAGCAACCATCCCGCGAACCGGTCGCGGCGGACCGCGGAGCCGCGGAGCCCGGGGATCAAGGCGGGGGGTGACGGAGCGGGCGGGGCGAGTAGGCAGGGTGGTGCGGGGGGCGGGAAGATGGGTGGGTGGATCCACGTGAGCGACGAGCGGAAGCCGCCGGATTGGGGGCGGATCGCGTGGCCGGAGGATATCTTTGGGAGTTTGCAGGTGGATGGAGAGGGGCGGTTTGTGGGGGAGGGGGGGGAGTATCAGGAGAGTGGGACGTATCGGGTGGTGACAAACGAGGGCGTGTGAGTGCTCTGAGTGTGGGTTGCTTGGGGTGGTGCTGATGCTCTACAGGTTGGGATTGAGTCCATTTTTGCGGGAGTGTTTGGTGCGCGAGCTACGGGCGTTGGAGAAGTGTGGGAAGATTTGAGGACGCAGATTCATCGAGGAAAGGGGCGATGCTTTGGGGAACCCGATTCGGAACGCTTGGAGACTCTCAATGTGTCGTGAGGCATTGACTCAACGATGCTGATGAACTACGATAACTCCCATGGCGCGATGAACCATGGAGAGCTATGACTGGAGATGAGAATTGTGGCTCGATTGCCGAATGACGGTGTTCAATTCGTGTGTAAATCATTGTATAATAACCCCTGTACCATCGCCGATCCAAACCACATCGGATATCACAGCCGGGCCTCTCAAGAGACATCCAATCCTGATGACTGTTTCCGCTCCTCACATTCGGATACGCCTTCTCCGGGAACCAAAGCAGGACGCCTGGGGAGATCCGTGGGTGGAACTAATGCATGTATGAACAGGAGATACCGAAGCGAAGTGGGTTTATGCAGCACTTGCCAGGTTCCGGCCGAAGGCAACAGTCAGACTTGCATGACTGCATCCAGGCAGAGCTTGGTGTTTCAGGCAATCGAGTAAATATCGCTTGGACTATGAAATAATACATGACTGACTGTAACCGTTCTAACCGTGAGGAGTCCATGAGTGTCAGGCGGGGTGGAGGGTTCAATCCTGGACTGGGGTGTTGAGGAATATCGCGGCCCCATATCACCTGGTTTGCGACGAGTTGCCACACACTGTACATAGTTCCGTTGGGTCAAGCAGACAGATCAATGATGTCTAGTCCGCCAAGGGCTTCGTCAGATGCCACCATAGCGAGTCATACCGGGAACTGTGTGTCTGAACTGGAACCATGATAGCAATTCCATAGTCCGGATATTCGCATCCCTCGAGATCACTTTACCTCACCCGTCAGGGACCAATGCACGGGGTGAATGAACGAGCTGAGGGGGCTGGATCCCAGAAAACAATGATTAATCGTTGCCTGTTCCGAGTAGCGCTGCTGTTGGGCCATGAGGATGTAACGGATCGTGCCACCATGCCGTCTCAGAACCGCAAAACACACAACCACTGTAATGAACTGACTATCAGTTCTGCCTGATTCATGGGAGCTGTTCGCCATCACACATGTGGGACGGAGCGGGTATGTACAGAATTGGTATCACGGTTTGTTGGTTCAAAGTTCAGACTTCAGCGAGATGATCAGCGTGTTTCGAGGGTCAACCCCTCATGCTACGCACCATTGCGACACAGGAAATGTTCCGATTTTCATCGAATGTGGATATTTCGAGAGATGGCTGAAATCATGGAAACATTCCAGTGCTATGTATAACAATATTGTTTCCGGAGGATGATTTGGGTCTCCTCAACATAACCCAATCATGTTTGGAAGGGTTCGATGTGGGTGGAGGTGGAGGTGGATCGGTTGGTAACGGCCTGGGGTCAACCGGTCGGGAATTCGAAACATTGCCGCCGTACACGATACGTTTTGACACGGATGGCCGGCTCGAACCGCGCGGAACGTGGGTGATACAGACCGAAATATCGTGTGGTCAGTGATTAGAATGGAGAATGAACACAGCAGTCCACTATGTAGGCTAGAGATGCCTGACGGGAGATTGATCAGGCGGAGGTGTCCAACGTTCCCTCATGCATGGACTATCAATTTCCAACAAGAGTCTCGAAACGGTTTGTTTACCAGAGGTTAGAAATGAGCGGCACCGTCGTCGAGGCAGTCCAGATCGTGAAAGCTGGCCCCCACAATTGCGTCACCTCTCTATAGCCACCGGCCAGCGGGTCGGACGCCCTGATCATGAAATGACGAAGCGGGTGACAGTGTAAATGTCCGATCAGGGCGTCCAGCTGGACCGACTAAAATGGGCATGGACTATGGGTGAAGATACGGAGGGGGGTTTGGATTTCTTGCTCGGAAACCAAGCTAGGAAAACGATCCGACCAGTCATCTGGCCGCTGATCCAATGGAAGAAATCAATATTACGGTCTTAACCAAGCAGCAAGAAATCGGGAAACAGGAATAAGCCAGAGCAACCGCTGCACTGCCGACTCATCATGATGTTCATCCCCTTCATCTAGTTCCGGTCAAAGGATTTAGCTGCTGCTGCCTTGAGGCCCTTGGTGCCTGGTGACTGCCCACCATTGGCTAGTGTCCGCTCCCACTCTCCCAGTCTCGACCTCCTCCATCCATCATCCATCATCCACTCTCCAATTCTCCATCTTACCACCCACCAGTCACCAACTTTGCAATCCCTATCGGACTGTTTGCAACCGCATCCAGCGTCCAGACTCCCGTCCGTTCCTACCCGCCCGCTTCAGAAGCCGCCCATTCGATGCATTTTTGGACTCGCGTCTGGGTCGGACACTCTGACTCCTTGACCTCATGATCCGATCCAACAATGGTCGCCGAGACCGCGATGCAAGCGGTAAGTTCAATTCGGAATGATTTTCAAGTCGCGCCTTGACTCCTTCGCGAAATACTATGGTCTACACTACTCCGTACTCCGTAAATACCTATTCCCGAGATGGGCTTTGGGCTTTTGGCGTGTTCCATGGTGCTACTCCAGAACCCAGCCCAGTTGTGTGGGGGGTTTCGGTGGGTGGTGGTGGCTTTGCATCAAATGCATCACCCATTTAGCTCCAATTCCCTGCCAGTCATCCATCCTTGCAATTCGACCTTGCAATTCGACCAGGATTTGCAGGCATCCATCCGGTGTCAAAGGTAAAGATATATTCCACCACTTCTCTGTTTCTCTCTCTCCTTCTTATACTCCTGTTCACAATTGTCCAACCATATAAGCTGCTCTTCCCATCCTCCAGTCCAAGTTCAATCCTTAAACACTATTCATCACTCGAGTCTGTCTACACAATATCCTACCTGATCAAACCTCACTGTCTTCCTATACCTTCACAATGGGGTCCTTCCGACGCCTTAGCACTGCTCAGGGACTGGGCATTTCCTCGTCCCAGTCCTCGGACAAATCTTCCCCATCTTCACCCAAGCCTCGCTTCGCCGATGCAGTGGTGAGCACCATCGCACGCCCACTGACCAACGAGGAGCATTGGGCTCTCTACTACTTCGAATCGCACGCGCGAACTTGCACTCGCTGCTACAACCCTTACGCTGTACAGAAGCGTAAGGACCGGTTATGCTCCGAGGGCCACCTCCTCGCGCAAAACCTCTCCCTTTACTTAACCCAGGGCCATGACGGCCACATCCGCAGTGCCAGCCGCACCGAGCAATCCGAAAAGGTTGACGGTGGGTATGCGGACGTGTGGGTCGAGATCCCGCGGGGATTCGAGAACGCTCTTGGTCTCCTCAAGGCCATCGAGCGCAGCATGCGACATCGCGAGAAGTTCGTCGCCTTTGAGAAGGCGCATACATCGCCGAGAAAAGAGAAGCACGCGGTCAAGGAACCGGTCATCCACCACACCAAGCACTCCAAATCATATCACACCGTCACCGCCGAGCCGGAAATTGTTGAATGGCCACGGCATGAACGGGAGACTACCGAAGAAGCCACCCCAGTCATCAAACCAAGCAACCGTGGCTCGCTATACGAAGCAGATATGCGCGCTCGTCAAGAGCGGGAGCGAAAGGAACAGCAGCTGCCATACCGAGTGGAGTTACGGGAACCGCGGGCAGGGCGGCATCCCCATCGGCATTCAGTATTCTGGAATTGAAGTGCGCTGAGGAAATCAGGAAAGAAATACGTTGCTCCGTTGCTCCGTTCACGACGTGAATGGTTCAGGCGGGGCTCAGCATCACAGAATCACATCCCCATGACGCGAAAAAACGCTTGGATATTCTAGTCTCAGTTCTTACTTGCTTGGTCAAGAGATTGAACGTCGTTCGGCAGATTTCTGCCACGGGACATTGCGAAGTACATACATGCATGATTTACAGATCCGCTCTGGTCGCTCGCATACTTGCACGATAGGTTACGTTGCCTTTGGTTGAAGGTCCTTAGATCTCCCATGAAAACTAGATAGCTGATTTCAATCCAAATTCGATTGATACCCTGAACATCCGGTTTTCCTGTGAAATTTCCCTCTACAAAATACAGTCCTGACATTTCTGGTCCCCCGCCATAGTCGCCCTCCACCCCGCCCTCCGCCCTTTAGGCTTCATCGCCACCGAATTTCCCCCCTTTCTACGCCCCGCGCCCTAAAGCACCATCAAACAGCCACAATTCCCAACGCCTCCGTCCCCACCAAGATGCTGGTCACTACACGCGATCCTCAGCGCAGATCTGCGTGTCCCCATGACGCAAGCCTCCGCTCACCAGACCCCTTCCCATCCCGACGTCTCGCCCATATCATCAAGCCTATAAGGCGGGTGGTGGCTTGGGCATCCAATACGGACGATCAAGGCGCGCACCCCTGCCCTTGTGGCGCGTTTCGACCGAATCAGGCGGTGCGGGACGATATTTCGCGTGAGGGTGGGCCGGAGGCGGTGCAGGATTCAGACATGAAAGGCGCGGACCGCAGCAGGGGTTGGTAGCGTTAGGACTCGATTAGGAAAACGGGAAGTTTTGGAAAGGAAAATTAACCAGAGAAATGCGAGAATATTTGTTGGATGGAGAGAACTGGATTATTGTCGATGTGAAACAGGTGTGTGTGTCCTAATTCCTAACTTCTCTGGAAATATTCAGCTTCAAGCCACAGCTCGTATCCGGTACTCCCTGGGCAAAGCGGAAGATTGAGGTCGACGCGCTTCGCGGCGAGATTTGAGACAATTCCTGCGCCGTGTCGACCGGATATTTCGATGGACGATGCTCCATCTGTGATCTGGGGGAAGAATTGATGGCCCTGAAGGCAGAAGCATATCACAGAATCTTTAAAATATGGCAATTTATTCTAGTGAGGGTTCGAATTGGGACCTTCAGAATACTCCGTTATGCTGCATAATTAGTAAAATAAATGAGGGCAGAGTTTCAACCCTTACCCTCCTAAGGGAGTGGTGAGACCGCCGAACAATAGGAGGAAAAGGGAAATAACGATAGGCTCAAGGATGGAATCCGGTCAATGTTATCTATTATCCTTTGGGGCTTTGTCACCGCAAGAGGCTTTCCCCCAGATGTATGTACAACAAGTTTGACACAGATAGATAGGAAGACTTTTCTGAACTCAAGTGATGTAGTACATATTAATAAAAATAAAAAATAAAAAATAAAAAATTCGAGTTGAGCACTAATATTCCTAGTGTTCGGTTTCAGTGACGAACTTCATGTTGCGATGTTTGTGTTGAAGTTCGAGCTGTAGCACCATCAGTTACCATGTTTCTGTGAGGTCGAACGGTTGGCTCGGCACTTTCATGCCTTTCTGTCTTAGTTGTATGGTGGAAAAGATTAATATATATTTTTAAAAACTTCAAATTAAGTTGCCTTCGGGCATTTGGTCAATTTGAAACGATACAGAGAAGATTAGCATGGCCCCTGCACTAAGGATGACACATGTTACGCAAGAAGAGTCTACAGTTTTTTTTATTTTCCAAGGCTCTGGGATCAATTCTCCTTGCAGCTGATTTTTTTGGAGGCTTAGGGTGGATGAAATCTATGTTTTTTGGATTGCCATGGCTGAGTGGCGGATGTGGCGTGTGTTGGGGGACGAAAATTCAGGGGTAGTGGGTGCCTCAGGCATAAGAAGTAAGTAGCCAGAGCCAATTATTAGAGCCAGTTATTGGAAACGACACATCTCCAGTCTTCGATCTATGAAGGCGTACGGAATAACCACATCAAACATCGACCTGAGGAACACATGGATTGCATATATGATGCCCGGGCCTTCCAGGTACAGGATACAGGTGTCTACAGTAACCATTATGAGATAGGACGCAATATGAACGGTACATCTGCGATAGAAATCGCCAACAGAAGCATGGAGGACGGAGAATTCATTTGTGCCTGCGGAAACTGCAACACAAGAGCTCAGAACTGTACGACTGACTTCGAAGTGATCAGCAAAGCATGGAGAAGGGAGTGTGCCATTTTGCGCGAGAAAAAGGCAACACAGGAGCGTTCAGGACCGAATCCGCCTGGACCTGAAGAGCTAGATCGATCACGATGTATGGCCTGCTTGCCCACCATGATTGCCAAACCTTGATGCGTTGGTGTATCCAGGTCGGATGGTAATGGTCAATGACGGCACAGAGAGGTCAGTGCACACTCCCGGCTGACGAAAGATTGCATTGGAAGACCATATGGGATCTGCTGCGCGGTACTTCTAGGTAAGGGAAGATCTAGTTACTCGAGGCAATGTGAATAGTTTTCAAGAAACGCCGGGGTACCGTATGCTTCCAGTCTATCGATTCCTCAAATGCTTCAAGATCTGTTTACTGGAGTTGGTGCCTGATCAAGATTAGATCTGATCAAGTGTCTGAGTTGGATTTCTGCCTGCATGTGGGTTTTATCATCATCAGTCCCTTCATGTTATCCTCATCATTATTAAAATGATTATTACTCCCTCCATCATCATCACATTCACTCCACTTAGCTAGGTGTAAAGCTCTTCAATTTTACTCCCTCTTCCTCATTCTTCCTCCCCACTTTCTCTTCCTCTTCCTCCGACTTCCTCTTCTAATATCTTCCTTCCTGTGTTACTCACCACAGAACGCAAGTCGAACGCATTGCTGCTTCAGGTGTATCGGTACCTCAGAGCTTCCATCTACCTTGTGGCAATCATCAACTAAACTAGTGACCATAAAAGCACGCGTACTACTCCCGCTAACCAGCTTGGCGATAAGAATATCACGGTTGTTCGTGCCCACACCATCCAGACAGAGAAAAATGTCTTTTTTTGGCCCTGAGTAGCAGGAGGGGGAAGCGGAAACTCGGCGGTTCAATCCTGAACTTGCTCGAAAGAAAAGTGTTCGGCATCTTTGTAACCCATTGCAAACAAACGAGTTTTGGTGCTTATTTGGTTTTCGTAATAGTATTCATGAAATGGACAACCACGCTAATCGCTCTCCCGCTCGTATGCTCGTCATCAGCAGAACCGTCCGTACGCCATAACCCACGATGTGTACAGTCGCAAGACTTAGAATTCGTTCTTGCCAGCGCTTTCAAATACAAATGGACCACCACATTGCATCGCTATGCGGAACCCTAGCGCCCAAATCATCGCCATGGACTCGATCCTCGACCTGTCTCCTGACTCATACTCTCAAACTCCATATCCCATTGGTCCACCTCAGCAAACTTCGCAGCCGCGGCCAGCAACGACTTGCTCTTTGACAAGTCTCTATCTATTGCTTGCTTCTCCGCAGATTTGCCCGTCCTACGGCCCGTAGGGATGGAGACGTCTTCGGCTTCGGATGTCGAGGAGGTATCGTTGGAAGAGATGTATGTGATATCGTTCTCTTTCTCGGAATCGGCTTGGCTCTGGCGGCGACCATAGATTCGTTTTTCTGCTGCTACGGATACACGAGCTGGTTTTGACTTTTTGTTCACCGCTGGAGACTCAGTGAGTCCACGAGATCGAGATTTGGACTTCGTATTCACGCGCCCTGATGTCGCCTTTGGTTGAGCTGCCTGGTTACCGACTTGCTTCTTCCTCGGACGACTCTTCGACCGCGCCAACTCGTCTGGCGATTCTTCCCTTCCACTCCCCTCTTCGGAATCACTTCGGATGTCGAACGCAGTATTTTTTGCCTTCCGACCTAGATGTTGGCGACGCTGAGGGAGTAGACTCTGCAATTTAGCGGTGCTGAAAGATGGGTTTTGAGGTCTTGTGGACTTTCGAGTGTTTGCGGGGGTGATTTTAGGGCGGGTAGGTGAGTTGACTGGCGTCTGCGTTGAGCTCGAGCAGAGGGGTGGAGCGTTCGTCTCGCTGAATGGTTCGGATAAGAGGGACGACTGCGCGTCGGCTTGCTGCTCTTGAGTATCTGGTACTCTGTCCATCCTTCCTTGGGAAACAGGGGGGCTCGACAGTAGATCCTGATTGCTCGCGGAAGAACGGGGCGTAGGCGATGATCTAGGTACTTGAACCTCATCCGAAGGTCTCTTCCGCTTTCTTGATGCCGACGAGCGCAAATCCTCTGACCTAAGCGAGCCTAGCATGCTCTCCCCAGATTCGAGCGAACTTCTACCCTGTCTGCGACCGAACTGCAGGGGAGTTGACTCATCGTCCGGCTCCAGTCCATCAATATCAGACATGCCAGAATCTCCGTGTTGCTGTACCATCCGCAAGAAGCTAGGCTGCCGTGGCCGTCGGCGAAAATTCGTTAGCGCATGTATTGACTTCTCTACGCCAGGAGTGCTCTGGACTTTAAGCGTCGACCCTGGTATGCGAGCCCCTTGAAGCCCGCTCCGTCGTCGCAGATCTGCTTCCAGCTTCGCTTGCGCCGCCTCTCCTTCTGAACTAAGGCTGTATAATCCAGGTGAGGACAACCTTTCACGCTCGGGTGTACTTTTCTGCGCGGGTACAATTGTCTGCGGGCTATCTGCAGGTCGCTTGGGGTTTACAACAGCGCTCGGCTCCGTCATGGTCTCGAGGGCTGCTCGGGCGGTGGTGGAGAGCTTGCGTCGTTGATCAATCGGTTTCGAGACCTTGCGAGAGGACTCCCGTCTCTTTTTTGGTTCACCGAGTCCTCTATTTCCGGTTGCTTTTGGTGGCCCACGACCTGGCGCATGACCTTCTTCATGGCCGCTCCCCACACCCCCACTTGAAGCCGAGTTCGTGGGTAAACCGCCAGCCATTGTCAAGTTGTCCAAGGCATCTTCAGTTCGTGGAGATGTCTTCTGCTTCGTTGCGCCTCTCTTTGTGGCCGGTTTTGCCACAGCACCTTGGTGATCGGCGGAGGGGAGGGATTGATTGCGCGTCACACGCGTCGTCTTGACCGCGTCTGCCGATACTACTTTCTTTCGTTTCGGACGCGGCATGATGATTGACCTGCCTGGGCGGCGCGGCGACTAGGGGAACTCAAGATGGTCTGACGGGATCGCGCAGGAGTTCACGAGGTAATAATACAGGTAGGTTAACATAACGAATTTGAGATTCGGCATGGAACCGTTCAAGTCGGGGGAGGATGTTATGGGGTCAACCTGTTTGGGTCTAGCGCACATGACAGATTTCCAGTCTAGCGCGCTGTCACCTGATGTGATCACGTGGATGGTGTCGAACAGTCCCGTTTCTGACTTGGTTCAGGAGAGTCCTATTTACCTATCAACTCCTGGTGCCTAGGCATGGATTGAATGCACCGAAGAGGGCGTTGTCAGAGGGTTCGAGAAGTTGAAGAGCGGGAAAATGTATGGAGAGGAGTTGTGGTGCAGGTTGGGACGTTGGGTGGTGTGAACAGTGCATTCATGCGAGCGTTTGGCATAACAATGTATGATACAATCGTGTAATATTTGTCGCCTATGCGTGAGCCTTATTCCCGCAGGTAAATGTCAATAGACAATAAGATAATATCGATAGCAGGCTATGAATGCGCCATGGCTTTTCATTCCAGCTTCCCGTCACTATTCCAACCACGAGGAGCCTAAAAAGTAAAAAGATACTTCAAGGACGATTCAATATCCTCTCTAACTCCTTCACGTCCGCGAACTCAACATAATCCAACAACACCACATTCGGCCTCCTCTCCCAATTCGTCTGACAGATCCCCACCTGCTTCAACACCCCGCCATTCCCCTCCGCGGCGTTCGTCTGCGGTGCCTTCATCCGGTCCGGGACCTTCAAGCCCGGGAGCAGCTCGACGTTCAAAAAGTGGTTGACGATGTACATGCGTGACGACGCGGTTTCCGACGGGCGGTCGCTCTTAGGGCGGTCGAGTGAGCAGTCCGGGAAGCTGGGGTCGGTGACGCCGAAGGGGGTTTCGAAGTAGTGGGAGAATTCGTCGATGAGGTAGGGGACTTTGGATTGATCGGCGCCGGTGTCTTGAGAAGGATTCCTTATTAGTTTGGGTAATTGGGGGATATAAAATCGGAGAGACCCGGTTAGGGAGAAGCTATACCGAGGAAGACCACCAATCTCTTCCCCATATCAATCATCTCCCCCAATGTCGGCCACTCGCCCATCGGCAATGGCTTTTTCTCTGGTGCATATGCATACTCGTGAATTCCCGTCTCCTCGAACGCTGCTTTCCACTCCTCAATGGGGGTTCGGTCTCCATTCACAAACAACAGCGTGACCACCTCACCGGGGTTCCCTTCCAAGAATGCCTTCACCGTGTGCAAATAGTCTTCTATGGGCCCCGCATCTTCCAATGCACACGCCGTGTGGCACAGATTCAACGTTCCCCCGTCCGTCTGCGTTTGCCCCTGTAGGTACCGCACCCCCTTATCTAGCTGCTCCGTCACCTCCAGGCCTTGGTTCTGCGTGGGCAATATGCCGACGAAGGGCGAGTCGTGTGCACCGATGAAGGCGATCTCGGTGTATTTGCGCGAGCAGTAACTGGACTGGCCATTGCAGAGGCGGCTAGGGTCGGCGGCGGAGGGAGGGGAGGTCGGCACTGCAAGGACGGGAGGTAGCGTTGGAATCGGCTGAGGGGAGGGAGTCGAGACGGGGAGGAGAGCGAGGAGAGAAGAAAGGGCGTCTCCAAAAAGGGAGCGCTTCATAATGAAGGGGTACGAATGGTTCTAAAAATGACGCCGCATGGAACAAGGACAAAAATGGAAGAAATGCTGGACTTTGACAATGCTGATCGTAGACTGCGAAATGACCTACCGGGCCATGATCCGAGATTAATATACAGACGCTCAATCTGATCCAGATGCCCCATCAATCAATATACGGCAGGAGCATCTGCCCAAAGCGTACAGGTACTCGACCCGGCGAAGACTTTTCTCATCTTCAGCCGTTTCGAGCCAAGTAAACTAGCATCATCATTGCAGTCGATCTTCATCGTATGGATGGATGTGAAATTTGCCACTTAAACAAAGAAGAAAGGTCGAGACCATGGATTGTTCAGAGCCGAAGGGCTCTCCGTGGCTGGATGGTTTCAAGTCTAGTAGCAAATGCCGTGATGGGCCTCCTGTTTGGTGGGACGAGCGCCGACCACAGAGCCATCATTATGTCCGTACCTGCCTACTTGCGACTGGCTTGTTAATTGGATTGAGATATGGTATCGAAATCTAGAAGTCCGGATGGAGGTTCTGAATGAGCGTTTGGCCATTGGAGCAGCGATGAAGATGAAAAGGGGAGGTGGTGCGTGGGGATGTTGGAGTTCTGCTGGGGATTGGCTCCTCAGGTCGGCCAGATTTCCTGGTCGAGAAGAAGCGTCGAATCACGACCGAAACGAAGACATTCGATCGAATGCACAAGCCGTATGGAAATTACTAATGATTATATTAAAATCCATGGGCATAAGTTTCCAATGAATGAGTTCCGTAGTCTGGCTCTAGACTTGTGTTGATATCTCTCAATAATCCTCTCAACGCGCCTAGATGAAGAACATGACCGAAATATCTGCAATTAACTCCATCACCGCGTCGTTCGGTTGTACATTCGGCATATCAGTCGAGTCGAATCACTCGCCTGGTAAAGCAGTGCTACCATAAAGTCTACCTATACGCCCCTGCTTTTGATAGGCACTGATTTTTCTCCAAGTATTCAAACCACAAAACACCGGTTACCGCATCCCAAGTCGTGCGTCGTTCCATGGCTCATCGAAACCAGCAAAATCCGGTCCGGTGTGCCTCTTGACGCCACAAACCCCAACTTCACCCTCCACGGGGTATCGATAATCAATTCCGAGTCGTAAATGAGAGCAACGTATCCACTGGCACCGTCGCCATCGTATGCGGGCTACAAAATTGCTCGTTCTCGTTTTGTTTCTGCTCCTCCTCGTCCTGCTCTCCGAAAAGCGATACGGACCCTCTGCCCGCGCCGTCCGCGCGATTGGTGGTCTCCGACGTGCATATTCTCCTCGCGACGTCGTTGAATGTCTTCTTGACCAGTGCCCGCGAATTCACCGGACTCTCCGTCGAGCACGGGATGTCGGGCCGAAGATGCGGGTATACCTCGAAGAAATCGGAGTTGATGCGCCAGCACCCGATGTGCGCCATATGGCTAGTCCAAAGGTCGCTGAAGTTGTAGAGGCCGGTTGCGTGGTCGCGTTGGTAGATGTCCTGGGGTTCGTGTGGCCAGAGGAAATGGAGGTTTTGACGGAAGGGTTCCATAAAGGCGTCGGTAGCGTACTTGGTAGGAGAGAACAGGATGTGTTCCCGCATGCCAGGCCTGCGCTGTCAGTCAAGTGACATATTCGGTGGGTAGTGTAACTTACCAGACGAAATATTCAACTAGGGCGTCATGTTGGACATTCTCTTGAGCTGGTCTAGTCGAAGTTAGAACCAGGTGACTGAGAATGAGGTAGGACTAACCTTGGCTTCATGAATGCAGGTAACTTGAGTTCATATGTCATATCCTGTTTGACTTGAGCCTAGACCGCTGGTTAGTCTCGGATCGCACGAGATGCAATAACCGGCTTACCAGAAACTTTGTCCTCTTGATCCTCAGGATCGCCATTCTCTCGGGGAACCCAAGGTGGGAGTACATATGCGTATCCAACACCTTCAACCACTGCCAACAACCATCCAGCACATATTGTTGCTCCACCGCCTGCCAGCCATGCAAACAGGCCCGAATGGCTATGTCCTCGTCCATATGACGTGGGGTCAATGGAGCATCTGGTCGGTTCAACAGGTGCTGGAGAATCATTCCACCCAAATACCAGAACTTGCTTTGAAGGCCTGGGCTCATCATGACCATGTTGACGGTGTCTTTGATTACCTGTTTAAGCTCAACCAGGCTAGTAGTTTCGTTGGTTAGCGGTGGAATGGAATATGATGACCAATATCGCTCGCTATTGTTAAAGTCGTCACTCGATTGTCGGTTTACGGTGCCATCCAAGGACTTGATACTCCTCCCCTGCTCAATAAGAGCTGGGTTTACGAGGGGATAAGGGGGAACGGTCGGTGTCGCGTTGGCGAATGCAGCTCCCGCTGCTGTGGGCACCGAGTTTCCTCCGGTTGAACGGTGATCTTGAATGTATGGCTCCGCATCAATGACACCATATAATGGTTCATCAATGATTGGATTCGAAGCCTCAGCCTGAGCCGCTCCGGAAGCAAACGGATTGGTTCTAGAGGGTAGATTGCCCGCTTGTTGGTCCCCCGACATAGACCTGATGCTTGTGGAATTCGATTCTGGCGGAGAGGTAGAAGAACTGGCGACAGCACTTTGGCCAGGCATATCTCCGCTGCCTGGAGGACCGCGATCTTCCGACTTCACAATCGACATGTGGTCCTCATCGTTACCATTTTTGGCGATCCCGTTCACGATCTTCCCAATACTTCCCAACGCCTCCTTCAGCACCTTCGCCTCTTCATGGCCGTTTTCAATCTGTGCAACCAGCTCCTGCATGCGACCATCGTTTCCCTCCGGGTTCTGGAGGGCTTTCACCAGCCCTTCCAGGTACGCGATGTGATTCTTCGTCTTCTCCCTCACGGCCCGCTGAGCTTCTCGATCCAACTTCCGCTTCCTCTCCCGTCGTTGGGCGGTGGTGAGTTTCGAGCGTGTGGTGGCGGTTTGAGGGGCATCTTCAAGCTCACCGGGCGGCCCGCCCGCCGAAGCCATGAATGTCTATCGCCCAACTATATCTTCATTGATGATGGCAGAACGTCAGGGAGAAGATGACACGCGCAAGGTGGAACGGAACAAAAGCACGTGCGACGCGTAATATATTAATTGCGGGAGGACAAGGGCGAATTCATCTGGCTAGGAACGGATTCCGGTTGAGGCAGACCGTTCATCGTTGAGCCATGGGAGATGGGAAAGCAATGCCTGAGGCCTGATCACAGGACCGACCAGGGGAGGCACGTGCGCGGCGCTTAAGCCCCCGAGTCCCCGACCATTTGGGGTATTGCGGGGACTCGACCCTGCTGTGGCGCCCGGAAAGGAGAAAACCCACCGCCCGAGCGCCCGAGCCAATGAATCTGGCAATCTGCGTCATTTTCAAGCCGGGGCCCAGCGTACAAGGATGAGCAGAGAGAGCTATTACTCCAATCTCCAGACAGTTTGAGAGGTTGACTCGTCCGGATCTTAGTTTCTAGGCATTTCTAATCATCCATTCATGAATCCCCTCCAGAAAATATCTCTGATAAATTAGATGCCAGAGTCATCCTGAGGATGATCCGTTGTCTTATACCAGTCCCTCCACTTCGCGCACTGGCTATCCATGGCACTAGCGGACGAAGCATCGATGAGGCCAGGAATTTCCGACTCACGTTCCATGTACTGTAACGAGAGCCCCTGGCTTGCATGCCATGCGATGTGGCAGTGGAACAACCATGACCTAAATGGCAAAAGTGTGAGGATTTGGACAAGAAGGAGTTGCAGTGGCATCACTCACCCCGGATTGTCGCTCAGGAACGCGATGACTAAATAGCCAGTCCCTTCTATTGAGACGGTATCCCTCCTGGGCGGGTTGACGGTGTTCAACTTCACTGTTAATGGATTGAAGATACCCCTTCCTTGTGCTAAAACAAAGAGGTCGTGTCCATGGAGATGCATTGGGTGATAGACGTTCTGTGGGAATCTCTTAGCCAGGATCGGAGTCGGTCGATGTTAGCCACTTACTACGATGGTTTGATCAGTGATGACCCAATAGGTCCATTTGTCAGACTGGGTGACCCGGATGACATTGTCGTTTTCTTCAAACTGGTTGTCTCCATGGTAAAGTTGCGATACCGTGGGGTCAGACCAGTTGACAATCATGGTACCGGTACCAAGTGTCCAGTGGAAGGCCAGGTTCAATTCATAATACCTATTTCTCGTTAATCGCCGGCAAATTGTGGTTTTATTTCGCTTACCATCTTACTGGCAGGTCTCCTTTGTATGAACTTTCGCCAACGTCCATCTTCACCCATGGAACCAAATTACTGTAGGGTTCGTCACCGCAAGAGTCCTTAATCCCTGACCACTGGCTGGTTGTTGGGTCTACGTCCGTAGCTGCGCCAGCATATCTCACAATACCTCGGATATTGTCTTTATTGTCATTGTCGTTCTGATTGCAGGCGGTCTGGTAGATCGCGCGCATCCAGTAATTCCCGATGGGCTGGTTGGCTTCAACAACGATATCATAGCGCTGTCCACTCACGATAATAACGTTATCAGTTTGATATGGTTTTATGGGTACGAAGTCATTCGATATGACGGTAAACTTGTGGCCATCGATGGTGAATTTGAAGTAGCCATCGATTTGAGCACCGACGAGGCGGAGACGATATTTCTTTCCTGGTTCGAAAACGGCTTCGGTCCGTTTCCCGCGTCCTGTACAGGCTGGATCAGTCGATTTAGTGCAGTCATACGTGTTTTCACCACCAATGAGGCCGTTCTCTAAGGCTGGCTGGAAGAGCGCAAGTTTGTGCTGCTGGTCTAGTCGAGTCCAATCGGTCCAGATTGTAAATGCCGAGACGTGGCCCCAATCTTGAATTACGAACGGGCCAAGATCAACGTCGTAGTTTGCGGTCGCCGGTCCGTGGATGACAATAGGACCGAGCATCCCATCTCCGAGTTGTAGACTGAAGTGGGAATGATACCTAGCATAAGTTAGTATTGTAGGCATCATGATGCGTCCAGCTTACCAGGATGTCCCATATTGGGTTGCTTTGAATTTGTAAGTCATGGTCTCTCCAGGAGGAATAGGACATTGGGTGACACCAGGAACACCTATCTAAATCAGCATTTGCCCTTGAATGTTTGCTCATGAGGAACTATACGTACCATCAGCCATAACAGAGTGGAACTGCCTGATCCCATGCCAGTGTATAGCAGTTCCATCGTCCATCTCGTTTGTAACGTGGATCATTATGGTGTCTCCCCAGTCGGCTTCAATCGTCGGCCCGGGCATGGTCCCATTGATCACAAGTGCTTTTCTTTCATATCCATCTGGTGAGATGGTCACATTTTGGGCAACTAGCCAATACTGGTTCGTTGCATCGTTAGTAAATAGTTCGCAAGGGTTCATACCAGAAATGACCCCATGGCGATCGATACCTCTCTTGTTACCCCCGTATCTGGAAATACGGTATAGTAATCCGTATCAATACTATACTGCCCCCAACACTCCCTTGAAGTCGGACTATTCTCGCATGATTGACGGGATTGGAGAGACAGCGACGCTGATTCTTGAGGTAAACAGTACGCAAGAGTAAAGAAAAGGAGGATACAAGAAGAACGAAACATCGATCGAACCGCCATGACTGCTCGTGAGGACTTAGACACGAATATGAAAAACCCTCTGCTACATTCCTTTCTTCGAGCCCCCAGGCCCGAAGGGATCTCGACTGTACATGTAGATTTCCATCACGAAAACAATCAATCAGATAACTTCCGAGGTGTACCTGTATTCTTCCTATCACGCATGTGAGACGCCTCTTTACCTAGAGCATTAGTGAGCCGCTAACTAGACAAGTTCGCGGGGGAAAGGCACGCCGTTGCTATCGAGCTAGGAAAATAACCGCGCTATGCAGCAAAGGCTATTCCCGTGTGGGGACGGGAGTATTTTCCCCAGACATCCGATGACATTATCCAATATCCATATGCCGCTACCGGTAGTTATGCGCTAACCAACCCTCTCCTAGTAAGGACTAAGATATAAGGAGCATCACGAGGTACCAGGGTAGAAATGAGGTGGAGTCGTGGAGAGGCTGGCGTCTGGTCAGTGGTCGCTCTGGTTCGTGTGTATCGTAGAAACAATGCTATATGGTTCTGGGCTCTGGAATGATGAAGAGTGCAACAGATCCCACAGTAGATGCTGTATCAGAATTAAGGTTGTGAACCGAAACTGGCGAATTTCTAGCACTGGTGCGGATATGCGCTGTCTCGGGTACCATATGCAAGTACAGCGGAAGGGGATCACATGCGCTGCGCGCTTGTGCGAACCCCAACATCCCCATTGTATGTACCATATCTTGGCTGGAAGTACGTAATAATTTTAATATTTGATAAGGTTTAACTTAGCTTTTAATTTTTATTAACAGTTATAAGATCTTGTTGGACGGTAGGGTGGCTAATGTTGGGCCTACACCAAAACTTCGAGGCGAGACGAAAGAACTTCTTCGGTGCCAGCACCAGAGGTGACTGTGAGACTCAGAGGGTGCTGCGTGAAAACAACGGCCATCCCTCATTTTCTGCCGAATCGAGGTACCGTTGCAACATTGGTGCGGTATACGCTCGTGCATCTAAGCTCCTGTTAGCCCTGTACTTCCTCGATATCCCTGGTGGGAGACCTTACTTGGAGCTCCAAGATGGCGAGACCTGCGACCCCGCGAACTGTCACTCGAGGTCTCGCTTCCGTCGGACGAGATTTGCAGCGACGAATGGCGCGAAGACAGCCTGCTTGCACCTTGGGTAAAATACCCGATACCGTCAAGGCTGGCGCCTATCTCTGAAATAGGGCAGGGCCCCGACAGGCTCTGCGGGCTTTGGCCGGGCACAGTCATAATTGTGTCGCTTGGCTCACCAACGCCATGCTGAAGCTTCGCTGCCTCAGCAATGAGCTTCGGGCACTGATGAAACTGCGATTCGTCAAGTTGTTCGGTGCTGCCGTCCTTGTATCGCACCTCGATTCCGATGATGGTGCGATCGTGCTGGGGTTGGACCGAGATGGAATTTCCGGAAGCTACTACGTTGATAGGAAGGGTCCCTGATACCGATCCAACGGCTTGCCCTATCGGGCCGGGCAGTAGGCCCGGTATGACAGGCGTGGCGTGCGGGCCAGCCCCGCCTGTCTGGGTCCCTGCTGGGACGAGGGGCCCGCGGAGGGGAACGACAAGCGGGGCTTGCTGCCATTGCAAGTGCGCACCCATGATGTTACTTGAACCAAAGCAAAGCTTCCAGGCACTGGAGGAAGCTCTAGTGCAGCTGCAGCCGAAGTCTACAGGTATGGATTGGGCTGGATCCTGAGATCCAAGTCGGAGCTGCAGTTGTGTTTCGTCGTTATAACTGTACGGCCCTAAGGACGATGGACTGCTCGACACAAATCCAGTAAGTATTGTTCATAAACATCCATAACATTAGAAAGCAATGAGTAGGGAGACTCGGGCAACAATACATGAGCACATACTGAGAACATGAAGTAACGATCATGAATCATATTAACAATCTGGGTGGTACACACCTGCAGTGATGGCCAGTGGAGAGGTGCTAGACACCAAGTGATGGAATATTTTCGAGAAGAGTGGTGATTTCAGTGGCTTTATTCTTAGATGATTTCAACACTATCCTAGGAGGAAACAGGACAGTTGCAAAAGGTATGTGGGCGGGAGGTGAGCAGACTTATACTGGCCGTTGAGAGGCGACAATGGATCGTGGAAATGCAACGAGAGTCAAGCTTGAGGTTCTTCCGGAATTTCAGTTGAACTTCAACTTGTCCTTTTGAATCGGCAATTTCTCACCACTACCATTCCTGAATTAACTTTTAAACTTCATGGAGGAAAAAAGAATCAGTTAAATAATATTTTAGGAAGTTTAAACCATTCCAAACAAAGCATAAAATTGCAATTATACCGTTCAAGATTCTTTTAGAGGGCGGCAAATTTCAAGGGGAATTTTTGGGAGGTGGTTCACATGGTTCGCGCGCACTGTTTTAATTAATTTAAGGCAACCGCGAGGAATCGCGAGGCGCATAGGTCAGGTCAGATGAGGTCAGAGGTCGTCTGGTCTTCCCCGCGGCGTGCACGGTCCCACCTCGTGCACGATTTGGTATCGGCACACTCGAACGTTAGAATTGTAATAACTTTGCCAAAATGGATCCAATTGAGGCGGCTCTTGTTGCGTTAGCCTTAGAAGAAAAGCCTAATTATACCGCGATTGCAAAGAAGTTCCAAGTCGATCGTTCTACTTTGTCGAGGCGCCATCGGAAAGTCACTACCTCCAGGCATGAAGCCTACCAACACTAGGGCAAATTGAGCGCCCACCAAAGAATCCAGACTAATTACCTATATAAACGACCTATGTAGACGTGGGTTTCCCCCTACCTCTGAGATGGTATGGAATTTCGCGTCGGATATCGCAAAACAGGAGGTGGGCAAGAATTGGGTGGGCCGATTCGTGGAACGGCACGCCACCTTACTCGACGCCAAATATCTTAGTATTATCGAAAGCTCCAGGACTCGTGCGGATAAGGCGAAGGACTATTGTGATTTCTACGAGTTACTACGCGTAAAAATTGCGGAATATGAGATCGTATCGGAGAATATGTACAATATGGATAAGAAGGGCTTCCTAATCGGGATGATGACCAAGATGAAACGCATCATCACAAAAGAGGTTATGAGGCAAAACAAGAGCTTGTCAGCTACGACCGATGGTAATCGCGAGTGGATTACCATACTTGCCTGTATTTGTGCGGATGGATCGTGGCTACCGCCTGGATTGATTTACCAGGCCCTTTCAGGGAGTCTCCAGGACTCTTGGTTACAGGATTTCGACACACAGAAACATGCCGCCTTTTTTGCATCCTCACCAACGGGGTAGACGAACGACGAATTAGGGTATAACTGGTTGACGAACATATTCGATCGGTATACTAAGGCAAAAGCGCGGCGGTAGTATCGGCTCCTAGTGATTAACGGGCATAGGAGCCACATTAATATGAGATTTCTGGATTAGTACGATCAAAACAAGATATTAGTGTATTGTTATCCGCCCTCACACCACCCATCGACTACAGCCTCTTGATGTCAGTCTTTTCAGTCCCCTCGCGGTATATTACGGTCAGGAACTCAACCGCCACATCTCCGAAAGCCAAGGGCTCTGTTCTATCTCGAAAAGAGACTTTTTCCGCTTATTTTGGATCGCTTGGGGCAAGGCCTTCACCGAGGAAAACATCTTGAGTAGTTGGCGGAAGACCGGACTGAATCCACTGGATGAATTCATCGTTCTCCAGGCGCTAGGGATGAGTGAAGAACCGAACCGACCGGGCTCTAATTCTTTATCAGGACACTCTCACCTATCCTCTTCGGATTGGAGGCATGTGAAATAGGTCGTACGTAAGGCAGTTGGTGATGTAGTAACCGCGAAGACTCGAAAACTATATACCGCGGTCGCACAGCTTTCAACCGATATGGTTCTCTTACGGGCGGAGAACCAGGGCCTAAGGCAGGCTATTATTACTAAAAAAAAGAAACGTAAGCGGGCTAAACCGGTGTTTGATGACCTTCGTGCTGAAAACGATGGTATTAAGGCCCAATTCTTTAGTCCCTCGAAGGTTCAGCGAGCTCGCGAACTCCAGATATAAAAAGAGCAGGAGAAATCCGATCTCCAAGTCCAAAAACAGCAGAAAAAGCTAGAGAGGATGCGACAAAAAGAGGAGAAAGAAAGGTTACTACTTGAAAGGAAGATTCAGCGCCTAGAGGCACGCACTTTGCGCGAGCAAGAAAAGGCACATATAGCGAAGGAGAAGGAGGCATTACGTCAGGCACGATTAGCAGATCAACAACTACAGAAAGGAGTCGAAAATCCGCCCAACCGTCAAGAAACCCCGTATACAAGCCTCTTTACACCAAAATCTACAGCCCTAAGACCTCCAAATTAGGGAAGAAGTGGTACAGGAGAAGGTAGAAGAAGGCGAGCACCGGGCGCGCCCACAGCGTGTTCGACGCCTCCCCAAACACCTACAGGACTGCGAAATTACGCCAAAATGATCTCCTTGTTACATAGACCTCAATACCATGAGTATTTTTAATATATGCTATTTATATGGGTGTGAATAGCTTCAAACACTGACTGTGATGTTACTTTGAGAATCGTGCACGAGGTGGGACCGTGCACGCCGCCGGGGAACCCTTAATTACTCCAAGTCGCGCGACCCGCCGAAACCCCCTTGGGCCCCTGAACAGCAGAGTCGCGTTGTTAACTGTATCAATTTACTCCGAAATCTGTTGAGGGCCTAACCTATCGTAATGTTGTGCCCCCATTCCTGATTCATCCCCCTCTCTTGTGTCGCCAAACACGTAACCATACTATGTAGTACACCTTCCCCTTCCTTAACCTGTCAAAGTCAGCCGTCGGGCCGGGTTCGGAACCGAGGTGTGACTGATTTTCTGCTAGATACGACGAAGCCACGGACACCTATCATACCGACTGGCTTAAGCGGTGTCTCGGGTCTAGGTAGCTGAGAGGCCGCAACTCGGAAGCCGCAACTCGGGTCCAAGTTACTCCGGGTATTATCAAGCAAATATTCCAAGGATATAGACAGGATCCTTTAAGTATCGAGATCAGGGTAAGGTCGAATATGAAATATGAAATCATTAGCCAGCCACTGAATCGAGTGTCACGAGCCACATTTCTTTGATAGGCTTTTCCCAGGCTATAGTTGGAACATCGCAATTTATTCGATTACGCGACACTCATTGCACGAGTGAGAAAGAGATTGAGAAAACACGAGCGCAGGAGAGTAATGGCAGAGGTAGGACCAAGCTCAGCATGACACACTATGGCGAATCACGTATTGTTAAATTCTACAACATTGTCAGTGTTCCGGAGGAGGGAAGGGTTCGTCGATCGTTTTACACTCAACGGCGGTATCGTGCAAGGTGGCTAGGGTAGTTCTCCAAGACTTTCAGATCGACTGAAACAACCAGGAGGATGTATATTGACAAGTGTAGCTCGATCACGGCCGAATAACTATATTCATCCTGTCTCTGAGCAGTCAAATTATGAACCACATATACTGCCGAGGTTTGGATAGATCATCGACCAAACAGTCGTTCCAGTCTCCGCCGTGTACTCTTTCTCTCCCTGAGCTCGATTTGGCTTGAGAGGGCCGAGGAAGGATGTGGTAGCATATTGCTTCCAATGATGGACAATGACCAAAATGAGAACGAGAAGGTCAACACAAAATTTTAAGCACAAGTGGTCCTTGAAAAGGATAAAACAAACTGGTGGATCTCGGGAAAACTCGTCAGGATCCTGAAATGCCAAGGGAGAAGTAGTTTCTAAATGACATTGAAAGGAAATAAGAACAAGAAACTGCCATGGGTGTGATCATCCATGCGACAGATGCAAAATATGAGTGCCGTCGAACCAAAGCCGCGCCTGGGGTGCACCCTTCGTTAAGCTTTCTAGCCAACCGGTACCCAACGCCGGTCATGCAAAGCTTAGTAAAAAAGCAAGAACCCGTTTATAGACCTTCATCCCAATGCCCGAACGCCTGATCCTGATATAGATGATGCGTCATATGCAGATGCTGGGATATCATGGATGGTATCGGTCGTCTATTTGGACTTAGTGGCAGGGAATTTTAGACGAAATGTTTTATCTAGTCTTCATATTAGCATTTTTGCGGGTCGATTATTCCGTACGCCCACTAACCTGAGTTCTGCACCTTATACAACATCTCGGCAATCGTTTCGTTCTCGTTGACGGGCATATCCCGGAAATGTTTTCTAACGGCCTGGGCGAGCTGGTCTTTCGTGACAGCACGCTTTGGTTTCGCCCGCAACATGGTCGGGGAATATTTTCCGATGCCTTGATTGAGGTGAATGTGGCTAAGAGATCGTGGGTGTGCGGATGGGGTGCTGAGTTTGTAGGCATCGCGATAGCTGTGGAGGAGAGCGAGTTCTTCCTTCGTCCAGTCGATCTAAGGAAAATGATGTTAGCTGATTCCAAAATCTCCTCATTCCCGAGACTCGATCAGGTTTATTGTTCGGACGACTAAATACGTACTCCCGCAGATTCTGCCGGTTCTCCCGTTGCTCCATTGACCAAAGGTATCTTCACTGGTGGTGTCATCACCTTCTTCAACGAGCTGCCATTGGCCTGGTTCGCAGCCGTCTTCCGTGATCGGCCAGAAGTGGCATTCCCCGAAGCTTTAGATTTCTCTTTCGGATTGTACGGCTCATCGTGCTTCGAGTCGTCGGCCTGTATCCGTGCCTTGGATGGCGGCATCCTCACGAAACGGATCGAGGTGGTCTGAGACTGCGGTGCGGGAGGAGAAGGGGTGTCGCAAATTCTAAGGAGGTCTATGGAGGACTTCGAGTCGGGCGAGGAGTAGCGGCTCACATATTCTATGCGGATGGTGAAAGGAAATGGGTTGAGGCCGTAAAAAGTCGAGTTCACACAAATTGATGCGTCGCGTGGACCCTTTTCCATAGATTGACTGATCGAGGCGCCGCGGTAACGGCTGTAGCCCAGACTGGACCCTGAACGCAACACCAACCTCCCATGAGTGACGTAGAACTATCCCAATGGGGTTTAGCGTGTGCTCAGCTCAGGCACCGATGCCTTGCGGCCTTATGGCCTTGCGAATATCAACGTGCAATATCAATCCCAACAAAGTGGTTCATGATCTCTCTTGGTGAACAGTAGATAAGAAAAAAGGCTTGATCGAGTGATGGTGGCATGTTTCAATGTGGTAATCGCACAGAAGGTATACTGCGAGCCTCCGGCCTTGTACCCGTATATGAAGAAGATCATCAGAGGGATCATAGGTGCCTGAGCCTCGGATACGCGAATGACAACCATTCTGTGCAGGGACCAAACCTGGCCTACCCCACATCCCCGGATTTCGAAGAATCTAGGGCTAGGTATATATCCCCAGCCTAAGTTCCGAATCCAAGGTAGGCGACTCTACCATACTCTGTGCTTCTTCGATTCCTGGACATTGGGTAGGCCAGCAAAGGAGACTCGCTGCTATCTGCCTGTAAGGAGTCATCACTGACCATTGGATACCTGGCTATGGCTCCCATATCATTTGCACCGAAATTCTCCGCCCCGCCTCCGACTATCACAGTGGCGATACTTTCCTTCCCCGCCCCTAAAATCCTTCTTGTCACACTAAACCGACCAAAACAACTGAACTCTATCCCCAGCGCGGGTCACGTCGAGCTCAACAACGTCTGGCAGTGGCTCGACGAGGAACCAGAACTGAGCGTCGGCATCATCACAGGCGCCGGACGAGCTTTCTGTGCAGGCGCAGATCTCAAAGGTAATTGATCAACGCACGCCGTCTCCCGCTGCTCAGTTGCACGCCTCACACTGCACAGAGTGGAACAACCACAACGAAAAACGTACAACACGCCCCACTCCTCCTGCTGGCTTCGCCGGCCTTTCCCGGCGTAGTGGCCTAAAGCCCGTCATCGCCGCGGTCAACGGCCTCTGCTTCGGCGGCGGCACTGAGATGATCGTGAATTGCGACATGGTCGTCGCCAACCGAAACGCCTCGTTTGCGCTGCCGGAGGTTAAGCGCGGGGTGGTTCCATTCGCCGGCGCGCCGCCGCGGCTGATACGGACGGTGGGGAGGGTGCGGGCCATGGAGATGGCATTGACGGGCCGGACAGTGGGTGCGGAGGAGGCGAGGGAGTGGGGGTTAGTGAATCGGGTGGTGGACGAGGGGGCGGAGAAAGTGGTGGAGGCGGCAATAGAGTTGGCGACGATGGTGGCGGAGAATAGCCCGGATGCAGTGATCATCACGAGGGAGGGGGTGAAGATGGGGTGGGAGGGGTGTGGTGCGGAGGAGGGGACGCGGATCTGGCAGGAAGTATGGCAAGGACGGTTGGCTAAGGGGGAGAATATGCGGGAGGGTGTGAGGGCTTTCGTGGAGAAGAGGAAGCCGGTCTGGAAACCAGCCAAGTTGTAACGGAGAAATTGGTCGTAATATCGTATCATTTTAATACAGCTCGTCCGGTCGTAAAGATAGCGGAAAGTTGGCTAACTTTTCAACTGAATCCTACATTTTCCCCACGTCAGTAAACCGGACCTCATCAATCGCACAAGTGAAAATGTTGTTTGACTAACCTCCGAACGCCCAAATATCCTTCAGGTATCCCTCCGTCAACTTCTCATCGGTCCCATACGTCTCTTGCCACTTCGTGAACCCTCCATCAAGCACGACCACCTCTTGCACGTTCTTCTCCCCTCCAGCCTCTCCACTCAGCAACCTCTCCCTCTCCCTCAGATACTGCAAGGCAGCACTAGGGCCTCTCTGTTGACTCAAGGCGCAGTGAAACACCACCGTATCTTTATTTTTCAGCTCACGCACCAACTCCGGCATCTTCCAATCCAAGTTGGCGTATGGCACATTCTGGCACCCCAGGATGTGTCCGCCGATGTAGTCGCTATCGCGCACATCGATGACAGCGATGGAGCTTCCGGAGTCAGAGAGTGGCGCTTGAAGAGAGGAGAGGCGAGAGGCTAGGGTGCTGGGTGAGATGCGCTGGAGGGTGGAGATGGAGATGGTGGACATGTTGATGGTTGATGGGCTATCCATGCGGATCGCGCGCGTCGGAGGAACTGATGAGGTCGAGATCGGTGTTTGGGAGGACCGTGGTTTGGGGTAGGTTGAAGAATGGAGAAGGTATGCGTCCATATGCGTATGTTTGTGGGTTGTGTACTGGATTAGAAGTTATTTGGACTGCAAAGTGTAGAATATCAAACCTGACGGAAAATCATTCCCCACTGGTGTCAAAAGCCCCCCACGTCCACATCCCACTTCGTCAACAACCGTCAACAATCGCCTTCCATAATACTGACATTATCATTCCTGTACACAACAAAGTGTACATCGCCAGGAAACTCATAAATTCCTACGCTTCTTCAATTTGATATTATGGATATTTTAAGTTCTGTCGCTAAGTTAGCCCATTAACGTCCTGTTCCGAATCTTGCATTGCCTCATTGATTCTCGCGGCGCGTCGCGTCAATGAAAGGTATGGATGTTGAATCAGTCTTTGACGCGCAATACAACCACGTCTAGCGATATCTTTGCCTTATTTTTCCTCAGACTATCGGAGTCATGCTCTTCCCTTTTTATGCTTTCCTGGTGACTTTTATGATTCCTCCGGCCGAGTAATGAGAGGGTCCGTTTTTCTCTTGGAACCTTATCCCTGACGAAAGAGATGGTAGCCACTAGCCAGTACAATTTGTACGATATGACTGAATTCGTCCAGGCAGAAAGAGAGTTAAATATGCTACTATTCAAACTTGGGCTGCAACACTGCAACCGGCACGATTAGAATCGCATCGGAAGGGGATGGACATGTCCAAAGTCTCGCGACAACCGATGATGAAAACCACTAGTGAGCAGTATGGTACCCATACAGAAGCCTTCACTCCAGCCAGTCATTCAAAGGACGGTAATTGCGGCGACCACTTTATGATTTGCATTATATGTTCCTTATCATCTCTATGTATGACCCAATGATGTGGCCTTGGGCAGTAGAATCTACTCGCCGCCTCTCTTCGACTTTTTATCATTCAAACCCATTCAGAGTCAAGAATCTGTTTCGCCTCATCTGACCTCCACCAGCTCACACCATCCTTCCCTGGGAATTCATACTTCTTCGCACTTTCTTCCTTCATGTTCACGCTATACCCCGGCCGCGTTGGTGTAACCACATATCCATCCTCCACTTCCGCCGGCTCTTCGTAATGTTCATGTAAATGCTCGACGTACTCCAACAGCCTCTCCTCCGGCACCCGTGGCCCATCTCCATTCGGCGTCTGTTGACCCACCGCACCGAAAAGCACGTAATCAATGATGCTCATATGCTGCGTATACTCGGGCAGCCCAACACCGCCACTGTGCGGCACGCATTGAACGCCGAACTTCGCCGCCAGGAGGAAGACGCAAAGGACCTCGTTCAGGCCACCTAGACGGCATGCGTCTGGTTGTGCGACCGTGATGGCTCGAGCTTGTAGGAGCTGTTTGAAGATCACGCGGTTCTGCGCCATTTCGCCGGTAGCGACTCCGATCCCATAACCACTCAAAGCCCGCAGGACGGCGGCGTGGCCGAGAATGTCGTCTGGGGAGGTCGGTTCTTCGATGAACCAAGGCTTGAAAGGGACAAGCTGGGTCATATGCTCGATTGCTTGCGGGACAGACCAGATCTAGGAGCCAAATTAGACAGAATTCTAGACGAGGCGCGAAGGGGGGTTACTTGATTTGCGTCCACCATCAATACCGCGTCATCCCCGATGATCTCCCTTGCAATCTTTAACCTCTCTATGTCCTCCTCGACCGACGCTCCAACTTTCAACTTAAAGTGCTGGAATCCTTCGTTTTTCGATTGTAGGAGCAACTCTCTCATTTTCTCTTTACTATAGCCTAGCCAGCCCGCGCTTGTCGTATAGCACCGAACGGCGCGATTTTGCCTCACCTTCTCCAGCCGCTCCGCCTTCCCAACTTCCGCTTTCCTCAAAAACTCCACCGCCTCCTGCGGCGTGATCGCATCTTCCACGTACCGAAAGTCGATACATCGCACCACTTCCTCGGGCGCCATGTCCGCCACGAGCTGCCAGATCGGCTTGCCCTCGACCCGAGCCCAGAGATCCCAGAGCGCATTCACGACGGCACCAAGTGCCAGGTGGGAGACACCCTTCTCCGGCCCAATCCATCGGATTTGCGAGTCGGAGGTGAGGGTACGCCAGGTGGCGCCCATGTTGGATGTGAAGGAAGAAAGCGGCTTGCTGACAAGATGTTTCGCGATATATGGGATGCATGCCGCGACGATGTCGTTGCCTCTGCCAATTGTGAATGTCTAGTGGTGTTAACAGCATTGCGAGACGTTGCCGTATGGAGCGGTTGGCATTACCATCCCGTGGCCAACATGTTCGCTGTCAGTGTATAGTAGGCAGTATGCGGCACTGTAGTCCCCAGCTGTGTTCATGGCATCGGAACCGGTCTTGTCGAGAGATGTCTGATTTGGGTCAGCCAGTGGACGAACCCCTGATATATGCAAAAGCGCAACTACGAACCGGAAACCTGACATCTCTCGTTTCAAACCTCGTGATGGTGACCATTTTGTGAGCGGTATCTTAGGAGCTTGATATACAATGGTCCAAGGGAGCGAATAGACCAAAATATGCCCAATGTTGCGAATCACGACTTAGAATCTACTCCAAATACATAAAATCGGGCTTGGCAATATTTCATTGGACTTTTCACCAAGGAAGTTGGCTAATCGCACCCATTTAAAACGACCGATGTCCCTTTCTCTTAGAGCTTTTCCCACCCGCATCGTGATACAGGGCCGAACGAAGCAATTGATTGGTGGATAAATGGGTTGAGCTAGTCAAATTGTGGACTGTGGAGGGGAACATTGTACTGAAGTAAGAGGGAGTTCTGCCGAAGACTCCGTGTCTTGTATGTATGCACTGCTCGCTTGTGGAATAACTACTTTTATTTTAAGGAAACTTCGAGAACTTTAACTCCACTGAAAAGGAAGTTCATTACTCGGCTGAATAGCACAATGACGGTCTAAGGCTCCTCTATTAAACTTTCTACTAGACGACAGCTAGAAAGCTCATAAGCTACATCTTCATTGAGAAACTGAATCGTAATGCGCAAGCGGTGTTTCCTCCTTGATATCCAGCGGAACATGATGGAAAAACAAACAATTACTCAACAATTTAATAACTTGCGTGTATCCGGCGTAAATGTGCTAGAGATCGTAGACAAGATTAGGAACATTAATCGAAGAACCACTGCAGCGCCTTACTTGAGTTCATGCTAGGCGTCCAGCGACAAACTCCTCAAAATCCACATCTAGTTCCGAAAGCATCTGTTCTACATCAACTTCGTCACCTTCCCCTTCCTCGTTGATATCGCTTCCATTAATTTCTCTTGGGAGATCCTCGAGTTCCCGCCCGGGAAGTACACGGGTGTGCGCCAAGAACTCCCCCCAACCATATGAAATGATATTCTCAAAGTCCAATGTGATAGCACTAGGGTGATCGCGAATGGCCTCGAATACGTATCCCCAATCGCTACCCGGGGAATTCCAGAAACTGACACCGCTGAAGTCAATGCATTCCAACCCTTCCATACTGAGAAACCAGCTGCGAACATGTTTGGGATCCAAGTGCGCTGCATATACGAGGCTGAGGTGTTTGAGTTTGGGAAGCGGAGCAGCGTCGGAGGTGGGAACCTCGTAGATACAATCAAGCTTCAAACTTTTCAAGCTGTCTAGGTCTTTCGCTAGAATGTGGGTGACCAGGTCAGCAGTTGCTAATTCGGGACTGTTATCATGGCCATCTTCATCCACGTCGTCGTACTCGAGTGCAAGCTTCTCGACGCGACTTAGATCCAGAAGCTCCCAGTTTGGAATGTGTGAGACTTCGAGGCTAGTCGAATTCAGGGGACCATTGACAGATAGCGATGTTGGTCGAATACCGGCACCAATGGCAGTGAAAATCAAGGGTACAATAGCACACTTGAGATGATCTTGACGTATTTCCGGGAAATTATCCCATGCAAATGGTTCCATCCAGATGCTGTCGATCTCGATTGTGCCCACGTTGGGGCAATGCTTCAGCATTTCAGTCCACGCTGCGGGTATACTACCGTCCTGGGCAATCTGTTGGTTCTCCTCTGCAAATACTCGATATTGGTCGAAACGTTCTCTGATTTCGTTGACCTCTGGTACAACAACAGCCTTATTGTAGATCCGGCTCTTGAGCAGTTCGTACTCGAGTGATTTAAACGTCTCGAACTCAATATTAGGCGAAGTTCGCCAAGGCAACTCAAACGTGATTTCTCGCACATAACGGCCAAAATATTCGAAATCACGGTTCTTAAGAGACCTTTGCGCCGACCAAGGTTCATAACGTCCGCAACAAGTTTACACTTCTTGAAAATGCGCTTATTGAGTGAATGTATATTCACGAAACGGCTGTTCACAAGACGAATGGCCGGCAAATATTCAGTTGATAGAGATCTGTCCCTAAAATGATATTAGCCTGGATGGGTTGAGGCAGAGTCGACATACTCAAAGATACAGATCAGAACATCGTCCGGCAGGTTGGTCAACAACACTTTCCGGCGGGCTTTTAATATCTAAAGCCTGCTAGTGCCTAGCAAGATTATAAATTAATATACCGTGGCAGGACCTAAACCTAGGGGCGCGCAAGAATAGTGGTAGCGATACTTAATGAAAAGACGATCAGCTTCGAACAGAGCGCTGACAATAGACTTCGAAGTCGTTGAATTGGCCAGGGGGCGCACGTGACCCCGAATCCTTGAATAGTTGAATTCCACTGTCGTCCCAAATCCCATTTGACGTTTGTTTATCGACATTCCTGTCATGGAGGTCGTGTTACGATGTTGACACAGTTGTCAAGAAACAATAGCTTCAGTGTTTACCAAATCGCAAAACAAATTTCCTATTATACAACGTTGTAGACATTGTTGGGTGCTGATACCTCATATAGTCACATCATACATGTAGGAGAACGATCCGCTTACACATTCCCATACATCAGCTGTATCGAAAAGAACAGAAAGTCTCCTTCCAGACTTGATCTCTTCTGATTCGCTGCTTTCCTTCCGTGTTTGCTAGAAGGTGTTGGCTGTCTTCGAACGGGAAAGGGCAATCGATGGAACAAACCAGGCTGAGACGTTTAGACGCCCTGAAATCAAGCTGCTACTCTTCACCAACAACACCCAGGACGGTATACTGGTCGTCGGCTGTCGATATTACGCAGTACAATACCACAAAGGACATGCAAGCGCCCGTGGCTCTCGTGCTTTTCCTGCATCGAACCATCTCGGGTTGAAGCATTTGTCTCACCACGATTTCGATATATACCAGAGAAACCAAGGTAGGTTGAGCACCTCCTCTCTTCTCCCCTCATCACCTATTCTATGGATCATACTACTGAGCATGGGATTGCACGGGATGCTCACTCATCATATGGATCATCTGCTAGGTGTCTTCCCTCGTCGCAAATATTCTTGATGTGTCACCATTATCACAAATCAGCCCGAACCGAAGCCACTCTCATTCATTTATCTAACCCCTTTCCTCCTGACGAACTCGGTATTGACTCAAATTGACTCCCACAGCATCTTCCTATTTCGAATCCCTGTCGAGGAAGCTACCGGATCAGCAGCTCCTAGCGTACCCCCATCGAACGTCCGAACCTCATCATGTGCCAACAACGGGAATTGGCCTACCTCTGCGGCCATGCTACCGACGACATCAAGCCGCTTTTCTGTCCTCTTGCAGTCGCAAACGCCGGGATGCCATGCAATCCAATGGACACGATGCGGCGGTTTGCGCAGACGAACTGCCCCACCTGCGAGCAAGCAGCAAACAAGTCATCACAAGGACGTACCCCTTTCGGGGGGCGATCGAAGCAGCCCAGTACGGTTGTGATGGGTGGAGAAAGAGGTGTTGACCCAATGGACTGTAATTGACTGAACGACCCGATGAACACTAGATAGACGCTCTCGGCGTCGAAAATGTGTTATGATGTGTTTTACGAGAACAGGTTTTTGGCGTTCGGGGATGGATTCGGATGTACCCTCGAGGAAGTACATGATAGTGGCATTATGGATACTGAACGAGATGGCAAATCTGAAAGAAGACACGCCCTTCCCTCATATTTCTTTGGACCTTTGAGAGAACAGAGGGATGACAGCGGGCCAATTATGGTGGGGATTTGACAGACTACACGCCGCCGTCAACTTATAGATAGACCTTCAGCAGTCCTTGTTGCATTCTCCACGATGATTACTATTGTTTTTTTAACTCTAAAATTAACTTAGTTACCTTCCTGTTGTGCTCGTTCTCCCGTCATATGACTGTTGTGCTACTGGCGAGATATTCTAGCCAATGGGCGTAGACCTCAGGCGTCATCTTACCCCATCTTTAAGCGCGTTCCAGAGCTCTGCTGATCTTCAGATGTCTGCCCGCCATGTGGACTGCTATATCTATCCCTTGCAACCCCCTCGTTTGCTAGAACGATACGAACATGCGTTCCGACGGAGAGACATGGCGGTTCCACGACCATCTAGCGGAACGGAAGGCTTCTTCCAGACAGCACCGAAGTTGGGGAATCAGTTGACGGAGGACTTCTTCTTGAACAGAATTTACAACTGTAAGTGTTGTCTCTTGTCCTACTGGATGCGCTACTAACGGTTTTGCAAGTATACATCCCAAAACCAATACAAACTGCCATCGAACCCGACTTATCCGCGTTTGGCGCCTACGTCGTCTCACCCGATGTCTTCTCGCTAGTCGCAGATGCGGAGCGGAACCCACCAACCGTATCGACTCATAGTCTCTTCGGCGTTCCACGAACCACCCTAGATACCAGTCGAGGATGGCAAGAGCTCCAGAAAATCGGCATAAAGCATGGAATCCTCGCAATCGCATACGAAGAGGCGCAAGGACACCATAGCCGGATGTATCAGTTCGTGAAGTATCATCTATGGACCGGGAGCAACGCATGCGTCACATGTCCCACAGCAATGGCCGATGGAGCTGCAAGACTCCTGAGCAACCACCTTGCCAAAGGCGGATTATCACTAGAGCAAGAGCAGGTATTCCGCGCGGCCTACCAGCACCTTACGAGCCGCGACCCAGAAAATGGATGGACAAGTGGACAATGGATGACGGAACGGTCCGGCGGAAGCGATGTCCGAGGCACCGAGACAGTCGCAACCTACGCGCCACAGCCAGCGAGCTCCTCATTCACCGATGCGCATGGCTCTCCTCTCGGACCCTACACCGTCTCCGGCTTCAAATGGTTCAGCAGTGCCACCGACTCCCAAATGGCCGTCCTCCTCGCCAAGACCCCCGCCGGCATCTCCGCCTTCTACGCCCCGATGCGCCGCGCTAGCACCTCACCATCGAACCCGCTCCCGTCCGAACTCAACGGCATCGCCATCCAGCGCCTCAAGCCAAAGCTCGGCACCCGGGCCGTCCCAACTGCCGAGCTGGTGCTGAACGATACGCGAGCGTGGATGGTCGGGCAGGATGGCCATGGGGTGCGGGAGATTGCGTCGGTGCTGAACATCACGCGGTTGTATACAGGGATCACGGCGTTGTCATACTGGGGTCGTGGACTTGCGATCGCGCGGGCGTATGCACGTGTGAGGAAGGTGGATGGTGGAGTACTGCTGACTGATGTGCCGTCACATCTGCGCACCTTGGCGAGAATCACCGTGTCGTATTCTGCAATGATGCACTTGGGGTACTTTGTCGTGGCCTTGATGGGCATCGTGGAGAACCCGGGGGCATATGAGAAGAGCGGAGAAGCGATGCAGACAGCCCCGGTTCAGGATGTTAAAGAGGCGACGGCTCTGCTACGTTTGCTGTTGCCGGTGATGAAAGGGCAGTGCTCCAAATTGTCAATTGGCGCGTTGCAGGAGTGCATGGAGGCCCTCGGTGGCGTTGGCTACCTGGAGGATGAACAGGAGTTCAACGTTTCGAGAATCTATCGAGATGCCAGCGTGAATAGCATCTGGGAAGGTACGACGGATATTATGGGCACCGATGTGGCTCGTGTGATGAAGGGGAAAGGAGGGGTCCCTATTCTAAAAGCATTAGGAGGATGGGTTGCCCGGAATACGAACACCTGGACCGAAGAATGGGGGAGCGCTGCTGAGCTCGTGATGCAAGAGTTCAAGAGGCTGGAAGAGGTGTGGATTGGACTACAGACCGAGGAGCTGCGATTCCGCGGAAGAGAACTGCTTAACTCCCTCTCTTGGATTGTGTCAACAGTTTGCCTTGTCGGAGACGCGCAAAGGGACAACCATCCTGTCATGGTCGAGGTTTCAAAGAGGTGGATCGGCGAAAAGCAACCAAAAGCCTCGATTGAAACGGAAAACTGGAGGAGCATATCAGTGTTGGATAAACTGGTTGTCTTTGGTGCCGACTCAACTAGCTCCAAGCTATGAGACAACCTCACCCTCCCATCCTAGGCTGGATATGACGCTTTTGAGCCCTGTCTATAGGATCCATTGGGCTTCGTCTTGTCAGGGGTTGGTCAAATTCTGGTGCTCTAGGGTTTTCCGGGACATAAATTGTACTATCATAACAAGATCGATCAAATTTAACAAAGATTATATGCTGACATCGATAGTGTGCTACATGTAAACTTCTCTATGGGAGTTAATGGCGAGAATAATATAAACAGTCAGTCCCCGGCGACGAATTATATTATGGAATGTCCGCTATCGCCTCGAGTCCCTAGAAGCCTTGGTTTGGGCCAGGTCTGAGAACAGCCTTCGGTTGCAACTAAACGTTGAACCCGCCTGCGCGTTTGGAAAAGAAGCCAGTAGGATCCATTTCCTTCTGCAGGGCCCTGAACTTTTCGACGTCCTTATATGATCCAAAGACATCCTGGCTGAAGGCCGCGTCATTCATGAACAGCGGCAAGTACTGTTCACTCTCAGGAGTTGTTACTTGCGGGATCTGTTCCTCGATCCAGTCGGTGAGCTGCTTTGACAGATCCCAGATGGTATTATCGTCATCGGCGGATGACCATTGTCCCGTGATCTCAAGGACGAAGCGATCTTTGTCATTTGCTGTTAAGCCCATCGAGTTACTGCCACGGGAGGCGCTGTTCTTGGCCAGGATGGCCGGGAATGGCTGGAATGCGATAACTACGATCGAGCCAGGGTGAGATTGAGCATAGTCCTTGAAGATGGTCTCCCATTGGGCCTCAATTTCTCGGTAGAACTGAGGTCTGGAAGGGATGCGAGGGAGAGTGATGCTCTGGGACACTGGTCAGCTTCTTCTTTCCTCTCGATGGATGTTTCTTACGCGGAAAGACGCTCTGTTCGAGAGGCTATCTGCTCCCATCGAGTTTTTCGTGAGCTGCGTTGGTCAGCGATATCTTCTGAATTGGCACCAGTGCCACTCACGAGTTCGGGGTATGTATATGTCCCAGTCATATCCAAGAGGTCGCTGATATCTTCGAACTTTCCAAAGGCACCCTTTGGAGCCTCGGGGGCGTCATAGAAGAAGAATATCATATAGATTGCAACTCCACTAACGAGTTTGTTAGAGTTGACAATGACTGCGGCCTTCGGATCCTTGTTGTTATTGCCGATGAAATCATGCAGGGCTGCGAAGACTTCCTGCTCGGCCCAGCCAGCATATATCCGTATACCTCCCCAGACCTTATCTTCGTTAGTACCATTATTCTTTCCTGATTATTGTGCTATTACTGACCTTTCCGATGGGATGGGCCTCAATGGAAAACTTGGTGGTAACACCTAGCTCCTGTTAGAGAAGGATCATCACTTGGGCGGTGTCTGGGAATTACCATATTGATTGCCACCACCACGCAACGCCACAGCAAGGTCTGGCTGGGTCTTCGCATCAACGTTGATAACTGAGCCATTCGCTGTGACCAGCTCCCATCCGACGATAGACTAGAATTCTTAGCAAGCTTTTTCGGTTGGCTCGAGCCATACATACATCTGCAGCCATTCCGTATTGCGCCGACAAGAAGGAAAGTCCTCCTCCAGCCAAATACCCACCAATTCCCACAACATCTGGAATGGAGTCAGACAAGGCATGTACAATACGGAAGCATTCTTACCTAGACGGCCCCCGACCGCAGTAACGCCGAACTTTTCCAATGGGCCAACGACATCCGCCCACTGCCCTCCAGGCTTGACTTGAGCTAGGTTAGTAGCTTTATCATACGTCGTTCCCTTGATCTTGCTCAGTGCAATCAGAACGCCATCTTGGCTACTAGAATGTCCAGGATTCGGGTCGTGTCCACCACTCTTGACACTAAAGTTCACATCCGTAAATTCCCCGAGAACCTGGAAAGCTTTACCAACTTCCTGGGGAGTGGTCGGCTTCAGGATACAGGCCGGCTTCAGGTCTGAAAGTCCGGCGTTCCAGTAATCTTCGTTCTCCTCCTTGTATCCTGATGACCCGGGACTGAAGAGCTTGCCTGGGATAGCTTTGCTGATGGCATTGCATGCGTTCACCGTTGACTGCGTCGGAGCTTGCAAAGATTTGGCCGAAAACAAAGCCAGAACGAGCGCCAAAGAGGCCTTGGAAAGAGCCATTGTTAACGAAAGTCAAGATAGCCAGCAGTTGAACTGGATAACATCAACCGAACAGTGAAGCGGACGGGCATTTCGATAGACTTATATGGAGACAAGATCGAGCCTCGAGATAATTGCATCCGAACTCACTCCCGGATATGTAGTAGTAGCGTATTTTCACATGGATTAACCCCTACAAAATGATGCTCGGTGATATATACCGAATATGAAGTAATGCTAGAGCGCGACCTTTGGTTACTAGGCACGCCAGGCTCGTTTCACCCTTAGTATCGACAGGGGGGATTTTGTTTGTAGAAATAAAACCATATCTGAGCGTTTTGGATCCGGCAGTTTCGTCGGAAGTAATTTTAACTTCACTTAGTATGATCTCATCGGGCATTGCCTATTCTCCTTATCCATGATTTCCCATGGAATTGTACACGGGGTTCTGTCGCTCAGGGCTGGATGAAGTCTGGGGAGTGTGGATCGTTAGATGCTTGTATTCGGGATCTGGTGTTGCAGCTTCCAGCCCTGACTTCTCAACGCTCGACCGTCGCGCATCTTGAATAGAGTACGGTGGGGCTCCAATAAATAAATTTGGGAAAGGGGACTGTCGTCCATTGCAATTCCTATCGAGTTGCACAAAACGGCTCCAATTTTTGTCTTTGAACGGCGGTATTTTATCACATAAAGAATTGAAGAGTCGAGGTCGTGGGCGTTTGACAGTTGACAGTTCGAGAGATATCCGGAAATCTACTACTTCCGTACTCGGCTCCATGGTCGAGAAAAGCTAGTGGTAGTCGGAGTACATTAGCTCAACGTTCGCCAATATTCGCCCTGACGATCATCCGCATACGCCTCTCTTCGCAATTCACATGTTGTTAGCTTGTTGCTGACTTGTGGGGGGCCGAAGCTAGAATTGCGGGGGGGGGGGGGGGGGCGGACTCTTAACTATTAAGAGAGACGGCACGGTAGCAGTTCGACTCGAGCCAGAAGAATTCTCTGACTCTATAAGGTCAACGGTATTATTATCGGTAGCTTGAGGACTAGAAAGGTTGAAGCCGGAAAGACATATTTAACAGACTCCAGGATATCACAACCCCATTCGCTTTCCAATTTTCGTAAAATGGTTCTAATCCTGTAGCCTGGAGGCAGGCGTTGATCTCCGCCTCAACGGAGCATAGAACTCTTTCGCTGTGGGAAATAGCCCTAACGCTAACTCGCTTATCATCTTGCACCAGGGCATGTGAAGACCGCTATGGAAATAGGGCATAAAGCTTCCAGCAACCAGGCTGTTCGGAAACTTCAACAATGCAAGGCCAATAGGCTCAACTGGGACCCAACATGTGGCACCAATGCCAAATTGCCAATTGACAGCCTGGACCTGCAGAAGCCGAAAGGCACGAATCTCAATGAACTAGATTGCTTTGGTTTCCCTGCATAAGATGCGATTGCAACTTTGTAAGCCATTCCTGGTCGGGAAAGTATTCTTGTTGACAGATCATGATCGGTGACTTTGTTTTCCACGAGTCCCGAGTCTTGTGATGAACAACAGCTGCTTACAAAACGTGCAGTCGAGACTCCCAACGCATGAAATGATGCAGCGCGCGAATGCACCTAGTGACTCTTTTTGGAACAGATTGCGGCGATCGATTTGCCTAAAATGCACTCTCGGTTGAAATACCCGAGTTAGGATTATATCGTGCCCGATTTCATGTCAAACCATCGTAGGAACTCCATTTCCTTCAATCCGAGATATTGTGATCTCACATGCCAACCGCCATCGAGACCATTGGGTCGAGAGAGAAAATTGACAGGTCGACCGCGGGAAGTAGGCGGAAGAGGGGGAAAGTCGATGCGATGAATCCGGGAGCTCTCGGGAGGAAGTTGGTCATCACTGGGGGTCTCCCCTAACGGTATACCGAGTGATTCTTCCTCCAGGGAGATCACCTGGGCGTAGAGGACTGCAATCTGCTTGGAGTCGAAGAGACATTCCTGGCGAGGGAGGTCCCGGAGGATGCGAAGGGCTTTCCGTCGGATCTGAGGATATCGACAACGCCAGAGCACAAACTGAAGCGGGGGGATGTATCCCATCTCGAAGTGGAAAGATCGAACTCGATGTTCCGGAACCATCCTTGTGCTTTGGACTACGTCTTCAACCAATCCAAGTATTTCTTCGTACACCGATTTGTAGTCATCCCAGATGGACTCTGTCGGAGCTGCACAACCTTCAAGCCAATATCGGATGCTAAGATGGATAGCATTGACCATACCAATGCTTAGCATTGAAGACGGAGTCCACGTCGACCATTTTTTCGAGACCATACGGTCGAAATCCACTTTCCAATTATGTACAGCCCCTTGGAGTCGTTCATGCTGTGCAATGATCTTGTCGTCGACTGTAGATTGGAATTTCATCTCCGCCATAGCTGCAGAGAATCCGAAGACCTCGGTCACATCTCTCATGAAGACAGATATTGCCTGCTCCAAAGACTCCATGGCCGGGGCCGGGCCGTCTGATATCGGCTGTGTGAGCCCGGGGTCCAGGACAAGACCGGGACGGCCGAATGTTGTAGCCATCATACCCAGCCAGGTAAAGATTGGAATAAGAACTTCCTCCATCAATGTCTTATCGGAGGCGGTTAGACTTGGTTGTAGCGGCAGGCGCCGTTGTTGGTGTCGAAACCACATATTGAGCAACATGATCCCTCCTTCGACGTGCTTGACGACTGCTTTGCTATTCATGCGCATGCTGTCGAGACAAACGAATATGATGCATACTGCTAATGGAACGTAAACGGTTGTCGGGTCGTGAAGCATGGTAAGAAGGTCCCGAATGGCGGCATTGAAGGTTTCGAGGGCGTATTGTTCCTTCTCTTTGGGAACATCCTGCAACGAATGCCTCAGCAAGTCTGTTTCGAACATGGTAGATAGAGATATTAGTGCATGCCGCACGGCAACGTGACGAGCGCTCATTTGGAGAACGCCTTCGGTCCAGAATCGTTGATGGAAATGGCCGGCCAAGTGGGGTGCCACTTTGACGTGAAAGTACTCGATCGCCCGACTCTCTTTAGGAAGCAAGGCTTCATGGTCGCGCAGCGGGCTTGGGATATGTGTTACCGAATAAGGACTGCTGGAGCCAAGAATACTTTTCGGAGTCAAGCTATAACCGTAGCCAGCACAGTTCAGCCCTCCTCTTTCGCACCTATATGCTATTAGGATCAAGTTCTGAGAAAGCGAACAGCCAAAATGGCAGCAATAAGCTTGATCTGGTTTGAGCCTCACCTGAAGCAGGTTGGTCTTCGTTCATCGCACTTCAAATGTCGAGATCTGGAGCGAGTTAGTGAAATGAAGAGTTCCGGATCGGTTCTCGATCACTTACTTGCACGTCAAACATCCGGTCTTGACTCTCGGACCCGTTGCTCGGGTGCGCTTTCTAATTACCAACTTTTCCTCCTTAGGGGGATCCATCGCGTCTCTTGACTCTCCTACCATCAAGATATAATATATAGTCGAACTGACTGGCGTGTCAAGCGGATAGCCCCGGAATATGATACACCGCCGCGACAACGATTCCGCTAGAGGTTCGGTTATCACCAGAAGCCGGGTCGGAGACTTCGGTTGGAACAGTTATTAGTCCAGGTATCTGTCGAAGCGAAGAAACGAGTCGCTTTCCCACGTATTTCGAGATTTCGACTTTGATAGTCGCCAAGTTTTATACTATGTGACCGGAATTCGAGATCCTGGGGATGATCAGGTAATCAAGTCAATGCTTCATGATTTCCCCAGTTTCCCCTGTCGAAGCCTCCGCAGTATCGCGATCTACGCGACGACACCTAAAATGAATCCGCATGTCAGCTCCAGAATCTCATCACACCGCTCGCTTTCCGGCTCGTTCTCAACATTAATGCACAATAGGTCAATAGCAGTTAGCACCACTGTTAATCTGTTATGCATGGCATAAAAAAATGTTGTTCATTGAATAATTTGTTCAAACCTTGCCCTACGGCTGACCGTTGTTCCGCCAGGTGGGAATTCTTACAACCTGTTTCAGATTGATGGTGCTTGGGTGAGATGGGGGCGGCCATCTTACGGAATTTGCCAGCCAGAACCTTCAAAAAACACTGAAGAGGAAATGAATGTTCTATTATTATATGAGTCTATACCGATGACATGCTAGCGCTTTACCGTGATGCTGGACCGAAAGTTAAAACAGGAGGATTGGGGGTTCGCAGATTGACACGGTCGCGGGTAGACGCGTCGGGTCTGGGGACGGGCAGAGTAGCCATTCTAGGATAGACAGCGACATACACACTGATAGTTAAACAAATCACAGCAACAGTCAACAGAAACCATACCCACTACCCAGTACTCTCCTGCACATGTATCGACCAATCGTGCCATGTAGTTTATGCAATGCACGATAGGGATGAGTATCAGAGTATGCCCTTCCAGGAGCATCCCTCTAGAGAATCCGACTCCACAGAAGAATCCGAGATCCGGTGCATTGAGTGACGATTTTTCAGCAAACAATCACCCTGCCTTCCGAATTCCGACGTTGTGAAAAATGACCTTTGGCTATTCAAACATCATAATCGCCGCATTACCACTGAGTCACACTGCAGTCGTCCCGTTTCGTCCTAGCCCCTGAGCTCAAACATTTCTTACACTTTCTCATTCCCAGCACTCTGTGAAACGACGCTCCTCAGTCTCTCCTGGTCTGCGGTGATCTCTGCAAGGCTTCTCTTTCTTCCACCTTCTTCTTTGTCATCAATATCGGCCCAGCGCACAGCAGGCCTAAACTCCTGGCTCCTCCATGCCTTGCCGACGATGCCGTACAGCTCATCCACTTGTTCAAGCGTGAGACCCTTCGTCTCGTAAATCATCGCGTAGGTAAAAACGATGGCAATTGCGCAGAAGGAACCCCAGATGAAGAACACTTTGCTTCCCAGGTCCGCGTTGTTGTCGCCAGGATCGACGAGGTATGGCGTGGAATAAGCGATGGCCCAATTGAACAGCCAATTGGACGCCGTGGTAAAGGAGAGGCATTTCGCTCTTGCCTTCAAGGGGAACAGCTCGCCAGTCACAACCCAAGCAACGGGCCCCCAGGATGCGGCGAAGAAGAAAATGTAGATGCAAACAAAGGCAATGGCTGCACGTTGTGCGGGGAGATCGCTGGTTCCGGCTACTGTACCGACAATTGCCACCTGCATGGATGCGTTAGTTCACCCTGGATCACTGCAACAACGCTGCCGTGACTTACAATGAACTGGGAGACCGCCATTCCGATAGCGCCAAAGAGAAGCAATCCTCGACGTCCCATCTTCTCCACGAGGTACAAGCCGGGGAATGTCGACGCAACGTTGACACTGTTGGTGATGACCTGAATGATAAATGGGTCCTGAAATCCGGCTCTTTTGAAGTACTGCGTCCCGTAGTAGAAAATGAAGTTCACGCCAGACAACTGCTGGAGCGCCTGCAGCAAGCAACCGGTGATAAGCCGCTTGCGGACAGTGCCCCTAAAGCAGTCTTTGTATGAAGCTTTGCCGATAGACATCTCGTACCGGTAATTGGCTCGAACCTCCACCAGTTCCTCTTCAATTGCTGGGTCATGTGGATCAAGCCGTCGTAGTCTGCCGAGAGCAATAGCGGCCTAGATGACCCATCAGAGGTGGTGTAACATCACGAGTTTCAAGGTTATGAATCTTACCTTTTCATCTTTCCCCTGCTTGATGAGGTATCTTGGAGTCTCGGGTAGGATTATCAACCTAGAAGGATGGTAAGCGACGAAGGATCATCGGAACCGATGCCACAACTGACCCTGAGACCAGGATGAGAGACCACGCGAACTGGATTGCGACTGGAATCCGGTATGATCCCGAATCATCTCGACCTTGCGTGCCATTATTCACAATGGCTGCCAGGAACAGACCAATCGTGATGGACAGCTGGTATGCACCAATGATGGTGCCTCTGATCCACTTGGGAGCTGTTTCAGATTGATACATTGGAATCAATGCCGAGACCAACCCGACCCCGAGACCAGCGAAGAACCGGCCCGCTATAAACAAGTCTTGTTCGATTGAAACAGTTTGGAGGACGACACCTAGATTGAACACCAGTCCGGTTGAGATAATCAGACCCAGTCGACGTCCGATCATATCTGCTATCGGAGCAGCAGCAAGGGCACCGAGGAACGTTCCAGCTGATAGAATGGATACGATGAGAGATTGCTGTCCAGTGGTGATACCAATCGGATCGGTCTTCATCTCATCGACCCAGTACTCCATTTCGAGGATGCCACTGATTGTTCCAGTGTCATATCTGCTTGCATTGAGCCATTCCTTGTGTTTGTCATTGGGTATCAATAGGCATACCCGAAAAGGACTCCACCAAGCGCCACGAACAGACCAATTATGATCGCTGGCCTATCTAAATGTTATTCATGCCGTCTTGCGAACGATAGGAGCGTGGCATACCATGCCTTCCCCGCCTCGCCCTCCGGCTTCCCCAGGGTGAATTTCGCCATGATGAGCGTTGAATATATTAACTAAATAAAATTGCAATACGAGAAGAATAATCGATGATGCCTCAAAGTTTGAAGTCACGTAGAGAAGTGGTAGACTATTTGAAAGGGTTGTGGTGAAACGTAGCTTCACATGTTTACAGAGCGATGCTGCGTCATATATGTTGGGTCACAAAACTGCAATAGCGTTGGACAGATCGGCAGTCCTTGCCTTACTCACGTCTATCGTCACTATCACTCCTCAGCAAGCGCGGCCAGCGAACTCGAACTTGGCTGTCAAGCTGTGCGGGGAATGTCGCAATCGCGTGCATGACCTAGATCTTATCCAACCAATGAATCCCGGACAATCGGATACGATAGACATTGGATTAATGTATTCAGGAAAAGTTGAACGCCACAATGCTTGAACGGCAGGGCTCCAAGATAGATGACGAAGATGGCAATGGAGAAGCGATACAAACGACGCAGCTCAAAGCCATCCGAAAGGAAAAGCACACGAAAACTTCAGGATTGACATTCAAGATCGAATCAACTCGACAATAAATAGGGCATCAAGGCGAGGATTCTGGAGCAACAACGTGTACACAATACCAATATAGAAGGGACAGAAGATGTTCAAATCAGTGAAAGACTCGATACGAAATAGCTGAGATGAAACGCATGACGTCGGCGAATACATCCAGTTCCAGATGTCATGAAATTCCTGTCCGATGAAGACGCCACAAAATGCATGGCGACATCACACCGATGCTTGGCCAACAGACCATTCTCATTCAATACCTCATGAACGAGGATCCAAGCATCGGCATCGCACAACTGGATGTCTCGATCGATGCGGTTGAGATACACAGGAGTCCAGAACCAATCCGATGTTCGAGTGGTTCGTGTCCGAAGCCCAATTTGGTCAGACGATCACCTAGCGAGATGGACTCCGCTGGTGTATGACAAGAGAACGAGAAGAGCGTGCTTCCAGTAGATGGGTATCCAGCGATATATGGGTTGTCGTTCAAACGAACGCGCATTGAGAATATGTGGTACTTTCGTAGCTCCCGTTCCTAGCACAGAAATGCATGCAGGGCACCGGTACAGTACAGTAAAACCTCGTTATAAGAATACCTCCGAGACGAGGGTTTTGTATTCCTATAACGAGATATTCCTATGGAGTTTACGATCTTGGCATTATTTAGTATGTCCATACTTAGAGGACTGTGATTAGGACCCACAATTATAATTACACGTGACTAGAAACCATTACCGATACCAGACTCTCTGACTCCTCCCTGCAAAATACTAGGAAAATACTAAATCCTGTAAGAATATTGACTTTTAAGATTGGAATATTCTTATAATTCTTGTAACGAGCAATATACTAGGTTTTTGACGAAAATCTGGCGAAACCTATTCCTGTAACCCGATATTCCTATATACCCGTATTCTTATAACGAGGTCTAACTGTAGTAGCTAATTACGTACAGTATTAATTACGGGAGCGGAGTGGGTAATATGAGCCGACCGGCTATTACGCATACTATAATTAGTGTACTTATTTCAACCACCTTCTCTTTTTGTCCAACTCTTCAGGCAGTCCACCTCCATCGCTTGGGACATGGAGGTGGTATACACGGCCCCGACTCTTGGGCATTCAAAGGCTACGCCCTTTAGGCGATGGCAGGGCTGATCTCCATGTCTTCCCCGCCCGACGAGTCTCCTGAGGGCGCGAGGAGGAGGACATGATGGACCAAAGCAATCGAAGTGAGGCACGCACAGAAAACTCTACTTCTCATTTCAGGAATTGTTCTGTCCAATGTTCGGCCTATTATCGTCCGGTAGGGTATCGTAGGTTCATATCGAGGATCTATCTCCCAGGTTAGTTTTGACTGTGTACGAGTATCATGCGGCAACGGAATTCAGGTACTTGATTAAATTCAATTTGCTACCGTCGCCTTGCGTTCAGAGTCTCTACAATCTTTTTGATTGAACAGCGCTGTTTTTGAAAGCACCATGCATCCGTCGTGTTTCGTTTTGATTCTGGTCGGTCGGATCAGTTGTCTTGCGATGCTCCGGGTTCCGCTCCGCATTTCCCCTGTCGTTGGATGTACCAACACGACGTCAAGATGTAATACATCTTCACCGCGGGTTAGCAGTAACACAGGGCAACAAGAGGTCCTGGGATGGCTCCATACTTCTCAGTCAGAGGTACCGCTACGGGTGCGCTTTTCTACCGATGAACTTGGCATCACTCGATCATATGCGTCCTTATTTTCCGACAGACTGGCCTTGGATATGTTACAGAAATTCGACTTAGGACGCCACCACAGTTCTTTCTGGCTTCGATCCACACAGAATGGAATAGTAAGCGGTTGAATCGGAGTTCGAAACGATTGACACGGTCGAACTGAAAGCTCGCAGAACTCTACGTCCCTAATGTTGCATGCAGCGGGGGTTTATGCAGAGGTAAACCGACGCATTCCAAGTTCGACCCATTAGTATCTTCAAGATTCTATGATACTGGTCGATTGCGACAAGTGTTCGCAATTCCCGAACTTGACACCCGTTCTTGGGAATCAGTCGTTGCTGCTGACTGGACTGGATTATACCTACAAGATGAGCTAGGGGACTACCCGGAGATCTGTGTATCGGATATTGTGGACGGGGCACCTTCGAACCAGAGATTTATATTGGGTACTTAGTCCTCGAGAAGTTCTTCACCATGTTATGTTCTCTGGTTTGAATCATCGATGATTCTCCGACGAACTGGTAGTGGCAAGAAGAATGGATTGAGCGATGAACGAGATAGGATCCATGATTATGCCTAAGGCCGCTAAAGAGCTGCAGAGATTCCAATTTATAGATTATGGTTGGCACCGTCTGTGGTGGTTCAAATTCGGGAAGGCAACCTTTCAGGGGCTGCTAGTCTGCCGCGAATTCAGGCTATTACGCGAAGGGAGAGAACAATGAGCTGCGTGTGCCGTGGAGATGCGGTACGGAGTAGGGTTGAATCGAAGCTCAGGACCGAGTATCTTTTCTAACTGCTTTACTTTGACCTGATGTTAGATGCAGTCTCCGGACTTAAGCCCTCGACTGGCATGGAGTGGATGCGGGAGGGCAGGGTTTGGATATCAGTCGCTCGAACCTTAACTGCACAATTTTTATGAAGGAAGATAGTATCCTCCTGCTGAATACTGAAATCTACAACGTTAGCGAGCCTCAGCTCGCCTTCTTCTCCACTGGCTTCCTCCCGGCCAACTTCGGATTCAACCCCCTTCTCCTCATCGACTTCTTCTTCGCCCGCTCAATATACTGCGCATCCTCCTCTTCATCCCACCCACCGAATTCATCCGCCTTCTCTTCCTCCTCATCCCTCAAAGGCGTCCGGTCCACCGCCTCTTCCTCCGCAGCTTTCACCACACCGGCGCCAACGCCATTGGCGTGCACCGCGTTTGCCGGCGTCAGTCCGGTTTTCTTCAGCTTGCACACGAAGAACCCGTCGAGATTCTGCACGTGCGGGTAGAAGCGACGCGTCTCCTTCATCGAGGCGTCGAACTTCTTGCCCATGATGTTGGTGAAGCCTTCGCGGCCGAACGGAAGGCCAGTGGGCACGATCTTGACGTTGGGGCGTCGTGATAAGGCGTATTGCACCACCTGCTCGTTTTCTTCGACCGTCACGCTGCAGGTGGAGTAGACGATGTAGCCGCCGGTCTTGGATGCGTGGTCGGTGCTGTCGATCGCGGCCAGCAGCAGCTGCTTCTGCAGGTGGGGGAGGCGCAGGAAGTCTTTCTCGGTCTTGTTTGTTTTGACGCTGGGATCTTTGCTGATGACGCCGGTGCCGCTGCACGGAGCGTCCAGCAGCACTCGGTCGAACCCGCCCATCACCTTCGGGAACTCTAGAGCGTTGTAGTTGCAGATGACAGTGTTCTTGACGCCCATGCGGTGGATGTTGCCGATAAGACCCTTGGCTCGCTGCTTGTTGGCGTCGTTGGCGAAGATACAGCCGGTATTGCGCATCAGCGCGGCGGCGTACGTCGTTTTTCCACCGGGCGCGGATGCCATGTCCAGTACACGCTCGTGCTCCTGCGGCGCGAGAGCCATGACGGGGAGGAATGATGCTGCGGCTTGTAACATGTATTGTCCGGAAAGGTACTCGGGGGTGGCACCCAACGGCACGGGAGATTCGAATACTTGGAGTCCCACCTTGGACCACTTGCCCACGGGCTCCAGAGACACACCACGGCTGATCAATGCCTGTGCGAGCTGGCGCCTCGAAGTGCGGAGCGTGTTGGTACGGAGGACGACCGGTCGCGGGGTCTCGTTGGCATCGAAGAAGGCGAGAGCTTCTTTCGGAGGGAAGAGCAGGAAGAGCTTCTCGGCGAGGAACGGCGAATATCCGTAGTACGTGCAGATATCCTTCAACAACTTCTGCATATAATCCGACCGGCTTCTCCCCTCCTCAGCCAGCTGCGAGAAGTTGTCGAGCACGCGAATCGCTTCGGATATCCGCTGTCGTAGGAACTGGAGATCGGGCGCGAGCCGAGCGATTTTCGGAACTCCCTCGGCGTCGCCGTCCGAGTCGGAGAACATTCCATCTTGATCGCCCAAGATGTTCGTTTGTAACTGCGCCTCTTCCAACTCGGCTTGCGCTTCAGCGGCTTCTTGCGCTTGTTCTCGGTCTAGTTGCTTCGACAAGCCCGCGATGTTCGAGGCCGTCAGTTGCTCGGTGTCGGAAAGTGATCCGTCGTCTTCGTCCTCGGACCAAATCGCTCGCCGGGCGGCCTGGCTCAAGCCTTCATCTTCCGAGTCAACGACGGAGTCGGAGGCTTCGGACCCCAATCCAAGGAAATCGTCGCCTTCCGCCCCAATAGATGATCCCTCGTCCTCCCCATCGCTTTCAATGTCATCCAACTGTGCCTTGAAGCCCTCCAGACCATTCTCGGCCATATCTAAATCTTCCGACATATCAATATCCGAACCATCCTCAAGCACTTCGAGGTCGTCAGATGCGCTAGCTTCAACAGATACAACTTTCTTGGACTTCGCAGCGGGTACTTTGCGGGCCTGTGGTTGCTTGGTCTTCGGCGCGGCCTTGACTTTCCGATCGTCGACCTTCGCGGTCACCTTGGGCTTGGTGGACGCAGCTCTGGATCTACCATAGGTACCCGGAGCCGATTTGGAGTTCTTGTCAAACTTCCTCTTCTTGGTGTCCGGCGCATCTTGGTTTTGAAATTCCTTTCGCTTTCTCGTCACTTTGGATTCATCTAGCGGAGGCGGCGGGCCTTGCTTTTGCATGCGACGTCCGACACCCATTTTGAACCTGGCAAGATGTTAGCAACGGTGATACTAGCAGATTCCAGGGCCATGCATACTTTTATCGTGGTAGTCCAGCGGTTTTGCGAGACGGAATTCCTCCAAATAGTGAGTGGTCTCGTTACTCTCTGGTAGCCTGGAAAGTTTTCAAATCTCGTCGAATCCCTGCCACGTGGGGTTTTCGCACTTAACCATTTCTGGACTAGTGAGATTTGGCAGTTCATCCTTTAAGTTCTTGGCATCGGATTCGTCACCACTGACCAGCGCAATACCTCACGCTGGCAATCGCACCAGATAATCCGGACTTTATGGCGTCCATGCCATGGGATGTAGGAAGCCAAAATTCGGTCATTAAGGTCCATACCGTAAGGACCGGTAGGCGACCCATATGAACTGTACTGTACACGTACCCCTTGGGGCTTGCCTTGATATCCGGAACAAGCGGGTCCCAGCATGCGTCGATTGTTGAGAGGCTCGGCAAGTCTCCTTGGTACTTGGTATGACCACAGTATTTCAAAGTCTTACTCTCCCGCTGCTTCACGATTTCATTTCTCCAATTTCCAGTTCTACTTGTTGATCGTCGCACAGTCTCCTTGTCTGACCAAAGTCACTCTTTGGGTTGTTTCCTGCTCGCTCTCACTAGCCCTGACCCGGTTTGCGGTCAACCAATAGCTCCTAATCGATGCCTTTGATAACCCAAGAAGATGGGAGGTCAAGGTCGATTTTTGAATGATGGGGGAATTAAAGGCTCGTCAGAGGCGACGAGGATGTTTCTTCTTACTGCCTGCTTGGTGGGGATACAGTATGATCCCTATACCCCATATCGTCCGAAGCATACCTGACACATATTTTAGATTCACTTGGAGCATTGAGATGAGTATGTATTGTCCCTCCATGTGCATACGTCCTTTTGCTCTATGGATCTAAACGTTCAAAGCACGCCGCTCACACGACCCGTAGCCTATTGCACTCCGTACCTCCTCGAGTTAGGACTCACGAAATCCCGCGTTTCCCTAGTATGGCTCGCCGGTCCCCTTTCCGGTCTCATCATGCAGCCCCTCGTGGGAGCTCTTGCCGATCGATCGCGTTCACCCTGGGGTCGTCGCAGACCCTTCATGATTGGCGGCACCGTCATTGTGATCTTCTCGTTGATCCTCCTTGGGTGGACGCGGCAGATCATGTCGGTTGTCGTCTTCGATTCGGCGATGGAGAAGGACGTCACGATCGCGGCGGCCGTCCTGGCGATTTACGGAATCGATTTCGCGATCAATGCGGTCCAGGCGAGCTCGAGGAGTTTGATCGTGGACACGTTACCGGCGTCGAAGCAGCAGATGGGAAGTGCGTGGGCGAGTCGGATGGTTGCCGTTGGGCATCTATTGGGATACGCGATTGGGTCTCTGGACCTGGCGAAGGTGTTTGGTACCGTCCTTGGCGACTCTCAATTCAAGCAGATGGTGATGGTATCGGCGATGATGCTGCTCGGCTCCGTGGGATTGACTTGCTGGGGCGTCACAGAAAAGCCGCTACTTGCGAACGGGTAAGTCACGCTTCCAGAACACTTCAACGGCCGTATTCACCGGTTTTAATACCTTGCTATAGTAGTTCGGACGACGATGGCATGGGCGCTATCGAGATGGTGACGCACATCCTCAAAACTATGCGACACCTACCACCCCGAATCGCGGTAATTTGCTGGGTCCAGTTCTGGAGTTGGATCGGGTGGTTCCCGTTCCTGTTCTACACGTCCACCTGGCTGGGTGAGATCTGGCTCCGATACAATGTCCGCGACGACGTTCGCGAGCATCCCGACACGCTCGGCGAGATCGGCCGGGTAGGGAGTTTGACGTTGGTGGCATTTTCGACGGTCACTTTCGTGTCGAGTGTGGCGCTCCCTTGGCTCGTCCGATCGCCTGATTCGGACGAGTCGGGATACACGCCTCGACCCCCGGTGCAATTGGAGAAGGTGGCTCGGATGTTCGAGTCAAGACGACCGGATCTGCTTGGGGTATGGGCTACTTCTCACCTTATGTTCGCGGTGGCGATGTGTATGGCTCCGTTCATCACTTCGCTAGGGATGGCGACCGTGATAGTTGGAGTCTGCGGAGTGTAAGTTGATATATCGTTCCGGAGTCTGTGGCACCAGCTGATTCTTTGATATAGTCCATGGGCACTACAATGCTGGGCTCCCTTTACCTTCATGGGAATCGAGATCAACCGGATGAGCAAGCTCGAAAACGAGAAAGACTCCTTCCGAGACAAGAACGATCCCGAATCCACCGGAATTCCATCTCGATCGACCGTCGATGCCGGCGAAAATGGTCCCGGGGAGCTGACGGGTGTCTACCTTGGGATCCTCAACATCTTCACCACCCTGCCCCAGTTTCTTGGCACGTTTTTGTCGTGGATCGTGTTTTCCATTCTCGAACCCGGCAAAAGTCCCGAGCTAGACAAACAGGCGGGTCCCGATGAGCAGAATTCCACGGATGGGCCGAACGCCATTGCGGTTTGTCTCTTTATCGGGGGGTTGGCCGCATTTGGGGCGGCGCACATGACTCGTCGGTTGCGGCGGGTGGACTAACACTGTTGCACAACAGGCTGGGAACGATGCCATGGGATAGATGGGAATTGGTACTTGGTATGGTGGGGTGTACGGAGTACTATAATAGAGAATAGAAATTACGAGACTGATGGATATTGTACTGATGTCGACGCCATTGTCATCGTGTGACAGCATTGTAGGGAGGCTCATTAGGGGTGAGCGATTTTGAGAGCGAGTCCACCGGTCTACCATACCCAACTAAATAGAGTAGAATGTTCGGTACTTTCTTTAACGTTAGATGCCATGGGTTAATAAAGGTGTTCTGAATTCCCAAAGAAAGTAAGAGACAGAGAGGGATGGTCTAGGTCCCCGCCATCGATTCTCCCTTCCCTAGCCGCCCCCCCTAGATGTCGACCTCGACCGAAGATCAACCGGGAGGCGGTGAGACCTGGAGATTTCAGAACAATAATCTGCGTTCACTTGGCTCGCAAAGTACCGAAAGTGTTTTCGCCATCTGATCCATTTTCTCCTGCCCAACTGATTCCAGAGTCCATCCAGGGAGGCGAAAATTTCGACGGGGAAGTAGAAAGCCCTGACCCGCGTAAGATCGGTTGGCAGAGGCACTAGTGAGCAACTGAACTTTGTCATAAGGCGCCGCATCCAGTTCCCGCTTTCAGGTTCTCTCTCACTCTGACACTAACAAAACTGAGAATCTCTCTCAACCCTCAACATCCCACATACCCACATACCTACATCACCCCCATCTCCCATCAGATTCGCTTGTTCTCCGTCCTTAGAACTCCTTTAACACTCTCCAAACATATCGAAAGCCAAGCCAGGCTTATTCCTGCATCATGTCGGAACCCATCAGAAACAAGAAGCTCGATACCATGAGTACCGCTCCGTAAGTCTCTCACAAACACTTCCATTGCCCCACGCTGGGTTTTTGCATGCACGAAAGTTTTTGAACCACCACCACCGTAGACCACCCACCCCAAGCACCGAGAAATCATCATGGACTAACCGATCTCCTTAACTAGCACTCCTCAAAATACTCCCGCCAACGCGGCACCGATATCTTCAAGGGCTCAAGAGCCGGGTGTTTCCACCATCGATGAAGGTACGAGATCCCCTCCAAGGAAAGTCTTATTTATGATCTCCATCTAACATCGTCCCCGCTTCACAGAGGAACTTGACCGAGTCGCCGCCCTTTCCACCCTTTCAAAAGACCCGCGCATCCTCGCCGCCATCCAAGGACGGCTGAACCACCTGGTCGGTCAGCCCTCTGGATACGTGGAGAAGCTGCCGCTGGTGGTTCGACGACGACTTGCTGGCCTCAAGGCCGTGCAAAAGGAGCACTCGAAGCTCGAAGCCGAGTTCCAGGAAGAAGTCTTGGCGCTCGAGAAGAAGTACTTCGCCAAGTTCACCCCGCTGTACCAGAAGCGAGCGAAGGTCGTCAACGGCGAGGTGGAGCCGACCGAGGATGAGATCACGACCGGAGAGGAACAGCTGAAGGAAGGCGGGATCGGCGAGCCGTCCGAAGAGGCGGACCAGGCCACCGATGTCAAGGGCATTCCCGAGTTCTGGCTGTCCGCCATGAAGAGCAACATCTCGCTGGCCGATTTGATCACAGACCGGGACGAGCAGGCCCTGAAGAATCTGACCGACGTCCGCATGGAATACCTTGACCGTCCCGGGTTCCGCCTGATCTTCGAGTTCCAGGAGAACGAGTTCTTCACCAACAAGACGATCACCAAGTCCTACTTCTACCAGGAAGAGAACGGATACGGTGGCGATTTCATCTACGATCATGCTGAAGGCGACAAGATTGACTGGAAAGCGGGCAAGGACCTCACCGTCCAAGTAGAGAGCAAGAAGCAGCGCAACAAGAGTAAGCCCCCGTTCATCCCTTGCAGTGGATGCATATACTGATTACCTCCGATTAGCCACCAAGCAAACCCGCATCGTGAAGCGCACCGTCCCCACGGAATCGTTCTTCAACTTCTTCAGCCCCCCGGAGGCACCGTCAGACGACGACGAGCGCGATCCCGACGACGACATCGAGGATCGTCTCGAGCTCGACTACCAGCTCGGCGAAGACATCAAGGAGAAGCTCATCCCCCGCGCCATCGACTGGTTCACCGGCGAAGCGTTGCGATACGAGCAGTTCGAGGATCTGGATGAGGACGAGTTCGACGACTTCGACGAGGAGGAGGAAGACGATCTCAGCGATGACCGCGACGATGACGAGGAATCCGATGATGGCGTATGTACGACGGGTTTCCACGGTGTCCACGACGCGAAAGCTAACAGAACCTAGGAGGAGGGCGGTAAGCCCAAGCAAGAGGCCGCGGAGTGCAAACAAAGCTAAGCGTCGGTAGTCCCGGTCAAATGATCCAACATCAAATGACGCCGGTGAGGCTTTACCCGCGGAAGCGCCCAGCTACCGTTAATCGCCATCCTGCACGCCTTACGCCGGCACCCCCTAAAGCGGGCCGCACACTCCGTTTCATCGGGCCCAACCATGATTGCTTTCCTGCCTTCCAATTCACGTTGCATATCTAATAATCAAACCCACCACGTTACGCTCCTTAATCGTCGGGTTTTGCTGTCGGGGGGACGTTTTTTGCATGCTGGGGGAGATCCGATTCATGAACGCGCACGACGGCAGAAACGGGCATTCGACAGGATCGTGGTTGCTTTTTCGGCGCGTATTTGCTTTTGTTCGGGAGATGGATGGGTGGTTCGTTAGGGATGGGTTGCCTTGTCCCTCATTCATGAGGTAAAATGGTCCTTTATCAAGTAGACTCCAGCATGGGGAAAATCCGGTTACACATTGCATGATCGATGACTGGTGATGATCGGCTGGATTGACTGTTGTACGTGTATGAGCTTATTCCACTGCTGGTATCGAGGTATCTACCATAGAGACAATCCATCCATTTTCAATGAGGCCAAGCAGCAGTCGAGCATTGAACACTATGTAAACTTCCAGTCGTCTTGCAGGGGCAACAGTGAGGCTCACATACTTTTCTGGACATCTCCGATCCCGCCTAACGCTGACTGCATGAATTCCGATGCATCTTGCATTGGGATCTGCGTTGCAGGCGTTGCAGGCGAGGGGTGTCGCGGGGAATCGTCAGACCACCCCCCCACCAAAAATCCCATCGCGTCATCCTCGCCGATGAGTCGACGCCGGTGAGAGAAATTTTGGGTGGGATATTTGTTGAGCCGATCTAACCAGTCACCACCCTTCCAATTTTGAAACATACGAGTATAAAACGCATTGAACGCTCCGAATAAGTCTCGGGTATTTCCATTGTTCTCCCAATTGCTTCCTTTCTGTTCCCTCCATCCTAAAACCTTCGCCTCGACCGCTTCACACCTCGACGGATTTCCTCCGACCTCGCACCAAGATGGCACCCGCCTCCGAACTCGACATCCAAGGCACGCGCAAGACGCAGGACTCGGTCTCGAATTCCTGGAATACGGTCTCGAGCTCGCCGACGCTCGCCTTCCACTCGCCCAGCAATGCTGGCGGGGCACCGTTGACGCGGGTCTCAACCGCCCGGCAGTTGAAGCCGTTCGCCACCGAGGACGTGAAGGTGCTGCTGCTCGAGAATGTGAACGCGACCGGCGTGAACATCCTGCGGGGCGCGGGGTATCAGGTGGAATGCGTGAAGAAGAGTTTACCGGAAGACGAGTTGATACAGAAAATTAAGTGAGTGGGTGTTGTCGACCGTCCCCCGCCTACGACGCTCTCATATATACAGAAGATTCTAACCATGCGGCTTGATAACAGAGACGTCCACGTCATCGGCATCCGCTCCAAAACCAAGCTCACCGCCCGCGTCCTCGACGCCGCCCAACACCTCCTCGTCATCGGCTGCTTCTGCATCGGCACCAACCAAGTCGACCTCGCGCATGCGGCCCGCCGCGGCATCGCAGTGTTCAACTCCCCCTTCAGCAACTCCCGCTCGGTCGCCGAACTGGTGATCGGCGAGGTAATCGCGCTAGCGCGGCAGCTGGGCGACCGCAGCACGGAGCTGCACTCGGGGACGTGGAACAAAGTCAGCGCGGGGTGCTGGGAGGTGCGCGGGAAGACGCTGGGGATCGTGGGGTACGGACACATCGGCAGCCAGCTGAGCGTGCTCGCGGAGGCGATGGGGATGACGGTGATCTACTACGACGTGGTGAACCTGATGGCACTGGGGGTGGCGCGGCAGACGGCGACGCTGAAGGACTGCCTAGAGCTGTCGGACTTCGTGACGCTGCATGTGCCGGAGACGCCGGAGACGACGGGGATGTTTGGGGAGCAGGAGTTCGGATGGATGAAGAAGGGGAGTTACTTGATCAATAACGCGCGAGGGAGCGTCGTCGATATCCCCGCGCTGATCAACGCGATGCGCAGCGGGAAGCTGGCCGGCGCCGCACTGGATGTCTACCCGAACGAGCCCGGTGGCAATGGGGATTATTTCAACCACGAGCTCAGCGCCTGGGTGGATGATCTCCGCAGCCTGAAGAACCTCATCCTCACGCCGCATATCGGCGGCAGCACGGAGGAGGCGCAGAGCGCCATCGGGACGGAGGTGGGCGAGGCGCTGGCGCGGTACGTCAACGAGGGCAACACGATCGGCGCGGTGAACATGCCGGAGGTGAACCTCCGAAGCCTGACGCCGGATCAGACGGCGACGCTACGGGTAAGTCATGGGGTTGAATCGGGTCCATTGGAACGGCAGCTGACGAGACAACGCAGGTCATCTACATCCATCGCAACGTGCCGGGCGTACTGCGAAAGGTCAACGAGGTACTGGGGAACCATAACGTTGACAAGCAGATGACGGACAGCCGAGGGGAGGTGGCGTATCTGATGGCGGATATCAGCGACGTCGATCAGAATGAGATCAAGGAGATCTGGCACAGCTTGGAGGAGTTGACTTGTGAGTTTTTCCCCTGCGCTTTTATGAGTTGGATAGAACGGCTGACCATCGAAAGCTTGCATTCGCACTCGCATGCTGTATTAGGGGGAGCATACTTTTCTGTTTTATCTATTGTACATCAACTCAACTCAGTCCTAGCCTTAGCAACCGGGACACGGCACGCGTGTAGAACCTCAACGGCACGGCACATCAGATCCAGCGCGTCTAAAAGCTATTCCAGGATATTTGGACGGACATTTAACATGCGGACGGCGTTCTTGCGGAAGATATAAAATCATGGCGGCGATGGAAGGAATACATAGCCAGCATTTAACTGCGGGTCAAGCGAATAGGAGAGCCTCGTTGCGGGGGCCGCGGGATGGATCGACCATTCGACATCCCGCCGAGATATTATGAAACAACCCAACTCTCCCTAAATGGACATGACTATCCATTCTAGGTAATTAGATGCAACTTGGCAGGAAATATGTCCCCTTTTCTCTACTCTACGAACTCCACCAGGATATCACGTTTTTATAGATGGATGATCTCGTCATCGTCGCCAGCCCCGTACCATGTGTGGCGAGCAATGCTTTGTCTCCCAGCGTTACACAGCAGGGTGAGCCGACGCTACGACGCTGCATGCAGAGAGGGCGGGGTCCCCCGTGCCACATATGATAGGGCGGAATGGAGGCCATCAAGAGCGAACAGTCGATGGGCGATGGAGGGTGTGGAGGCCGTTGGTGGTCAGACGAGGAGGCTTGCAGTAGTGAATAATACATGAATGGTCAATGGTGTTCCTGATCTATTCACTGCTGAATGCGGTCATGCAGTTGGCGGGGGAAGGCTAATCATAGGCGGTGAGGAGGGAATTCAGGAGAAAATAGATTCTGGTTAACCGCGATTCTGATCATCTATTGCATGTTCCAAGGTGCTTGAAACTGCCGTACTCGATCTACTTCTATGATTCTATCCATAGTTCCATACACGGTGTTCGGATCATCCGCGTGGTTGGTTAATGGTTGCAGGGAGAGACCGGGAGAGCCGACTCTCGATAACTAGACATATTCCGCAGATTAGAGAGTTAATTATTCGAGACACAGTAGAGTAGTGACAGAGCAGAGGCCAGAGACACACACACCTTTGGCCCGTGCCGCCGGCCGGAGAAGCACACGCCAGCCAGACGCCAGACCGACGCCAGAAGGACCCGACTTCTCGAACATTTCTTCCGCTCCCAAAAGGCCGAAATCCCAAAGAAAGGGACTGGTCATCATCACCGTCCATACTTTCGGACCTTACTTTCGGACCTTTCTCCATATTCCATACCTTATCCACCTGGACTCATCATCATCAATCCTCATCTTCATCCTCGACACATCAGCTGGGCCCTCCTCTTCTTCTTTGCTTCCCCTTATCATTCATCCTTCAATTCCTTCCATCCGTTATCATCATCATTTCCCCCTTCTTTTTTATCCTTCTTCTTGATTGGATTCCAGGTCCCGACGGATGCCATTTCCCCTCCTGCTTTCCTCATAGCATCGGCGTTGGGTTCGGCCTCAGGGAGACCTTGCTTTTGTCCACCGATCCTCCCCCTTCCATTCTGGTTCGATCCCCGTGGTTCTCTCCTCGCGACTTCCGCCGTGCCGTATCCCATTCGTCTCCGATAGACCCGACACGTGGAAACATCGGTAGGAGCTCCGTGGGAGCGTCCCTTCCCATTCGACGCCCTGCACGATGGCACATATATACGAAGTCGGCACGAGAGCATGGCAACCCGATCAGGCCGAGGGATGGGTTGCCTCGGAGTTGGAGGAGAAAAAGATCAATGGAGAGAAAGTGCAGTTGATCTTTAGATTGGACACTGGAGAGGTATGTGGACCCTGATAGAAACGTATACCATCGTGGAAGTATGCTGATGCGACGAGGTATAGGCTCGGACAGTCGAAACCACTCTAGACATTGTAGAGAACGATGCCGGAGGTGTCTTACCCCCCTTGATGAATCCGGCCATGCTGGAGGCTAGCGATGACCTGACGAATTTATCTCATTTAAACGAGCCTGCCGGTATGAACATGTCTCCTAGACCCTATACCTATCTACGGAATGCCGGATACTGACAATAAGATCAGTGCTGCAAGCGATTAGACTACGATATGCGCAGAAGGAGATCTATACATATAGCGGGATCGTATTGATAGCCACGAATCCCTTCGCGCGCGTCGACAACCTCTATGTCCCCGGCATGGTGCAGGTGTACGCCGGCAAACAGCGTTCGTCCCAGGCGCCGCATCTGTTCGCCATCGCGGAAGAGGCGTTTGCCGACATGATCCGCGACCAACGAAACCAGACCATCGTGGTGTCCGGTGAGTCCGGCGCCGGGAAAACCGTCAGCGCCAAATACATCATGCGATACTTCGCGACGCGCGAATCCCCCGACTCCCCCAGCAAGCGGCTACGAAAGGGCGGCGACGCCATGAGCGAGACCGAGGAGCAGATCCTCGCCACCAACCCCATCATGGAGGCGTTCGGGAACGCGAAGACTACGCGGAACGACAATTCCTCGCGGTTCGGGAAGTATATCGAGATCATGTTTAACCGGGACACTGAGATCATCGGCGCGAAAATTCGGACATACCTGCTGGAGCGGTCACGGTTGGTGTTCCAGCCGTTGAAGGAACGGAATTACCACATCTTCTATCAGCTGGTGGCGGGAGCGTCCGATGCGGAGAAGGAGGCGCTCAGCCTCGGGTCGGTGGAGGACTTCAGCTACCTGAACCAAGGCAGCTCGCCAACCATCGACGGAGTCGACGATCGAGCCGAGTTCAACGCGACCAAACAGTCGCTGACCACGATCGGTGTCGAACCTGCACGGCAGTCTGAAATCTTCCGAATCCTGGCGGCGCTGCTGCATATCGGCAATGTCAAGATCACCTCCAGCCGTACCGACTCGGTCCTCGCCCCTGATGAGCCTGCTCTTGTCACCGCTTGCGAGCTCCTTGGCATCGATTCGACTACGTTTGCGAAATGGACGGTAAAGAAGCAATTGATCACTCGCGGCGAGAAGATCACGTCCAACCTGACGCATGCGCAAGCCGTGGTTGTCCGCGATTCGGTGGCCAAGTTCATCTACTCGAGCCTGTTCGATTGGCTGGTCAACGTTATCAACTTCAGCCTCGCGACCGAAGATGTCCTCACCCACGCGACGACCTTCATCGGCGTGCTCGATATCTACGGGTTCGAGCACTTCGCGAAGAACTCGTTCGAGCAGTTCTGTATCAACTACGCGAACGAGAAGCTGCAGCAGGAGTTTAACCAGCACGTCTTCAAGCTGGAGCAGGAGGAATATCTCCGCGAGCAGATTGATTGGACGTTCATCGATTTCTCGGATAATCAGCCCTGCATTGACCTAATCGAAGGGAAGATGGGAGTCCTCTCGCTGTTGGATGAGGAATCGAGGCTGCCCATGGGCAGTGATGAGCAGTTCGTCACCAAGCTCCACCACAACTTCTCGGGCGACAAGCACAAATTCTACAAGAAGCCAAGGTTTGGCAAGAGTGCTTTCACCGTTTGCCATTACGCGATTGACGTGACCTACGAGTCGGATGGGTTCATCGAGAAGAATAGAGATACTGTTCCCGATGAGCACATGGAGGTCCTCAAGTCCACGTCCAATCAATTCTTGGCCGAAGTGCTCGAGTCCGCCGCCACCGTCCGAGAAAAAGACGGCCTCAGCGCAAACAACCAAAAGACTGGCGCAATGGCAACCTCGGGCAGGCGTGTTGGTGTCGCGGTGAACCGGAAACCAACGCTGGGTGGCATCTTCCGATCCTCGTTGATCGAGCTGATGAATACGATTAATTCCACGGATGTGCACTATATCCGCTGTATCAAACCCAACGAAGGGAAGGAGTCGTGGAAGTTCGAGGGGCCGATGGTCCTGTCTCAACTGCGGGCTTGTGGTGTTCTGGAAACCGTACGAATCAGTTGCGCCGGTTACCCAACGCGATGGACGTACGAAGAATTCGCGCTGCGTTACTACATGTTGGTTACATCGCATCATTGGACTCCAGAGATTCGAGACATGGCGGACGTAATTCTGAGGAAGGCTCTTGGAGCGGCGAAGAACGACGGGACCGACAAATATCAGCTGGGTCTCACCAAGATCTTCTTCCGCGCCGGCATGCTCGCCTTTTTGGAAAATCTGCGGACGAATAGGTTGAACAACGCGGCTATCATGATCCAGAAGAATCTGCGAGCCAAGTATTATCGACGAAAGTACCTCGAAGCCCGCGAGTCGATCATCGATTTCCAGTCCCTCATGCGTGCGCACCTGGCGCGTATGCGGGCAGAACACGCGCGCCAGATCCGGGCCGCCACGATGATCCAGACCCTCTGGCGCGGCCAAAAAGTCCGCAAGGAATATGTCACCACGCGCAACAATATTATCGAGTTCCAATCCCGCGCGAAGGCGTTCCTCTGCCGCAAGAACATCCTGGACACTCGACTCGGCAACGCCGCGCGCATCATTCAACGCAACTGGCGCTCGAACCGCGATCTCAAAGCGTGGCGCAATTATCGTCGCAAGGTGGTCATCGTGCAGAGCTTGTGGCGAGGGAGGGAGGCGCGCGCCACGTACAAGACGATGCGCGAGGAGGCCCGCGATCTCAAGCAGATCTCGTACAAGCTGGAGAACAAGGTCGTCGAACTGACCCAGACGCTGGGCACGATGAAGCGCGAGAACAACACGCTGCTGAGCAAGGTCGAGAATTACGAGAGCCAGATCAAGACCTGGAGGACGCGACACACCGCCCTCGAAGCGCGCACGAAAGAGCTGCAGGCCGAAGCCAACCAAGCCGGTATCACCGCCGCTCGGTTGTCGCAAATGGAAAGCGACTTCAAGCGATTGCAACAGCAGCATGAAGAAACGCAACACAACCTCCGCCGCCTCCAAGACGAAGAAAAGACCCTCCGCGAATCTCTCCGCGTTACCGAAGGCGAGCTCAAGCAGTCCAAGCGCCGCTCCACCCAGAACGAAACCGAGAAGAACAGCCTCCGCCAACAGCTCATCGATCTGCAAGACCAGCTCGAACTGGCGAAGCGCAACGCGCCGATCAACGGCGAGATGACCAATGGCTCCTCGCACGCCCCGGCCTCCGGACTCATCAACCTCGTCAGCAGCAAGCGGCCCAAGCGACGCAGTGCAGGCGCCGAGCCCGTCCATATGGATCGGTTCAGCTCGCAATACAACCCGCGGCCTGTCAGCATGGCGGTCGTGTCGAGCGGGGTGCGACAGAATGCTGCCGCCACGTACAGCCCGCAGCTGGAGAACATCGAGCTGGAGCTCGAGAACTTACTGTCAGATGAGGATGGCCTGAACAACGAGGTGACGTTCGGGTTGATCTCCAGTCTACGGATCCCTGCCCCCAGCGGGACGCCGCCGCCGACGGACAAGGAGGTCCTGTTCCCGGCGTACCTTATCAACCTTGTGACGAGCGAGATGTGGAACAACGGATTCGTGAAGGAGTCGGAGAAGTTCCTCGCCAACGTCATGGCCAGCGTGCAGCAGGAGGTGATGGGCCATGACGGCGACGACGCGACCAACCTCGGGGCGTTCTGGTTGTCCAACGTGCACGAGATGCTCAGCTTCGTGTTCCTCGCCGAGGACTGGTACGAGCAGCAGAAGACGGACAACTACGAGTACGACCGGCTGCTGGAGATCGTCAAGCACGACCTCGAGTCGCTAGAGTTCAACATCTACCACACGTGGATGAAGTCGCTGAAGAAGAAGTTGCACAAGATGATCGTCCCCGCCATCATCGAGAGCCAGTCGCTCCCGGGCTTCGTGACCAATGAATCGAGCCGCTTCCTCGGCAAATTGCTACAGTCGAACTCCGCACCCGCCTACTCGATGGACAACCTGCTGAGCCTGCTGAACAACGTCTACAAGGCCATGAAGGCGTACTACCTCGAGGACACCATCATCACGCAGGCGATCACCGAGCTGCTGCGCCTGGTGGGCGTCACGGCGTTCAACGATCTGCTGATGCGGAGGAACTTCCTCAGCTGGAAGCGCGGGTTGCAGATCAACTACAACATCACGAGGATCGAAGAATGGTGCAAGAGCCACGACATGCCGGAGGGGACGTTGCAACTCGAGCATTTAATGGTAAGTCCACACTTGTGAAGATTTGGCCGGCCCCCATCCTAACCCCTTCATAGCAAGCCACCAAACTCCTCCAGCTCAAGAAAGCCACCCTCAACGACATCGAAATCATCCAGGACATCTGTTGGATGCTGTCACCCAGCCAGATCCAGAAGCTCCTCAACCAATACCTCGTCGCCGACTACGAGCAGCCCATCAACGGCGAGATCATGAAGGCCGTAGCCAGCCGTGTCACTGAGAAGAGCGACGTCCTGCTCCTCACCGCCGTCGACATGGAGGATTCCGGGCCCTACGAGATCGCCGAGCCACGCCGCATCACCGCGCTGGAGACGTATACTCCGAGCTGTAAGTGTCTATCCCCAGTCCCCAACGATTAGGTAAAAGATCCCGTTCGCTAACATATCAACAGGGCTCCAAACCCCCCGCCTCAAACGCCTCGCCGAAATCGTCTCCGCCCAGGCGATCGCGCAGCAGGAGAAGCTGGAGATGGACGCCGCTACCAACGGCCACAGCGACGGAATGGGCCTGGCGATCGGATCGCCTATCGATGGGCCGATCGGGGAGGTCGAGGGGATGTAATCCATCATCTCACATAGTGCGCTCATCGGGCCGCGTGTCTGCCCCGAAAGCGGCGGCGTGTAACTTTATCTGTCTGTGCTATTTCGCCGCAAAGCGACCCACGTCCACAGGGCCGGACCGACCCGAACGGATCTTTAGGGGGTTGGTTTGGTTTTGATCACGGTGTTCTTTGTTCCCCGGTCCTGTTCGAGTTTTGTACCGCCGGCGATCTTACTTACCCCTTCTTCGTTTTTTTCTTCTTCTTTCCACCCCCAACGCCACCTTTCATCGGCTCTGTTCTTGACAGTCGGCGTTGGCTATACGTCGCATGCACGGGTTGGGAGTAATGTATTGTCTTGTACGGGGATGTAGTCGGGTGCCGAGAGTTGGATGCAGATCGAGGTCGAGAGGGAGAATTGGATAGACGATGCGAATTGGATGGGGGGAATCTATCACGCTGGGATATGGGTAGATGAGGAATGAGAATGGTTGATCGTGTTACCCTTTGGCTATCGGTTGCTATTGGAACCTGTGACATGACTGTGCTTCGAAACCCGTAATCGTTGTGCTCCTTGCCACTTTATCTAAAGATCATGAGCGGCTTGTGTTCCATCCCTCTTAATCGGATCGGTCTGTTTAGCGCGGATGTGAGGCGCATTTCAACCATACAGTGCTAACAATTGCTCCCACGAGGGGCCATGCCAAAACGCTATAGATAATTTGATAATTCAGTCTGTCCATTGGCTTGCCCATGGTCTAGATCGGAGAAAACATCGAATCGCGATACCGGATAGGTACCTCAAACTTGGCCGTTCGTGAATTAGGGGGTCAAATCGTGGGGGTTCAAAGAATTGAGAACTTCTGAGGGTGTGGGCCGTTTCGATGTTCTGTAGAAAATTGGTGACAGCAGCATCCCTGCTTAGCTCCCTTCAACCCCACTAGCTCGTAATGTTATGTACCTGAAATTTCTATGTCTTACATCAATTGGGCTTGTGGCTCAGTGGTAGAGCGCCCCCTTAGCATCTCGCTTCGAGCGAGCGCGAATGGGGGAGGTCCAGTGTTCAATTCGCTGTTAGTCCATATTTTTTGTCTTTTTGCACGATGCTGTCTATATCTTTTTATTCTAGCTTTTGAATCATTCCTGATGTTTTTTGGACAGTTAGGAGCTGAGTTGGTGGAGGTCCGTGGTGGGCGCGGGGTACGTCTGCTCAGATAGGTAGAGGTTGCGTCCGGAGAGTCAGGGCGCTCATGTACGTCTTTGTATCCGTTATTTTCGTTTCTTGGAATGGAATCCGATGGTTTTAGGCTTTTAGAGTCGATCTAGTGGAATCAGTGACGTCCGCCTCCGCAAGACAGATATAACCATCTCAGGACGTCCAGGCAGCCCTTCCTAGGTATCACGACTGCACTGCCATGATGCCATCTACTCGTTATAGGTGCAGACATAAATGTTCTGACCGAGGTCTCGCTTTTATCCATCCCCAGGGGCCTATTCACACTCTGGGGCAGAGTTCAGGTTGGTTGCGGTTGAATGGGAAGGGACGCTCTGGCTGCCCACCTTTCGCGACAGCAGCAGCCAGTGTAGACAAGAATCCCCACGGCCCCCACTATAGGGAGGCAAGGGATATATTTTTACCTGTATCTACTTGCCCACCTGATCTGGAAATGGCTAAAGGACATAGTACTTCTTCGGTGCCTACGCAGCTGTTTGCTTGATGGCATCACGAGATGCAGGTAACAGTGTCAAAGGGTAGTCAGTGATGACAGGAGTCATGTGTCGAACCTTGCTATATCTACCCTTCTCCTAGATTCCTAGGGGGGCGTCCCTTTTGGGGATTTAGCGTAGTTGGGTAGATTTGACACCATGACGCTTTTCACTCGGTCGGTGGCATCTCTTCGACGCTATTTCAACCGGCAGCCCACTTTCTCCTGATACGTTAGTCACAACAGACCAATCTTCCCATCCATGGATCTTCTTTCAACAATTATGAAACTCAATTCGGCTGGTCCAGCATACGGTCCCCAAAGATGAGTCGTCCATCGCATTTACGCAGATAATTTTCATGGAGATCATCGAAGCACCGCAAGGACCTTCCCTCGCGTTCTTCTTGACCTGAAGTTGGAGCATAATGCACCCACGGGCGGGATCCTCATCCAATAGTAGGCGGTAGCGATGTCGAGGGGGGGTTTGAGTTATGCCAGGTTAGTTGAAGAAACGCGTCGATATTGAGCGACCGGGCGAACTTTTGCTGATGAGTGTCCCCGTTCACCGAAGCTAGCTCGGGATGGGATTGGCCTCGCATGTTTCCTTCTTCAAGGATCACAAACTCGTAAGGTGTGAACAGTGAAGAGGTGTGAGTGAGACGTTGTCCAAGCTGAACGGAGATGAAGGTAGGGTGAGAGTGTGCGGTAAGAGGGAATGAAAGTATCAGAGTGATATGGAGGAGGGGAGATATTTCCAGACTCAGAGTGGAAAGGTAGAAAGTGAGAAAGATCCGTGTGTTAACACGAAGTAAAAGTAAAAATTCGATAGAAGGAATCACAGCAATCAACTTCATCCTATTCAAGTCCATGGGCATCATGAAATGTAAGAGCAGCCTAGAAAAAAGCCCAGAAAGGTGGAGGTCATACAGGCATGCTGAAGCATAAGGTAATGAGAATCGAATGGTTCTCACTGGTACTGCACTCTATTAATGACCAAACTGAGCTTGTCTGTCTCCTTAGGCAGCCGTCAGCCATAGTCCTACCAAACTGAAATTTTCATCTGAGCGGATAAAGACATAGAAATCCCATCCATCGATTGGATGTCTATGAGTGTTTAGGTGCTTGCAGGAGACCTCTGACTCTGAGTCTTGATCTGACTTCAAAAGTAATAGATCTTTTTACAGTGGCCAGGTCTCAGAACCAATCATCAAGCAATGGAGGAGTAGAGCATTAACGATGAACTCAATTGTTTAAGTTGTATCATTGATAGGGATCCGGAATTCAATCGAATTGGAGTCGAATTGGAGTCGAATTGATATCGTTCACTTTCGTTGCGAGATCTAAAGTGAACGGACTGAATGAGTGTGGACTTGAGGACTTGAATCCCGAATTCTTGATGAGCGGTCGAGACTCGAATGTCGTGAATTGCCCCTGACACGTGCGCTGGGCTCGTGACATCAGACATGGACCCCGGCCACCAATCCGGCAGGCTCGACCCAGTTCCCTTGCCTTGACCGCCAACTCGGGGCCACCAACGGAAATGTTGCCCCAGTCGAGCACCTGCATCTTGTCACTACTGCACTGCATCGCACTTTGGCGGATGAGGACAGCTGTTCCGCACAGCTCATTCAACTTTCTTCAATTAAGTACCTGTACGTTAGATTCCCTCAGTTAAACAAGTACCACAGCTGCAAAGAATATACCCACCTTCAACATGAGTCTTCAAGTCCCCTTAAGGACGAAAGCTGTGCCGAACACCAAGGCCGTCATTCTGGTACGGAGTCAAATATAGGGCCAAACCCTCATAACTAACGATTCTCAGGTAGGCGGTCCTTCAAGAGGGACTCGCTTCAGACCTCTCTCGCTCGATGTACCAAAAGTAGTGACAAACAGCTCCCAAAATTTACAGATTACTTTAATTGATACCATCCGCAGCCACTTTTCGACGTCGCCGGTCACCCGATCATCGAGCACTGTCTGCGAGCCATCGCGAAGGTCGAGCACATCAAGGAGGTCTTCCTGATTGGATACTACGAGGAATCCGTCTTCCGAGACTTCATCAAGGATGCTTCCCACTCGTTCCCGAACATCACCGTGAAATACCTGCGGGAATACGAGTCGCTAGGCACCGCTGGAGGGCTCTATCACTTCCGCGATGCTATCCTCAAGGGGAACCCTGCTCGCTTCTTCGTGTTGAACGCCGACGTGTGCTGCTCGTTCCCGCTCAATGAGATGCTCGGACTCTTCGAGGAGAAGGGTGCGGACGCCCTCATCCTAGGAACTCGGGTGAGCAACGACACGGCGAAGAACTTCGGATGCATCGTGTCCGATCCGCACACGAAGCGCGTGCTCCACTACGTGGAGAAGCCGGAATCGCATATCTCCAACCTGATCAACTGCGGCGTCTACCTCTTCTCGACTAACTGCATCTTCCCCGCCGTCCACAACGCCATCCAGCGGCGTACCGAGCGCCCCCGCCTCGTCTCCTACCCCTCCTCCGAGAACCTCGACAACTCCTACTACCAGGAGCTTGAAGACGGCGAGAAGTCCGACGTCCTCCGCCTCGAGCAGGACATCCTCTCCGACCTCGCCGACCGCAACGCCTTCTTCGTTCTGGAAACCAAAGATTTCTGGCGCCAGATCAAGACCGCCGGCTCCGCTGTCCCCGCCAACGCCCTCTACCTCCAGAAAGCCTTCCAATCCGGCTCTGAGGAACTCGCCCCCCCGTCCGCCAACATCCTCCCGCCCGTCTTCATCCACCCGTCTGCCCACGTCGACCCCACCGCCAAGCTCGGCCCGAACGTGTCCATCGGACCCCGCGCGAACATCGGTGCGGGCGTGCGCATCAAGGAGTCGATCGTCCTCGAGGACGTGGAGGTGAAGCATGACGCGTGCATTTTATATTCCATCGTCGGGTGGAACAGCAAGGTGGGCGCGTGGGCGCGGGTGGAGGGCACGCCGACGCCGGTCACCAACCATACGACGAGCATTGTCAAGAACGGGGTCAAGGTGCAGGCCATTACGATTCTGGGGAAGGAGTGCACGATCAAGGATGAAGTGCGGGTGCAGAATTGTGTTTGCTTGCCGTATAAGGAGCTCAAACGCGTAAGTTATGAAGGATTTATGAAGTCGGGCTTTCGCTAACACCTATGCTAGGACGTCTGCAACGAAGTCATCATGTGAGTACGGGATCTCGGTCAGCCTTTGTCCGCCTTGAATGTTTGATGGCGACGGCAAAGTACCATTACACTCATACCCTGTTCAGAGTTGAGCATGAGTGCGTAATTTCATGGCCTGCGTTGGGGAATCCGCTATGGATTAAACCAAAGAGTTTATATAGCACCTCAAGGTGAAGAAAAACAGCGCCCCCTGCAATGCAAGCTACTCCATAACATCCACATTCCTGGTCGAGGACTCTCATTTCTGTTCCTTGTCCACTGATCTCAATTGCAAGCGTGATTCAATCAATCCCATGCGGCGGTTGGGTGGGGGCTTGCTACGTCTCATCTTCGGTGTGACTACGTGCCTCGAACAATTGGTCCTGGATGGATTAATCTCCGGTCGTACCAGATGGAGATCACAGACCCCTCTATCGTATCCCCTCAACTCTCAACCACCACCACGTCAATGGTCTGACTCAGACCTGCCCTGTTCAGATGCCTTGCTTTTTTATCCTAGAAACCCCATTCAAGATGTCTCAAACAGATCCATTCAATTAACCCACCGTCGAGAACCCGCAATCGATCCAACATCGCCCATCTCGCTTCCCCATACAATATCATGCCCACCACCAAACCCCCCCTCCCCCTCATTGACATCTCCCCCTTTCTCACCTGGAAAGCCTCCCCGGACTCCCGCGCCCACATCGCCGCCCACCTCGCCGCCGCCTGCCGCACCCACGGCGCCTTCTACCTCACCGGCCACGGCATCCCCCGCGCCACCACCTCCCACCTCCTCTCCCTTGCCCGCCGCTTTTTCCTCGAGAACTCCCCCGCGGAGAAAGCGCAGATCGCGCGCCAGGCACCGGGCGCCGGGGACGAGGACGGGGTGCGCGGGTACCAGGCGCGAGGGGGGGACGTGGTGGGCCGCCGGAGGAGTTGGAGGGAAGTGGTGGATGTATATCGGGAAGGGGGAGGGGGCGCGGCGGATGGGTTATTGGAAGGGCGGGAGCGGTGGCCGGAAAGGCACGAGGAGATGCGGGAGGCGGTGGAGGGGTATGTGGGAAGGGTGAGGGGGGTGGGGAGGGCGGTGGTGCGGGCGATGGGGGTAGCGTTGGGGTTGGGGGTGGGGGTGGGGGTGTTAGAGGGGGGAACGGAAGGGGCGTGGGTTTTGAGGTTAGTTGGGTATCCGTCGTTGCCGGAGGAGGGAGAGGAGAATGGGGAGGATGAGAAGGAGGGGGATGGGGACGATGGGGAGCAGTATAGTTGTGATGCACATACAGGTTGGTGAACGAGCTCATGACTTCATCGCTTGAATTGCTAGACACGGCCTCGAGAGATGAGCAAAACGCTAACCCGATATCTAGACTACGGCTGCGTGACTCTCCTCCTCGCCGACGCTACTGCCGCCGCCCTGCAAGTCCAACTGAAAGACGGCACCTGGATCGACGCCAACCCGATCGACGACGCCTACATCGTCACCATCGGCGACATAATGGAACGATGGACCAACGGCGTGTGGCAGAGCACCACGCACCGCGTGATCCACCGCGGCGACACGTATCGCGTCAACGTGCCGTTTTTCTTCGAGCCGGCGCTCGACGCCGTCATCAGACCCCTGGATGCGTGCATCAAGGCGTCGGGGGAGCCGCCGAAATATGGGAAGATAGTGTATAGGGACCATCTCTTCGCGAAGATGAAGGGAAACTTCTGTTGAATCGGAATGTCGAGGGCTTGGTTGGCAACGGGGAGTTCCAATTAGGGGGCATGGCGTGTGACTTTCGGCGGTTTATGGAGCAAATGGAGGTTAATTGGGTTCTAGAATAGATAACGGTCGTCTCATGGCCTCGTGAATCAATCGTCTTCAAGCGTAATAGTCATCCCATTCGCCATCGTCGTCGTCTACCGGAGGTGGCGGAGGCTTCTTCTTTAATAATTCCTTCCGATCTAAAGGACAAGTGGGGTTGACTTTCAACCACGGACGAATGCAGTCCAGGTCATAAAGGTGGTCTTTATGGCATGGAAGGCGAACGACCAATGGGTATTCATCTGGATAATCATCAGCATGGATCCAGCGCATTCGCCGAAAGAATCGGGCAGAAATCAACGCAACATACCATCCAAAAAGGGATTCCCGCAAATCGGACAGTCCTGCGACTTCTTCAGTCTCGACTTCGGAACGCGCTCCAGCTCGTCGAGAAAGTTATCCGGAACGCCCTGCACCTCCTTCGGCGGATCGCGCTCCATCGACACGAGGAACCGCAGCATCAGTTGCTGCCATTCGGGATCCGAATCGTCCCCGCTACTGCCCATGGTGATGCGCATGAAGTCGGCCAGGTTGCGAAAGGCGGCGGAGACGTCCTGCGGGAGGGGTTGGGCATGGCGGTTCGTGTGCGGCGTGTGCTCGCCGGAGGTGTCGATCTGCTCGAGGTTGGAGTAGAAGGTCGAGAGATCGGGTCGCCGGTTCTGGGGAGCGCGGGTCGTTTCTCCCCTAGGGATGTTGTGCTCTTCTATGGAGGACTTAGCCATATACTTGAATGCTATGAGAACGACGAGGTACCTACCTTCGTAGCCAGACATAGTAGGTGTTGTTTGGATTTAGAAAAGGAATGGACTTGTTCGGCTATTCCAAAGGGAGGCCAATTCTTTTAAATACGAGGAATTGATATGAACTGATATCTCATATCAACCTGAAGGCAGCAGAGAAGTACGACTGACGTCTCCAATCTTCAGACTAGAGAGGAGGGCGGGGTGTCAATCGTGGACAAGGGTCCAGCCCAGTCCCAAAGCACCGGTCCTTCTTCGGTAAGCCAACGGGAATTTCTACTCCTGTTCCAAGACAGCAATCGTGATCGATACTGAGAGTTCTTTAGAGGAAGACTACGAGAAACAAGGAGGTCGTTCGGCCGTCATAAGCAGATTCAACACCGAGGTCCTCGTTAACCACCGGTCCACCGGCGCTCCCAATCAACCTCAAGGTCATCTTAAACCTCGAGCCTGCTCATCATGAACTATCTATCAGACCTGGCTCGACCGACCTCTCCGACACATGCTTCACTAGCCGATGTCCTCGAGGCATTAAACCAGCAAAATGCCCTGGACAAACAGGATTCGATCTACCCTATCCCTCCTCAGCCACCGAACCACGAGGATGAGCCCGATGCGACGCATCCAGTGACCGAATACTCCCCTCCCACCTCCGAACCCGCACCGCCTGTCCAACTCCCCGATGATTTCGGTTCGCTACCACCCCTTCCGCCCGGTTGGTCTGCCCTCGCACCTCCCCCCGAAGCCTACTACGACTCCATGGAGGACGCGATCGAGGCGATCCACTCCTGGACCAAAGCGCACGGCTACGACGTCTCCAAGTCCAAGCCGGTGAAGACGAAGCGCGACAAGCTGCTCTACCGCTACCTCCTCCGATGCACGCGCTGCTCCAAGTCGAAGAACACCCGCAAGCTCAAGCCGGAGGAACGCCGCCGCACCAAGCGCGGCTCCCAGAAATCCAACTGCCCCATGGGCGTTTGGGTGTGCGCCGAGGACCGCAACGACCCGCAGCACTGCCGCTGGCTCGTCAAGCATCAGGAGCGCCTGCAGAGCGTCTACCACGACCACCAGCCGTCGCATCCGACCACGATGCCGAACCACCGCCGCCGCGAGCGCACCGCGGAGATCAAGATGCGGATCTTGGAGCTGCAGGAGGCGGGGTACAGCACGGCGCGCACGCTGGCGATTTTACAGCAGGATTATCCGGATATGCATATCACGTCGCGCGATATCTATAACGAGCGGCAGCAGATTCGGAGGGACCAGCGGGGCGAGAGAGCGATGCCGCAGGGATGATTCGCCGGATTGAAGGCGTTAATACCATGGATCCAGAATACACGAATAATTGAGCCTCTCAACGCTGAATCGCTGCGAGCAGGCATGTTTTGTTACGCGGAGCGATATTCGCTTGTTCGATTATCCCAGTGAGAACATGGGTTTGTCACGATGGAAGAGGATGTTTTGCGGCTTTAGGGATGCTTGTATTATGCACTGCATGGATATTGTTACAGAGCATGGGTTTTGCTGCTCACTGGTCGACTCAATTCAAAGGTACGCATTGCAATTCCCATTTCTACATGACTGGGTCTAACCGATCACAGGACACCAACGGGTGCATGAAGGAGACTTTTCAGCCAACCTAGACGTTGATCTCCAGCGAAAGCGGTCACGGGAAGCCTTTACGGTTGCAGAATGCTGTTTGGGGAGACAAGCCCCATGATGGGGAGGGTTCTTGGGGTTTACCAGCACCAGCGGAGAGATGGAAAGAAGACTGTATGGGACAATGAAGAGCAAAACATGAAAATCATTATGTCGATTGAGATGGCAAGCAACGGACGAATGGGGATGGGAATTCCGGCGTATTAGTATCGAGCTTGACTTGACAGGGGACGTGTCCTCCATTACAGGCACATGCAGTTGCTACCTGTACCCTTGGACGGTTAAAAAGCAGATGCTCCGAGGAGGCCGGCTCGCTTGAATGCTGGAGTACAAATAGAGAATGACGGGTCCTGGTCTAGCTTGAGTACTGAGTGACTGACATCAGTACATCATACATCATACGTGACATCAGTGACGTGGCTCTGATAACGCCAACTCCCATCTACCTAGGTCCTAGAGCTCGCGGCTGTCGTTGGGGTTCTATTAAACTCGTTCCCGCTCCAGTACAGTGGTTATACCAGGGGAATCGTTGCAAGGCAACCCAGCCAAGATCGTTAGTAAAGACTCAACCCGAACTCATATGCCGGATAATCAGCCATCATTAAGGGGCAATACGGAAAATATTGGTCCATTTCCAGGAATTATTCCTTTCACTAGCCCGGAGTATCGGAACCTGGCTCATCGGCCAGCAGGAATTCCTCTTCGGGAACTTCAAGGCCTACGAGTTAGGACAGGCAGGAGATGTTCATTCCCCGGAAAAATACCGTAGTTCCCGACATCGCTTGCTCGTCCAATTGCATGTTCATCAACTGGATGTGGTCATACTAGATCTCTAACGACAACAATCCATTCGATCTCTCCTCGCCTCGGTTCCTCTCCTATGTGCCCTTGTCGCATAAATGACAGCCGCCTAAATGACACCCCCATAAGGCGCCCAGATTGATGCCGATTTGGCAAGTCATGGAGTTTCCGTCCCATGGCGCTGGTGACCCGGTGGCGTTTGCAAGCGTGGGGACCGTTGCCCATAGCAGAAAAAAACAGGGCGGTCCGGCCGTCCGCGGCCAGAGTGCTGGGAACATGGTCCGACACCATCACAATTCACACCAGGGGTTTCACAGGGCAGAATGAGGACTGACACTTTCGTGTTTGGTTGACCATTGATAGACTGATGATGGAAAGACGTGGAAATCATAGAATCAAATCGCTAGGTTCGACAATCCGAATGAATGAGGAAGTAATTATGGAATCGGCAGTTTAACTCCACGGTACACGGTCCACATCAAGGAGACTATTCGCGGGGAAATATGGACTTCAATTGAGCCAAACTCCAAGGAGTCAAACGAAGTCTCGACCGGAAAGATCATCGCTGAAACTTTGGGGAGGATGCCCATAGGAAGATGCTAGTTGACACTCGTTGCAGATCGCGAATGGTGAAAGCTGGGTCCGTATACCAGTAGGGGGAAGATGCTCGGCACATAAATGTAAAATGCTGCAATCAATCAAGAGCCGAATAAATGTACTCCGTAGAAGTCAAATAGATCCGCGTCCCACTAGTACGGTTCTTCCAAAACACCAACGGACTGTGACTTAGATAAACGATAACCGTTAGTTAGTGGTGTATTCAGCATCCACTGCCGAGTGCGTGTCCTCCCTCACTCCCGTTGGATAAATCGATCGAAAGCCCCATCGGAGTCGAGAGCGTCCGTCATCCTTCCGCTATAGAATCGCACCGACCAGGAGGCGTTGTGACCAACTCAGCACCCGTACGAAGCCGATCTCGTTGAAAGCCAGCTTATTAGCCAGGGCATCAGCCCAGAGATGTGATGAACCCAGTGTGACCAACTCAGACCAAGCCGCTTCTGTTCTATCTGGATCCTCATTTTTCTCATCGTTACGTGCCTCTTCGAGTCTTGAAGTGTTCCACTAACTTGCAAACCCTTCCAAATCGCCAGATGTTGTGCGAAAACGCAGCTTGCACCGACCGCAGGCTTCCCGCTCCAAGTGTCAGCCTCTCAGGCATCCAATTCCTTTCAACCTCAGGCATCCACCCGGTCCAGGACACAGCAACTGCAGGCGCTACCGCTAGCCCTCTTGATTGGGCAAGACCTCCTGCATCTTCAACCTCACCCTTCATTTGTGGTCTTCTTTGGCCCTTTCACTGCGACCCCCTCTCTCTCATCCTTTCTTCAACGCAATCACGGCGTCTCTATTCCGTCCGTTCTCCTCCTCCCCCCAGTATCACAGTAACGACGCGATCGAACCACCAACGGCGACACCCCAGACGCCGCCCCACCAAACGCAGGAGACCCCCTACTCCAACTCAGCATTGGATGCCTCTCTCCCACCCGCCGCCCCAGCACGCTGGAGCTTGACGAACCGTATCTTCCGCTTCACCTCGCCCACTCAGATCCCCATCCTCCCCGCCGCGCGCCTCTGGAACCCCGTCAACTCCTCCCCACGCACCCTCGCCATCCCCAACGTCCCCGTCTCGCACCCGCAGGCCCTCGCCTCCTATTCCGCGGAATACGGTCCCGCCGCCGCGAATCAGCAGCATCGCCAACGGCCGCCGACCGCGACGCGCGACGAGTATCCGCTGCTGACGCTCGACGAACAGCGGAGGAGCAGGCATTCGCTGCCTGGGTCGCTGATCGTCGAACGATCGACGGGTGGGGAAAGTGGGAGTCGGACGAGCGTGGGACTACCGAGCGGGCGCAGGAGTGGAGTGTTGGATGACGGAGAGCGATCGCGGCATCTAAGACCACCGCAAACGCAAATACAGACCCTCCCGCAGGGACACGTGGAGACGAGAACGCAAATAATCCAGCCGCCGATTCGGTCACCAGAGGAGACTGTTCCAGGACTATCGATGGCTACCACATACCAATCCGAGGCGCCGATTCCTCATACTCTAAATTCCTTGGACCCCGAGGCCGCGCCGTACCTACGCAATTCTTCTTCCCGCGCCTCCCTTCCCCCTTCATCACATTCCCACCCGATTCCCGATTTCCTACGCAATGACGACCCGGAACCCGAGCATGATCAAGATGAATTCTCCTGGGGACCATCTCACCCCTGCTTCCCACACCTCAACCCTCACGTCCCGATTTCCTCCCCTCTCTACCAAACAACACGCATCATCCGGATCAAGCGCGATTGGATGATCGTTGGGGACCTCGCGCCCACGTTTGCGAACCTGTATCCGGAAGTGCTGGATCCGATGATCCCGGAAGACGAGTTCCGCGCCATCGTGAAGAAGATCAATGGCGTGTTGATTGAGGAGTTCAGTCCCTGGAGTACGCGGGCGTGGGTCGATGCCTTCATGGGCGTCGCGACGGGGTGGCTGTGGGAGGACTTCGGACTGAGCCAGGTGAAGTTGCGGTTGCGGGAGTTGGAGAATTGGATTGAGGACTGGAATGAGAGGGTGGGGGCGAGGGAAGGAGTGAGGATTATTCCGTTAAGGAGATCAGCATATATGACGGTACGTCCCCTCTCATTCGAATGCATTATCATGGTAGGGAGCTAACTTATATCCGCAGATTGATATTCAAATCCCCGATCCACATATCGGCGCCGAGCAAGAGCGGACTAGTACCGGCCAAGAAGGGGAAGAACAGGGAGTAGCAGGTGGCGAGGGTGAGCATGAGCATGATCCGGAACGAGATGAGCAAACGGGACTACAGGTTCCGCCACCCGCTTTGCAGCAGCCATTGCAGGTATAAACGGAAAGGTTCGCGGCCACTTTGATCTTGTAGCACTGGTCTCATTCCTGTCTGATTCAGCAATAATCTTTTTGTTCAATGGCTGGTCAGCGTACCGCCATATCAATGATACCCAACCGCAATTACATTAATCATATTCCCCTATTCAAACCTTTCCTTTTCATCGTGTGCTTGTTTCCAATTACCTTCCAGTCATTTATGCGCTAAGCCTAGCGATCCCGAGCCTGACGCTCTCCCTTTTTATTGCCAGGGGTGCCTCGTATAATTATACCATAGAAAACGTTTCCAAGGATCTCGAAACCGAATGCGATCCTCCCCCAGGTCCCGGTGGGCTAGGATGATCTAAACGATCCAATCCATACCGAAGATGATCCAGAGCCTCAGGTCCATATATCCCTCCCCATAGCCTTTCTAACGAACAGATAACCGCCTTGGCGATCCCCTCGAAGAACCACCGTAACAGAGCACCGAGCACCGAGCAGAACACATAACGGCATCCCCTGGCTGAGAGAGAGGCGAGGTCGGAGTCCCACAGCGCGATCACGGACCGGAAAGCACGGAAATTTTCCGTTTGAGAGACATCGTCTGGGCAGACACCTCAGACGCAATTTATAACGCCGAGTCGGACCCCGCGTGCGTGTAGTCTCGGGGAGTTGGGGATGTGGCCATGTGAACCCGACCAGCGCAGGGCAGTCGCATATCTTCCCGCTTTATGGAGCAGTTTATGAAGACTTCCCAATCCAAGGGTGCGGGTAGTTGCAGGAATCCTTCAATCGGACATCCAACTCGGGGAGGTGAATTCCTGCCGACATCATGTCAAATGGGGCATATGGTTTCCGGTCAGATAATTTCTACTATATGGAGCACCAGTGAGTGGCCTGGTGATGTCCCAGAGAGGTTATTGGCAGACCGGATCTGGTAACCTCGCTGGTTTGCCCTTCAGGCTTCAGGATCAATTCCCTCGGGTTCTATTGTCTTTGCTTTTCTATTTTTGGTTTGCAAGTGAGTCTAAGGTATGGTGTTGCGCGCTGGATAGAATTCGCAGCGATGAAGTTCGCTATATCATCCGCTGAGCCGCTTCGTGTCAATCTCCTCTGCCGTCCGGCTATGATTCACAATCGTCGACCACCCCTCATCAGCCGGCGTCATGCCCACCAACGCGATAACCATCTCTCGCGCATCGGACGCCAGCTCCGCGCGACTGGTGCAGCTGCCCGAGGCTGTGATGCGACACGCCCGTATTCGATGCATATGAGAGCACCGCCGGTTTCTCATCGCTACTGGAATACTTGCCCAAGGATGCGTCCCAGATGCTCCGACTAACAAGCACTCGCACGGAATTCACGTTCCACAGCCGTTATCATTCGGATGGGTCTGTGTTAATCCGTGGTGGATATTCAGTCATCTAGAAGGGAACGAGCCGTCTCTATTCAGCTTCCGCGGTTCAGATATCGTAGCCTTTTAATTGCAGAGATACAATCTTGGCTCACACATACCCTCCCCCCTCGTTCCCCGCAATCCACCGCAACACGACTCTGGATTTTCCCATGTATAGAAGACTCCCTTCCAGAGGTGCGTGCAAGATGCTACAATGGACAGGGTCCTTTCGCTTCCTCCTTGGACGCGAACAAGATAAATGTGCTGAGGAAGGATATTGGAGCCGGCATGGTGTCCATTGTTAGGGCGTTTCCAAACGCTAGAGTGGCAGGACTTGAATCGAAGACTTGGGATAGCATTGATGAAAAGAATATGCGCTTCCTTTGAAAGCTTAGGATTGTCGTATGCAGTAATTAGAGATATAAATTAAGAGGCTTTGAAATATGTCGCAACGACTCTGTACTTGATATCCGAATATTCGAGAATAGGGATCATGACATCAAGGGGATAGTTAATGCTTTGGACTCAGCAGCATCTTAAAAAAAAAAGCGCAAGTCGTTATATTAACACATTCTGAAATAGAAAGGCTACCAAACGAAGATACCTTCCTGATAAATTACAGAGACGTTAATAGCAACTAAGTACCCCATGTTGCTTGAGTTCAAGTCATCGAAAGTAAATGCTGGATGCGACAAATGGATAGTTCGATTGAGATTGGGCTTCTCATCGTCAAGGGTCCAAGCATGTTGGGATCGTTGATTGATAACCACCTCATGATAGCTTCATCGACCACAAACAAGAACTCGAGAACCTGAACACTGGGACTACACCTTCCGCAACAGAGGGGCATTTAATTTGCTCTCTACTGTATATGCTGGTCCCCGCCATAGACTCGTGAGACGCATGTTTGTTTCCTGATCTTTACGATGAGACAAAGTCGAAGCTAATGACAATGTCTAGATGTAGAAGACTTCTACTGTCGCCATGGCTTCCCCCAAACAGTCTCAAGAATCGGTAGCTACCTTCGGCATCCGTCCAGTTGAGAGATTTTCAGGTGGAAGTTCAGCAATCAAGCGCCCACGAGTCCGTAGTCCTTCCAATCCAGCGCCAGACATGTACAAACCGTTGCTAAATATATATCCAGGAATTCACCCACTTCTCATACGACTCCGAGCACGTCTTCCACCCAGATGTCTCCTCTTTGAAGTACTACTACCCGCCTTCTCTCCCCTCAGACCTTTGCGCCGGCTTCTCTACCTTCCAAAAGCATGATGACAGCACAGACGAACACATCACGAGCCTCCTGCGCTCGGTGATGCTCCATGAGCAGTCCACGCGTACACGCACCAACTGCGACATCCTCACGTGGCGCGGGATGCTCACGAAGATCCTCACTACTCCATTTGACCGGTTCTCTGAGTTTGAGATGAACGCGACCTGCTTCCAAGGCACGATTTTCATCGAGGAGAACCATGCGTATAAAGTGGGGCAGCGGATACAACAGGACAGAGAAGCCAGGCAGCGGGGTGGAGTCAGCTCTGAGAGGCAGGACATGATGTCCTTTTGGGGATACAAGTTCGAGACGTTGTCAACGATTCCGGACGTATGGGATAAAGTCAGTAGAGACGCGATTGAGGGGCGGGAAAGTGACATTGTGGAGAATAAGAGCCAGTATTGTTCGGTGGTCTCCACTGGCATCGGAGGTGCAAAACTGGTCCTGGGCGGCGAGGTGGACGCTGTATGGGATCGTAAACCGGACCCGAGGCCGGAGGATGGTCAAGAAGGTATCCAGGGCACCCGATGGGTGGAGTTGAAGACAGCAGAGCAGCCATCATCGGACAAAGACATGGTGAAGTTCGAGAGGAAGCTGCTGAAGTTTTGGGCGCAGAGTTTCTTACTCGGCGTACCGAAGATCATCGTGGGATTTAGAAACAAGGACGGCATGTTGGTGTCTCTTGAGGAGTTGGAGACACAGAGCATTCCGGGAAATGTGAGGAGAGTCGGAAAGAGAACTTGGGATGGCAATATTTGCATCAATTTCACAGCAGCGTTCCTCGAGTGTGAGTACTACCCTTATCCACACAGCAGTGCTGGCGGTGAGTGCACGTTGCTAATTACAGTGGTCTTTAGTCTTGAAGTCTACTATTCGAGGCGAGGGTGTCTGGAGGATCTGTAGACGGCCTCAATCTCCTTCCATAGAGGTCTTCAAAGTCGAAAACAAAGGCCATGGAGAGATCCTCACTTCGGAGTTCATCAACTGGCGCACAAAAATCGCAGCAGATGAGCTTGCAGCAGCTCTCTCTGGGAAGGGATGATTGATACTATCGTCCAGATAATCTTAAAATGCATCGGTAAGCCATGAATTCCCCAACCCCATCCTATTTTCCATCTTGCTAACCCGAAAAGTTCATCGATTTGGCGGTTGCTATGAGTCCTCCAGGCCAGCCAAGTCACATCGGGTCGCATATCAGCACCTCAGTGAACTAGATTCAAGCACCCACACCACACAGATGAAGATTCACATGTGATGAAGGATCAAGCATCCGCTCTTACAGTAAGAAAGCTGTGGTCTTCCCCGATCCCGAACCATCGCAAGACTTTCACCGTCACAGTGCTATTGCACCATTCCACGCCTTCCAAAACTATGCCGCACATGGATGGTATCCATGATATCAGATATGGACATGGTAATTTGGAAGTCCTTCAGCAACTGCCGATCTTGTCGTCATCGCAATACCCGGTCTGGGCCCTGGGACATCGATACGAGCAGTAATAAAGAGAATCCTGGGCATCTGCTCTCAAGTGCGCAAGTAGGGAAGTCGGTCCAAACCAGATCTTCAAGCATGTCATGAGATATTGGAATACCGCAATCCTTTTAGTTCCTGAGCTGTAAAGCCTGCCCTGAAACTTAGGTGGTACTCTTGGATACCCTTCCAAGAACTCTAACTTAATGCATACACCCAGAAAACCCTGTCGATTCTGATACATACACGGAAGTGCCCAGTTCCATCTGCACGTATCCGCCCAATAGGGTTCCTCCGGATTTTTTGAGATCTGGATAGTCCAATGACGTGGGTGGTGGGGTTGGTATCGCCCGAGGGGTTTCTAATATATCTCAAACGCCGCTGTGAACCATGCAGGGAGATCGTGGGTCGGCTGACACAGATCAGTGTTTTTTGGAATTCCTCGCCGCTGCGGCCCGATCAGATGAGTCGCAACCAGACCGCGCAAAGAACCGTGCTGCTACTCTACCTTGAACCGTGAAGACACTACCAAAGGTTTATTCTTGTCGTTCGCGGCATGGGCGAACGAAGCCCTACGAGTGTTCTTCGGGTCAGCAATACCCGTCGTACGAACAACGCTGCAAGACAAGCGAACCTTACCCTTGGAAGGCTTCAGAAATCCCACACCTAGCGAGGATGCTGCTGTGAGATCGACCTTGCCCGTCCAGCGCCCGTTTGGTCCAGGCCGTCCTCTTCAGCACTCCGAGCGACAGTCGTATAGCTCTCACTGTCTGTGTGTCTGCACAAATTGTGTGTTGATATCGAGTACCATGGCAACTTTGGACATGCCATTGGTTTCTGGCACTGTGGTTCAAGCAACTCAACATTCAGTAGCACTACAAACCATACGAATGGCCAATCGCAAATGTTTCTGTCTCATCTTTATCTTCTCGACAAATCCATGATCCACCTACAGAGACCACCCTATGGGCAGACATCAAGATCTCACCAGTCGAGGGAACACAATATCCTCCGACACAAAGCGTATCGCGGGGCTGGAGAACCTCTCTGCTTGTTCGGCAAAGTTCTAGAAGCCCCGGAGCACTCGTTCCAAAGTAGTGATTGGCCATCACAGCTGAGACGGTCAACATCTATCAACGGAATCTGAAGCAGAGGGAGTTGGTCTCAGGATGGCGGTGAGACTCTCAGCCGTCGTTATCAGAGCTCGTAGGGCTCGATATGCTAGTGAAACAGGAACGGGTTTTGGTGATCCAGTATATCTTCGTTGGTCCATAGTAAATAATCGGTCGCAATGGATCAGTATGAATTTGCAATTGAGGTGTAGGACGATTCAGGAACCGCATTCCATTCTAATGGCGCACGGCGCTGAATTCCTTCCATGCGCACCACCACCGTATTCGACAGCGCTTTGCAGGATCGAACTATTCCTTGACAAGATAAACCATACATGCTTATGCACGAGCCTGGGTTGTAGATACAGTAAGTTCCTGCACATTATCTGGCATCCACAGAGTGTCAGTGCTGGTCAGTCAATACTCAATACAGTAATAACACTTACACATCCGCGTAAGCCTTCTTTCCCCACGACGATTTTCTTGCATGTGGCTCCAGTCTGTCGGCGCAGAAGTCTAGGTTCCGCGGCCCGCCTTGCCATCTGATGGCGACATGGTGATCCCCGTGGGGGTTAATCTACAGCCATCGGGGATGCACTGTACTGGACTACTGGTACAGCCCTTCATGGTCGTCAGTGAGGTGAACATATAGTCCGGGATCCCAGGTGATTGTATTCGGAGTGTCGGATCTCTGCGATATTAGGGCTTTGGCCATGTGGTCCGATTAATAGGGTTCGATTTTAACCGCAGAGTTGCTGAGGGAGCGGAGAGGACGGCCTCTATTCCAAAGTAGGTACGGTACCTCGACTACAATTTACAGTGGTTGGGATACCTCTGGTGGGAGGCACATTAGCTTCACACCGTCTAGCGGAGCCGCAGTTTTGCAGGGCAGGCGTTCGGCGACATTTTATACTGCGATTCGTAGTTGGCTGACTTCTCAGTCGAGGTCCCATGGCCGTTCATGTAAGCATGCTGGAAGTGGGAATACGATCATCAGTCAATGAAGAAATTGAAATCGAACAAGGTATATTGGGTAATAGAGTTAAGAGGTCCTGTACGAACAGTTTAACTGATTATCCTTGATATATAAGGATTTGGTAGGTGTGAGGCAAAAGGTATCATGTGTAACCAGACCGAAATGACTTATATTTCCTAACTACAATAGCCAAGCCGATTACAGTATCGTCCTAGAACTTGATGACTACATCTGTGTTGTCCAGCACCCAAGCCGATGTCAGCCGCTCTCCTATGGCAGACTACTCGAGCGAGAGGGCAGCCCAAGCAGAAGGGGGAGGGAACAGGGTCCATTATGCAGACGTTGCTCAATAAACCTTGCTCCATGCAGGTCCATCCAACAGGGCATGGAACTGCGTGCAAGTCTGACCATCAGTGAAACTAGAGCTGGTAGAATCTTCTAGCAGGCTCCGGGGATCGCGATGATGTCCAAGATAGCCAGACAGTCAGGCACCGATTTGATATTTGCTCCTGGCTGGTCCTCAACTTGGACGATCCTTCGATTCCTGATCTTGGACAAAGTACGGAGTACCTGCTCCGCGATTAGTTCAAGGAATCGCTGATGAAGGAGACAGGAGAGACCGCATCCATCTCATGCACTCCGTATGGACAAACAAGATATGGTCAAGTCTCCCCCGTGAAGCGATGTTTCACAGTTTGTTCAACGTGGATAAAATTGTCTTATCACCATGATGATATGTTGTCCCATTCCTCAAAGCGGACGCAACATGATCTTGTCGACAATTCTAATTACCCCGCCAACAATGCTCAGGCCATGCAACCAGGGTCGTCGTTCAGTCGTTCTCAAACTTCTCATGTTCTGCGACCACGTTTCAGAGAGGGGATCAACTGCAGGTGTGGACATGTAGTGCCGAGACCGCTAACTTGAACTGGTTAAGCACAGAGGCGCTAACATAACCATCTGATTGACCTAAAGTCCGGTGGTAGTACGGATACATACGGTGAACTCAGATATGGAAATGGAATCGAAGGAGATGTCGAAGCTTGTACTCTCCAAGGGTAACTGGCATATTATGCCTGTATCCTGCGACACTTGCTTCCTTCTAAGTGCAACTGTGGAGTACAGCATTCGAAGATGCATCAACTGGAGTAAGAAAAGAAAAGAACAGAACTACATTATGCCCAGGGAGGTGGCCGGTATCTATTTGATGTGGACCTTGGCTTGACTCAAGCCATCGTATCATTCACATGTCTGAATGAGAAATTCCCAACCTCCCAGGCTATCAAATTAATTGTATTCGTTTCGAGCGATAGCAGAGAGGCAAGTAGATCCACCGGAAAGTTTAAGGGTACTTAGAACTGAAGAAATAGTTGAAACTCGCATCGCCAACCTCGGTGAGGGAAAAACCAATACGGAAGAAATCCGAGGGGACTACGATCGGTTTTGGCTGCATTTGAACTACTTCCCTTCGATAAGAAGAGCAAGCAATCGAAAAGAATATCCTGCGGTAGCCTCTGGTGTTATGTGTGTTATGTGGTCTCGATGGTGTTGATGATCTGGTAAGTCCGGAGTAAGGTAAGTCGTTGGTTGACCAACAGTGATCAGCATTCCAGAGATCAGTACACACCTTCTACAGAAGCTACCAGCCTCCCTTCCTCACTGACAAAATAAACCTCCATCTACTGGTACTACCTCCGTACTTCTCTCCTGTCAAAACAGTCTCCAGGTTATGAATTGCTCCACAACTTTACGCAAACACGCAAACGTTCTTGTTCCGCTCTCCAGGTTAACACCCGGCGCCTGGACTAAAGCTAGGAGAACTTCGCTTGACGACATTTGGGAAACGTCAACACCATGGATATGGATACGGAGCATTCGACACCGATAACGGTAGGCTAAGCCAACGACTCATGCACCTGGGAGCCCGAGCCGTGAAGCACAAGCTTATCTATTAAACTTCAAAAGTCAAAACGTGCCTAGCAGCGGGCTTTCCCCACCTTCTCAATGGTGAACGCTTTCCCACCAGAGTCAAGCGTGATTCCGGGGACGGGTCGTTTATGCAAGAAAGTCTTAGAACAGTGTTGACATCGTCACAATGAGCCTATTATCCCCACAGGTGACAAGATGTGCCCAAGAAACCGAAGAAACCGACTCCCGGATCGGCTCCTTGTTATGGACAGTTTTCTGTTCGAGGCGTCTCCGGGAAGATGACCCGAGACACGGCGCCATCTGCAGAAACCAAGATGTGCCATGGTAACTTGACAAGGAATACAAGATCGGCTTGGGAGTTGAGAGTTGCGCGAATCTGACGTTATCGACAAACACAACCACTTATTCCGTACACATCGGACAGAAATCTCCAGCCAGACGTACACTCGTTCAACGTGCAGGAACGGTCCGCGTGTCCATCATGACGGGTCGAACCCAACCTCCTGCAGCCCGCTCTCTCGTTCCAAAGTCAAGCATCGGATCATCGGGCTGCTCTACCATTTTGCCTTGTTGTTGACTGGGGGGCTAGGCCCCTCATCACACATGATAGGGAAAAGGAGCCATTTTTAGGTCGTCAATTGAATCATTCCGTCATCCAACATATATTAACTGCTGTTATTACCCCAGTACCTGCAGCGCACATGATCAATGATGACCATCAAACCTACCGGACATTTGGATTCATCAAGCAGGAAATCTCCGGTACAGCGATTCCGGCTCAAAAATCCGGCTCCATCATCGAAAATAGGACCAGGCGGTTATATGCCTCTGGTACCTTACATACACTGCTCATCAAACAAGTGTTGGCTATTGGATGGTCCCGATCATCGGGATCTCTGTCTACCAAAATAGGTCGTTACACACAGTCAAGTGGACGGCGGGCGGCTCCAGAGTAATATGAACTCCATTCAGGCGCTTGGAGTAGATGAGGCTCCCTGATGTCGACATTATGGGACGTGAGAGCCAAAGACCTGTCAGCAACCCCAAAATTGGAAACGAGATGCTGGACCAATCAGCTATCGTGGTGGGTTGAGCTACAGCGGTGGAGACTGGAGCGGCTTTTGTAACAGTCCAGAACCATGGCTCGCTCGTTTCATGAGCCGCGAGAAAGTGAACATTCCACCTGTGTGGGATGGCTTGCATATACCGCTTTCCTATTTTCTGTTCTGAGTCATTCCTCTGCTGTCCCATTCCTATAATCATAGGTCTTCTATTGGTATGAATCATAAAATACAGGTCGTATATCATCGCGGATTCGCGGCGGCGGGTAGTAAGGAGGAGTCAAGGAGGCTGAGCCTGCAGGTGTTTATGTATTGGGAATTTGAGAATGCCTGATACGAGGATCATGGTAGCTTGAGCAATTGAAGTCTTCCAGCACGACAGATAGCGAAGGCGAGACTGCCCATTTCCGAGGCCGAATTCAGACGCATACCACAGGGTCTGCTTTCTTGTCTCTCGTCAGTCGTCACCTTTGCTGGGCATGCAACCAGTCACACCCCTCAGTCGGGGTGCAGATGGTGTGGACGAATTATCTGCCACCAAAATTCTGTCTCAACACTCGCTCATCTCCACTTCATCCATGACCTCTCATTAAATCAGAAGGAAAGACAACGATTCAGAGCAGGGCGGATATGATATCTAATTATATCTGACAGCGGTGGTGAACTGGGCGAGGCGCCAGGATGTCTGATTTGGTCCAGCTGGGTGAGAATAATTACGCTTTCACGAAAATTCCTGTGAGCGTGTCGCCGGTCTTTCGCGGCAGGTGATAGAGAATAGGTTGAGCGAACGGACACTCGATCGCCAACCAGTTGCCAGGGAGCCACACGCAGTGTGGATTTGTGCTCACCTTTCGATATGTCACGTATTAGGGAATACGGATTTCCTCGTTCTGTTCACCTCAGCCATTCTTTGGACAAGCCCAGACGTAGCAGACAGCGGTGCATGAAGAGCTGCATGTGAGCCCTAGGCGAGGCATGGTACGTATACCTGGGATAGTTTGGTACGGAATACAAATCAGAAGAACCTCATCTCATCCTAGTTCTCCCAAGGACAGGTTGGATGGAGAAGGTCAAAAGCAGCGAGTCATCGATGTGGGCGACCATTGGGCGGACGTTAATTAGCTACGAGGGCCGAAACAAGGCCTCACGGCGATGATGAGAAGGGTTCAATTGGCTAATATCACCAAGGCCCACAGCTTCTCATCCCGAACCCCCGAATCCATCCCTGGCCGCGTTGAAAATGTGAAACGACCCCACCACCACCAGTCCACCACCCATACCTTTCCTCCCCAGTTTCAGAATCTCCAAACCGAAGAACCCTCGTAGCGATGGTCACTTGGCGGCCGGGCTGCCAGATTGTCACACATGCATCAAATGCTCGCACTCCACCAACCGACCCTGATTTTGACTTTTCCCGCCTATTACATGCTTCGCAATGTTGCTGTCGACTGGAGCCCAAGACCGTGGAGATCCAGAGAATGCTAAGCACGACTCCATAATCCATATCCTGTATCTGCAGCTTCTGCACCTTGCCCTTAGCCTCGTCCCTGTGCCCTCTTCGGGGCCTCGTTCTCTTGAATAAGGTTACATTATACATATCTTATCCAACTAGCGCTGGCCAAGTCGCTTCACAGTTCACACTCTCCGCTTGCCCTGGTCTTGTTTGGGTTTTGGTCTATCCATCGAGGTCCCAGCCATCCGGAGCCCACCAGACCAGCCGCAGTGCATTGAGGGATTCTGGGATTCTGGGAGGTGTCTGGTTCCATCTCCGACGAGTCGACGACGTGCTGGGGCAAGTGTGGGCTCACAATCACAATGGTGGAGTCCGAGCACTGAGATGCCAGTCGGTCCCGCACTCCTCCCGCCACCTGGACGGGCACATTGCTTGTTGGAGTGAATTTCGAACACGAAATACCGTTCGCGGGGAAAAGGCTAAAGGAGTCTAATCTCCTCCGGGCGCCTGCCGGCCACCAAAAGAGGCTTTTTTAGTCTCATAGGCGGAGAACTGCCCACCCGATGCTCAGCGCCAGCGTCTGTTTTAAATCTCTTTTCTGCAGGGTGGATCAGAAGCGGCTTTGAATCCTTGTCGCGCTTCGCTCAGAAACCTCTCATTCTTCCTCCGAAACCCCGATAACCCTCCCTACCCAGCCAGTTTCCATACCTTCTTTGTGTTTCATCTTTTTCAAACCCATCTGCTTGTTCCATCTGGTTCTCGCACTCCAAAGGTCGTCTTCTCATATCATAACCCATTCTTCGTCCACTTCGCTACCTTTATCCCTTATCTACTACCACCGCCTTTCCTCGACATCATCTCCGCCCCGACGCCTATATTGCTTCGAGTTCGATCGAGGGCCGGATCCCCGAGACTCGCTTCGTTTGCGTTTCGTGATCGCATTCCGTTCTTACTTCCCCATTTCCTCTCCTCACCTACCCGCCTCCACCGAAACCGCTTCGCCTTCAGATTCTTTCCAAACGTTTACGTTTGAACCTTCGTTGTCTGCTGGCCGTCTGGACGCAAGATCTGACTCTTAACATCTCTCGTTCCGAAACCATCGGCAGGTAATTCCTCGTGGACCGTTCTCTGCGAAAACGGTCCATTTCCTTCACAAGGTCACATCCGTTGGGTTGAGCCTATTTTGTCATCTGCGTCTGGAACTGTAACACAGCTTCGCCTGCGATATCCTCTCGTTCTGCTGTCTCCATTTAACTCGCCGTGCGTCGTCTCGAGTCCCAGGCCGGTAGATACGGATCATGTATTCAAATTCACACGCTGGCGCAATGCCTCCTCCACAGACCAGGACTGTCGCACCGGAAACATTTCTGCTGGATCAGGATGCGCAGCAGAGTCTACCCCCCGATGCCGTTGTAGCGTTGCAGCAGGTCGATAATTGTAAGTGCGATTCTGACGTTGCGCCGCGAACATACCGTTCCCAACGATCACCAACGGTCCACGAACGGCCTCATGCTGACGGCTTTTGCTCAGTGAAATACTTCCTTCTATCTGCTCCCGTCGACTGGAGTCCAGATCAATACATTCGACGGTTCCTACTGCCAACCGGTGAATATGTATCTTGTGTGTTATGGTAAGGAAATGATTCCAAAGCATTCCATCTTCCCAACCTAACCGGCAATGGCAATAGGAACAATCTCTTCCACATCTCGGGTACGGATATCGTGCGATGTCTCTCGTTCCGATTCCAGGCGTTCGGCCGACCTGTCAAGAACTCGAAGAAGTTCGAGGAGGGGATCTTTTCCGATCTTCGGAACCTTAAGTCTGGCACGGATGCGTCCCTCGAAGAACCCAAGAGCGCGTTTCTGGATTTCTTGTACAAGAACAATTGCATCCGTACGCAGAAAAAGCAGAAGGTTTTCTACTGGTACAGCGTCCCACACGACCGACTCTTCCTCGATGCCTTGGAACGGGACCTGAAGAGGGAGAAGATGGCCCAAGAGCCAACGACGGTTGCCGTCAGCGAGCCTGCGCTCTCTTTTGAGTTTGACTCGTCTCAATCGCTCTTTGAGCAGCTCACGAAGGCGCAGCAGACCAATTCTTCGTCCTTCAATAACAACAATAACAACAATAATAGCAGCAGCGTCCAGAATTTCTCGCAATCCACGTCGCCGGTGATGCGAGCCATGGACTCGATGCCCCCTCCTCCGATGGTTCACCAAGGGATGCCGCATAGCGTTACTGAAGATCCAACCATGACAAGCATGGCAGCCTACCCAGCAATGAGCCTCCCCTCGGCGATGGCTGGTGCGGTCGCCAAGTCCCGAGAGCGTGAGTTCGCTCCTGTGCAGTACGATCGCAACGGGATTCCACTCTCGCAAGTTCATCAACGTCATAGCTCCATGCCTGCATATATGGAGTACTCGCCCGCCCCTTCCTTCGTCTCATCCCATTATGAAGACTACTCCACCCGCGGCATCTCGTTTGAGCCGTTGACACCACCGCAGCACTCTGTCAATCTCGGCGCGGAGCCAGCTTATATCGCCAACGAAGATACCGGCCTTTACACCGCGATTCCCGATCTCGGTCCTTCGGCCGCTCCCTTCAACCCGCTCATGCAGATTCCTCCTTCCAACCTCGTTGGAAATCACTTCTCGAACGTTGGCTCGCGACCCTATGCTCCCTCAACGGTCTACTCCGTCATCGAAGGCTCTCCCACCTACAAACAGCGCCGTCGACGCTCCTCCCTGAGCGCATCCGGGATCGCTGCCGCAGTGTCGGCCGCTACATCTGGTGCCGGCTCGACCCCTGGCCCAACCTCTCACCAATCCCACCGCCCTTCCGACCTCCGCCGCAGCATGTCTAGCTCCGCCATCCCACTGGTGGAGGTTGACGAGTCAGCGCATCCCTCGCCCTCACAACCACAACCAAAGCAACAAGCGACACCGGGGGCGCAACAACAACAGCATCAACCAAGCCAAAGCCAAACGCAACAGCAAATCCAAGATCACATGTCCCGCCACAGCACCCCGCTCTCCCGCATCGAAGACAATCCCCACACCCACCCCGCCAACCTCTCCGTCCTCTCCACCGACGACCTCTCCAACGGCCTCGGCAGCTCCACCGACGCCTACGGCGAAGCCTCCGCGCAGCTCACGCACTCCGCCGTCGCTCGCGCCGCCGGCATGAGCGCGGCCATGGGCGGCGGACCCGGCGTGTACCGACGCGCTCGCAGCGCCACGATGATGGAGCTGGGCCCGTATCCGCAGAAGAGTCACAGCTGCCCGATCCCGACGTGCGGTCGGCTGTTCAAGCGATTGGAGCACCTGAAGCGGCACGTGCGGACGCACACGCAGGAGCGGCCGTACGTGTGTGGGCTGTGCGGGAAAGCGTTCTCGCGGAGCGATAACTTGGCGCAGTATGTTCTTTTTTCTTGCATTAACTACGTTGATGGGTTTCTGACTAACGAGATTTGATAGACACCGTCGCACGCACGACTCGAATGCGAACGGCGAGATGCCATTCAGCGACGAGGACCTTGACGAGACGGACGATCCCCTTGGACTGGGCGAGTCTCCTGATTCTGGGAACGATTTCGTCAGCCCAGGGGTGACGGCGGGCGCCCTGGGCGTGTCGTTGTCCGAGATCGCACCTGGTTTGACCGATCTGCATGCGATGGGAGGGATGAACAATTTGGTGGCTGCTCAGAATTACTGACTAGCCGCGGGTGCGGACTAAGGGCGAACGGAAGCGTTCCAGGTGTTTGAGGGTTTCAAAAACGGTGGTTATGGGTGAGGTTCTTATGAGATTCATGTTTCTCTTTTCGCATCTTTTTTGGGGGGGGTTCTTTGGCTTTTTCTTTGGGCTGCGATGGTGACGTCTGAAGAAGGAAAATTTCGTTTGTTTGATTTGCCTTTCGGAACGGGGTGGATGTTTGATATGACGAACATGTGAGCGACGGAGGTGGAGGAACGTACATGGAGACGAGATCTGCACAATAGACTTCGTACATGGTTAGGGGCGGAAGAAGAGTTTTGGTCACGAATTGGCAACGGCAGCTTTCTCACACTTCATGGATTGTGGGGATGGCCGTCACGGCGCTTGACGAATGTTTCTGTTTCTCATCATCTTCTGCCATTTTATATAGCATTCTCTATCATGTAGAATATCCTATCTATCCTGCCGAGGCCTGTATAGGGGTATACTTATCCAGTCATATCAAGAACTCCTGGTTTCAATACTGCTGCTGCCGTTGAGTCTTCTGACTTGGTTATATCATTTGCCTGCCAACTCCTTCTCCCTTCGCTCCTCTCTCCTATTCCACTCCACGCACTCCTCCAACGTCACCCCTCTGCCTCCAAAAATGTCCAACGCACTCCCGATAGTCAAGTCCACTTTCCCTTGACTCAACTCTCTTACTCTATCCAAGTCCTTTACGGTGCTGGCCCCACCCGCATATGTCACCGGGATACTGCACCAGCTCGCCAAGTTCCTTACCAAGTCCTCGTCTAGCCCCGACTGCAACCCTTCCACATCGGCCGCATGGATCAGAAACTCCGAGGTATACGGCGCGAGCATTTTGATCGTCCCTTCATTCACCTCCATGTCGGTGATGGTCTGCCACTTGTTCATGGCCACCCACCAGGTCACCACCCCTTCACTGGATACGCGTCGTCGGCAGGAGAGGTCGACGACCAGCTTTGAAGTGTCATCGTCGAGGACGGCGATGACGGACCGTAGGCGATCGAGAGAGAAACGGCCGTTAGGGAAGAGGAAGGAGGTGATGATTACCTACTTTTGGGAGGCGTTGGGCTTAGCACAAATGGATCAATCACACTGCGGATTGCAAAACTTTCAATCAAAATAAAAAAAATAGGATTCCGCCTACCTTGCCAGCCCCTCGCCGTATCCATTCCCCCGCGTTCCCATCATTCACCCCTCCCCCGACTTGCAGTTCTCCCGGCCATGCCTCGCATGCTGCCGTCGCTGCGTCATCATTCCCCGGACCCAACATGATGATGTGAGCGCCCGTGAGGCCATTGTCTTTGTAGAGCGATGCGAAATGTGAGGAGGGGAGGGTGGAGGTGTGGTTCGTGCGGAGGGCAGAGGGGGATGAATCGGAGAGGGTGCCGCCGACGATTTGCTTGACCTGGCCGGCGTGGAGGTCGATGCAGGGGCGGAAGCGGGTCATAGTTGGATGGTCATGCGAGACGGAGAGCAATTGTCTATTAGTGAGGTTATAATTGGTATAGGAACATGTATTTTCACGATCCCAATTCAGCTGTTGAAGCGATATCGCAAATCGCAAGGCATCAAAATTTGTAGGTGATAAGGCCGCAAGGCCACCACTTATTTGGTGGGGCATGGGTTGGAGGCTGGAGCATCAACTCGATCGACAAAATTTCCCAAGAGTTTCGGACTTCGAAACATATAATTTCCACGCTTTACCCACGTTTTGCACCACTCACCCCCCATTCCAGCCGCACTGCCCCTAGCAAATCCTCCCCCCTCAGCCCTACCAACATGGCCATGCTAGGAAAGCGAAAACGACGATCCCCCGAGAAGGATGCGAGGGACGGAAGTGAGAGCGGGAGCGAAGAGGATGTCCGAGAAGTGTTCCGCAGGCATTTCGAGGCTCGATTTAAGGCATTACCGGAGGCGGTGAGCAAGGAACGGAAGCAGGATGATCTAAGCGAAAGCGAGGGTGATCAGGACGATTCTGCGGGGGAGGATGGAGAGGACGATTGGGAGGGATTGTCGGATGACGATACAGCGCCTGTCGAGGTTGTGGATCATGCGGAGGTGTCGAGAGTAGCGATGGAGGATGAGGAGAGTGCTGGGAGGGCGGGCATGCGCGCATTTATGGTGCGCCTTTCTCCGTTTGATAGTGCTGCATAGCATCTGCTAATCGCTCTATAGTCCTCGAAACCCCCGTCGTCATCCGCAGCGGGCCGTAAACCTACCAAACCTCCCCTAACCAACGACTCCCCCGACTCCGACACTGAAACCCACAACCTTGCCAACGACCGCGCGCTGCAAAAGCTGCTCCGCGAATCCCGCCTCCTCTCCGAATCCGCCGGCTCGAATGGACCGCTCAGCTCGCTCGCCCCGATGGGCCGCAACCGGCACAAAGCGCACGAGCTGCATCTCCTGTCGCTCGGCGCGAAAGGATCCGTCCACGCGGAGCAGAACGTGCCGATGTTGAAGCGGAAGGGGATGGAGAGTGCGGCGAGGGAGAAGGAGAGGAAGCGGAGGAAAGAGGCGGGGGAGACGGGGGTGGTGTTGGAGAAGGCAAGGAAGGAGAAGACGACGAGGACGAGGGATCGCGGGATTGGGGTGGGGGTGGGGAGGTTTAAAGGGGGGACGTTGAAGTTGAGTCAGAATGATGTGAAGAGGATTACGGGTCCGAAGGAGAAGAGTAGGAGAGGGAGGAGATGAAGCTCGTTGGTGCAAATATACCCATGCATTTCGTCAGCTTCACTAGTACTGTCCATGAAATTGGCATCGTTCATGTCCGCGTATAGCATTGTATGCGTGATAATCGTCTCATATTTACAGACGTCTGTCTATCCTCCTCAATCCAGACCCGGCGTAGGCGGCGCAGGTAAGTTCATACCCCTTCCTTTGACCTCCTTTTTCCTCCCCTGCCCCATACCACCCATGTTGAACATATTCCCCATCATATCGAAGAGGGGGTTACTCTGCGACGGGATCTTGATCCCGAAGTAGATCTCGCCAATCTGCGCCAGGGCCTCGTCCCACATGCCTACCTCCTTCAAGTTCGCCGCGTAGTGGCTCTTCAGCTGCTTAAAGAGATCGGGCGCACCCCGCTGCACAGCGAGGAGGAGCAGTCCGAGGAAGTTGAGGAGGGGTAGCGACGGATACACGCGCAGGTCGGAGGACTTCGTGCTGACTTCTTGGACGGCCAGGGTGGAGCTGCCGGTGCTGAGGCGGGACGTGAAGAGGAGGAGGGACTGGTTGGCGGCGCGGATGTTGCCAATGAGGAGGTACGGTAGCACGGCGCGTGCGGCGTAGAGTGGTGCGGTATGCGACGCATCTTCGGTGAACCATTCGTATTCCAGGCGGATGAGCTGTTCGGGCGATTCTTTGGTGCCTAGGATGAAGTGTCGTTCGGCGTCATAGGTTTCGGATGCTAGAGGTTGGATGGAGTCAGCAACCCTTCAACAAAGCATGCTCTGGGGGGTTGTAGAAGTACCTTCAGCGAACACCGTTCCTGCTACATGGTGTAGCTCCGGATCTCCAGCAGGATACTCTCCAAACTTCGATGACCATCTGCACGTATCATAGTCAACCTGTCGTTCCGCTGATTTCCAGATCCTGTCGTCCACTTACACCATCATCTCATTCACAAACCGCTTCATCGTCGGCTCTCCCGGCGGAAATGTCCTCAACAACGACACCAACTTGGCCCTGCTCGCCGCATCCGGCGCCTTCTCGCCCTTCGTCCAGACGTCCAGCAAAAAGAGACAGAGATCCCCCCCGCTGCCGCCCTGGCCGGCCTTGAGGAGGAGACCGGCGCCGGAGGCGAGGATGTCCGCGGCGGCATCGTAGTTGGTCTGCTTGATGTAGCGGGCCGCAATGACGCGCAGTTGTTGGTGTGCTTCGTAGTATTGACCTTCTTCGATTCTGGGAGAGAGTTAATGCTGCCAAATGTGACTCGCCGGCGCAAGACGTACTTCTCCTTCTGACGGGCGATGGTTTTCTCTATCTTGGAAGCCATGGTTGCTTGCAGTGTAGATCAAGCTCGAAAGGCTGGTTGGGAGGAGAGAATGTATTTAGTCAGGCTGATATTTGGCAAGGATTCTTTTCAAGTGGAGAGATGGTGAGGTTGGATGGAGATGTTGGAGCTTTGAGGTCGAGAACTCGCGATTGACACCATTGGCCGGTGCCTCAGTTTGATACTGAGAGAGAGATTCAAACTCACCTCCTCATCACAACAATTTCAAAGCAACTCCTAGATAAATCTTACAAATAGTTAATTGAGATTTCGAACTTTCATTTCCAAGCTGCGATTCACCACCTTAAGCTCATTCAAAGCTCATCCATTGCAGACAAGACGCATCAAGCATGTGAATTCGATCCATCCCCGTCCAACCAATTTCTACACACGATTTCAAGCTACTATGTGCTCGAATTTCCTCGGAACTACAATCTAGACCGTCAACGATAGATTCGATCCTGTTTCCCCGGTCATGACACCTCCAATCCCCTCCTCGGTGTACTTCGGCCCCTTCCTCGTCACCCCCCAAGTCTTCCACCTCACCCCCCTCTCCTTCGCCCTCGTAAACCTCAAGCCCCTCCTCCCCGGCCACGTTCTCGTCTCCTCCACCCGCCGCGTCCCTCGCCTCCGCGACCTCACCCTCCGCGAGATCTCCGACTTCTGGGCCACCGTTCATCGCGTGTCGCGGACCATCGAGCGTGTCTACCAGGCCGACGGGATGAACGTCGCGGTGCAGGACGGCGCGGCGGCGGGCCAGAGCGTGCCGCATGTGCATTGCCATATCATTCCGCGGCGGCTGAAGGACTTGGATGAGAGAGGGGGGAGCGATCGGATTTACGACATGTTGGATGGGGAGGAGGGGGATTTGGTGGCGCAGTTGGTGGAGAGGGGAAGGAGGGAGAGGTTTACGGGGCCGGATAATGAGGAGAGGGTGGCGAGAGGGGAGGAGGAGATGAATAAGGAAGCGGAGTGGTTAAAGGAGGAGATGGAGAAGGATGCGGAGCCGGAGCAGGAAGTAGAGGGATGAAGAATGCCGTCCAGGTTCAAAGAGAATAGCTTCCTCGATAGCTGGACCCTGCATAATAGAGTCTAATAGAATGCCGAAACGGCTTGTGGGCTCGATGGCGGATTGGTATACGGTTGAGGAATGGTTTTGGGGAAACGGGTAACCTCACCGAGACCTCTGGCCAGCACTGGGAGGTATCATTCACGCCGGACCAGAGAGTGCAAGCGATTCCATTCTGCTCTTCATCAAAATCCACCATACAGACAATCGGCATGCTGGCGCCGAAACTCTCAAATAGGAAGAACCGGTAACGAAAGGCATATATAAACTTCCGGGCATGGATGATGTACCAATTGGCACTACAAGAACAAGCCATAAAGTTCGATTGCTCTCATACGAAATACCTATCCACCCAAATCAATCAACAACGCCATTGCCATCATCCCGCATCGCATTTGTCTAATCCCACCACGCCTACCGGTAGACGAAGAATTGAACCGAGAGCTATGCGCCATGTAATCCATCCCACTCCTAATTCGCGAGGATTCTCCGTACGATCTCTGTGGAGAGAAAGTGTCAGTAGGCCGTTGTATGAAGAGTGGTTGTGATCGACGTACCTCTATAGTCAATCTCGCCATTAGCGGTATCGACTCCCCGTAGCAACTCGTCAACTTCCTCGTCCGTCATCTTCTCGCCGAGATTCGTGAGAACTGGTGATGTTGTTAGACTCGCCAGTCCCAGGATAACAGACCACCATCTATCCTCTAGTAATCTTACTGTATCGCAGCTGCCCAACGCCAATAAATCCCGTCATATCCTTATCAAACACCTGAAAGCCACGGCAATACTCCTCCGGGTCGCCCGGGTCGCGGAACCCGCCCGGCCGATTCAAGATCCGGAGGAAGGTGTCGAAGTCAACTGTTTGCGCACATATGCCGTCAACCATTCCGTCCATCAATATCGGATGTATCAGTCGCTGCTACTCACAGTCACCACCTGCGGTCTTCTCGAGGTCTGCAATCTCAGCGAGCGTGGGGTTCTGCCCGCATGCGCGGAGGAGGTCGCCGAGGGAATCGAGGGCCACGCGGCCGTTGCCGCGCTTGTCGAAGAGGGCGAAGGCTTCTTTGTAGTTGGTTGATGCCTGTGAAGTGTTCGTTAGCTTCGGATATGGTTGGGAAGCAGAGTGCGATTTCCCGTTGGGCTTTCATGCGGTGCCCGACATGTGGTGTTTGGATACTGATTCGTCTGGTTGGAGCGGGCAGTCGAGGAATTACTGACCATCTTGGATATATTCGGGATGAAATCTCAGTGTGTGGATTGAATCGACCTTTATAGTGAGAATTGGGGTAGCTTAAGTTCTTGGGGTTTGGTTGCTGGTATCAAAAGGTAATTGTAAATGTAGCTGAGAAGGTTGCAGTTTTCGAAAGGGGAGGGGTCATGCTTCGCTGGTGGTTGTCGCGGCAATCGCATCGCTAAACAAACTCCATCGCGTCACCACTCTCAACGCGAAATCCTTAGTATCCAAGAAACATCCAAGAAATACCACGGTTCATAATGATGAAAATTATAGAATGAATTGCCTCCTCTATGAGTGGTCACCAATGTTCATTCTAGTGATTTTCAAACGTAGCTTCTAGCATTGCGTAGAGATGATATCCCTAATCTACACATCAACCAAGGAGCAGCTATCCATCGCCCCGAACCCAGCCGCGACACCCCCTTCCTCACTCTGATCGCCCTTCGTCCGCAGCAAATACCCAGCGTTGGCACTATGCAATATCTCTCCGCCCTTCTGCTCCCCCGATGCAATCCTCCATAGGCAGACGCCGTACACGCCGATCTCGCATATCACCCCTCCCTCCTCCACGTCACCGTTCCGCATGATGGTGTTCCGCTGCGGAGGCGGCTCGATCATCTCCATCAGGATGTAGGCCGGCCACTGTGTCTCGGGAATGCTTTTCAGGAAGTCCGGGATGGCCTTGCGGTAGATGTTGTTTCCGCCGCCTTCGCGCTGCGGCTTGAGGACGTAGTGGGCCGCGGTCTTGGGGTTGAGGGCGAGTTCTCGGGCCTTGGTGCCGGTCGCGCTGTCGTCGAAGGGATATATAGGTGCGAATGTTTCCCGAACCCGCTGGAGCTCGAGCGTGTCTTTGATGAAGTTTTGGAGATGCGACGAGCCTGGCGTTGCAAGGACTTGCTGAACCTTTTTGCACCCAGCAAGATGAGTTAGGATGCTGGGGCATTTAATGGCGCTGCTCCGTTCTAGGTACAGTCGAGCTTCCCAAGCTTCTGGCCATTCATAGTCCGTAGGAGCATATCCTGCTCTGTAGTATACCACGCTGACCTCGTAAGTCTTCTCGGGGCTGTGTGGCGGCGTGTAAGTGAGACTCCTATCGGACTCAAGCCTGGTATGCTTCAACGTTTCTGCAAATGGCAGCCGGAATGAAGGAACTTTTGCCTCTTCCAGAAGCGCATACTCGATCAGTCTCTGGTCGAAGATGTTTCGCTCTGGGTCCTGCACGACGAAGAGCACGCAAGTTGGCCGGTTTGATTTCGCGGTATATTCTCGGTGTGCAGCCGCCAGCCCCGATGCGAGTCCGCTGATGGATGGGTTGGGGGGGAGGCTTTCCGCGGTAACAGCTCCAGTGATCTCGTCCGGGTATGCGTGGCTTGCCAGCAAATGTTTATGGAGAGACGAAACTTGGGATGAGAGGCCACCGAACGACGAGGCAATGGTGTTGAATTCGACCTGTTTTAATCCCGGTTTACCCTTTTCTACATGAATCATATAGTCTGAACGGAACATTCCAAGGTTCAGTTCCTGCAAGGTCTTCGGTCAGTATTTGTCTAGACTGCGGTATGGATGGGGTAAAGTGACCTGAGCATATCCTTCCTTGGCTACAGCTTCATGGACTGACCAGAGTTGTCCAACAAACTCGTCTATGCCGGCAATCCTGCAGCATGCTCAGCACTTGATTCTCGTAAAGCCAGAATGCAGATGGGATTGTCCATATACGACTGAAATAGACATACTCAGATACGATCTCCTGTAGCCAGCCCTTGTCCATGGTGATGGCCGCGTACAGCTCATTGTAAGCCTTTTGTATCGACGTTGCTTCATTAAAAGCCGACCGAGGAAACAAACTCGGGAACAGTGTCACCGGGGCACTCGTTGCTAGTACACCGGTAGGATCATGTTTAGGATCCACGAAGGAAGGCGGAGGCCTCACTGCCAGTCCTCGTGCTATCGACCAGTCCCTTACGGTCTCGAGGATGAACTTCTTCCTCTCCTCCGTAAGGGTTGGAGGGTACGATGGGTATATATCCTTGCTCATCTCTTCTCTTGCTGTTCTCGGATGGTAGATTTAAGAAGAATATAACCGCCCGCTCGGAAAGGAAACCTGGTTGCCAGTAATTAATTAGCTGAGACAGAGGTGGTGATCGCAATGGCGACATTCGAGCTATGCCGTAAGCGTGGAGCAGTAGCCTTCGAATAAAGGGACTATAGAGAACACACCAGACTCTGATGTTAGCTAAAATACATTCAAGATGATGATTTTATATATGAAACTGGGTTTTAGAGAATACCTTAATTATTGCTCTCGTTGATATCAGACTTCAGAGTATTTGAGGATGCTGAGTAATCCAGTCTGGGCAATGATTTCTGTACCACGTACCTTACCCGATTTGGCCGTCCTAATAGGCTAAGGTATCCATAAGAACCTCCCCTTCAATAGTAAACTCAACCTCGCATCTTCCATGGGCGCTGACACACGGTATTTCTCACCACCAAATCCTTATTGTACTTCCACGTGAACGACTGCAGAATGCTTCAGAACTGAGTTCATGTGATTTGAAATGCGGGAGGTGTATTTCAACTACTACATAGGCAGGGAGGGACACTACTGCCTGGTGGCCTGGCCGGTACTCCGTGTATCTGTAGATATCCTGTAGATATCCGCTCGCATTACCACTACCAGTGCCGGTACCCAAGGCTCTGGGTACAAGCCATTACTTATTCTATACTATTATCGATTAATATGAGTGAGAACTCAGTCTATTGTATGTGAGTATAGCTTCCCTTTCAGATATGAGCTGGAGAATAGGATGAGAGCTAGGCGAGTCATTCAGCATCATGTGAACAGACGCAAGTTCACATCTGAACTGGCATACACACACACACACACACACTTGCACTTTGTTTATGTTTGATTTTCTTTTACGTTTACTTCTCTCTCTCTCTCTCTCCCTCCCACGTTCTCTTCCTAATATCATCGTCTTTTACAGCACGCTCGCTTCAAACTATCTCAGCAAGTCTGTGTTCATTGCAACAGCTGCCGTTGCAGTTCCAACCAGTCTAAAGTCCAAAGAGAAGGAGTTACCTACTGTTGAAATCTTCATTAACTGAGTGGTTTGCCACTCAGAAGTGAGGATGGAGTTGGGGGACGACCCAGAGAAGTGGTCGGTGGACGAGGTTGTTCATGCCCTCTGCCATGCCACTGAGATCTGGCTTCCCTATATCCCCGAGTCGAGGCGCAAACTACCAGACCTCAAGAAGTTCGAAGAAGTTTTACGCACCAATGGCATCGATGGGTTTGCGTTAAAGTACATCAAGGAGACCACGCTCCGCGAGGAATTCGGCGTCCCGACGTTTGCCCAGCAACTCACAATTCTTCAAGCGATCGACAATGTGCGACAATGGCCTGGCCGGAAACTGCAGATCAATAGCGCTGCGAATAGGAACCACGAATCTCGACGAGAAGAAAGTGAACAACATTCCCCGCCGCATCAACAATCCCCGCGTCAACAATCCCCGCAACAACAATCTCCACAACAACAATCTCCGCAACCTCGACAACTCAATGGCGACAAATCCTCGGCACTGCCTATCAATCAGTCATCGTCGCTTCACCATGCCGCACAGGGCTCAACTGCGCTTGTTCTGCCAGAAAACCGTCATCCTTCCGATGTACAACAGGCAAAGAAGCGAAGGATCGAATTGACGGTTGTGAAATTCAACAACCGATCCTCCGTTGACGATGTTCTTTTCGGGAACACAATTCATGGCGGCGAACTCAACCCTGATATAACTATCCTCGAGCAAAATGAAGAGTTCATGATATTTGGGAACAGCGAGTCACTTGCCAAGTCCAAGTTTGCCTACAAGTCTATGGTCTGTGCCTTCAAATTCCTCTCAGATGAATCAAACCACTTTGAAGGAGCCGAAGAAGGCACTAGCGAACCAGTTGGTCTTATCATCCCACTTAATCTGAACCAGGGCCATTCTCTCAAGCGGAGTAGGAGGCAGAAGGATCGAGCATATTTCCCTCTGCTTCACATCGATCCAATCGTTCTTACGGCCGATGAAGATAACATCATTGCAACAAGGGGCTTTCCGATGAGTCTCCCACCAGGTCATCAGCAGGATGACATGCAAACACCCGGAGCACACGCGTTTTGGAAAAACCAACTGGGCGATCGTCCACATTCAACCCCAATGAATGATAACCATACTGATGGGAATGACGAGGATGAAGTGATGGAGTACGACGAGAGCGACGAGGATAGTGGGGAGATGGACGTTAGTGACAATGGCGCGGATGAGGTCGACTCCGAGAATGAGGTAAAGCCGGATGAGCGACTATCAGACGAAGACATCATCCGAATCATAGATGGGGCTGTGGCGGAGTTTGCTGATGAATGGGAGACCACAAAACGGCCGCGACGCGAGGACGAGGAAGCATTGGCGGTCTGGAAGTCGGGTAATGGTCGTCACGGGCGCCAGATCCTAATCGAACGACTCTTGTCCCCCAGAGCCCCGTATGGTAGTATCCCCCACTTCGAGGCCTACTTGGATAAATTGCGAGAAAATATTATCGGAGAAGCGAGAAAGAAATCCGAAGAATCTCTTCGGCGTCAGTGTGACATTTTGGGTATGACGGTTTACAACCGTCAAGAAGCGCTGTGGAAGATCGATGTGCTGAAGAGGAGCCAACCTCCTCTGCCTCCAACAAAGAGGCGAACGCTCACTGTCGGCACTAGAAAGCGGAAACGATCTGTTGTCAACGAGTCTGATACCGAGTCTGATACCGAGTCTGATGCCAAGTCTGATGTCAAGTCTGATGCATCTGATGACATGGCGGATTTCATTGTTGACGATGACGCCTCAAATGATCTTGTTGTCAACAAATTCCAGAGATTCTCCGATGGCTCTACGATCGACTCGCCCGACCGAAACCAGGATGGCGACATTTTGATTGATGGAGACTTCCCCTTAGTCCTCCAGGATGACCCTCAGTCTGATGCCGCAGTTACTACACCCGCAACCCTAGCAGACCCCGATGACTTGTCTTCAGATCGTGTCGTGTCAAAGGAGGGGAGGTCAGTCGTTGACGCCTCTCCAACTGCTCCGGAACCGGCTCAGGAACCGGCTCACCCTACTTTGGCTGGCTCACAGTTGAACCCCAAAACACCAGCAAAACCCCCCTTCAACATCTCTACGAGTGCGACGGTCATCTCATTGTCTTCCGATACGGAATTTTCTCCTGCTAAAGGTGCCGCACAACGAAATTTGGATCTTAGTCCTTTGAGCAAGCTTAGCAGACTCACTATCTCTCCGAGGCCTAAGGGTCACGACCAGGTTGTGCTCGACTGGGGCTGGGCCGAACTGGAAGAGGAAGAACGGCGTCTGGAATTGCTGGAAAAGATGATCAGGACAAGGGCCCCTCAATCAATCTTCAACACGCTGAACGCATTTTTGACCCGCAAGGATAAGAACAAATACAATTTTTGGGATGGTGTTTCGAGAGCTTTGAATGCCATCAAGGTTGGAGACTGCTTGAGGGGCGAGTCAGAGACGAGTAGCGCAACATACTTCTTTGCTGCGAAGTTGTTCATTGCATATGATCTATGCGACCATGCATACATCTCCGAACAGGCCCCAGATTTTGACGAAGATGACTGCCAAAAGCTGATCGGTTTCATCAGGGAGCCAATGAAGCTTCGTGGATCTGCGAAGACATTCCTTCAAAACGCTCAAATTTTTGTTGGCAGGGGGCTCATCACCATCCCCGAAAAGAAACACCAAATGTCTAGGTCTCCGGACTCGGAGTCTGAAGACGAGTTGGATGCGGAAGCACTGGCATTCGAATTGACACCCCGAAAAAGGAAGACAGTCAAGATGAGCGAGGAAACAAAGGTCAAGGTCAGAGCGGCACAACTGCGCATGCAGAAATCTAACCTTACTTTCCAAGCATCATCTCCCGTCGGACTGGGCAACAGCTCAAGGATGGTTCGCGTGAATTCCCAAGACCAAGAGAAAGGGATCTTCATCGACCCACACATTGGTTCACAGATGTACAAACACCAGATTGAGGGTGTAAGGTTCATGTGGCGCGAGGTTGTCAATGGTGGCGGTGGTTGTCTCCTGGCTCACACAATGGGCTTGGGAAAAACGATTCAATCAATCACATTGCTCTTGACGATTGCAGATGCATGTCAAGACGAGGACGGGAAAGCTCAGATCCCGAAAGCCTTACAACCGAAAGCCTTGCAGCAAAAGGCCGTACAAACGAAGGCAATACAACCGAAACTTCATGCTGTCCTAGTATGTCCACCTGCTCTCATTAAGAATTGGGAAGATGAACTCAAGCATTGGGTGCCAGCTTCGAAAAGTCACCTGGTTAGCCCGGTCCGGCTTCTGGATCGCGAAGTCCCCGCACATTACAGGGCGTTAGTTGCAACAGATTGGGTTCATACGGGAGGCACCCTTATCGTTGGATATCCGCTCCTCGCCATGGAAAAAGGAAAAACTGATTACGCAGAAGCGATCTTCAATGCAGCAACAATCGTGATTGCCGATGAGGCCCACATGATGAAGAACACGACCGGGCGGGTGCGAGGTGTGATGGGCCAATTCAAAACGAGAAGTCGAATCGCCTTGACTGGAACCCCGTTGAGCAACAACCTGGAAGAATACTACTCGCTCATTGATTGGGTTGATCCAGACTACCTTGGGTCGCTATTGAAGTTCAGAGCCATCTATCAGAATCCCATCACCAATGGTCTCTACAAAAACTGCGACAAAGCTACTCGGCGAAGGGCGTTGAAACTTCTCGAAGTCTTGAAGCGGACAATCGCACCGAAGGTTCAGTTTCGAGACATGATATCCGTCATCAGTGACCCGGAACGCGACATTGTCCTTCCCCCCAAGGTAGAATTTCTCATCCATGTGCCGTTGACGGAAGTCCAGAAAGCAGTATATGAATGCTATGTCCAATGGTTTCTTGATAAGGGACCAAAGACGCTGGGGGAACAGCCAACTCCAGAGTCCTTTTTGACGGGCATTGGGGACCTTGGGTTGGTATGCAACCACCCGATCCTGTTACTGGATCGGATTGAGAAGCGGTTGGAGTCAAAGAATCTGGAAGTGAGGAATCAGCCTGGCTCTCCACTGCCAGGTCAGGATTCAGAGAAGAGCGAAGATACGGGGGCTGAGAATGGAGTTGCTTTCACACCAGTGGCTAACAGCCTGGTGATCCTTCGTGACAAAATCGTCAAGATCATTGAGGAAATGGTCGGGACTGAGGGTCGAGAACATTCTCTCTCCCACCAAATGGATCTGTTCGTCCGCCTTGTGCAGAGCACAATCAGTGCCAAGGAGAAGCTTCTGGTTTACTCCGCCAGTATTCCGGTCCTCAACTATGTGCAAACGCTGCTTACTTCACTGGGAATCAGTTCCCTTCGTGTGGATGGCCAAGTTCCAAGCCAGTGGCGACAGGGACTCTCCAAGCAGTTCAATAAGGGAGATGTCCCAGTATTCCTCATCAGTGCTGCAGGAGGAACAGGGTTCAATTTGCCCGGAGCGAGCCGAGTGGTAATATTCGATCTGGCCTTCAATCCCTCCTATGAAGAGCAAGCAATCGGTCGAGCTTACCGCCTTGGCCAGAAGAAAGATGTTTTTGTCTACCGCTTCATCGCTGCTGGCACCTCCCAGGAAAAGCTAAAGAATGTCCAGATCCACAAGAAGCAACTTTTCATCCAAGCTTTGGACAATATGCATCTCAAGAGCGCCGCGACGAAACCCAAGGATTATTTCGATCCGCCGAAAGATGCTGACTTCAAAACGCTTGATGAGTTCAAAGGGAAGGACTCGAAAGTCCTGGATCAGATTCTGAGAATTTCCTCCACCGACAGTCACCATCCATCTATTACGGAGATCGAAACAACCGAGACGTTCCGAATTGAGGAGGAAGACGAGTTTACCAAGGATGAGATCGAGGAAGCTGCCGAGGAAGTCAAAAGGCTGGAAAGTTCACCGGAGCTATTGAGGCAACTGCAAACCTCATCGAGGTTAGGTGTTTACTCTCCCTATCCCAGCTCTGCAATGGCTCCGGCATCTAGCCAAAGCTTTGGGGTCGCTGTTCAACAAGGGCCGTACGCTACTCCCTCAGACCATCACTTTGCGACACCCTTCAGTCACCACGCCCAGCCTCATGTGGTGTATAGGGGTTACCCCTCACACGGAGGCTATTCTGTCATCCCACCATCTAGTGCACCGGTTGGGGGCTACCCGGTTGGCCACGGTACCAACTCGACCATGCCTCCTCCACCGTATTCGACGTCCTTCATGCCTTCGGGACCAAACACGGGCTCTCATACTCTGTCTTGGGGACCACACAACGGCCATCCTGTCATGTCTGGCAGTGGACATGCATCATCCGCGTCTTATGCGAGCTCCTATGGAACTCCCACCACGCACATGGCTGGAGCAATACCGAGCCCTCCACCTGGAGCGCAATTTCCCCCGACTCCACCAGTCGGGAAATTCAGAGTCACTGAGGCTCGACCAAAATCTCCGTGAGGCACGTCCCTGTGATATCTCTACGACAGCACACAATGCGGTTCGGGTCGATTCAACGAATAAGGTGTATAAATAGCGATGGGTACAGGAAAGCAACATTCTTCTTCGGCACCACCAACTGGACTACCCAATGTCCTTGGCGCTGGAACAAAGCTTCATTGGAGCAGCACGTTGAAATATCTCAATAATAGCAGTGTCAGGCTCTGGTTCAATGAACTTGGTGGGTATGAGCAACGGGCACTCGGTCAGCTAAAGAGCAATATTCTTCTTCAGTTCCGCCAACCGGACTACTCAAGGTCCCTAGCACTCGACAACAATTTTCGCTAGAGCTGCACGTTGAGATATCAACAAAGCACAAGCAGGGTCTGATTCAATGGATTTGTGTATAAGTAGCAAAGAGAACTAGGTCAGTCCAAAATATTAGCAATTCCAAAATCTTCCTGTCACTCTGTTGTGATCCTCAATGAGCCCCATAGGCACACTTCGACTATCATCCAGATGTTACAGTGCATTAGACTATTCCACCCAGATCCCACCAAAATAAACCACTCAAAGCCCTATCGCTAACAACACAACAGCGAACGGAACACCGATGATACCCGCAGACGTGCCAATCTGTGCAGCAGCATTCCCCATGACTTGCGGCGGACGACTATCAGTCGGGGGAGGGCTTGAGGTCGTTGAACGCGTTGGCGAAACAGCCGAAGGTGTCCTAGAACCCGTTCCTCCAGTGCTCCGTGATACAGTCGGTAACAAGCTCGGGCCAGAGCTCGAGGAGGAGGACCGCGTCCGGCTTGAGGTTGAAACCGAAGACGAACGCGACGATGTGGTAGTAGGGATGGGTGCTGCAGAAGCAACTGTAGCAAGGGTGACTGATGCACCGCACTCTGCGAGGGAATCACCATTGTCACAGCAGCCGCCATCGCTGCAGTATGTCCCTTGAGGGCAGGATTCTATGCCACTCGAATCAGTATCTAGGACATTGCACCGCACTGATGCACGAGCTCGGCACAGTGAATTTGATAGTGTATTCCAGCGGCGGGCAACTCACTTCCATTACTGCAACATATGTCTCCTCGACTTGGTTTAAAGCACGTTGATGCGCCACATTCAACGTATCCGGCACCGCAGGACCGCGCGCAGGTCACTGGCGGAGGTACGAACGAGCAAATTATGGGGATGGAAATCCAGGACTGACGAGCCACGATTCGTCTAAGGTCCATTTCAACGCGCTTCTGTCCCATCGACAGGGTAGCGCTTGCTACAGAGGCGCTGGCCAGCAGGAAAATTTCCACAGGATGCATGACGGTCGTCCTTGATATTACCAATTAAGATGGTCGTTTAACACAGCCAAAGGATAGTAAAGAGACTGCAGAATGGAGATAATGTATCAATTCAGCAAATGACAGGACTATAGAAAAGAGTCCAAGCAGAATAATCAGTGGTGTGAAGCCGCCGGCCTCGAAGATGGCATGATATATAGTGTCTTCCTCTGCTTGCATCCTTCAAAAATGCAGACCGGTCAGAGTGAAGCTTTAATCTCTGTCGGCTATGAATACGGAGAGCATCTAGGCAGATACGGCTTGCAGACTTTTGTGGCGTTGAGTATTCTCCCGGCCTCGTAAAGTTGTGCATCTCCAGTAGTTGGCAAAGGGCATTGTTGAAAGACATGACAATGCGGGGTTATCAAGGGAAGAGAATCATGTTAGCATGCTAAGTTGATCCCCCAGCTATTGCTCTCAGTCTTCACTCCACTGGCTGACTGACATTTCTGTAAGGCTTGGTGGTTGCGTGCAAGAGGATGGGGTCTCGACTGAAATATAACCCAACCTTTACCCCAAAATGTTTGCCGACTGGATTAGACCAATGATATATATACCGAGGCACATGTGCAGCAATGTAAGGTGATAAGTATTGAAGCATCCTCGCTTTTGTTCGCGTTCTCCTCTGATACAAGGTTTTTTCGTATTTTCCCTGTCAAGGCTGATTTGCATCACTCGCTGCACATTGCACCGTGTCGACCACATCCATAGAAGGATGAAGTTCGCTCTGCACAATTTGTGTCACAGAATATCTGTGTTTCTTGGCGTTTTTCCACGGCTTCATTCCGTATTCGATTCTATACCCCTATTCTTTCCCTTTTTAGGGAAAAGATCACCATTGTAAACCATATAAAATAGCTGCAGGAACAGCCTATTTTCGTAGGATCCGGCTCTAGAGGATCAAGTTCAATCTATCTACGCTCTTTTGGAATCTAACGGGGTTTTCCACCGTGTCGCTGCATTAATCACCGGATTGAGCGAAACCGCTATTTATCTCACAGCACGCTTCATCGTTGAAGGGATTGGGTACAACGCGATCTTATATTCCAACCTCATTTTGAGCTTTGAGTTTTGATGGTTTTTTGGTTTTGATCAAGTGTGTCTAATCGACCGCCGTACAGGATCCTAACTGACTAGGGAATTGCGATACAGCAGCGCCGTTAACTACCGGTATGCCAATTTGTAGTAGACAGTTACATCAGGGATCGATTTCCTTCACCTTTATCTTCCGTGTGACTTGACCACCAACTGTCAAAAGCTTTCCCGGCTTCCCTGAGCACAGGAACCTCTAGAAGATCAGCATTGTACTTCATGTCCAAAAACTTGTACTCGGAAGTTTCGGTAGTGAACGAATGCTTTGCCATCTCTTCGTCTCGCTTTTGCTGTTCCGGCCCATCTGGCAGATGGTAAAAATGCCTGTTGCTGATGGCGCCCTGAACATTCTGAGTGGTGCGATGCTTTCGAATTGTCTCATACAGCTTTAACACCCGCGAAATGCTTTCGGCCTCCGATGCTGGTGAAATGCTTCCATTTTGGAGTAGCAGAAATAGTTTCCCCAAGAACCTGCCAAGAATTGCACCATCTTCAACGGCCATCGCCGCGCCTTGAGCCTGGTAAGGTAGAGTCGGATGGCATGCGTCACCGAGAAGGGCAACGCGACCCTGCCGCGGAATAAGCAACTGCTGCGATTCCAAAAGATTTGTTTGGCCTCACCTTGGTCCATGTATCGAGTTCGTCGTGGTGACACAGTTTCCACCTGAGTACCGAAGGAATGCAGCTGATAATCTTCGTCAAGCTATTGATTTGTTAGCTCCTACAGTACTTCAGACTATTCCAGGTTAGATCTTCTAATCGAAAATGCACTTACACGCTATCCCATCCATGGAAGGTGTACCTCATTTCTTCAATATCCCCTTTCACAGTTCTTGTTCCTTGAGGGAGGTTATCAGGTCGGAGTAATACCAGGTTGAATTGGGTACCGCCGCGAACCGGGTAGAAAACGCAGTGCTTCTCTGGACCAAACCAGACAGTTACGGCGGGTTCTTTGCACAGCTCTTCGACTCGTGGATCATTGAGGGCTTCCAATTGCTCCAAAGTAAATGTCCCCCGGTATGCCAAGTCCCCCGTCTGAAAAGGCTGCGAATCCTTTCCAAGCAGCTTTTCTCGTGTTGTCGACCAAAGACCTGGTGAAAACGCGGTCTGTCAGCGACCATTTGACCATGGATGGTTTGTGAGCAAATCATTATAACTACCGTCGCCACCAATTACGACATCGCCTTTGAGAGTTGTGTCATCCTCCAGGTATACGACACCGTCCTCGAAGCTGATGTCTTTTACTGAAGCATTCAGCTGAATCTCGACGCCAAGTCGTTTGGCCTCGTCCAAAAGGACTTGATGATAATCTGCTCGATGAATCACACTGGCCCAGGTTAAAAATACTGTATAGAATTCTGGTGAGCTCATATCACTCACAACCATTGAGCGTGTGAACGTGATTTGCGCGAAGCAAGTAGTCGACCATCTTCGTACCGCCTAAAATTTAGCTTCTGCACTTCAATCGCCGTCTCCCGAATTTTGGGTAAGAGGTCAAGAGAGGCAAGAATCCGAGCGGCATTAGGTGGAATCTGAATCCCAGCACCAATCTGCGAAATTTAAAGGCAAACCTTTTAAGAGAATGGTTGAAACAAACATACGGGCAAAATCTCTGGAGCTCTTTCCAACACTTTCACAGCGAGTCCTTCACGAGCGGAGGAAATAGCGCAAACAAGACCACCAATACCGGCGCCAACAATGATGACCTGAAAAGGCTTTGAGGTATTGAGTTCACCCATCTCGAAAGTTCTTCGGCAAAGTTTATGATTCTCATGAATACCCTGAGGGTTGGATGCGATTTATTCATATATCAAGATTATCATGCTAGTCCGTTACTTGGCTTGCTATTCGTTAAACTGCCCGAGCCACGGACTCCGTGGTTCACCGCGGAGGTGGAGAATAGAGCCGGAACCAGAGCAATACGTAGGGGCGATGCTCTCGAGATCAGAGAGACAAGGACAGAACAGTTCTGTACCGTCCAATATGAAGAGGAGACCATTGAGAGTACTGTCTGTCACGGCGGAAGACGGTGCACCGCAGCCAAGGCTAGTCTCTCCAATAGGAGAGGCCCTGGTCTGTGCCGGAAGGGTCAGCGCCTAGCAGCAGAGGCAAAACTACTACGGTATCAGGCATAATAATTGTTAGTGCAGCGCCATTGCAGGGGTTTTGGCGCTAACCATTTACAATAAAATATACTAAATTAATTTAGTAATCACATTATATTACCGCTAGTTCAGTAATTATTTCACTACTCAGGACGTTATCAATGCGCAAGGAGGACATACGCGATGGTAAAGGTATATTAGTAATCGTATTCGAATGGAATTGGTTATAAATGGTTAGCGTTAAAACCCTGCAATGGCGTTGCACTAACAATTATTATGCCTGATACCGTAGTAGGCGATCATACCATCTCGGACGAGGTGGGCACGGCACTTTCCCTCGCCGCCGTGATAGCTTTGATTGGTTCAGGACATGGTATTTTCTGGCTGCCGGGCACCCAGCTTCCCCAGAATCTGGGGAAGTTGGAGATGGTTGTCGCACTGGGATGTGCTAATTAATGGTTCGAAGGACGGATAATGTTTTATGACAAGCAGCAGAGTTGTATTGTGCAAGTTGTGTGTTCTATGTCAATGCCTGGTCCCCCGGCCCTGCATCTATTCCGGTCGATCTAGCATCAACAACCGCAGAAATCTGCGGTCTTTGATTTTATATCTTAGGCCAGATCAGGATCCTTTCTGGAATACGGAAAATATTTTGACCGGTATCTAATACATGTTGCTTGGTTTAGTAGTAACCAATACAGCTTTCTACCCTAGCTATCGAATGCCGCCTTCGCCTCGCCTTGCATATACGAGACTCATGCCAAGATTATTAATGCAGTTTGTAGCCTCAGGCTCCAAGAGCTGATGCCTTGGCCTGCGACGACAGATCTCAAAGGGGGGGCAAATCTCAAAAACGTGGGGGACAAATCTCAGCTACTCGCGCCCCACGCCCATTACAAGTAATGGGCGCTATCCACCTCAACGGACAAGCCACCTCAATGTACATGAAATAGTCCCAGGACGCGTCGAAGCGTGTTATCTTCGCACCATTGCAGTATTCCGTACTTATTTTGGTGGATTAGTGAATTTAATCCAATTATCTAAGCTGCTAGATATTGTTTGAAATTCTAATTCATTTCCATCGTGGTTTGATATGCCGCCCAATCTAACCACTCTTCCACCCCAAAACCCACCCCCAAAATTGAATCATGCCTATCCCTCACCCCATCATGAAATCTGAGAAAGAAAAGATAGAGAATCGCATCAAATTGGCTGCAGATTAATATGCAGAAGGACTTTTTCCATCAGCCGCAGAGGCAGCTCGAGCCCACCGCGTTGAATAGCGCCGCGTCACGAATCGCCTCATGGGCATCCCCGGGCGGGGTCAACGCCCACGAACGAATCTCCGGATCCCCGCGCCTATAGAGGTCTTCCTGGTCCAGTACGTGAGACGATTAGAGAAGCTCCGGATGTCTCCAACCAAGGAATAATTATAGGGTGCAGCGACCTAGGCGATGAGCGAATATCATACTAGTCCTGGTCAGCCACCGCCTCTTGGAAACCGCTGGGTGAAGCGATTCCTCGACCGTCATCCAGATATATTGGCAAAGAAACAGCGGATGCGAGATCTGAAGCGAAGGAACGCAGAGAACGTACAGGATAATACCGACTGGTTTTCCGCATTTCATGAGGTCTGCACAGAGAATCAGATCCCCGACGAAACCGAAACTGCCCGTCCGGTTACGCCTCCACCTCCAACCGATATCATTTTCACCACGCCAAAAACAGTACGAGGGACACAGCGATTGGTGGATCATATACAGGAGGAGATATTGAAGGTGGCGGACGTTCCAGCCGACCTGGTCGCCCGCATCAATCAGCTCAATCACGGCGCGCAGACACAGGCCTTGGAGGCGAAAAAGGCCATGCTAGACCTTCACGAATCAGACCTCGCAAAACGCATGCGTAAGCTCAATGATAACGTGTCACGACGACACGTTTTCAGCGGTGGTCTATTATCAATTGAGGAATGTCGTCATATCGTCGACAATAGGGAGACAGAGCGTCTGGAAAAGGAAAAACAGAAGGAGGAACGGGAATAAGTCCGAGACCGAAAAAGGGCGGAAATGGCACGCAAGGCACGGGAAAACGCCCCTTAGGCGAAAGCTGCCTCTTCATAGCGTGTATCTACGGATTGACCTTCCTAATATCTTCTTTATTCGTGGTGGTAGAGGAGTTCAAAGTTGGTGATGTCGTATTGGTGGTGGTGATCGTCAGAGGCGAAGAGCGGCTCATCAGCCCGCCAATCTATTTAATATTGATGTAATTTCATATAGGGGAAGATTAGCCTATTTCCTACGTGTTTCTATGCTAAATCCGCAAAAATAGCGTGTTTTCATATATGTATACAGAATGGTAGACCTTACCTCAGATTCGTGTACATTGAGGTGGATAGCGCCTATTACTTGTAATGGGCGTGGGGTGCGAGTATACCTTGTTAGTTGTTATACAGAGGCAGGTTTTACATGTAATTTCCATCCCTGCTCCTGACCACTTCCAAACGCCACAGATGGCTCAATTGCCCCGCCCCATCTGTGAGCCAGAACCTCGGGCGGGAAGATCCTTGCGGGTCAGCTTCCCCACACAAGTGGAAGAACTTCACCACCCTCATCCTGCCACTGGGGACATGAAGTTGAGCCGAAGCTTCCGAATAATCATGAATGCTATCGCATTGTCCGGATCCAGACGCTACCATATCGCACATGGTCCGCCTCCTTGACCATGGCACAGACCGACGAAGTCCAATGGAGCCGTTCTCAATTTCCATGGCAGACGATTCCACGCGCCTGTCAGGAATGCCACCGGAAGAAAACGAAATGCGATATGTCACGGCCGGCCTGTGGACTGTGTCGTCGGACTGGCAGCAAATGTTACTTTCCCATCAAGCGAAAGCCTCCATCTACCAGCAACAAGAGACGGAAAACCGGCCTGCGTGAGGTGGAAGGCAACATGGATCGGCTGCTGAGCGTCCTCAAGTCTCCCCGCGCTACCTACCTGCTTCGCGAACATGGCCTTGTCCCAAATCCGTCGCCGAGTCCGGGTGAAATCCGTGATCATGATCTCGTGTCGAATCTGTCTCCTAGATCTGGTGACGCTCGCCATCATGGTCTCGTTTCGAATCTATCTCCTACGGCCGGTGACGCAGTTGCCCCAGACGTTGTTTTGGCCGACTCGCCATCGCAATCAGACTTGGAAACCGTTTTCGCCCATGATCTCGCGAGCCTGGACGGCTCATCAGTGAGCGTGAGCCAGTTGGACAATGGCACTGGCGAGAATGTGGCAGGATCGGATGTCCCCGCTTCGACCAACAAGCAAGCACAGGCCCCAACCAAGTTGACCACCGAAGCACGCGTGTCCTGTGATGTGGCAATGCACTTGGTGGAAGTATTCTTTCTGCATATCCAGCCATGGCTGCCACTTCTCCACCGGCCTCGCTTCACGGCGTACTGTTCTCAGCATCTCAGTCACGAGCCCGATGCTCTGTCTAAGTTGCCTGTCGACATGAAACTATTGCTCTACAGTCTTTTTGCCCTGTCTGCGCGCCACTCTAATTCACCTCATTTCGACCTCATCGATCCGCGAGACCGAGATGAACCGTTTATGAAGGCAGCACGCCATGCCTATGCCGAGGCACGATCCACCAAAATATCTTCACTACAGTATGTGCAAGGTTGCATCTTGCTCGCTTTCAACGACTACACCTCGGAGCTGAATGCTCAAAGCTGGATCCTCACTGGCGTTTGCGTCCGGCTGGCCTACGAAATGGAACTGTTCGAAATCGACGACCCCGATTCTGAAGATCCGCAACTGGACTCAACACAGAAGGAGGAGATGCGTCGCGCCTGGTGGCTGATATGGGAGCTGGACACGTTCGGCTCCATGGTTAGCCAAAGACCATTCGCAGTGGACCGTCACCAGTTTTCTGTCAACCTGCCAGTATCGGACAACGCCTGGTTCTCCGGAAATATGTGTCAATCTGCCCTGCTTATGACATCTCATCATCAGTGTTGGAAATCCCTCCAGGCTGCAGAGAATCAGGATCCTCGCGCATGGTTCTTAGTGGCCAACCACCTTCTTTCACTGGTCTATCAAGAACTGAATAAAAAAAAGCAAGACCTCACGGAAGTGAAATATGTCTTAGAAGTTAGTGTGAACTGCTTCAGACTCTCACTGCCTCCCGAGTTCAACATTTCGACCAACCTGCCGACATTCGACCAACAATCATTTGGGACCTCTAATTGGATCATGGGGACCCATCTGCTCCTGAACCAGGCATACGCAATGATTGAGATGATGCCACTTAACAACGATGAAGGGCCGAGCTCTCTTTCCTGCTCAAGCCAAGTTGTCGAACATGCCAGCAGTGCACATGCAAAGTCGTTTACGCGAATCATTACGCGATGGCCAACAGACTATCTTGTGGCAGCGCATCCTTTTTTTCTTTGCATGATGCTACCTATCCATTTTCCAATGGATATCTCAACAGCCCTGGCAAAAGTGGCGAGAGATTTTGAGGCTATAGGGCGATTGGCAGAACTGATCTTCGCCCATTTTGCCGGGAAGTGGAAACTTGCATCTGAAACATTAGGTACGTGGCTTCGTCCTGATTGATGCATCGATGGATGCTAAATCCTTGCAAGCTGTACTCCAGATGATGTGCCTCCAGGGCGGCGGCACGGCAGACCATGCGCTTGTCAAGCGCTTCTCTGTGTTCTTTCCGAGGCGCAAGGGGGCTGGCAGCAATCGTCCCTCGAACGTGTCCCAGCCCGGCACCCAAGTACATGGTCTCGACTACGCTGAAACAGTGCTCGAGGGATACAATTTTTTTGGACAAATCGACTGGCCTGCTGATATTGATAACATGAACGAGATTCCCCCTTCCTTAGAGGACAAGTATAGCCAGCTTCCGGGACCACCTGAGGCGCCAGCATACGAGCAGCCTTTGCATGAACGTAGAACTCCCGTGCTTTCTGCAGACTTTCAGTTATAATGCAGACTGGTGGGGGGGTTTATACCAGTACAAGTAAGGGTCTACATGATTCCAGGCAGTATCTCCGGGGTTGAAGGCTGGTACTCAGGTCAGGACATGATTGGGGACTCCCCCAGTCTGTATTATATCTTAAATTCTACGGTAATTCACCGCCTGTTGATCAAGCAACAGGAGTTCAGTGACCTAGTTGGCTCTACTCTTGTACCCAGACCGAACCGTATCTAGGACAAACTAGTTGACATGACTAATAGAACATCAAAAATTCCATTCCATTCTCTGGAAACCCCCCAAAAGCACTTCAGAGCTTGCTTTGCGCTGCTTCCGCGGCGCCGAGCCTGAAGTTCTCATATTCCTTCAGACACTCTGGATTTATCGCGGTTCGCGCTTCACCGACGGATTTCCCGGCCACAATATCCCTCACTAGATTCTCAATACGCTTTCCGTTCACGGTATAGGGAATACCGTGCACCTCGTGTATCCCACCCGGAACGTGTCTCAGACTGAGTGATCGCGATATTTCCTGCTTGATCCTGGACAAAAGACTGTCGTCAAGCCGCTTGCCAGCGGCCATCATAATGAAAAGCAAGACTTGCTCATCCTGAAAGGTGGGTGGAAGCTTCTGTGCAACGCAGAGGAAATCTTGGAGTTCTTCAAACTTGTCCAAGATGCCATAAATTTCTGCGCTGCCAAACCGCACGCCTGGATTTGTCAGTGAAGTGTTCTCGATCATTTGCCGGGTGGGACACATACCTCCAGGGTTAAGGACGCCGTCGCTTCTGCCCAGAATCTCATAACCATTGGTCCCGGGGATTTTCCTGATGAAGTCCCCGTGGTACCATACGCCGGGATACTGCTCAAAATAAGCTGCACGGTACTTGGCCTTGCCATTCTCACCCCAGAACCCTATTGGCATGCTGAAAAAGGGCTTCGTAATAACGAGATCACCTTTCTCGCCGGAGTCTTCAATATTCCTCCCCGAACTGTCCCAGATTTCGACCTTCATGCCTAGGTTTGGCACGGAGATCTCACCAGGGTAGATATTGGTTATCGGACTGCCGGAGACAACTTCAAATGGTCAGAAGTCTAGCTGCACATCAGATAGATGAGTCATATACTCACTCCCTCCGACCAGGTCAGTACCCCCCGAACCGCTGGTTAGTCCTACTCCAGCCGGAAACGTGTCTGCGAACCATCGATGGAGCTCGGCGCTGAGGGGCGATCCTGCAGAACCGACATGACAGAGACTCGGAAGGTCCATGTCCTTGGGAAGCCCAGAGCGTCTCAGGGCGGCGAGGAATTTTGGACTTGTTCCCCAGTGGGTGACACTATGGCAAAGAGGTCAGTACCAAGGCCGGCGCTGCACAACCGCTGGGCTCGACAGCGACCGAGGGTCTTCGATCGTGGCACACTCACTCCTGTTTCTTGATCAACTCGATTTGCGCACTCGGCGTGGGATGAAGCGGACTGCCATCATAAAGAATGATTCGCCCACCCACGCTCAATACTGCCACGACCCAATTCCACATCATCCAACCAGTCGTCGTGTATTGATAATAAGTCGAGTTGGGTTTGACGTCCCCGGTGAGGATGAGTTCTTTCTTTTGTTGCAGGAGTGCTCGACCTGCTGCATGCGTGATGCATTTTGGAGTCCCCGTCGTGCCGGAGGTGTACAGGATGTAGATCGGGTGGTCGAAGGGAAGCTGCTCGTATCGGGGACTTGTTGCACGGGTGGCCGCAAGCACAGAGTTGGCCGATTTCACGTTTTGGCCCTCAAAGATGGGACCATTGGCCACCAAGGTATGTTGAAGCTCGGGGACCAGCTCAGATAGCTTTTTGTTTGCTTCAAATAGTCGTTTCCGCAAATCTATTTTCTTGCCTGCATAGGTGACGACGGTATCACAAACCAAAACCTTAGGTCGAACCTGTTTGTACCTCTCGATAATACCAGTGGCACCCATGTCAGGTGAGGTCGACGAGAAAATCGCCCCGATAGAGCCAGCAGCCAGGAGAACAAGGAGGCAGTCGAGTTTGTTGGGTAGCACAGCTATCGATGCTCAGTATCTTTCCAAGCACAGATGTTCGAAATCTCAACCCAAAATGTGAGGCGGGGGGAGGTGAAAAGAAGCAAAGTAAAAAATGGCTGAAACCTACTAGCAACTCTGTCTCCCACTCCAACACCCATGTTCCGCAACGCCGTAGCCCAGAGTGCTGTCTGTCTCTCGAGCTCGAGGAACGTGATATCGACACTCGTACTCGGGTCTTCGTCACAGACAGTAACGGCAATACCGTTCGGTCGCAACCCGAGTCCAGGCTTAAGGATATTCTCGGTGTAATTCAACCGGGCACCGGGAAACCACCGTGGCGGCGGATACATGGTGTCGACTCCATCGGCTGGTCGAAGGTACGGGGTCGAAGCGTGGATGCCGGCAAAAACGAAAAGAGCTTCGGCAAAGTCCGGGATGTTCATGACAGACCATTTGTGTAGGTCATCGTATGTCTGAAGATTCAAGGAATATGTCCGATTGACGTACAGCCGAAAGGTGTGGATGCCAGTGTGTCGCGTATTGCTAGGTACCCAAATCGGTTCCGAGCCCATGGTTGCTGTATTCTGGTCCGGAGCAGGAGATATCCTGACTTAATTTTCGGTAGACAAGTGAGTACCGTATAGGTCTGATAAAGGAGTGAAGGAAGTGTCGGGAAAGCGGCGGCTGCAAATAACAATAATTGATTCTTATGATCTTATGGTGCACACCACTAGCCGGCCTTCATGAATGGGGCCGTCGGTCATCCAGAACGGTGCCGCCCGGTCAGCCGTCTTGTCTCCCATCCCGTGCCCTGCGTCGGCTGCCGGCGCGGTCAGAGTAAGGAATGCGTGCCTATGTCCCGAGTACCGTACCAGTGCTCTGTAAAATGGGGCTCCGGAGGCGCAGACGGGGCGCGCCGCCCCCACAGACTTTGACCGGGATGCCGTGTTCACCGGCAGGTACCGGTAAACCGGACACTGCCAATGCTGCCAATACCTATCATACATGGGTGACAACCCAATCACAGCTGTAGTTCATCTGGGGATGTTGATATCCAGACTACGACAATACCAGAAATTGCACCAAATGTACGGAGTAGGTTCCATAGAAAAGATATTATTATTATTAATAATTCTATTTAACGCCTGATTCGGTCCCTATTGGTCTATGCAGGCTGTACGGCAACTATGGAGGATAAAAAACCCCAGTAGGGGAAAACCTTCACGTTATTCCGTGCTGGCGCCGTGGGATGCCTTGGACCTTGGCAATTTCTAGGGTGCTTTGCGTGATATCGTGCCGGTTGGCACTTGCTGCGCTGTTTCTGGCATTCTGGTCCCCTTTCGCCGTGTTGGTGGGTGTTCCTCCTTGGGTTGTATGCGGCGCCTTATTGCTCTCGCGATTGTATCAGATATAGCGACGAAGTCCATTTCGGGATGGGGCCTCAAGGGAAGCTCGTTATTATCCGGAAACGCGGCGAACGGTACTGTCCCAAGTGTATCCAACGCGTGGAGGAACGGGACGACGCAGAGAAGCTCAAAGTCCACGCATGGGCCGCGGTGGGCTACGACTTCAAGTCCCTCCTTACCTTTTACGAGATACCGACGAATAAAAACGGGAAGAAGACGCAGGACGTTTATCTCAAGGAGATACTCCAGACGGAAGTTCAGGAATGGGTCGACCGTGGAGATTTCTTCGTTTTAGAGGAGGATCAAGACTCAGGCCACGCACCGCCGCGGTCAAGGAAAAAAGGCAATGCCGTACAACAATGGAAAGAGCAAAATGGCGTACATTCGTACTTTAATTGCGCAGGATCGCCGGATCTTGCGATCATCGAGGACTGTTGGCAACCGACGAAGCAATACGTACGGAAATATCGCCATTTCAATCCCGAAGAAACTCGTGAATTAGCGATCGAGGCCTGGGGAGAGCTTAAACAGGAATGGATTAATAAACGGGTACTTTCTATGCCTGATCGACTTCGAAAGGTGATCGAGGCTGGTGGTCAACTGATTGGTTATGGGGGCGGAATGGCGGGCTAACCGCCGCGTTTTTTACCTATAGACTGTTTGTATAAGACTTAATAACGTCACCTTCCATTTTGACGTGGATTGACAGCGTTATTGTGAATATATCTGTTTTTATATAGAAATCTGTACGGGTGGTGGCGCCAAGCCCAATGTGAGTCCTGCTATTTTTGTCCTCCGCGGGGCGCCCACCAAAATGCTTGCAAAAGGCCCTCAGACGGCATCTGAAAGATGCCTGCACCGCCACAACTATCTTGCAGATCCCGTCTGAGTCCCAACTGAGATAACTTGCCACAGCATCAGTCTCAGACAAAAGTACACAGATCATGTCATGCAGACCCCCATTAAATTGTGTTCTGCACATGCCTCACCAACCAATCGCCAGCTGTCCACCCGGCTTTGCAAAATCTATGTCCTGACAAAGACTTATTACAACGCACTATCTCTTCTCAAAGATTCTCCTGCGGCGTCGTCTTATCGTTGTAAGGCAGTCTCCTCCACCGCAACTGAAGCACCCTTCGCTCCGTACCGATAGCCACTGTCCCCTCTACGCCCAGGACCAGGTACTTGCCGTCGCTTTCGTTGCTAAATCCTACGAGCCGCCTCTGCTTATCCCCTCTTAAGGACGGCAGACTCGCATTGCGCATATGATGTATAAGGATTGGCCGACCCTTTTCGTCCCCGCGCTCGTCCAAGTAAAACTGGCCCGTATAACCGATGAATTTCTTGCCGACCTGGGCCCATTCGTTCGCGGTCCCTTGGGCGGTGTCAAATGCCGCCTGGTTCGGCTTCAGGAGTTGCGCCGACATGTACCCGTCCGGTGTGTACATGATGATGCCCGTTGCATTGGGGCCCATAGGGTGGACCTTATTAGAAGGATCGTCGGGGAGATACGCGACGTATTCGATGAGCTCCCACGCGCCGATAAGCTGCTGGCGGATCGATTCGTGTGCCATTCCGTCGGTAAGGTATCCTTAAACGCCAGTTGGGGGGATAAACGAAGATATTCAGATTTATATAGATGGTTGATATAAGCTCTCGCAGGGGCTCTTAAGCTCAGAAGGTAACTCACCACAAGAGGGTATATATGCTGGGACGACAATCAAGGATCCAGGTGCGTACTAATATAGCCTTAGCCGAACTCACCCTCCGACTCGGTATCCGTCAGCCGAGCAAATTCCCGTCATAAGCCGGAACGGGGTGGGTACGAATAGTTAGGGGGGAGATGATTGAGGATTCGACGGTTATAGAGCAGGGAGTTATACCAAAAGCCGCAAATTACCGAGGACTTCCGAAATGACATGGACGTCAAGGTCTGAGCGACGAACTTGGATACCTAAATCCCGTACTCTAAGAGCTCTCCGCGCTCCAAGAGGTAAAATAACCGCTATAACAACTGCTTGTTGTGAGCTGGTATCAGGGATGCGTCACGTGGGTTTAAATCTCTTAGAGAGGAGTATCAGCTGGGAAGCGCACAAGGTGAAGCAGAGGTATGGGTAGACGAAGATATCAATTTACAACTAGAGCTAACTTAGTCGAAAGCAACCTCGATGTGTACATACACGGTGATTCAATTCCTTCATCCTGCTCACTCTGCTCACAGTGATGAAGAGTGATCAGTGGGTGTGCTCACGATGCCTGATAGTGAGCACCAACAAACTGCTCACTCACTTGAAGGTGAGCAAGTCGCGCGATCCTAAACTTCGTCTGGGGTAGCAACCCCATCACCTGTCGGAGCCCGACGCACGATTGGACTGACCCGGAACATTACTGATGCAGGATCAGTCTCAGTCTCAGTCACAAGGTACGCAGATCTCTTCACAAATCCCCGTTAATTGTGCCACACCAACCAATCGCCAGCTACTCACCCGGCTCCGCAAATTTGTGTACTGACAGACACCAAATTTAACGAGGAGCGAAGGGAAGCGGAACGAAAGTACAGATAGGTTTGGGATACGGGGAGGGTTCGACATTTCTTTCTCCAAAGACCCGACGAACTCGTCGATATAGAGGGTTTAGAGTTGAAACCGGGCCGAGAGAAAGCCCTGGGTGCGAGTTAGGGAGAACTTAATCGGATGTAGCCACGCTGTAATTACCACAACGGGAAATTTTCCCACCAGCTCGATCCCCTACAGCACCATATCACCATCTTCACCACCATCCCCATGCGTTCAACCCGCCCTAAGGGGATGTACTCGGGCTCTACAGCTTAACAGTCGAACCGAAGCCTTATACTAGCAGAAGAGAAGCCTTTGATTATCAGACTATTAGTTATTTTGCCTGGGCGACTACATTTTGGAAGCATGATCCTCGTACTTGATAATGTTGGACAGCTTCATCACTCCTTCGATCTCGACCTCGACCATATCACCGTCCTGTAGGAAGAGGTTCCTGAAAAAGCCGACGCCAGCTGGTGTGCCCGTCATGATAATGGTTCCTGCGCGCACGGTGGTACCCCGAGTCAAGTGTCGCAGAATCGCCTTCACCGACCATATCATGTCATCAGTGTCCGTCTCCTGCACCGTCTTCCCGTTCACCCTCGTGACATATTTCAGGCTTTGCGGATCCTTGATGACGCTCGAACTGACAATATAAGGACCGATGGGTGCAAACTTGTCGAACGACTTCGCATATGAATATTGACCACCGCCGGCTTTGGGAAGTTGGTAGTTTCGTGCTGAGACATCGTTTCCGGCCGTGTATCCAAGGACATATTCGCTGAGATCAACGTCTTCAGGAAGATTCTTACAGTCCTTGCTAATTACCACGACCAATTCCCCTTCATAGTCCAGCATGGATTGAGCGCCTGGGCTGATAGGAATCGCTTCGCCGGGTCCCGCAAGGGCATCCGAGGGCTTGGTGAAGACCACGGGATAATCTGGAATTTCAAGCTGAACAAGCCCGCCGTCAGCGATTACGTTGCCAGACAAAACCTCGGCACCAAAGCAATGAGGAAAACATCATGAGCATTTGGCTTACTGAAGCTTCAGTTGCATGTTTCTTGTAGTTGAGTCCGATGCATAGTATAATCGGCGTCTTCTCCAAGGGGCAAAGGAGCTACGGAGATAAGAACGTCAGAATTACCGGCTGTGTGTAGTGTGGCCTGAGGAAACTTACCTTGTTCACCGTATCAATATCCCCTTGTGGCTGAAAGCCACCAAGACCGCCGCTCAATCTGCGCACTTTGAAGCCGGTTTCAGCTGTCTCTATCAGATCCCCATAATAGATCGAGCCTTCCACCTGGTATCGAACAAGCTTCTCGAATGCCATATTTGCGTTGTATGCACGAAGCCCTTGCAAAATATTGCCGTCGTCGAGAACAATGGTTCTGGAAACCGTTTCTACTTTAACAGCTGCACACCGGCAGCCACACCGGATCGCGGTATACCGTCGTATGCCGCCCAACATCGGGCCCAGAAGCACGTTCCCAACTGTGTTGTGAAACCGGTTTGGTCAAAGGGAATATAATCTCTCTAAATCAAATCAAATCAAATTCAAATTCAAAGTCTAGCCGTCTAGTTCAACAATCATCAGAGCACTCATTGACGACGAATTTGACATGGTTTCTGACAAGATCCGCGTTGTGCGCTTGTCGCACGTCCACTACAAGCACCCTGACCTAGCCAAAGCAGTCAAATTCTTTGGAGACTTTGGCTTGGTGACAGAAGATGAACGGGATGGCCGCACATTTCTACGCGGGTATGGCGCACAGCCTTTCGTCCATCTAGCAGAGCAGTCTCCGGATGAAAAGAGGCACTTCGCCGGAGGTTACTGGGTTGTGGATAGCGAAGCTGAGCTGGAAAAGGCAGCATCTCTCCCGGGCGCTTCGTCTATTCAGAACCTGGATGCCCCTGGTGGTGGCCGAGTGGTCACCGTGCCAGATCCCAACGGCAATACTGTCGGGTTTGTCTACGGACAAACCCTCCGCTCCCCGGATGTCGATGTCGGGGCCTTGGAGCGCAAGGACAGTGGCCATGCTTCCAACACAGCGGTTGAAAAACCGCGGAAGGGCGCTGTCCGACGGTTCCTACCCGGTGCCAGCCCTGTCCACAAGCTGGGCCATTACGGATATGTGGTACCACAGAACAAATTCGAGGAATCCTTTTCATGGTATACCACTACCATCAACCTTAAACCCACCGATGCTGTGTTCGACCCAGTCTCAAACAAGGATGATACTGTCTTCATGCACATTGACCTTGGAAGTCAGTACGCCGATCATCATGTACGTGCGGTTGTACATACGATTGACTGCTGGGATTTGATCATTCTAATTCAGACAGAGCTTTTTCCTCGCCGCTAGCAAGCAAGCGCCACATGCTCACGTACACCATTCAAGCTACGAAGTCAACGACTTTGACACGCAGAGGTTGGGGCACGATCACCTACAAAGGAACGGCTGGACCAATTGCTGGGGCATTGGTAGACACGTTCTGGGTAGCCAAATCTTCGATTACTGGTAAAGAACAACCAAAGCTTAATCAAGTTGATATTGACATGGGTTTGTTGCTGACTGCGTATCTATAGGTTTGATGGATCTGGCAATGTGGTTGAGCACTATTCCGATGGAGATCTCGTCAATGAAGATACACCATTCGGCCGCGAAGCTGCGGCTCCAGATTCTCTCTATGTCTGGGGTCCCAACATCCCTCTAGCCTTTGTCACGGGCCGGATTGAGGACGCTGGCAAGCCGATTCCGTTGCCTCTTAATTTGGATGTGGCTAAACCAGCGCAATTGTGATGTGGGTGGTACATAACTGTGAATATTGGTTGGTTTGACCTAGTATACTCTATATTTGACCTCTTCAATCGCTGCTGGACATCATCTCGTATCATCCATCTGCGTAGCAAGTACGTTCTGTTTACTACCACGCTCGTGACATGCAGTATAAGTCAGTCGGGAGCCCAAAATTTGAGTTAGAGTCAATCATGAATCCGAAGTGACAATATATGCTAGACTCATTTCGGGGCCGCGGACCTAGACATGGTGGCAAACGGGACATTCCTCCAGAGAGAAGAGGGCTGAAGAGTGTTGGACGGAATGCTGTATCACGAGATATATCGTTCGAGGACGGTAAGGTAGGCTTTCTAGGGCAGAGCGCGCACCAACAAAGGCGGCTGGCCCGGAATACCGTCCCCACTACCAACTCCGCGCCGGTGCCGGGCTAACCTGGAGGGTTTATACCTGGTTGTCCGGCTCTTCACGACACGCTAGATATAGGTGCTCGAATCCATCTGATAGAACTCGCCGTTTTTGTTTTTCGGATCAAGGCACTGACCTCCGTACAACGCTTCGGGTAGTCTTCGCACTACACTCATTCTAGGAAGAATTTAATATGGTTGGCACCCCCGAACCCAAAGCAAGCAACCGACTCGACTGACCGAATAGGCAACTGTCGAGCATGAGGCACCGGTGTTGGTGGTCGGTGCTGGGCCGGCTGGTCTGATTGCCGCTTTGCAATTGGCGTCAAATGGCACCCGATGCATGTTGGTCGAGCGTAACTTCGACACGACTAAATGGCCAAAGATGGACATTACGAACTGCAGGAGTATGGAGATCTTGAAACGTCTCGGTATAGACCAAGGGCTTCGCGACGTTGGTATGTCTATCTTCTCCCCTAACGCTGATCTGCTCTCCTGGCCACACCCACTTTGAACCCCCTGAACAACTGCTTAAACGACATTAGGTGTTCCTCAGGATTACTCGTTTAATGTCAATTTTAGCACTGGCCTGTCTGACAATGGCAAGATAATGGGTAAATGGGTAGGTTAATGCATAAACCTGTTCGGGTTCGGTACCAATATTAACTCAAAAAGGAACTTCCATCGCCGAACAGCTGGCGGGCACGGATACGCGAGCAAAATGACGGTTCCATGCCACGTGAGCCGTATCAGAGATGCTCTCAAGCAATCTTTGAAGCCTGGTTGAAGCCTAAATTGCAAATCTCATCCAGCATCGAAACCTATTTCGGTTGGAAATTCGAAAGCTTGATCGAAAAGGAGTCCTATGTCGAATCCATCGTGGTCGATGCTGAAGGGATCCGGCATATCATTCGGTCCTTATATGTCATAGGATGCGATGGTGCAGGGAGCAAAGTCAGAACCGCCATTGGAAGCAAGTTAGAAGGCGGACCTGTGTAAGTATATCCACCTATCTCTTCATTCTCATCGCTAACTACGAGTTGAGACCTGCCGCGATGCATCTCATCCATTTCAAGTCAAGAGATCTGACGCGTTTGCACCAGCAGGGGCAATTTTGGCATATCTTCTTTGCGAGCGGCTCAGTCATCATTTCGCAAGACGAGAAGGATACTTGGACGGTCCACAACCCTGTCCCCTTGGGCACTGATGTCTCTAAAATTGACCCTTGCACTGCCATATATACCGCTCTTGGTGGTGAACTCACTCCATTTGAGATCAAAGTCGATGAGGTTTTGGTCACCAGCCTCTGGCGGCCAAACATTTATCTAGCGAATAATTACACGTCAAGCGGCGGACGGGTATTTATCTCTGGAGATGCGGCGCATCAGAACATTCCAACCGGCGGTTATGGCATGAACACGGCGGTGGGAGACAGTTTCGACATTGGCTGGAAAATTGCAGCAGTTGTACGTGGCCACGGAGGGCCGCATCTCCTGGATTCTTATGAAGCCGAACGACGACCTGTCGCTGCGAGGAATATCGAGCGTTCTGGAGTCCACCAAATGGTACATCACACCTACCGTCAATGGTGCCTTGCGGTACCAAAGATGGCCTCTCTAGATTCGGACGACGGAGCAGCGTTGAGAGCCAAAATTTCTGAGCATGTTGCAGCACACAACGGAGAAAACACGGATCACGGTATTGAGTTGGGGTACAGGTACAACAACTCTCCGTCGGTTATTAGCGAGGATCCGAAAGCAGAGCCGACATGGAACTACAAGCACTATGTCCCCTCGACGTGGCCCGGTGCCCGCGCTCCACATCTCTTTCTCTCTGACGGCCAGACAAGCATCTTCGACTTATTCGGCACCGGAAACGAGTACACCCTGGTCGATTTCACACCCGAAGCGGCCTATTTTCAAGCGTTTTCAACCGTTGCATCTGTGCAGGGCGTGCCACTGAAGTCGGTGCACCTTCCAAAGGAAAGAGCTGCACGAAAGGTATGGGAAAGAGATGCAGTCTTAGTCCGACCGGACGACCATGTTGCCTGGCGATGCCCAGAGAGCGCCTCAGCGGACACCATAGACGTGGCGGAGATCCTTTCCATCGTCGCTGGAAAAAAGCCGTCCGCAACATTCAATAGTGAGCGAGCACAACAAAATCTTCCGGGCTCCGAGAATGCATTCACCGGTACAGTTGGGATGGAAGCGCATGAAAAAGTTCAAGACCTTGCTGCATTCCAGCACTGATGGTTGGAATCATCGATATAGCTACCCGGTTATAGTTTCGTGGCTTTCCATGCTCTCCGCATTTACTTCTTCACCCGATATTTCTAGGTTTTAGTCATATAGAATACAGTACAAGTTCCTTAATCTAAGTCAATCATCAATGTCAATATTAGGTCGTATGCCAGATGGTCGGAGCCTATGCGCAAACCACAGAGGTTGTCACTGAAGGCTAGATGCCAAGAACCAACGATCTGTATAATGCCCAAGTAATCGAGACAGGCCATCGCCTGTACCTGTTCGATCGTTGATAACTTAATTGACGGGTTACTTGCAACCCATACTATTCACGGAAATGACACTCCAGTTGGCCCTGCGACAGCAAAACCTCACTGTCCCGTGAACGTCTACCTCGATGCGCTTTCAATTTAGAATGGGGTCTGGAGCTTTATGGCTCAATCAAAACCGTTTTCAACGAGATAGAGTGCGTATATACAGAACTCTCGAATCCTTTGGGAGAACCCTTCGGCCAACACGGAGCAACTAACCCAGCAACGACAAATTACGCGAAGCATCGCTGGTGATAGGTAGAATTCTATGTTCTCGGTATATCGAGCGCACACTTCCCACGCTAGATATTATATCTGAATTGTGGATTCTGCATTCCTTAGCATCGAGTTCTAACAGATTCACAGACATTCTACATACCTTTATGTCCGTGACATCATCGTCGTAAGCATGCTCAAAGCCCTCCGCAACACCGGATTTGTCGCGTTTGTGATTTTCCCAAACGCAAATATATCTGTATCCAACGGCCAGGACACCGGCTGCTATACTCGTTATTAAAACACTCAAGAACCCTGGTGCGTATCCAGGAGCATCTTCTGGTTTGAATAGAAGTGGGCCAGTGAAATTGCCTGAAAAGTTGGTTAGCTGTCTCTGGAGTATAGTAATCTCGAGCATTGGGGAGCGGAGGATGGCCGGAGCGGTGGGAAATGTCGACCATGATCGTACTTACCCAGGCAGTAACCCACAAAGATACCAGCAGCAGTGACCGATCTTTTGGTATATCCTGCAGTGTTGGCAGTCTGTATACCCATAAGGATACCATATGGGGAAGCAAACCCTCCCAACAGGATGATACCTAGGAGGGATGGCCCTTGATGCTTCCTCTCGACTTGCCACAAGAGAACAGAACCAACGATGGCTGGAATTAGGAACGCGATCATAACCCATGTTCTCCATCCGCGCCTAGCTACACGATGGGCCAAATAGGCTGACGCAAGTGCGCTGACACCGCCAAATGCACCTACTGGTATCGACAGAAGTAGGCTGTTGAAACCACTATAGCCAAAGCTGGCAATGATGAGTGGCATGAAGGTTGAAACCGGGCCATTGACAATGAAAATCAAGAATGCCATAGCAAACGTGAGCAAAAATCGTGGATCGGCCAAGGTTTCGATAAGTTGTGCGGCCTTGAAATGAGTATTGCGGACACCCGTGTTGTTAGATCGCAATCGTGCGACGAGGATGAACCGCTCCCTTTCTGTAAATCCCTTTGCTCGGATTGGATCTGGTGGCATAAAGAAGTACACCACAATGCTCCACAGCATTGTGAGGCATCCTGCCACAATGAACATATATTTCCACGGCGCAAGGGAGCCTGTGATGTGTCCAAGTCCATAGTTGATAAGTGGACCAGGCACGCTGATAAAAGCACCTGAGAAACTGTTAGTGGAACTCTCCGAACTTGGGACATTGCTGAGAGCCTACTGGCCGAAAACCATATTCCCTGGCGCCATGCCTGCTCGTCCTTCTTGTAGAAGCTCGACACCATAACCATGAAGATTGGAGAGATGCCAGACTCCAAAAATCCAAGAAAGAAGCGTTGGATGTACAAGGTTTGGAAGTTACGAGCTCCAACAGCGGCAGTGCAACAAGCGCCCCAAACAAAGATGAGACCCGCAGCAACACGTTCGACTTTGAATCGTTGTGCTAGTAGCGCTGTGGGTAGTGCACCAGCAATATATCCCAAGTAGAAGATGGAAGAAGACATGTTGTATCGATTTCCGGTTAGGTTGAGGTCCTCTCGCATTCCAAAAAGGGCCTGTATGTGAAATCTTAAACCGTTTTTCCATAATAATTGGCACTGATACTTACTGCTGAAGACAACAATGCTTTGTCGTAGAATTGGAGTCCAAATGTCAGAAAGAGCAGTGGCATCAACTTCCAATCCAGTTTGCGAACGAGCCTCCGTTCCTCATCTTCGTCCCAGTCAACGGCGTCAGTGGTCCTTGCGTTCCCGAGCACTTTCATTGCCTCATCATTGTGCAACGTGTCGACGGTAATTGTCTGCTTGATTATCTCGCTGGCGTTGTCGCCGGTAGTGGTCTCCAGGTGGTCTGCCCTCTGGCCAGCTTCCTTGTCTGACATTGTGGTAGCAAAAGAGGTCGAGTCGCACGTACTTGTTTCTTCGCTGTTGGGTGATGATATTAGAAGAGAATGAGGGACTTATGGCGTGAAGATCGTAGTATCCTGTGGGTTTAAATAGAGCTGAGCATATGCAGTTTCCATCTGCGTGTGCAGAGTCGCCAAGCCGGCCAGATGCACCGTGTAATCGGTTCGGCCAAAGTTGCACATCGAAGCGCGGTATACCGGCCGGCGGTGCAGTGATCTACCTAAAATCATTAGTTAGGACGGATAGAAGTAGTATGGAGTTGTCGTCTAGTATGGTCGTCAAAATGGACGAGTGATTGGACGAGGTGGCATCAACCCTACTGTTAGATTGATTAGATCCGGATCTAGCGCTTGGCACCATGGGCACCGGCACCGCCACCTCCATAGTATTCCGGGGGAGTATTCCAGGGCACTGGTAGGATTCCGGGGTAGCGTGTGGGGAAAGGGACGGTTCTCTGCAAGATGAAGGGTAGAGATGAATCTTTTGACAACCTTCACAAATATGGCACTTAACTAACTAACTAACTAAATAACTAACTATGAGGTTGGTGGATTACTAAGTGATATGGAACGATTACATTGTAAGTTATCCAATTCCCTCTAGTAAATCTAAACGAAATTTTCCAAATTTACCGTCAGATAATGCAAGAACATTCACTTTCCGGAGGGCGGTCTTGGACGGAATACGCGGTTCGCCGTGTTGGTCAATCTGTCGCAAAATGCCCCTGTTGATTTCCAATGCCACGCAACATTCCAATCGCTGCCCAGTACCCCTAGGCTAAGCCTAATCAGGACTCCTCAGTCCTTTCCTATATATCTAGCTTTATCTTCAACTGCCTTGCTAGCTAGATCTCTTCCAGACAATGGGAATCGTCAATAACAACTTGCATCGTGTCTCTGCAGTAACTGAGCTTAAGCATCGACCTTGCTTGATCATCATCCCCGCGTAATGCGACACAATCCGGCACCAGCCAAAGCGGAATACTCACCTCTCGAGCTCTAATTTGTTGGATATCAACCATCCTCTAGAGGTTGGGAGTCAGGTGACATCCCAATACGGCTAGTATAATGTGTGGTTACCTCCTATTCCTCCGAGGCCTCCCATACTCCTAGATAGATCAATCAATCACGTATCAATACTTCTACAAGGTCAATCAAGAATGTGGGCCAGGAAAGGTTGTCCATTTCCTCGTTTATCATGACGTTGTGGCAAGAAGTGCGCCGGTGGCAGGAACAGGCAAACACGAGAAGAAAAGAAAGTGGCAAAGCGGAGAGGTTTGGAGAATGGAGTATTATATTGAATTGAAGTCTCGACTGATAGCTCTTTTCCACGTCAAATATCTGCCCATATCGAGTGCAAATCCTTCTCGCTTCCGTGGACCCCATTCGAAATTTCGCAACTTCCTCACAATTCGCCAAGACACCCCAATTTTGCATTCCTAAATGGAAATTGCAAACAGTATTGCAGAAATTAAGAGTCAATCCTATCGATGGATCAGAAGAAGAACCAAGCATCTCCCGCGCCATGTGGGCATCCAGTTCATCACTGTAGCGCTAAGGATCCGTTGCCTCATCCACTCCTTCCCGTGACCTTTTTATCGTGTGCCAGTGGGTACACACGGCGCCCGGCGTCCTACCCGGGAACTGTTTCGAGATCCACTCCCATGACTTTCCCTCTACTCTGCACGCCCGCAAGCGCTCATCCTCCAAAGGCTCCCAGCGCCGATTCCTTCGCCCATGTACGCCCTGACCGATGTAATTATCGTCCTCGATACCATAGTCGCTGACGCTACTATCGTTCCCGCCGACGCTACCGTCATCTTCCGAGTCGGTCCCCGAGGCAGCACTCCTTCGCCAGTTTGGCGTAGTCTCGCACTGCGTGGTGGCGACGACATTGATGCAAGGTCTGCACAGGAAACCGGTCAGCAGCCATTGGCCTTCTAAGAGCGGTTTGAGCGTCATGTCTTGTACTTTCGTTGTATGGCCTAGGATTCTCTCGAGAAGCGTGAGTAACATGCCGCAAGAAATCGCCTTGGTGTTGCTATCGATCTTGATCGTAGCTGCTAGGAAAGTGTCCCCCGCCGTTGGACGAAGAGAAGTGTCGGTTATATTGTGCCGGGCCATGGTGAAAGGTACGCTCTCGTGGCTGTACCGAGGGCCTCGATCGTCGCTTCTGGCTGCTGAGGAGTCGGGATGCGGGCTGCTCAAGCAGCGTGGAATCCGCTGATCCCGTGCGAGCGTGGGTATGTTCCTCCCAGCATCCGACTGGAACGGTCGACCTCTGCGCTGGATCTTGCCTCGATTCCTTCGCGCCAGTGGCGGTCCCGGCGACGTTGTTCTATAGTTGTTATCCACGGCATGCTCTTCGTCTGTGTCACCGCCACAGCCGCGACCATAATCAGCAGTGTCTCCTAGCTGGCTATGCTCGCGAATCGGATCGTCGGTCTCACGTCGCTGGTACGCTCTCATTACACGGGGAGACGAAGCCGGTCGTAGGCCAGTGCTGGTCAGCCCACGGTTGCTAGAGCGGTCGCGGTTTATGTGCTCGCTTCGCGCACTTCCTTTATTATCCGCTGCGCCGCTCTTATCACCGTCTTGGGGAGATGTCTCGGCATTGGCAGAGACCGGTCGTTCCTTCCCTACACGATGATATATGGGTGGAGTCTCGCGCCGCCCTGAACAGTCAAGCCCAGTATCGTGGACAGCGGCGACGGATGGTGGCGCCTCGCCGGAACGAGACCGTCTCGGTCGCTTCGCTGGACGCTGCTCCTCTAATGGCTGCCGGTCTATCTGATGTTGTGATCTAGCGTCGGGCGCAGCACCGAGATCGGTGGATGGGTCGTGCAGGAGGAGGAACCGTTCCGCTTCCTTTGTTCAAGGGACGACAGATTGATTTCAAGGTCGTGGTTTTCATCGGCGATGCCATCCGTTTGCTCTGTTAGTCGGGTCATGCCTATTCTAGAGCGCGGCGAGGCCATACCTGAAGGTTGCTGGTTGCCAGATTCGGCCGTTTCGGTAGATTGAACGAGGCTCTCAAATAGCAGTCGCGTATGGTCCGCTACTGAGAGGTCGTCGTCTATAGTACAGTAGTTGGCTGCCATTTGCGTTAGCGTAAGACGAAGCACTGGAAGGGATACGCGGACTCACATAAGTCGCTACTGCTCCGGGACATGCCGACGCCAGTAGAGGGTTCGCCGTTCTTTCCAGACGGCGGAATTTCGCCGCTCTCTATCGCTTGTGACGAGCTCGAATCACGGAATCCATCGGCGGCCGGCGTCCCACCGGTTTCCGGTCGGGAGCCCGCACTAAGCAATGCGTTTAGAGAAGGCAGCTCATCTTCGGAATCAGTGCCCGATTCGCTGTCTTCGATGAGTATAGCTGCATCTAAGAGAGATTAGTATATAGTCCTCTTCTGAAGCTGTTCGCGCAGCATCGCTGGGAACTCACCCGTACAGCTTCCTATGAATGCCTCGCACAATGATTCCTGCGTATGCTCTGGCCCGGCCAAGCCTTCGCCCTTCAGAATGTCATCAATATCGGTCCATGGGCCGTTAGAAGAGATGTCAGGAGTGGTATTAGCTCCGCATCCGCTTTTTGGCATCCGACGCTCGGGTTGCTGGCCCATTGGCGGGCTAGAATAATTGCGAAAGTTATCGGGCGACAGAATTCGCAATTGTTGCGGATCGAAGGAATAAGGGGCTGTAGCGACCGCCATGTCTGCTTTCGCGCAATTCTCACTGAATGCGTGTGGCCCTTGAAAAGGTGCGAGGGGGTTGCTGACCTTTGAAAGGAGGGAGCAGGAAGCAGTGAAACCTTTATGCCGTGAAGCAGGCTCGCCTTGTTTATCAGCTCGCCCGTATGCGGATCATCCACCAGCTCTGGCCCGGCGCTTCCAAATCGGATCTTGCGAGAAGAGTGAGCCTGACAGGACCGAGGCCATCGATTCAATCAAAGGGTCAGGAGGCATGAAATGCCCTCACCAGCCCTAGACGAGCATACCCACTTCCTGGAGTACTTGCAGCGGTCTTCCAGGTAGAAGGACTGAAGCGCAGAAAGCCAATCAAGCATGATATCGCCTCCTCGCCCATCTACCGGAGCGAAGGAGGCTGAGCTGACGTGTCCCCTTCTCGATCCTGAATTGCACCATTGCAGCCTTTCAACGAGGCACGCATTATGCCTTCGTCCCCCTGAAGGATCGCGCGTTTCCAGCGGCGCGAAAGCCCTCGTCATGCGATAATGCGCAACATGGAGCTGCTGAGCCTCCGAACTTGCCGCTTCTAACGGTGGATCGGAAAAGGGTAGCTCAATCTTGGACCGGAACAAGAGCTGCGCTCCCTCGGGAAACTCAGTCCGAGATTCGCGCCTGATGGTGGTGCGGCCTTTCTAGGACAGAACAGTGATACATGCTGCATCAGGTGTGTCTGGTGACAGCGTCATCATTCAATAACGTCCCAGATTTGGAGCGAGTCCCTCCGCCTCTTTCAATCCCCTGCATTCCAACCATACCTATCCCCTCGACCGCTCCAGCTGCTGCCTGAGACGCGGGCTCAGCAGGCTAGGCGAGATGAGCAGGTTTTTTTTTTGGAGATCCTTCGGGATCGCCGGGTGTCAGATAGATTTCCAACTCACCAACCACTTCCGGAAAGCCAAGGAGCTAAAGGGGGAAGAGTAACATGCGTGTGCATCTCACCGTCTCACCGTCTCGCCCTCTCGTCCTCTCGTGGCCCTCCTTGAGCATGACCGCGACCGCCACTGCTCGCCTCGCCGTTGCCTTGCTTTTCCTCCCTCATCTCCGCCTCATCCAGACCGGCTCAGCCCACGAGTCCGACAATGCCACGTAGGTAGCAAAGCGACGAAAACAATGATACAGGGATCTAGGATCGTTATAAGCCGTGGACCTTGTGACCGACTTCCATGACTCGGATTGAGGGTGACGGTGGACTCAGGCGCTGAACTCGGCGTGGCCGAACGGGATCAGCGGCCCCCAATGCCGGGGTGTGTGTGGGCCACTCCGAGCTCGCGAGCGGGACGTGCGCGAGATGGTCGGCCATCTGCTGAACTTGGGCAGGAGCATGGAGAGGGAGGAGGTTGGATTCGGATTCGGATTCTGGGAGAGAGTCAGTCCCACGCTCGAGAGTGAGAGAAACGGTCTAGGGAAACGGGAGGTGTACCTGGTGATCCAGGCAGACGAGTTCCTCCAGAATGAAATGACCGGCAGAAGAGACCGCAGCGCTGTATAGACAGAGTGCAACATTTGGGACGGCGATCCGGAGGGAGGGCGGCGGCTAGGGAACGCAGCGAAAACCAGAGACGCAGGGGGAGCAGGGAGCAAGCGAAGAATGAAGAGCGGTCGTGGATTCTCGGTCGCCGCAGTAGTTGGGGGGTTTGAGAGGAGAAGGAAGGGGAAGACGACGAGAGCGACGAAATAAAACGGCAGAAGAAGGAATGGTGGAATGCGCGTTTTATATGTGACGTCGAAGCAGGCGGATTGGGCAGAGCGGCCGGGAAATCTTCGGATGAAGGGTTTCGACCAATGAGCGTGCACGGTGGGCCGAGGCGGCCGAGGCGGCCATTCTGGCATTCTGGCGGTCAACTTGCCGTCGTTCCTTTTACCGATTATACTGTTTCGAAGACAACAAAAAGTCTACAAATGTTCATGTTACTTTTACTTTAGTGATTAGTCTCACCAATTCTCACCCGCTTTATTGGACCTCGGATTGAAGTCACACAGCTTACCAAGCCGTGCAACACTGCTCCGCAATTGCCGTTGACTTCCTGTTTGCCTCGGGGTTGAGAACTTCCCATTCTCACTAAAACTGTTACTGCCAATAATAAAGCATAACCCAATGCCTGGTGAATCAATGGCGAGTACAACGAATACCTCGTCTGGGCTGTGGAAGCCGACACAGTTGCAGCAATTGTATTATGGATCGGGTTCCGTGTCGAAGCAATTAGTCAATGCCCTTCCATCACCGAAGTCGAAAGCTTTCATCATAACCGGTTCTTCGCTGGCTACGAAGACCGGCCTCATTAAACAGGTTGAAAGCTTGCTTGGTGCGAACCATGCCGGGACATTTGCGGACATCAAGCAGCATGCTCCCGTAGCTCAACTGGACCAGGCAACCGACCGTGTGGTCGAGGATCCGAATATCGACACAATCATCAGTGTCGGCGGCGGGAGCCCGATCGATTCGGCTAAGGCAATTTCTTACCGTGTGAACGAGAAGCTGGGAAAATACTTGTTCCACATCACTATTCCCACGACGCTAAGTGCTGCGGAATGCACAATGAATGGCGGCTACTCCAATGAACACGGCCTCAAGATAGCCGTCAGTGATCCCGCACTGGCACCCCGTGTGGTCATATATGACTCTATATTCGCTCTGGAGACACCGCCACGACTCTGGATTTCCACCGGCTTCCGCGCAATCGACCACGCCGTCGAACTCATGTATCATCCAAATGCGACGGAGATTCCTGCTCGCCAGATGTGTCTATCAGCGATCTCAACTTTATTTACATACCTCCCGAAGTATAAACAAGATCCTCGCAACGAGGAGACCATCACGCACCTTCAACTCGGCGCCTTTGCCTCGCTCGGATTCCTGGGCCTTAATGTCTCTGGCCCACTCGGCCTTAGTCATGTCCTCGGCTACGCACTCGGCTCACCATACTCCATCCCCCACGGCTTCACGTCATGCCTGACGCTTGGTCACGTTGTACAGCTAAAGGCAGAGTCTAACCCCGCGGACGCAGCCCAGATCGCCAGAATGCTCCCTTACATTGGGCGCCCACGCAGTGGGGATGACATTGCCGATGCGAAAGCCGTAGGGAAGGCCATATTAGATCTGGTCGAGTCGCTAGACCTCAAAACCACATTAAAGGACTGGAAGGTGCCAGATGTGGAAGCGACGATCATCACCAAAAGAGCCACTAAGAAAGAGCCAGGAGATCCAACATTCGAGGCTGTCTTAGGCTTGGTCAAAGGGTTGTATGGTCTTGGGGCGAGCTTCGAAAGCAAATACTGAGGTACGAAGAAGACATGCCGGGACGTGGCGTCTTCATTGCGCCTAAATGTCGGCTGTCCGCATGATTTCAATGCTCGATGACATAGCACGAAGTCTAGAAGAGAGCAGGAAAGGACATCCATGGGTCTGCAGGGGATGGATATCGAACATGGGTACGTCAGTCAAGGTTATGCTTTCAACTAGGCATTTTACGATTAAAATTTCCATGAATTCTTGTGTGATTCGAGCTCCTCCATGACTTACGGGTTGAACCATGGAAAACGAGTCTATCGTCCGGCATCAAACGATATTTGAACTCCCTGTGCAGATCATTAGAGACTCAGATGTCTCATATCTGCCTTTGCATTAACCTGTTTTATCCCGTCTTTTTTGTTTGGCACTGTTACTAACAATTTCCCGGCTCTGCGGGCTTTCCGTATCGGCGTTGGATGAATTATGCGGTCAATCCAATCATACATAGCGGTTTCTCTACAGCAAGCTGTCATCGATTGTAATCATCGGCCGCCTATAGAGAACAAGCAATCCCAAAGCGAAGCGGTGATGGTGTCGACTTAGTAGCTCTAACAAAGTCGTTCAACACTAATCGAACCATATGGTAGTAACAAGGAACTCGTCACAAGAACCCTTGATCCGTGCAAATCTCAAGGAAAGTCTAGCTCATGGGTATGGCAGGGCCTTGAGATAAGTCCATGAGCAATATCTCTGAGGAAGCACTTTCGCGATTGCATATAGCCGGTGGGTAATGTTGTCCTTTTGATCTCTGGTTGACCATAATCAGACTTTGATAAACAGGGCGATATCGACTGCAGACTTCATGTACTTAAATTACTAATATTCGTACATGGAAAGTTTTCATAGATCTATAACCGCGTGACTGCGGGTACTGACAAGGACGAGCTGCAAGTACTCTAGGAAGAACAGATAACAACACTGCATCTTCAGAGAGCTATCTTTTGATAGGGAGGTACTCAAGCAATCTCAGTCGTTTCAGTGGCAGCTGTGTATCGCCCTACAGGGACTACGATTCTCAATTTCCAATCCCCGCTAACTAACCTACGTTCAGCCTTACAAACCTTGGCGAGATAAAGCCGAGACGCTCGTGGACTTGGGAGTGGTCTGATTGTTGCAGGATGAACTGCATGCGTACCCAGGTGCCTCCGCCCTCCATGGTAGTATGGAATTGCTCCTGTTGTGTTCCTGTGGTGCTCCAATCCTATCACGCCAGTGTCGGTGACGTTCAAATGCCGAAGTGGGGCATTGTTTCCTATCGACTGTCGTTGAACTTGCCGAGCCGCATGCTGTTCTCGTCGTCCAAGCTTCATCCTGCATGCACAAAGTACTAACACTGCACTGATCAGGATTAGCGCATGTCGGGAGGAAGGCTAAGTTGGCACGCTCTTCTAACGGTTAGGTCCCGCATTATTGTACAATCCACTCCGGGTAATCCGGACGTCTAACCGGAGTTGATCTAGATCGCTAAACCCCATATTCAACCTGCTCAAATTCTCTAATTACCTGAGCTGGGGTTAATAATAGCTCCAGGATGTTTTAGGATTTGGTTGATACGAGACTGGCTTTGTGAGTTGAGGGAAGATCATCCCCAACTCAACCAATCGCGTTTCAGTCGAGTTAATGGAAATACCTTGCCATCATGAACTATTGACGGCTGAAATCTGACAGCGGTACATCGTTCGTGTCTTTTCTTGGGCTGTTGCTTCTATTATAAAACGTGTAGGAATAGGTACCTAGGTACGGAGGTCTATTTCAAAAGCTATTGCTCGCCAGGGAAGTGGCGTGATTATATAAGCAGTTTCGAGAGCCTATGCCACGGGCACTGGACTGCCTATCAACTGGGCATTTATTTTAAGTCTTATAGAGCCTAATTCGAGGCAAGGGCGCCGGGCATTCGATTTACCGCGCGTAGTACCCGCCCGTTGGCTAGACACCCTACTGCCCGTGCTATCGGCTTTCGAACGGCTTATATAATCAAGCCCCTTTCTTGGCGAGCAATAACTTTTGAAATGGACCTCCGTACTTACGCACAAATCGTACAGATTATCATGAAGAAATGAGCCCATGACGCGCGCGGAGTACTCACGGCGGCATTGACTCCGGTGATGAATGGAGGAGGCAAGCCAGGGCTTGCATACTTGTGAAGGCATCGTGTAATTGTAATAGGGCAAAGGAAGAACGGCATCGGTCGGCAAACAACCCGCACATCCCTCCTCTGCCCAGACAGTGTCCCTGGTTCACACCGCGATCCTTCGAAGCTGCAACCTGATTAGGAGTGTCGTAATTGCCATGTCTCTGGAATGATAATTCCTTCATGCGAATAAGTCGAAACCCCCTGGACAATTAGTGGCAAGTGCCGCTTTGGGGCGGCATCGTTTGTTTCCCAGAAAGTGAACCTTTGGAGACACCCACCGCGGCATCATTTCCCTTCCGATGCTGCTAATAAGGCACATTTTTTCGACGACTAGTATGGGAGTTTAAGCTAAATCGTATCACCTGGACGGTCGCCAGAATGAACCCTAGAGCACTGCATAGGAATTAGATAGGAGATGAACGCGACACAACTCAATGTTGACTGGTGGATGGATACATGCTTTGAATTGATCTCACTTTGCGAACCCACTTGGTTTGCCTAATGATATTTATGGTTTAGAAGGCGAGTTAGGCGCATTAATAAGGATGATGTCCCCGTTATTACCGGAGCAGTTTCATAATTGAAACAATGAATTGCATCTGAAATCTGAAGATTTCAAAGCTCCCTCGTCGTGGACACCCCCGCCTTTATCCCTTTAAATCCAAGGGGTTCGGGCGTTCGGCAGGGGCCGATCGGCGCGATTAAGGGGCCCCCGATGGCCAGAACTGCCTGAGAAATTCTAGATCGCGAAGACCCTGTTTTAATTCAAGTTGAGGGCAGGAATAGTCGAAACTGTGGTTTGTGATGCGATTTGGGTGATTTGCTTTGCTAGAATGCGATATTACTTATTAGAAATGAGAAATGGGATGTAACTCGGCGCGATGCCTGATGTGGACCGATTACTAGGAACTTGAGGCATAATCGTGTAGCGATTAAGGATCCCGGCGGATGGAGTCCCGAGTTTCGCTCATTTTTGAGGTCTGGGTGCTGTTGCCTTGCCACTTCGCATTTATCAGGAATAAGGACTGTGATACCGAATTCTCGCCCAACAGGGCCGCTGGAGGAAATTCAATGGCAGCAGCAAGGAGCTAACATAATCCATTACATGTGGGAACATCCGAATGAGGACAGCGTTAGTTATACTATAACTTCACCTCCTTCTTGCACATAGCATGATAGTCGCCCGAACGGATGTCCTAGTGTGTATTCCGTACAACAGATCGCCTTCTTCGCAATCTATCATATCAATCGCGTCAAAACCTTCCGCCCTAACGACCACCATGCACGCCAACACGCTAGAATCCTTCTCGAAAACCCGGAGTTCCGGACGTATGTAGTCTCAGGCGTGGGAACTACCGCACGACAAACCTGCCTGGAGTACTGAGTAGGGCAATGCAATCCCTGCTCGTGCTTCTGCTGACCTCGTGATCATGGGGCCCTACGGGGGAGAGAGCTCATGTCCTCCGGTTTGGTGCGTGGTGTTCGCAAATCGTCCTTCCCGTCCGGGATGAAGTGCCGCAATTATCAATACCCCAATTAGGCTAGTCTTTCCCTTCTGCCCCCCTGCCACCTTTGAGCTTGTGGCTCGCTCCGAGTAGTCATCCAACTTCCAAGTAGTCGTGTCGAAGGGCGATTGATGGATTATTGAAGAACTAAGATGCGCCGGGAAAATCGCTGAACCAGAGACCTTTCACCTGGTAAGTATACAATATTTTGCGGTCTAGGAGGTGGTAATTTCAATTCACTGTGGCGCTGAAATACGGAAGTATTCCGTACTAGTACCTAAACCGACATCCTCAATAGGCTATTCATAGTAGCTTGTGAGAGAGTTGTCCCACAGACATATCGGGAGTGGCGTGCCAAAGCCTTGAGCGCTAAGGTACCGATGCGATGGAGTCTCGTACCTGAATTATAGGAGCACTTCGTATCCTGTTGGTTGTTCTGTTTCTGTGGACGTTGTTAATAACTAGCCGTCTAGTGAAACATACCACTCTTCAATAACAATTCCGGCTAAACTCTTGCTCGCGCCATCGTTTCCTGCATATCTAGGATGTCATAGAAAATATCCAGACGGCACTTAGAGTGCCGGCTGGCATCGTTCGCGGAGTCATCAACCAGCCTTACTGCAAGAGAGAACCCCAAAAGCCTATCGGTAGCTGGGGGACGCTTGCAAGATGCACCTGGAAGGCTGGGGGATGCATGTAGGCCGTAGGGCGTTCCAGTACCAGGGTAGGAAATGGACGGAGATCGCACCTTAGTCGGTGGGACGTGGTGTGGTTAGTGGTATGACTTATGAGGTATCTAGGTCCCATGTCGTGGCTGTAGAGTGCATTTAGGAGGCATTTGTCCTTTGTGAGCGGAGAAAATATGATAAACTATACCTTTGAGACTTGGGTATGCAGCTCTCACCGTCTGAAGCGACTAATCCATGGTAAATGCCGGTTCCGTTCGGTAGGAAACATTCTGTGGTCAAGCAGGGGATCTGATGGAATTGGAATACCTCAGACTGTGCCTATAATGCCCACATTGGTAAAAGATTTACCAAACGAATCCTTATTTAGAAATATTGGAGCAGTTGCCTCCGCCAATCCACCTGTGGCTTCTCTCCATTACTCAGGTCTAGGAGTTGGATCCCAACGTGGTCTTCGATCTTAACACGTTTGGTAGTGCCATTTCGATCTCTTGCTCCGCTGCGGAACTTGAATCAGGGCTGAACCCTGCTAATACCTGTACTTGCTGATAGGCGATCCATTGGTCCCAGAATGCAGGGAAGAGGCAAATCCATGCTCGACTTCCTGTAGTCTGCATGCCAGATGTTCAATACGTGACCGACGTAATCATGCTCGAGGAGACCGTTGTCGAGCTCGGGTAGGCTACCTTAGTTGCTGTGCATGGCCGTTACCAATCCCAATTTATGAAAGACTCCCTGCCTTTAAGCTGTATCTGCGGCTAATGCAATGCACCATCATCCTAATCACGAGTGATCCAGAGGCAGATGAGGACGGAAAAGGACAGCCGGAGCTATAAGTTCGACCACACCCCAAGGTCGATCATCCTTTTTCTCCCTCTTCAAACTTGATATCCGCAGTTTCTTGATAGTTGTTCCACCTGACAACCAACTCCTTTGAACATCAACTTGACTTGGCATTTGCTTAACTGAAGCTTGTTCGCACATCGACTTTAGTAAAGACGACCTCGCCATACACTCGCGAAGCAGTGACCGTGTACCGCGCAAATCCTCGCTCTAGCAGAAAATTCTCAGAAGAGACATCCCAATTCGCCTACTTTCTATTTCAAACGCTATGGAATCCCAATCATATGACTATTGGATTTCCCAAGGCGCGTATACAGCTGGTTCGACACCTGTGAACAGTCCTCAGGATTATGTTTCATATGCCCCACGCATGTCCTACCCAGCTTCAGTAAGACTTCCAGATGAGGATAATGATGCTTGACCGCATACTGACAAGACGCATTTTCAGTTTGACCCTGCTCTACCCATGTACACAGTGCCTCCTTTCGGCCCTGTTGTCGACGAGCTAGCCAGTTTCAATTACGGCGTCGGCGTGACACCCAGCGAAATGAGCTCGGCAGATGAGAGTTCCTACCAATGCAGTCCAAGGATGCCTATCATCGAGTCAGCTTATAGTCCCCAAACCGGAAAGTCTCATGCGACAAGCGGAGTAAGTCCCCCTTTTTGTTACTGAAGCAGTTCTTCTCCTCTATGGAACCAAAAGCTTACCTGAGGAATCAGCGACGACGAGCTCAAAATCGTGCTGCACAGCGTGCCTTCCGCGAGCGAAAAGAAAAGCATGCTCGCGACCTCGAAGGTCAACTGGCCGCCCTGACAGAGCAATACAATACGCTAGAGTCAGACCACGCTGAATTAAGCGCTGCGTACGAGAAGCTTCGCCGGACTATTGAAGTGCTCACCAAGGACGACACAGAAGATCACCCGCCGAGTAATGCCGATCGACTAAGAAGGTTACTCGGTATTTTGCACGGGGAAGTGAAGAAGTCTAGTGCAACGGGAGCTGCGAAGCAGCAGTCCGAGTGAGCGAAATTGACTGACTGTTGACGGTGGTCTGTTGAATGGCGCTCAGTGAACGACTTGACGTAATTGCATTGGTGGTGTTGACGGGAGGACTGGTCAATCCCATAGTCGGATTCAACAAAAAGGCGGCGTTCTCTGCGATGATAGGATCTCTGGGGGTGTTTTGATAACTCTTGCTATGTATCCTCATTTGTTTCTGTTGCTGACTGCAATGTTGAGCCTGTGATGGAAATTTCCAGATGATGCGGATGCCTAGTTAGCCATTTTGTACAGTCGTTTTGGGTTGGGACAATTGGTGAGCAATCAGCCATGAGAGCTTCAGGTTCTGCCCCTAGTGGCACTAGTGTGGCTAGTACCGGATAATGATCAGATAGATTCAAAATTCGTTTATGCACGCCAACTTGTGCATGTGGATCTCTAGATACAATTCGTCTTCGCCTAGGCTATTGTGTCGGCCATCTTGTAGCCAATCGATGGACTAGAGCTGGTGAAACAGTCTTCGTAAGAACCGATGCCCCAATCACTGATACTTTGGGTGCCACAGCAGACTCAACAACGCAAGTAAGTCGAAGAGACAATGCTTCAGCCCTATGCACATCAGTCAGCGCCCGTCACACTGCAGTGGCACGCTCACTCCCCGTCGGGTCCCCAAAATTCTAGACCTGGCTATGTTGGCAGGGGACCACAATGTCCCAGACATGTCACTGAATGAGGTGTCGCGGGGGCAATGTCAACCCCAGATACAGTGCTTGGCTTGTCGGCCAAAATCGGCACACCGGAACGTTCCTGTCCGGCTCCGATGCTGTGCCTGGCTTGGGAGGCCTTGTTAGAGGCTTCCGCTGCGAATCGAACCATACTTTGGTCATTTTAGGTGGACGCTGGTGTTCAGCAGTGAGATGACACGTGCATCTGATAGCAAACTAGCTTCACTCCATCTCACGAACTAGATGCTAGGATTTCGGGGGGAAACATGTCGATAGTGGCACGCTTCTATTTGTAAAGTGGCGTTACAACTCACAGCTCTTCCTACAAATCGTGGCTCTAGCAGAGCGGACAGGCTTCCTAGATTTCGTACCATATGGGCGAGACATGGAACGATCCATCTTGTCAAACCCCTTCCTCCTGGAAGATTTTGGCAGAACGCCCTGCTCAAGTTACTGTTGCCAGCTATGGTTTGAGTAGAGGGTGAAGAGAATAAAAGACGTCAAAGAAATAAAAATCGACGGGTTGCAGACAGTGTTGATGCATGACAGAGTACGAGAACAACTGAATAGAAAGATAAACCATCTAAGTGCGATGGGCTGCGTCATGATGGACTAGAGAGTAGAGGCTTGGGAAGGTTGTATTCGGCTTGGTTGTGTAAGTTTGGGCAGCTTGTGCATCATGCAGTCGACCTTTTTGAACAAGATGCATGGTAGCATTGCGGCAAACTAGCTTGAGGGGCTTGAAGGAATTTCCGAGATGAAAATTGTATCCATGTGAAGAACTGACGGCGATAGGTAGCTATACCGGAATTCGAGTTGAATGCAGTCCATAAGGCTTTGACGCGGTGCTTCTGCTGCGGCCGGTGAGATCGGTTGGTTCAGGTGTCGGAGCTGTCAGCAGATGCAACACACTCAGCACACTCACACGCCTCTCAACTCTCAACTTGTGTACTGGAAAACATGATATCATTGTCCAAGTTCATTAATTCTTCCTTGGACTGGGCGTTGTTGGAAGTTGAGGCGCGATTTCGAATGGACGCGACATAATAACTACGGGATGACTTCGGGACTTTCCCATCACGTGCTTCTCAACGTCAGCTCATCACTCCAAGTTGTCTTCGTTGTCTAGTTCAACGCCCCATTCTGCTGTAATTTTCTGCACGGAATCATGAAATATCCAAGAACCAAGAACTGACACAGGTGGTGTATAGATGATCTAAAGGAGGCCAAGGAGGGTGTGTTTTCGTTAAACTCCGTCTTAGGGAAACATTGCAATACAAGAGTCCCAATATGCCGGTTGGAGTGTACCGCTCTAGTGCTTCGGCTTTCAAGCCATTCAATTCCATTCCTATCGGTCACATTCATCGAACGAGCCGGCGATCACCGCGATTCAACAGTACATTGAGCACACCAACCCCCCCTAAGACCAACCGAATCCGCAACTTTTTTTACAGCGCTGCGTTACTGCTTTCCACCGGCGCAGTATACATTTATGCCACAGATACGCGCGCTAGCATCCATCGCTACGTGGTTGTGCCCGCCGTGCGTACAATATTTCCCGACGCCGAAGACGCCCACCATGCCGGTGTGAAAGCCCTTCAAATCCTCTATCAACTCGGCTTGCATCCGCGGGAGCGTCTGAGACTCTCATCCGCAAATGCTACGACACCTACCTTGTCGGTCAATGTTTTCGATACCGAGCTCAGCAGTCCACTGGGAGTCTCAGGTGGTCTTGACAAGAACGCCGTAATCCCGGATGCTCTTTTCGCACTCGGTGCTGGAGTCGTTGAGGTCGGTGGGATCACGCCGCTCCCACAGCCTGGAAACCCTCGTCCCCGGGTATTCCGCCTGAAGGAACAGCAAGCGCTGATCAACAGATACGGCTTGAACTCCGAAGGCGCAGACGCAGTTGCCGCACGACTGAGAACCCGTGTGCGAGAATTTGCCTACCGCCACGGGCTTGGGATTGGCGATGATGCGGAGCAGGCAGTACTAGATGGAGCGGCCGGTGTCCCACCTGGGAGTTTGACGCGAGGTTGCCTACTCGCGGTTCAAATAGCGAAGAACAAAAACACACCAGATGGTGATCTGACTGCAGTGGCAAGAGATTACTCGACTTGCGTTGAGAAGCTGGGGAAGTACGCAGACGTGTTGGTGGTGAATGTTTCATCGCCGAATACCCCCGGTTTGAGAGACCTACAACGCGTGGAGCCGTTGACTCGGATCCTCGCAGCAGTAGTTGATGCCGCGTCGAATACCCGACGCAAATCACCTCCGAAAATCATGGTTAAGATCTCCCCGGACGAAGATGATTTGGAGCAAATCCGGGGAATTTGCGAGGCGGTGACACAGGCTGGTGTGGACGGAATCATTGTTGGGAACACCACCAGGTCCCGTCCAGCGCCGAAGTTTACAATCCCCCCAAAAGAATTCGCGACCATGGACGAGCAAGGTGGTTATTCAGGACCTCGAACGTTTGATCAGACACTCAGTCTTGTCAAAACTTATCGTCGTGAGCTGGACTTCGCTCCCGTCAGGTTGTCTAACAAAACAAGGAGCGAAGGGCTACATTCGGAGCAAGCGACCACTGAAACGACAGAAAACACACAAGGAAATTTTCAGATGCCTTTATCCAGACCGCCCGAACTGACAAATCCATACGACCTGCCGCCAAAGACAATATTTGCTAGTGGGGGCATATCCACTGGGGAGCAGGCACTTGCAGTCTTGAACGCTGGCGCAAGTCTTGCGATGATGTACACCGCGCTATCCTACAACGGAGTCGGCCATATCACGACTGTGAAGCGGGAAATGGAGGATGCTATGTATGGTACAAAACAATTGAGCTCATAAAAGTGAGGCTTGTTATGGTCCCGGGCCTGTGGCCTGGGCCCTTGAGTATGGCTGACGCCACAAGGATGTGGCTAGTGGATGGCATGGAGGATTATCAAGGAGATAGTCATATGGGAGCTATGTGTTAGGACGGAGCTGTGTTAAGGAGCTGTGTTGGGCTGTGTTAGGATAGCAGAGAGAAGAGTTTATATCTCGCGCACAAAGACGCTGGGAGATTTCTTCCTTCTCTCTCTTCAGTTTAGATTAATGGAACTTGGTAATCGCAGATCTTGCGCATCCAGACCGTGTCAAGGCTTGTACAAAGTCTAATGGATTCCGGTAACTGGTGCGAGCCAACGATAGAACAACCAATATTAAAACCCAATAATACCATGTTAGGCTTAAAGTCCCACATAATGCGTAGAGAAAAACGTCACAAAGCGCCCTGATCGTGACCCCCTTCAACCATTAGCCTAGTGGTGTATTCTAAAGCAACTCCAGACACTCCACGTCATTCTAGACAGAATCCATTCGCTGCCTGAATACCAGTAGATGATTATAAATCCAGAATGCCGAGGGGAGACAACACAGCTCGCATCCACTCGGCCATTGGAAATGCAACCGGCCAGCTCTGCAGTCACTCCTACTCTCCGTCCGTCACGGGAGGAGTGAGCGAAGAGCCTTCTTCGTTAAGGGCTTGTACCCTGTCGCCAGCCCCTAAAACTCTTCGTGATTTTTTTAGCGGGGTTGATTCTGCAACTTTGTCATTCAGCTTCTCCAGCGGCTCATCTCTGCATCTCTTGCCCAGCACGTCGCCTCTCATTGTGGTACCATCTTTCTCCACTTCTGCCGGATCGTTCACCGTTCCATGGATGCTTTCATCGAGGACCAGCGAGACCGGTGAGACACCCTGGTGAGACTTCGTGTATATTGCACCACCTCTTCTTAGCCTGTTGTGCATAAAGTATGCAACGCTCACCACGTCCTTCAGTGATTGGAGCTGTCGTTGGCGAACCATTGGCTTGATGCCTTCCCACTCGACTCTCGAAATGGGGAGCTGGGTCTCCTTTATGGCATGGCCAAGTTTTCTTCCAAGTTTCTCAATAGCGTGGTTGTCAAGTTCGTGATCAGTTAATGGTAAGCGGAGATGTAGGTACGCAACACAGGGCGGGGCGACTTGGTTCTCCTTTGCTGGGTTCCCATCGGGTTTGTGTAACGGCGCGAGTTTGATGGGACGTTCATATTTCCTTCTACGGTTTAAGAGAGAAGGAGGGTTCTTTTTTCGATGCTCATGGTGCGTAATCTCTTCCTGCAGGTCCACAAGCTCGAAAGGACGCCCTTTGTGTTTGCGGTGGAGGATCTGAAGACATTCAACAAGGGCGTTCGTAAAAGATTGTTCGCCCGATTCCGCTCTCTTATCAAACGCTCCAGCAGTGAGAAGCTGGTAATTCCGATCATCGCTCCCGCCTATGTCCTTGTGCCCAATATTGCCAGCATAGCATGTGTCGAGGATGGCAAGGACGTCTACGAATACGTTGTCGTTCAGATAATTCTCGATCTTCTGCCAGTATACAGATGAATGGTGCTCGCTTCCTGGTTTGTCTAAATGATTCGTTGCATGCCACTTCAGCTGCTTGGTCTCAAGATCAAGCTTTCCATGTCCGTTATAATAGATGATGATAAGCGTATTCTGCGTATCTCCTTTGATGATGTTGATTGCATCGATGACCCTCTTCGTGGGCACCCACTCTTCGCTCTCTTCAAGTTGAATGATTTTGGTTTCGAAACGGAAATCATCAGCGAAGACCTCCGATAGCTTCTGTACCTATAAAATGTTAGGCTCAAACTATTCAAACGATACTGCTAGGAAAGGGAAACTGTACATAGTCTCCTTCGTTGAGACCTCCTCTCTGCTCCAACTCTTTTGTCCATTTGAACATGAGTACTGTTACATCAGTATAGTACCCTGGACGGCCCATCACCTTCTCCGTAGCTTGTTGAAACAGGCGTCTTTGCTCGGTGTGTCGCGTGTCTTCGGAGGAAGCATTTGGGCCAGCGACCGTTGTACCAGCGGAGGGAGTCATCGACATCTCATCCATGATGTTGAGAACCCTTTGATATCAGTGATTGGCTCTGAGTTTAGAAATAAAAATGCACCTCAAGGACGTTCTAGTTCGCCCAGGTTTGGGGATTGTACTCCTTTAGAAAAGCCGACCGCACAGCAGAGCATCAGAATAACTCAACGGTTACATGGTACAACAATACATAAGAGTAGTAGAGATCCAGCCAAATATAACCAACATAGTGCAGAACAATGGGTTAGATTGAAGACGAAAAAGGCAAAACCATCTCCCACATCAAACGCAAAGAAAGCCAGGGGTGTCAGTGATGGAGGGGTGCACAGTGACAGGCATAACCACCCAAGCCTCCTCACCAACACGAACCATAGAGCTCCAAACCAAAGAATTGCCTAGAATATGCGTAATTGGTTGGGGTGTGGAGGGAGAACTGGGAGATCGGAGGTGGCAAGGCTGTGGAGTTCCTAGGACCAGGCCGCCGCATAGCCCTGCCTGCGGTCTCACAAGTCACAACCAGAAGCATTGGATAACTGGAATCCTCCCAGGCATTTGAAGGGGGGTATCATTTCAAGGGAAATTAAAGAGTACCAGCAGGAATAAATATCTGAAGCACTGTTTCTCCTCTCCTCTCCACCTTTGTTACATCACTTGGATATATTGGCATGATGGGAAGAACGGAGCTGTCACTACTCTATTAGTTTGTCCGGCACTGGCAGGGTAGGTCCATAAGTTCACATGATTATAAGCCCCCTCAGGATACATCACCGAGCTAAAAGTTTCAACACAACAAGTATTGCTGCTGACACCATGACAGACCTTCCTATTCGTTTTACTTGCCTAGCTGCGGCGTTTGGGGTTTGGATAAGGCGTGGAAACTCTCCACTGAATAGCCATAGCGATAGTCTGGCATTTGAGGTTGATCATAGCAAAGAATCGATAGAATTAACACCCCAGGAAGTGATTGGTCCAAACAAGGGAAGGTAAAGGTATTCACTACCAATTTCCCCAAGCCTTCTCGCAGCCACCAACAACGCGGACAACAGGCTGAACATTGGCCATGATGCTTAGGAATTTGCATGAACCCCATGGCGCTCACTTGCAGCGCCGGGTAATATAGATGTGATTGATGGATTACCGATTGTGGAGGGAGCCTTTTACGAACTGGTGCAATCCTTCTGCTGCAGTGCGAGTCGTCCTCACAGCCCCATCCCACATGACCTGGTGCCGAGTAGATTCAAAGGGTTGGGTTTGGAGCAGCATGAGTCGCCTGCTGAAGAGGCCGTCAACAAACTAGGCTGCAATCACAGAGCCTTATTGTATAAATCGGCAATGTAATAGCCTTTCGCAGTAGGAAACCTCAGAGTTCGCTTCATTTTCGTTTCTAATAGTGCATCCAAAAGCTCTGACCCCGAGTACGCCTAAGACAGCCTCATTTAAATCGCCTCGCTTCAAGGCGACTCTCCCGATCGGATCCGAGGCGATGCAGGAAGGACAACAGTCATATCGGCCGATGGTCGACAACGTCAGGTTCCAGCCGATTGAAGGAGTTACAGTGACCTATGACATCGAGCATCCATGGAATGAAAATGAGGAGAGCCAAGTTCTGAAATCCGATGTTTTAAAGACCGACTCGAAGAGAAAAGTGTGTTGAAGACAATTGCAAGCACGTTGGCCTTGGGATTACATTGACTGATACGATATAGTCACGCGCGGAGTTTGAGATTGACGATACCGTGCATACTCGGGCGGTCGAACGGTCCGACACGTCGACGACGGCTTCGCTGCGGACCTGCATAGTGACCGACCGGAGATACAGCAATGGCAGCAAATGTTGGCAATACACACTGAAGGATAATCAGACCCACCAGGAGCTGAAAGAGAGGGTGACCGGTTCTAGTTGGTTTCCGGAAAAGAAGGTGCGACACTTCAGCGGTTAGGAGATCTGCTGCGCCTACTCTGTCTTGCAAGATAGATTGCCTCAGCTGCGATGAAACAGGAATGAGTGGCTGGAGCGATGAAAATATTGAAGTAAGGGTGAAGATTCGAGAGTAGCGCAACACCACTCTTGGAGCGGCAAATGTACGCAGCCTCGCCGCAGTGTTACATTGAATCTGTACTGACCGGAAGGCTGCACATGAAGGGCGAGGTAGGTCGAAAGGTCGGAAAATTGGACGGGTTTCGTGATCTGTTCCTCCATTAAGTGTTCATACCGTATTTAGACTGTATAGATAGCATTGGAAATGACATTATTTCGTTTATGTCGAGTTGAATAAAAATAGTTCCCGTGCAGGATCATGGCTGAAATTGAAAAGCAAGTGGATACACTGAGTCCAACTACACAAGACTCTGGTTTTAGTCTGAAGAAAGTGGGGAGTTCGGAGCACAGCAGCGATTATGACTGCGAAACCGGCTCAAGTAAAGACAAAAGTATTGATCACCCCAATGATATGTCTCGACGGCACTGACAGACTGATTAGGGGGATGGCTTGCACGCATGTTTGGCCCACGACTTATGGACCCAGATGTTGACGATACCATAACGCGAAGTCTTGAAGACTGTCCGAATGGGTATCCGAGACTGGCAGCGTTCCTTGCTTCAGAGCCAAACTTCTCCCTGTATCGTGGCTTCGGGTATCTGCACGCGCGCGTGCTTCTCGAGCTTCAGTCGGAAATCGTTGCATTGGAGCAGGAGCTCGATGACATCGATGAAATCCATTCCGAGACTGACGGCTCTAATAGGCGTCTGATATCACGGGGTGCGGATGTTGCGGCTGCTGATCGAGAGAAAGAGGAGCGTACTCGACAGGACATCCTGAGGGACATCCGCACCAAATTAGTAGAATATGACGATATGATGATCAAATCTCGCGAGCTGACTTCATTTCAAATCCCGTCTCAAAGAAATTATAGAAGCGTTCGGGCGTGGATTTATAACCTCCAGCCACTGGTTGAACGAGAGCAGGAATTCATCAAGCGGAAAGAAGACATTATCACGACTCGCCAAGGTCGTGAGTGGTCCGGTTTCGATGGGTACGTGGAGTCAATGATTCGACGACTGAACTGCAAATTGATTCGGGTAAGTGAAGGCCCCATAAATGCTATATAGACCTTGACTAAATTGTACAGCATATATTCTGCACCCGGGAGCTACGAGAGAAGACGAATGACAAACATGTCAACTACTACTCCGCATCCCGCGTGGAAAAGTTCGTTGGCATCATTATCACCGTCATAATTCTCATTCTGTTGGTCCTTCCAGTCGTAGCGCTGTATCAAATGACTTCGATGCGAAAGAAGTCATCCACAATCGATGCTGTGGGCGTTCTGATTGTCTTCACTCTTCTTTTCTCGGCGGCGATGTCTTTGCTCACGAAGGCGCGTCGTCATGAGCTGTTTGCTGCTTCTGCGGCATATTGCGCAGTGTTAGTGGTATTTATCAGTAATTTTGGAAATGATGGCCCTCAGCGTTGATTCAATGGATAAATTTTCTACCTCAAGTCGAGCAAAGGGTGATGATCATTGTGTTCAGGGCCTAGGAACCATCGGTACTCACCAAGGTTCTAGCCAAGCAGACATTGAGTTGACATTCCCAATCATACTCTGCTCGTCTAGTAGATAGATCTAGGGATGTGTAATGTAAGATGTATGAAAATCCTTTTCCAGAAAGAAATCTAAGGCTACTTTACGGTAAAGTCCTTAGTTTTCCCACTTTACACATCCCTAGCTGTAGAACCCATGAGATTAGTGCTTGGAATACGACAATCCAACTGGTCGATCCAGTCTTGAGCAGCGAGTGGTATTTATAAGATTGGTGACCTAGAACATATGCGGTATAGTACGCCCCCTGAGGCCTGAAGGAGCCCCACTCTGATTAGTCCGATACGAATGTCCAATGCGCCAACTCTCCAATCATTGATGTTGGAACGGACTCGGACTCGGAATTGGAGCATGAACAGTACTTCAGGAACAGGGCAATCAGGACGGCTTGGACTAGACGGATGACAACGCTCAAGTTCAGGGTGGGATTCCATGGACGGGAATGGGAATCTCCCTGGTATCCGTTAAGACTCGTACATCTCCAGATTCGAGACATGCATAGTTGATAGTACCTCATTAGGCAAATCTCATTGAGCGGCACAGGACAAGATCGCTATGGATACACATTACCAATACGGAGTAAGAGCCAAACAATTGTTGTTGCAACTTGAAAAGGAAGTGTGGCCTGTGGGAAATGGCAAAGGAACTTCTCTCGCAATTGCGTTCTCCCCGCACCTGACTTCGCGTTCCGGAGATGCTTCGACCCCACCAGACGCGTCTCAAATACCGAGAAACGCGTCACTAGCCAAGTTTCCCCTCGTGTGATCCTAGGGGCCCATGCCTGTTGATAGGAGGAGTCCGCCTTATTTTAGATGCATGGCGCAACACTATTGAGTCGGATTGCATATGATTGTTGTACAGGATTTCCATTTCGGAGACGGAAGGCATAGGAGAGCCGATCAGCGGTGAGGATGAGGAATGGGGGCGCCAACGTGTTGATAACGTTAGGGTGAACGTTACAGTAAACGTTAAGGTGAAAAAGGTTAGAAGCAATTACTTCCAAGGAGGGGATAGGCACCAAGTACTTAAAGGACAGGCATATCTCCATTCGTGTGTCAGACAATTCACTTCTTTCACCTGTCATCCATCTCCGAGCTGTTCAAACATCCGATCAAGCAATTACTTCTCCTGTCCAGTCCCACCAAACTCCCAGCAACATCCCAGAAGGATTTTTCTATCTGCATCCTCTCCCTCATCATGTCCACCACTACCGAAGACCAACCCTCCCAAACCTACTCCGGCCATTGTCACTGTGGCGCCCACCGCTTCACCGTGACCGTCTCCCCCCCTCTCGGCGCCGGCCCCAAACCCGAAAACACCGGCGTCACCCACTGCAACTGCAGCATCTGCCACCTCCAGGGCCTTCGATTCATCTACGTGGACCACGCCGCCGTGACGTTCACGAAGGGCGGCCCGGACGGGATGACCCCGTACCAGTTCGCGAAGAAGAACATCGCGCATCGGTTCTGCCCGACCTGCGGCACGTTCGTGATCTCGCAGAGCGTGGATCCCGACATGTATCCGAATATTCGGGCCGTCAATATGAGGTGCTTGGCGGAGGTGAACGTGGATGATCTGCGGCAGGATGTAGTGGATGGGAAGAAATTGGAGCCGCTATATAAGTTGGATGACTGAACGGGATGTGGAAGCAAGTAAGCGGTCATTTGAGGCGAGGATGAGGAGGATGGGTGACATAAAATGATCATAACAACCGTTTTGTAATCCGAGGACAGAATTCAAATGCATTGGGAAAAGGCCTCCAATATTATTCCCAGACACCAGCACCAGAATGCGAAATCCTGGCCATGCAACGGTTCCAAAACCGCCTGTGTAAGTCCTGAAACGCCACATAACAACGCATGTCAGTACGCCGAGTAGGAATGACAACTAGCGCTTCTTTTATACAAATCGTTCGCGCCATTAGAAACACAAGTACAGCACCCCTCCAAGCCCCGTCATTCCCACACCAATCCACCACCATTTGTCAGCCAACGACATTTGGTTCTGCCTCGGAAGAACGGGATTCTGGAAGACCCTCTCATCGCCCACTGACCGCCTGAACTTGCTTCCCGTCTTTTGCGTTCCTGCCCCTGTGGAGGTGGAGGTGGGATTGAGGGTCTGGACGGGGAGCATCAGGGGTGATGTGTACTCCTGGTAGAGAGGCATGAGAGGCGAGCCATCGAATTGGAAGAGGTTTAACCGCATAACGTTGTGATATGGGTCCGTTCGAACTTCGTAGCGCTGGAAGATACCTTGATCAGTATGGGCTTGCGATCTGGATCTGCCAGGGACCACGTACCTCGAATAATTCACTCTGGTTATATCGAGTGTAGATTGCGTGTTCGTACTTGCAGGGGTTTGAGAGCAATTGTCTTCCGTCGATGGCTAGCGGCGTCAAGACGAGGGAGCCGTTCTCGTATTTCGTCCATGTCCCATGTTGCCACTGCATAATCCCCTTGGGACATTTCGGTTGCACAGCTATAAGTCTGTTAGTCCTCGATTCGTAAGCAACACCCGGATCGCGTGGATGTGGTCTTCTCGGAAGCTCGATGTCAACGCCAGGGACACGATCCCTAGCAAAATGGAGGTTCGATAAACGTACGGTTTGGGATTGCCCGATAATAAGCCACCTCGTAATGTCCATCGTCGGAAAAGGAATAGGAAATGCCCGGGTGTTTCGGTTCGATCAATCTCTCGCCGACCGGATCGTAGAAACTCTTGGTCATAGTCAGTCTTTGTCCTGTCCTTGGTTTCGAGCCAACGGATTTCTGGTGTCGCCAGAACCATACTTACCGGACCAGTAAACACTGTTTTCGCTTTACTCGACCATGTCCCCGTTAGATTTGGATCGGTTATCTGCGCTGAAATCACGCTGGCGAATGCAAGGAGCGTGGTTCCTATCGGGAGAAGCATGTTGATCGTAAGGACGGAGGAGTAGTTGCAGGATCCAGGTTCGCGACTCGGGTCGCTAGAAGATGCTCATGTGTCTCCGGACGTTTGAAGGTCAGGTGGAAGGTTTCAATATTTAACGAGCGTGTATTTCAAGGTGTGTAAAGGCTTGTAACGAGTGTGATAAAAGTTGGCCGTCGTCGAGGGGCGATGATGGTGTCACGCATTTAGGGAGGACACTAAGAAATGGAAACAAGGACTGGGGCAGGTCGCACTTTCTTCTGTTCCCTGCAAGTGGCTCCTTTGAACGACTGGTCTTGGCGTCGATCATGACTACCTGCTCATAGTATTCCGTACGAGAAGGCCATGAACTGGTGACAGGACACTATACAAAGAAGTGCGAGTTCACGATCTTGTCAATGCAGAGAACATCAATCTAAAGGCATCAATATCGCTAGAATCTTAACCATAGTTCCGCGAGTTGCCGAAAGTCTACATTACATACCAGCCACTTGATGGCTCTGGGTCCAGAGGGCGAAATGGCGAGCCTGAAAATCACCAAGAAAGAGTTCAGGACGCGCCTAAATAGCGTCCTAAAGCAATTGACAAGAGAGCAAATCCTGTCGCAATGTCCGTTTCAATTGCAGCATTGATTTGCATACTGTATCTAACGTGCTGGACAGCAAAAACAGCATCAGAGAAACTGATGTCACTCCCGGAATATCGGGATGCGCGGCGGATATCCATTTACTTGTCCATGCCGGCAAATGAAATAGTAACCACCCAGATTCTTGAACATTCCTTCTTAGATGGCAAGAAGGTGTTCGTGCCGTGCATCTACAAGAGGTCAAAGCCGGAGCCCGGCATTCCTACTTCGATCATGGACATGTTGGAGCTGAAGTCGCTGGACGATTTCCGCGCATTGAAGCCGGACAACTGGGGTATTCCGACGATTCCTAAAGACTCCATCCCGCACCGCAAGAACTGCTTCGGCGTATCAGGGCTCTCGGAAGAGCATCCGGACGAGAAAGCCGACGATGCAGGGCTGGATCTCCTGGTCATGCCGGGAATGGGATTCGATCTGAGCTTTGGCCGGCTCGGTCACGGGAAAGGATACTATGACTACTTCTTGCAACGATACGCGGAGCATTCACAGAAAGGATTGGTTTCGAAAGGGATGCCATTTCTTGGTGAGCATCTCTCCCACCCGTCTTGTCTTCCGACGCCTGAGGCGACTCGCTAATCGCGTCGGTAGCCGCGCTATCGCTAAATGAGCAAATCTTGGGCCAAGACGAGCAGGTTCCGATGGGTCCTACCGACTGGAGAGTCGATGCCTTGATCCAAGGCGACGGAACCGTGCTGCGAGCTGATAAATAGCTCGTGGTTCAATGTCTCTCCACCCGTTTGCTTCCCGATGACCATTCCCGACCGGTTCATGATGGTCGTCCAAAAAGAGTCGTTCGCGAAATTGTTCTCCCAAACTCCACATGCAGGGGCGCATTCGTTCAACAAGGGATCATTGTACCATCTGGATAAGTGATACGTTGTCTCCTTTCAACAGGATTTGACCTTTCATGAGCATTAGTATACGCGCAATCAAGCATACTATTAGACTTACCCAAAGGCCGCTTCGTCTCCTCTTGATTTTTTGTCGCCAGCTTCACCTCCACCGCGTCGTCAATGACGAGATTCATAAACTCATCGAATCCCTAATCTAGCGGTCAACAACTGCTTTAGTTTCCACAGTGTGTAGAGTACAGCATACCCTGATCTTGCCCTCTATCCTGATCTGCAGTTGCTCGAATAGCCATATTGAGACGGGGCTCTGTTGCTGAAGCAGGCGAAAGATAAAATTGATGGGTGGTAAGAGGACCTTGCCTCTGCCTCCTCCTCTGCCAGACATGTTCGGGGACTCTGAAGGATCGATCGATAGAGCTCAGTTGGTTGTTCGTTTCAAGGTGGATTGTCAATCAAAGACGGGCTTTCGGATGATTTGTTGCAGGAAGTAGCTCCTGTAGAGTCAGTGTTTCCTTGGTTTGATGGGGTACTTTTGTCCCGTGTCTTGTGGTGCTGAAGTATCAAGCAGGTGAAAGCTGGAGTGCTGTAGCCCTGTCGTGAAGTTTTGTGGACGCAGAGTGGTCGAAGCTCAGGGTGGTGGGATCACGTGACTGGTTCTCAGATATCGGCGCCAAAGAAATTCCGATCACCTTTGCGCCTGCTCCCTTGTTTAGGTCAGAACTCGTATGACGATGGTGGTTGTTCATGATGAAGTCCACGACAAGCAATCTAAAACACAGATAGCTCAGAAAGGGAGTATTGAGATAATAATGGAATGCAAACCTTGTGCTGTAACCTTTTAAAATTGCCATTATCTCAAGATTTACTCTAAATCATGAACAAGGCCACACGCAATTGATGGTGCCAAGCCCCACTCTCTTTGTGTGCTGTTGTCACAGCACCACCTCAAGCTCCGCTCTACACAGCCGCGATCTGATATTTCGGTCTTTACCATCTATTCCTTTCCGATCACCTCCAAACCAACTAATCCATCTTCCTGTTCCTCTTGCATCCCTGTAGAGGCATTTACCGACCGACGTCAACTCCCCTCATTCTCTAATGCCCCGAGCCCCGCATACGACCTGACGTCCCGCATAATCCTTTCACGTCATCCAGATTTCCCGCCCTATTTGCGCCGTGCTATCTCAATATGGCCCTCGCGGCACCCGAAGACCTCGTGCCTATCCTGTCGGCCGTTGACACCCTTCAGACCAATGCCGACAGGGCGGAGAAAGGCCAGGCTCACGAATTTCTCGACCAGTTCCAGAAAACGGTGCGTCTGGGGAATACCCATCAGCGCAAAATCCAGAAGCATCCACTAACAGTTGTCATTCACAGCAAGATGCATGGAACACGGCTTTCTCTATCCTGCAAAATGCCGATATCTCGGTCCAAGCGAAGATGTTCGCAGCGGTCACGTTGAAGGGAAAGGTAGAGATGTTGAAATATGCTGGAGGAGGATGAAAACTAACCCCACACAGATTGTCTACGATATACATCAGATTCCCCGCGACACCCTTCCGTCACTCCGCGACTCGTTGTTACAAGCTCTTGTCGGCTACCGGGCTGGACCGAAGCCTATTCGAACGCTGCTATGCGTCTGTTTAGCGAACCTCGCTATCCAGATGACGGAATGGAAGGACGTTCTGCCGTTGGTGATTAACAGCCTAGGAAAGGACCAGGAAAGCATACCATGTGTTCTGGAGTTCCTCCATGTGCTTCCGGAAGAAGTTACGGAAGGCCGCAAAGTCAACCTCTCAGTACGTCGCCGATCGATACCCGTGTGAAATGGTCCCCCTCAGTCAGCCGTCGGCCGATCTGTTCCTATTGTACATCACTGTGGTCTTTAAAGCTTGTCTAATCTTTGGATTGTGGTACAGGAAGAAGAATTGGACCAGCGGACCAAGGAGCTCCTGGAAAACAATGCGTCCCACGTCCTTGAATTGCTCTCCAGCTATGCGCAATCCTCCAGTAAGTTCTCGAATCTGCCTCTGTAGTCTATCTAATACGTGCAAACAGAATCCGCCGCCAGAAATCCACAGCTTATGGAATGCATTACATCTTGGTCCATGGAAGTCCCGATTCTCGATATTGCCAACTCCCCTCTTCTCGAGACCGTGTTCGCATCGCTGGAGGACGAGGAAAACAGCGAAGCATTTGACCAAGCCGTCGAGTGTATTTGCTCCATATTCAGGGAAACGAAGGATGTGGATGCGAGCCTAGATGTCATCAACATCCTGTTTCCCCGCACGGTCAAACTAAAACCGAAAATCAAACTCGCAGCCGATCAAGAGGACGGAGAGCTTATGAAAGGCATTACTCGAGTATTTGCAGAAGCAGGGGAAAATTGGGTCGTGCTCATTGCACGTCATCCAAAGGAGTTCCGAGAACTGGTTGAATGCATTCTTGAATGCGCCGTCCGCGACCGCGAAAAGGACGCGATCAATTCTACTTTCATCTTCTGGTACGAGCTAAAACAACTCCTAACCATGGAGAAGTACGACGAGGCTCGCAGAGGGTATTCCGATATCTATTCGAACCTAGTCGATATCATGATCAGTCATCTCCAGTACCCTGCTGGGGAAGGCACCTCGAACGATGATCTGTTCGACGGCGACCGGGAAGCAGAAGACAAGTTCCGAGAATTCAGACATCAAATGGGCGACGTCCTGAAAGATTGCTGCTCGGTCATCGGGGCCACGGAGTGTCTGCAAAAGTCTTTCATCCTGATCCAACAGTGGATTTCCACCTACGGCTCGAAAACTACAGCGACGGAGGTACCGCATTGGCAAGAGTTGGAGGCGCCATTGTTCAGTTTCCGTGCGATGGGCCGAATGGTATCTCCCGAAGAGAATGAGGTGCTCCCACATTTGATGCCGCTCCTGGTACAAATTCCGGATCACGAAAAGGTCCGCTTCCAAGCAGTCATGTCCCTGGGCCGTTATACGGAATGGACTGCGCAGCACCCCGAAACCCTAGAGCCGCAATTGAACTATATCATGGCAGCGTTTGAGAACAAGTCAGTGGAGGTTTGCCGCGCAGCAGCTCTCTCGTTCAAGTTCTTTTGCTCCGATTGTGCGGACTTATTGAAGCCCTTTGTCCCTCAACTACAGCCTTTCTACCAGAATGCCCTCCCTCGTTTAAGCGACAGCGCGCAGGAAGAAGTCACCGAAGGTGTCGCGGCGATCATCGGAAGGCTGCCACCCACCGAGATTTATGAGGCGATGAAACTCTACTGTGACCCTCTCATGAAGACTTATATGGAGCTAGCGCAAACCGCAAGCACCGATAAGGAAAAAACGCACCTTGCAGGTACAGTCCTCCGATCATATTTTATCCCAACGCGGTGCCTAACAATCTCTAGACAAACTAGCGCTGATATGCATCTTCGTCGAGATTGTCCACCCCTATATTGAACCCGGCCAACCCCATCCGGCAGTTCGCTATTGCCAGGAGATATTCCCGATCCTCGCTGCTATTGCGGACAACTTCGTCGAATGTTCCCCCATCGTCGAGCGAATATGCCGGTGTTGGAGATCGATGGTCCTCTCCTACCGAACGGCAATGGCACCGCTTCTTCCAGATCTTGCAAACAAGCTATCCTCGGCCTTCGCTTCAAGTAAGCAAAGTGGGCTGCTCTGGGCCACCGATGCTATCGTTCGAGAGTTTAGCGATGGACAAGACGACGTGGACGAGGCCACGCTCAACGCCATCTTCCAATTCTACGAAGCGCAAGCCAAGACCTTCCTACAAACTTTGAGCGATCTGAGTCGGGAGCAAATGGGTGATGGTATGTAGTGATACCATATCAGATTTCTGAACGAATACTAACCTCTACGTAGTCATCGAGGACTTCTTCCGCCTCACGAGCGACGTCTTACTCTACCACACCTACCGTGTCCTCCCCTCTCCCCTCATGCCCACCATCATCGCCGCCGCCTCTGACGCCCTCAACCTTCTCAAAATGGAACCCATCATGGCCGTCCTCCACTGCCTCCGCGATTTCCTCGCCTACGGCCGCGCCGAGCCCCCCACCTCGACCCTCTCCTTCGGCCACGACTCGTACGAGCACCGTGTCAATCCCCCCGAAGTGCGCCAGAAAGTCGCCGACATCCTCACGAACCTGGGCGAGGGCCTCACGCAGCGCGTGCTCATTGGGATGATGTTCTCGTTCCCCAGCGACTGCATCCCCGACGCGTCTGGCGTGCTGCTGGGCTTGTTCCAGGTCGTCCCCGCGCCCGCGAGCCAGTGGGTGGCCAAGACGTTGCAGCTGCTCCCCGCGGGCAGCGTTCGTGAGGCGGAGGCGACGAAGCTGATGAAGGGCATCGAGGAGAAGTTGGCGGGCGGCGACGGGGATGTGAGGAGGATCCGGGCGCTGCTGCAGGACTTCACGAACTCGTATCGCAGAAGAAACGTGGCGCCGAGGGAGGGTTTGGGGAGTCTGGAGGGGAAGAGGTTTAAGTTCGGGTGAGCGGGATAGAATGGGTGATGCGAGACGGGCTGTGAGAAGCTGCATAGACGGACATGTACGTCGAGAACTTCTTATGGATAGTCGTTGTCTTGACGCATTATGGCAAACGAGATGTAGAATAAGAGGGCATAGCAAATGCGAGTAAGTCGACGGTTACCTAATATTGCCGTTTGCTAAGTGTTGAATTCGATGATCAACCCATTCACATCTTCACTACCATTGAACCTCACACACACTCACCGTAGCTCCATGGAGGAGTACCTAGTTAGGTCGGTAGATATACGACTCTAATGGCGGATGAGAAGAAGGTACAGGTATCCCAATAATATTCCGTATTGAATTACATCTGTAGCTCATTTAAGCTTTGTTAATTGCTAGAATTCGTGAAGAACAGAGGGGATAGGGAGTTCAGTCATGTGCTGTGATGCTTCTCCTATTTATTCCGCTCAAATATTATTGCCAAACCCTTGCTACTATTCCGTCATCGCATTTCCTTCAGGTTGGTTGTACAGTAGTTGACAGCTTAGCGTTAAGCACCAATTACTTGGGATCGGGCAGCTGTAGGATTCGCTCTACGATCCCATTCAATGCAACGCTCGATATGCTTGGAAATCAGTAGGGCGTACTCCGTGCTACCATACCGATTCCATACTTCTCCACCCAAATCAACTACGTATTAACGAGCTATAAAGCCATCAAGAAGCGAAGCGATAATCCCCCAAACTATGGCTTCTCAAGCACCTAAAGTCCTCATCTTCGGCGCCACCGGCGTCATCGGCCGCTTCATCACAGCCGCCCTCGTTGACTCCAAACCCTCGCTCGGCCGACTCGGGATCTTCACTTCCGCCAACACCGTCGAGACGAAGCCCGCCCAAATCAAATCCCTCCAAGACCAAGGTGTCGACGTCATCGTCGGAGACGTGCGCAGCGAGAGCGACGTGCGCGACGCCTACGCAGGCTTCGACACCGTGGTGAGCGCGGTCGGGCGGAACGTCATCGCCGACCAGATCGAGCTGATCCGCATCGCCGAGGCGACGCCGAATATTCGGCGGTTCTTCCCGTCAGAATATGGGACGGATATCGAGTTTGGGCCGCAGTCGGCTGGGGAGAAGCCGCATCAGCAGAAGCTGAAGGTGAGGGGGTTCATCAGGGAGCAGGTGAAGAGGCTGGAATATACGTATCTGGTGACGGGGCCCTATTCGGACTTGTATATCGGTAGGAGTAATGGCAATATCGAGGCCGGTGGATTTGACGTGCAGAGGAAGAAAGCAGTGCTGCTGGGAACTGGCAATGAGAAGATTGCCCTGACGACGATGTCGGAGTAAGTAGCTCTATGGCTTTCTGGTAGATACAAAGCGGCGAACTAACGCGTGCGACAGTGTTGGTAAATTGCTCGTTGCAGCAATCCAGCACCCTGACGCTTCCCGCAACCGCGCCCTCATTGTGAACTCCTTCGTCACTACCCCGAAGGAGATCCTCGCGGAGTACGAGCGCCAGACCGACTCGAAATGGGAAGTCTCGTACACGCCACTGGAGGACTTGAAGACGCGGGAAGAGCAGCTTTGGAGCGCGGGAAACCCCATCGCTACGCTCTATACGCTCCGGCGGATATGGACGGAGGGTGGCACGTTGTACAATAGGCCGAGAGACAATGCACTGATTGGGGACCCGGATACGGAGTCACTGGAGCACGCTGTAGGAGAGGCGATCAAGAAGAATGCATAGGTATTATGCTTAGGGAACTTTGTCCCCGGGAAATTTCATCAGATACACTCTTTCATGGCATATTCAGTCATTATCGTCACTATTTCCCAGGAATATGCACTCATCAGATTCCCTGCGAGGGCGAATCATCTGGACGAAGACTGTCCCTTTTTCTTTTTCGGTTACCTCGTTGGCCTACTTGCGTTGGAGAAGATGAATATATACATCTCCTGCATTTTCCATGTTTACTTGGAGTTGCCGACGCCGTTTACATACCCATTATAATCCTCGTCCTCGGCGTCGGTAACTTGTGGATGACTATCCGTATCATTTCGTGAGCATACCTTCGGCTGGGACTGCCTATGTATCATGCTCTCTAGACTATGACATGGCTTAGTCGAGAACACGGCATCAAGGTCTGAATGGATCGAAAACCCCGGAAATTTTTCTTCTGATATGGGCCGATCGAGATATTGGTTCGATTGGAAAGGTAAATGGGTATTCTTTCAGGTTGCTGGCTAGTCCCTAGCCTCAGTGAACCAATATATGCCGTAGACTCTATCTCTGCTAACAGGAAGACATATTCCAGAGGCATCCATGATAGCTTATCAGGTGGTCACAGCGACTTTTGATGTGGTCAATCAACGGGTGACTGTGTTTTCTAGAAAAATGCCCCTCTTAAGGTACGCTTTGCAATGATACAATGGGACACAACTGACTTGATAGAATGTATAATGGACAATAGAAAGATTGGCGAAGCTCGGAGATTTAACTGGGAATTGCTGGGACTACTTCTGAAGGGAAAGGCATCCTCTTGCTTGCAAACGCCCGGATAAGGGAATATAATGAACACGCTCTGCCATCCATCGATACCGCACTGCAAGCTCGTAGTTTGTAACTAAGTTCGAACCCCTGCCTGTTGGCCAACCACCTACTTGGCCAGTATCACCATCTTAGCCACCATCATGAAAACCGTGACATCTCTACCACCACGTAATTATATTGAAAATTCAAACCATAGGACTATTGTACAGCATCTTGGGGAGCGTCTGGTATAGTTTCAGCCACGGGAATACTCTGTTCTAGTATAGTATTTGCCTCCAGAAGCCGTACAGCCTCTTGCGCTACTTTGATCTCTTTAATCTGTGCGAACTTAACATTGGGATCTATCCGAACCTTCTTCTTGCGTTTTGGGGCTGAGGCGGCATCTAGACGGGCCTGGAGACTCGCAATTTTCAGATCTGATGCAGCCTGACGCGCCTGTAGCACTCCGATTGCCTTGGCTGCCTTCCCTATGTAGGCCTTCGTCCACTTCGTCACGCGTGTGTTCTTGCTAAGAACGCGCAATGCACTTTGTATTTGTTTGGGCTTGTAGGGCGTCGTCTGGAGGACCGAGGCGACTAGTATTGGGGTGCGTGGAGGCGTGTTTGGTCGTGGAATTGAGGATGCGGTTTCGGTATGCGTGGGCGGTACCACGAACCGGTTATTGAGACCTTTTGACGGGTCCCACGGTATAAGACCTGCAGCCTTCCACCCTGATCTGATTGTACGGTCAATTAGGCGTGCCCGACGCGCCTCAGCATAGAGGACAATGAATCTTCGTCGTTTAATCGGTAGCGCCTCGTCGATATACGCGCTTTGGCGGAGGAGGGCCTTGTAGAAGCGTTTCAGAGGTGAAAAACAGGCGAGATCGAGAGGCTGAAGGATGTGGGAGGTATGCGCAGGTAGGAAGACCACAATCACGTCATTTATCCTGCATTCGTATAGGAAATCGACGGTTGCGTGGCTTCCGTGCCCGTCCATGAGTAGGATCCTGTACCGTCGCTCTGTAGCGGTTTCAGGGAGGAAAACTGTACGAAGCCACACCAACGCGTGTTGATCTGAAGTCCAGCCGTTTGGTGATACCGCATAATGGAAGTCTGGAGGTTGTTCAGGGAACCAAGCAGCTTGTAGGGACGCGCCTTTCTGGATAATGGTTGGTTTGATATAGCGACCGGTCGCAGAGACTGATTCTATGATAGAACACCATTCCCGGTTCTCAGGACTCGTGATATAAGCTGTCGACTTCTGCGAGTCTGCGATGACAGTAGAATTAGCACATATTCCCATTCCAACACCGACTTCATCCATATTCCATGTATCGGAAGGGTGGACATCGTACTGTGTCTGAACTTGGTGAAAATACGCGTAAAACCCATTGATTGTATCCTGGGTTGCAGCCTGACGTCGTACGACATCTAGACTATGCCCAACACACGTCGCAACGCGTGGATTTCGATGTAGAAATCGTGGTATCCAATTCTTCCCAAGGGGTGTAGAATCACCCTGAAGCTCTAGAACTCGCGCGGCCATTTCACGCAGACGTGCGTGGGTAGGGGGGAATCCTTGAGCGTCACTCTCAAGTATCCAGTCGACTAAAAACCTCTCTTGCACCGGTGTAAGGCGTTGGTTCGATTGTTGAGCTGTAGAGCGCGATTGCATGCCCTTGAGGCGGTTTTGAAGCGTAGCTCGATTGACCTTGAATAGGGCCGCAGCTTCATTTTGTGATTTGCATTGACCGGTCTCTACGGCATGGATAGCCTGTAGGAGTACCTCCTCTGAATTTGACATCGTAATACGATATGGTGGTTGAGATATTACGCGTTTGGTGATGGTGGTGAAGATGGTGATACTGGCCAAGTAGGTGGTTGGCCAACAGGCAGGGGTTCGAACTTACCCGATGGCTATTCCGTATCTACAACCAGATTCGGAAGTGAAGGGTTAATTTCGTCCCTTCAACATGATCATGGCCAAGGAAATATGTTGACAATACATACAATTGTGACATCGGTATGGAATGCATCCGTCACCAAGAGACAAAAATAATAAATATGTCGTCTTCTGCTGCGGCTGGTGGGGTGTTGTCGTTGTCATCAATGCGGACTGCAAGCCACGCACGCAACGCCGACACCCCCGCCATTTGAACGTAATCCTTGACCTCACTCTGTTGCCCAACTTGTCTCTATCAACCCTCCACTCTATATCCATATTCTCATTCCCGCTCGACTCCTACCCGTCGACCGTCTCCTTCACTGTGTATCTTTTGAACCCCATCCTTTCTAATTCCCTAGCCGGAACATCTCCCGCACAGCATCCACCATGGGGATCAACAACCCTCTCCCGTCGTCCATGCACAGTAAGTCCCCCGTCCCCCGATCCCCTCCAAAAATCCCCAGCTGAAGCCTCCGGAAGGTGAGTGCAAGAAGGCCGCGAAGATCCTCACCTCCTTCGTGGACCCAGGCCAAGCCTTCAGTCCCGACAAAGTCATTCCGCCCGCCGTCCTCGCCAATGCAAAGGTATGTCCCTCTCCCTACCGTCCCATCCCTCCCCTCATCCCACATCACTAACCCCCCTCCTCTCCCAGGGCCTCGCCGTCCTCACCGTCATCAAAGCCGGCTTCCTCGGCTCTGCCCGCTTCGGCTCTGGCGTCGTCGTCGCCCGCCTCGCCGACGGCTCCTGGTCCGCCCCTTCCGCCATCGCCACTGCCGGCGGCGGCTTCGGCGGCCAGATCGGCTTCGAGCTAACCGACTTCGTCTTCATTCTCAACGACGCCAAGGCGGTGAAGACATTCGCGCAGGCCGGGTCGCTAACGCTCGGAGGGAACGCGTCGCTGGCCGCCGGGCCCGTCGGGCGGAATGCGGAGGCAGCGGGGGCAGCGAGCCTGAAGAGCGTGGCGGCGGTGTTCTCGTATTCGAAGACCAAGGGACTGTTCGCCGGAGTATCGCTGGAGGGATCGGTGATCATTGAGCGGAAAGACGCGAATGAGAAGCTGTATAATCGGCGGGTGACGGCGCTGACGCTGCTGGAGGGCGGCGTGCCGGTGCCCCCGTCGGCGGATCCGCTGATGCGGGTGCTAAACTCGCGCATCTTCTCGGGCGCGGGCGGCTCGCTTCGCGGCACAGAGGTGTATAACGACGTGCCGGTGTACGACGACTCGCACGAGGACGTTGTGTGGCAGGGACGGCGCGGGTCGGCGTACGGGGAAGGCGAACGCAGCCATCGGGGTCAGGCGGGCGACGACTACGAGTACCGCGACAAGCCGCAGCGCGCGAGCACCTGGCAAGACGACACGTACGACCGGGCGCCGGCGGCGGGCGTCAACCGGTCGTTTACGGGGCGGGCGAACCCGAGCGAGACGTTCGATCGGCTGGAGTCAAGACCGACCGGGTTCGGCGGGAAGATGAAGCCGCCGCCGCCGACAGCGCCGAAGCCGGTGTTCGGGGCGAAGCGGGCGTCGTTGGGGGCGAATCAGGCGATCGCGAAGTTCACGTTTGATGCAGATCAGCCGGGGGACTTGGGGTTCAAGAAGGGTGAGGTCATCACGATCGTAAAGAAGACGGAGAATGAAACGGACTGGTGGACGGGGAGGATAGGGGATAGAGAGGGGGTGTTCCCAAGGTATGCTCAACCACTCCAAGACTTTATAATACGTGTATTGATGCAAGCAGCAATTACGTCGAAACGATATGACCGCGCTGTCCGTCACCGTCGGGGTGGGGAACCCCCTCCCCCTCGATTTCCTTTATCCGTACTTCGCTTTTTGATACCTGTACCTTATCTTTTCCGATCGGAGCGCGTGCTTCCGTCCATGAGACACGAACGTGAGGAGGAATCGGTGAAGCCCCGCCGGCTTGTGTTCGGTACCTTTTTATTTTATTTAAATAGCAACGGCGTCTGTTGGGGGCTTGCATTTGCATCTCTGACGGGGGTCTACAAACTGTCTTTTTTGCTTCGCCAACAATCGAGGAATCTTATGGCAGATCCGGTTCGTGATTGTCGTCGTGTAGCTCCCTTCTCCCCCATCACCAGTGATATTGATTATGACTTCCAATGCCAGCAATATTAATCAGCCTGGCCTAAACCCCAAATTATCCCATTCATCATCATACTCCTCATCCTCTTCCTCCTCGTCCTCCACCACCTCCTTCTCCACCACCTCCTCCACCACCACCTCCTCCACCACTTCTCTCCCCTCCACCACCCCCCTCCTCACTTCCTCCCTCCTCTCCCTCAACCGCCTCACCCGCCCCTCCAACCTCCGCATCTCCTCAAACTCCTCCTCCAACGCCACCACCGCGTCCTCCTGCTCCGCCGCTGTCTCCGCATCCCGCCGCCGCATTTCCCCCGCCGGCTTCTCACGCTCCTGCGCCGTCAGCTCCGACGCAGTCACTGGGGCGGCGGCGATCGTCGCGTGGGCGGTGAGAGGGTGGGTGGGCGCGGAGGTGGGGGAGAGTTGCGGTGGGGGGGTGGCGACGTCGCGTTCGAAGGCGGCCCATTCGTCTTCGTCGACGGGGTGGGCTGGTGCTATCGGCGCGGCGGTGGTCACCGCTTCCGCCTCGTCTTCCTTCCGCTCCTGGGGGGGAGAAGCTGGTACGTCGGCTTTTGATTTCTTGCGGGAATCTGTGGGCGCGTCGTTGTCGTCGGAGGGGGCTTTTCGCTTCTTGTTGTCTCGTTCGGCTTGGAGGAGGGCGGCGAGGCCTTGGGGGGGTTGTTTCTGGGGGCGGGTCTTGCGCTGCTGACGGTGGGTGGCTTGGATGTCTGCCATTGCGAGTGGGGGGGGTAATATGGGGAATTGCGAGATTATGGCAGCTGGAGACGTAGACCACGCTTGGGATCCCTTAACTGGTTACAAAGAGTCAATGCTGAAGTGTATTCACTGTCTTGGAGCTGGATGTATCAAGTAAGAGCTGTTGGTCGTTCACGGTCGTTGTTTCCTCTATGCCGGTTGGTGCCTTAGGTTCCAAGGCAACATGAATACATGTATTAGTTATGTTTATGCCTTAGGCCCCAAGGCCCGAGGCCAAGCTCTGTGCACGTGCTCCCTCCCTTCACATCACCTTCTCTCCTCTCTCCTCTCACCCGCCAATCGTCGCTCTGAGTCGTGAACCCTTTCACTTCAGTTCTCCACCCGGCAAATAATTCATCTTTCCCCTCGCCTCATGCGCTTCCATCTCCTACTTCATCCCCATCTCTCAACCTCTCAACCTCCCACACCTCCCATAGGTAAAACAACACATCCCCACTGTCCATCACCATCGCCTCCAGAATTCTACTCCACCCTCACTTCAGCTGCTCTCGGTGAGATCGCACCCTCGGAGGTCGGAGCTCCCTGGCAATTGACAAGCTCGACAAGCTCGACCACCCCCAGTGCAAAGGAAACTACACAATCGGTGGATCAGGGACTTCGCTGAAGCTGCAAGGCAACGCGTTGGATTGGCATACTAGCTATCTCGAGTGTGGAAGTCGGTCTTTACACGCCTGCCGGGTCGCGGAAAGCAAGCTTCACTTACAACTCCGTGACTGGTCGCGCATCTGTGATTATCGCCGCCTTCTCCATCTGTAGCGGACCCTCCTTAAATTCAATCGCATCCTACCACCCATCCCGTGTTCGTCGCTTCGAATGCGACGAAGCTGCCAATCTTCGATTTTGAAGTCGTTCCAAGAACACCATGTCTGGTAAGCTAAACCGTCGCGTGACTGTCAACCCCCTTCTCTACGCGATATCATTCACTGGCGCATTGTCGCGCATCGCGAAGGTGAAGACAACATGCTAATGCAACATGTTTTGCAGAGGAACCGCGTCGATCGGGCCGTGCGACGAAAGGCCAACACACCAAAAACCACGATTCGGAAACCCCCGCTCCCGCCACCAAGCGACGAGGCAGCAAGAAATCCGCGAAAGCGTCGCAAGAACCCGAGGATGCGGAGCCCGAAGAAGAGGAACAGGACGCGATCGTGCGCTGCGTGTGTGGCGCGACCGACGATGAAGGCGGCTACACGATGATCTGCTGCGACAATTGCGAGGCATGGCAGCACAATTCCTGTATGGGCCTGCCGGAAGACCAAAGTCTTTGTCCGGATACGTATTACTGCGAGCAATGCCGTCCCGACGATCACAAGGAGCTCCTCGATCTCATGGCTCGTGGGGAGCGGATCATTCCGCCGGCCGAGCGGAAGAAAGGGAAACGCAGGTCGCGAGGAGGGAGGAAGGGGAAGGATGACTCGCAAGCCCCGAGTGAAGTCGAGTCGCCTTCTGTGAACAAGTCGCAGACGGCCAAGGCGGTTGCGGATGTTGCGCCGAAGCGGAAACCTGGCGTGGTCGATAGTCCCGTACAATCTGCAGTGCGTACCAACCAAGTTATCTCCAACCAGCCCATAGACTCATCGGGTTCGCAGCCTCCCACGGCAGTGCCGGCGGACACCAAGACCGCTGTCCAGGACAAAAAATCTCCCATTCAGGCGAAGCGCCGTGCCTCTGCCCTCAATGCCGCGGAGAATGGCACCAGCAAACGGCGAAAGTCCGCAGTCGAAGTAACCGAGTCCGCGGATCCAAACAACGTACCAGTCGCGAGCGGTCTCGATAAACTGAGCGACGAGCGGAAGAAGGTGGCTTCAGTTCTCCATCGGGACCTTTCGGATCTCATCCGCAAAGCTTCCAAGGACGGCTACCGCATTCCCGACGGCGAGACGGCCGATAGCGTTGGTGAACGGTTTGCCGTGGAAATCGAGTATGCTCTCTACGGCAAGAAATTGCAAGGCCAAGATACGTTCTACGGCGAGCAGTTCCGCTCCATCCGGTTCAATATCAAGAAGAATCACACCCTGTTTCAGCGGTTACTACAAGGAGAGATGAGCCCCATGGAACTGGCGGACATGTCGTCGGATGACATGGCCAGCGAGGACTTGCAGAAAGAGATGCGGGCGATGAAAGACGAGGCTGATAAGCAGGCCACTTTGGTTCAAGACGATCGCCCGAGGATCCGCAAGACCCACAAAGGTGAAGAGATCATTGAAGATGACAACGCGGACCGCGGTGACGAAACACTTCCGCCGTCAGCTCCAGTGCGAAGACGACCAGACGAGGATCAGGATATGAAGGATATCAGCGATGACCATGACGACGCCTCCAATACCGTAGAACTGCCTGATGATGCTGTTCAACCTCAGCTCGCGGCTCTCCAGACTGCTCCAGGTCCACAGGATACCCCTCCTTCTGCCCACCGGTCGTCGTTCGATGTCGGGGCGGTCTGGTCGTCAGTGCACTCTCCCAAGCAAGGGCAAGGCCAATTTCGCAAGCAATCTGTTCAACGACCATCGAAGACACCCGGGCAAGAACCCACTCCTACCAGCCAAGTCGAGGACCCCGATGTGGACCGCCTACTCAAGGACGATGAGGGCGAAGAGTCCGGTTTCGACGAGGTAGCCGCGATCGCGACGAGAGACCCATCTGTCGCGTTCTTCCGAGAGTTCAAGCATGGCACTGATGTCAAGTTCTTCGGCCTCGCACGCCACGTCGCCGGCGCGAACGTGCTGCAGATGTTCCCGGAGAAGGACATCGTCCCCGCCCCGGTTTCCATCGTCGGCCGCATGGGCGTCAAAGACGGCGACGACTACTTCTACCACCTCTCCTCCTCCCACACCACCGACATCTCCATCTACAGCCTCGCCCCCGGTCCCCGCGACACCGATCGCCACTGGTACGACTACGTCTTCCGCTACTTCACCGACCGCCACCGCTGGGGCGTCGTCGCCGATGACTCCTTCCACCCCCCCGTCAACGACATGTACCTCATCCCCCTCCCCGCCGGCCCCGCCCCCCTTCCCCGCCTCTTCCAAACCCTCAACCTCAACCGCCTCCCCTCCCCCCGCCCCGAACCCACCCTTCTCCTCGCCATCGCTGTCCACACCGCCAAACCCCTCGGCCTGCCCCCAGGCGACCCAGCCCTCCTCGCCCCCGTCACCGACTCCTCCTACCCCCCCGGCACCGGCACCTTCGCCCCCGGCGACGTACCCGCGCCCGCGCACCCCGCGTTCCCCCCGCTGGCCGCGGAGATCCTGGCGCCGTTCCTCGATGCGCCGGTCGTGAGGCAGCTGGCGCCGAAGTTGCATGAGATGGCGCGCGAGCAGCTGATGAATCTGCGGCATGTGCTGGAGCAACGGCCGGATTTGCGGGAGGATATGGTGGTGTTGACGAATTATATTAAGAGTGCGAATGCGGGGAGCGCGTAGGCGGAGTGGGCGACATTATGGTGTGATCGGTGGTCTATGATCGGGTGTTTGCGATCGGGTCTGCCTGATGAGGCGTAGATAGGATGATGAAGGGCGGTTATCGGCGTGTTTCTCTGGGAATGGGTCTGGGTACGGATGGATATCACGGCTTCGTTTTCCATGGCCTTTCTGCACCGAATACTTTGTTTCGATTCATGTTTTGTTATCGATGGATGAGGGCCGCAGAAGAATGTGCGGGTGGCTCCAATTGGTTGCCTCCCGCATCAGGATGGAATTCTGCAGACGAGGTGTTTCCAACGAAATACCGTACGTGGGCAAGCCATGTTGGCTCTTTATGTTCTTTATCGACCACAACGTTAAAATCGAGAATTCTAAGATCGCTTATTCGATCGATCGTCGTGTATCGCTGTTTCAAGTTTTGATTGTCCGTTGCCTAGAAAATGCAGAGTTAAAAGTATGATATTCCGCACCCCTCTTATTCTTCGGGTCATCATGGTTCCGTTGTAAGCTCAAAGACCACTCGGGTTATTCCCAAAGAATCTCACTAGCTGTGTTTTATTGAAACAATACTGCAGCTCCTCACTCCCGTTCTACCTCCTAATTCCTGCAATTTACGGAATATATGATATCGTATTCCTCACTCATTCCTCGCCCAAATCACCGAGTCACCGACAATGCCGAATACCTCCCCTGTACGCAGTACTGACCGTTGGTTTACAAAAGCGAGATGCGACCCTGTTATTCATGCTGATACAAGCACCCAAAAAGCCAAAAATACCGCCGGGCACGTACCAAGAAATGCCATGTGCGCCCTCGAAGCTTGATCAGCCCGAACGAGTCAAGAGATAAGCCGCGGATGCTGACGATTGGACATCATGCGGCCGTTGGGCGGAGTGGCGAATGGGTGGAGTCTTCTGTGCATTGGAGATTTCGTGAATGTTGACACTTGATATTTGACATTTGGCCGACATGACCGTGGAGGCGTGGAGACTGGACAGTCGTTCGTTGTTGTCGTTAACCCCTGGGAGATATCTACGTGGTACCCCTGACGCCATTCCTAAGACGGATTAGCGTTCACGCGCTGGCGCCGTTTTCTGCACTTGGCGTTTTTGCGTTTCCCATTGGCATTCATCCACTCTCCTTTCCACCACTCCAGGCGTGATGTGTCGCCTCGCTCTTCCGTTCTTAACAGCTCCCACGCGCTCGGTAGCCGGAAGGCGGAAATATCGCCGAGTCTTGCGAAGCTATCGTAGCTACGAGATTAGCGCCTAGGAGATCGCCGAGAATCGGTCCACCACTCTTCTCATGCGTCGAGTCTAGACTCTCTAAGAGTGCAAGTCTTCGACTGCTCGCTGCAGTCCCTGCGAGTTGCCAGTTGCCTGCCCAGGCGACGATATTGTTCTTGCGGCACAGTCTCTTCGACTGTTGGCCAAATGCCAGCCACACGATAGAGGAGTAATAAAGGATGAATAATTCACCAGTTATGGTTATTACCCAATTTACTTCTGTGCGGTTGTCTTGTTGAGTCCAATCATAAGACCGGGTGGCTGGCGTTCCCGCCGGTCTGGCCAAGTAGGATTGGGTCCCTGCGTGGCCTTCGACCGACGAGGCGACCACCAGAGACATTATTGATGGCTGAGTTCATGCGAACAGACAACCCCATGTGCTTACTGACCGGAAACGATTGGTGCGGACCCACCTACACGAGGTCTAGTAGAGTTAAGTGTGCATGCACACACTACTACGTAGTCGATTGGGAAAACGAGAAGAGCATGGGGAATGCAGAATTCGGGATCATGGGGACGTGAGAAGGGTCGTGAGCTAAGAATACGAATAGTCTCCCTATCTGCCTAGTACGATGCTCGGACTCATTTAGGGGATAATATTGATATATACAACCAATTGCCTCCAGTCTGTTCAGCCTGAGTCTTTTCTTTCTCCCTTCACGCTCCTTGAGTCTTTCGTACTCCGACACTCGTTCTCTTATTCGTTCAGTCATTCGTTATTCATAATGTATTCTTCGTCACTCCTTGTATCGACACTTGCCCTTGCATTGTCAGCCGTTCCGGCTGTCCAAAGCCGTCATGCCCCCGGCCTTCATCCTCATCGTCACCTCGCACCAAGGGAAACATATCCCCAATGGTGTCTCAAAGATGGCTACACAGGAAAGGATGTATTCAATTACTTCAACTTTTTCACCGGCCCGGATCCAACCAATGGTTTCGTTGAGTATGTCGATAAGGAAACCGCTGAGAAGGAGGGCTTGGTGAAAACCATCGGGGATGCTGCGTATTTTGGTGTCGATTCCGACACGGTTCTTACCGGTCCGAGCGCCAGTCAGAAACTCCGTCGGCAACAGAGTGTCGGCCGGAAGAGTATCCGCGTCCAGGGAATCAAGACAATCGATGAGGGACTTGTCATCGTGGATGTCGCGCATATGCCCGGCGCTGCCTGTGGTACCTGGCCGGCACTCTGGACGATGGGAGAAGGCGAATGGCCGAAAAATGGCGAGATCGATATCGTCGAGGGCATCAATCTCAACTCCGCGAACCGCATGGTGCTCCACACCGAGGCCAAGTGCGACATTTCCAACGCCGATGCCACTGGCACCCTCATCAATCCTCAATGTGCCGTGAGCGCTGGGACGGAAGGTTGCGCTGTGGAGGATCAACGTCCCACCTCGTTTGGAACCGGGTTTAACGCAAACGGAGGCGGTGTCTACGCGCTGCTGTGGACCGACGATGCTATCAAAATGTGGTTCTTCCCTCGCGGCAGTGTTCCTTCGAGCATCACCGAGAAAATGCCCCACCCAGAGGAGTTCGGACCACCCGCCGCGAACTTCGAAGGCGACTGCGATATCCCCTCCGCCTTCGGGGCGCAACGCCTGATCCTCAACACCGATTTCTGTGGCGACTGGGCCGGCAACGCATGGGAAGCGTCGGGCTGCCCCATGACTCCAGGCCTCGACCAGATTTACTCTTGCGTGAAATATGTCGCGGAAAACCCGCTGGCCTTCAAGGAATCGTAGGTGCTCCGTCCCAATCCGGAAATATCTCTTTGCTAACCCCACGACAGGTACTGGCTGATCAACTCCATCCGGGTCTATAACACCACCCCCAAACCCTCGACCACCTCGTCAAGCTCGACCACCCCGTCGTCGCGCTCATCAAGCGCCGTTGATCACTCTACCGCCAAACCCACTACTACTGGTCCTAAACCCTCAGGATCAGGGAAGCCCTCTGGCACTGGCAAGCCCTCTGGCACTGGCAAGCCCTCAGGTACCGGCAAGCCCTCAGGCACTGGAAACACCTCAGGCACTGGAAAACCCTCAGGTACTGGAAAGCCATCCGGTACTGGCAAGCCTTCAGGATCCGGTAAGCCCTCAGGTTCTGGCAAGCCCCCAGGCACTGGCAAGCCCCCAGGCACTGGCAAGCCTTCAGGTACTGGCAAGCCCTCCGATACTAGCAAGCCCTCCGATACTGGCTCCGCACCCACTTCGGTCATCACCCCTCCTCCCCCCGGGCACAGCCACGGTCCTCATCCCCCATACCCCACCACCCTGCCCGAGACCATCACAACCGTCATCACCACCTCCTACGTGACCATCTGCCCGACCGGCTTCACCACCGTTACCGTCACCCAAACCGTGACCTACTGCCCTGCCACCCACACCACCCCCGGCGCCCCTCCCCCAGGCTTCACCACCACCGTGACTGTCTGCCACGTTTGCGAGGCCACCCCCACCACCGTCACGCTCACCATCCCGACCGCCCCCGCGACACCGACCGCTCAAGTCCCGCCCCCCCCCGCGCCGGAGAAACCCACCGACAAACCTGCCTCCCCCGCGAAGCCGCCGGTCACCCCGGAGAAGCCCACCGACAAGCCCGCCTCCCCCGGGAAGCCTCCGGTCACGGCGTCGTCTTATCCCGCGCAGAATGGGACCCGGACCCCCCCCACTGGGACAGGTGCTAAGCCACCGCAGTTCACGGGCGCGGCGGCCACGTTGAATGTTGCGGGAGTGGTAGAGATCGTTGGATTGGCCGTGTTTGGTGTGTTTGTAGTTGGGATTATGTAAGCTGCTGTGTCAGTTGACGATCAACATTTCCTGTAGTTAGGTAGGAAAGGAGGGGAATGTAATTCGTGGTTTTCAAGCGGATTTTTAGCGGGCATTTGGTTGAATGACGGGACAATGTATCTTTTTTCTTCATGGACATATAATGGCTTCAATTATAGCTTCTCCCTAATTGATAAACGTGTGTCCGCATTTCCACCGCATGGATGAGTGATTGGAACTTTGACACTTTCAAACTAGGGTGCTCGTTTTGAACGCGCTATCAAGAACGGGAGCGATGACGTGTCTCTATATCTCAATGAGGACATCAACCTCTTTGGCTTCCGGATCTTTCCCACAAGAATCAACATCGGCTCGGTAACCTATCTCCATTTTAGCATCCAGCCATTTGTGTTCTACATTCCTGCAGTATGGCCCTGTATCAGGCCCCCACAATGGCCCCCGACCTCTTATTTGGTCCCCCGGCTGGAACATTAACATTCCTGTCCCAAAGGTATACACTGCATATGAGAAGGATGGGAAGGATATGTTCTCATATCCAAGATTGAGGGTCACCTTGCTGGGACACATCGAGTGGTATAACAAAACAGGAGAATGAGAAACTCCTGAGCAGTTAGGGGGATACATTAAGGGTTGGAGGAATTTACATACTGTATATCTCGATTCCGTGGAATTTCATGCCGGTCGAGATGAGTTTCCCCCACTCCTTCTGGCCTGCCAAAGATCATAATGATCGCGCAGTTGAGGCCCTGAAAAACGGAAGGCCGACTGGATGCTTGAGCAAAAGCGACCATATCCTCGTTGATAGGATGATGTCGTTATCCAACGACGGAAAGGGTTTTTCCCACGGCAACCTACATCCAGGAAATATCTTTGTCGATGGTCAATGGCTCAATGCAGAATAGCCGCTATCCTTGACTGGGGTGCTTCTAGTTTCAGTATCACTGACCAAGAATACTTTGACGCTAGGTCTCGATCCAAACACCATGCCTGAACCGAGATTATCGATCGAGTTCTGCCTATTTTCTCGCCAGAAGAATACAGCATCTTCAAGTTTCAATCAAGCGCTGGTACCATATATGCCGAAGGGATGCGGAATGATATAACGCCAAAATCCAGTTCGACGTTGCGATGCCCCGTTTAAACAAGGGGGCTGAAATGATGAAAAACGCATGGCGAATACATGCCTAGAAGGGTGGGATGGGAGGTTAGACACTGAAAAGTGAAAACCCAAGGTTAATAATCTAGCCACCTACTCTGTAACTAGTTACCACTTTTCACTTTCGTAGCAATTAGTTTTGGCCTTTTGCACCAACCTTGCCGCTACTACATTTTCCCACCTTCGACGCTGTGGAGTTACGCAACCCGGCTCTTCTCTTGTCCAATACTCTATCAGTCAGTGCCTCTCTGACGATTTATTTGGACTACCGCGAGTGTCGTGTCGGCTGCTTGCTCAGTGTCTAGTCGTGGCGTCCTAGCTTCTCCAGGCTTTGGTGCTCCGTTTCGCTCTCGGCTGGGCTTAGGATTGCTTGAATGATTGCCATCTTTTCCCAGTGCTTCTCCTGCATTTCATACTCACGAATAGCCGCGATCTCGCGAAGACGCTCTGCCTTAGACTTCCAGTAGCTTTAGTCCTTGATGCGAGTCGACTTTGCCTGACTTGTTGCGTTGAAAGTCCCTGTCTCTTTAGGCAGCCTGTATACGTGTCTGCAATTTGTCGCCAGCCATCTATTGTGGCCACGCCATCCACGGCGTGTTCGCCAAAAAGATTCTGCCATGTCAGCTCAGATATCTGGTCCCTGAGATGTTGGGTATCGTATTCCCAATAGTTGGACTTGCGGATCCCGCTTCGATAGGCGTCGGCTTCTTCGGGTGTAAATCATTGTGTTCCTATTCCGCACATCCATTGGTAAGATTGCTCAACGGATTCTTTTCGGAAGGTGGACTCGGCCGCTCGGGGTCCTTTCATCTGGCACTGGGGCTCTTTTTCCAGGCTTCTAATTATCTCTTCCGCCGTAGGTGGACGCACGAAAATGTGGTGGATGTCGAAATGGTTCGATAAAGCGACAGCAGTTGTGTGGTGCCCCAAAGATGAGGAGAGAGTAGAAATTGGTGATGTATTAGGTCAGTTTCCTTCGTCGATATGATGGGGGACGAGAGAGTCAGATAGGTACTCAGATAATAGCCAGTCAGAAAGTCAGAATGCGTCGCGTCGCGTCAGTAGAAGGTAATGGTTTCCCTCATCAGATGCCAGATGGAGATGGTTGTGGAATACCTTAGGGGGGGGCCAACAGGCACAAAACAGATCTCTCAACAGGCATTTTTCCTTGGTGGTAAAATTCCGACATCTCCAAATTCGAGTTCTTGTTAAAAGCCTGTTAAGAGTCTATCTATAAACGCCTGTTAAAGGCACTTCCAGAGGGAAGAGCGACTCTGTGGAGGAAAGTATACCAACGTACCTTCCGCAGACCTATACCGGCCCTCGTAAGGTACCTACAATGTAAGGTGGTATGTCCCAGTCCGAAGATTACTACTATCCACTAAACTCACATCTTCCTTTAGCTCTCCCTTTAGCCATATGAAACCCGTCCCTTCGACAAGTTCACAAGTATATCGAAACCTCTCTAGGCACCGTTGGTAACATGATTAGGCAGTCGTGAGTCCAGGGGTTGTTCATTCGTTCTTGACATCGTAAGATATCCGTCGAGGGACCGCAGCAATCGTGGCGCTAACGGCACTCTTTGCAGAATGGACACTATTGGACAGATGCGATTGAGCCTCGTATTCGTTCCTCGGATCCAGGCAGCTCAGCCTTACCGCCACAGATGTCATGTCTTTTAAGCTCGATAGTTGGAAGTATTGATTGGCCATGTCGTGAGCTCGCTGCGCCGTAATGCCACAGCCACGCGTCGTTTGAGATAGTGCCCATGCTCGAGGTCACTCCATCGATGATCGAAGTTTCTCTCAATGGAGATCTCAATAGGTGAGTAGGCCGTATTGTCTCAAAAGTCAAAACATGAGTGGTGGAATAAGGTGCGCGGTACTGCAGGATACTTACCATTCTGCATACTAGATGTTAGAGAACAGTAGCTGTGTCAGGCTGGAAGCTAGAAGGGACACTTGTAAAAGCCCAAGCCTTTCCCTTTTCTCATCTTGAGAGATAAAAGAATCTGGTCACCACAAGCTTTCACTTGATTTACATGTCGTTGAAGTGAGTGTTGAGCTTGATACTAGAACTAGTTAGTACGAAATATCACTGCAACGGTGCAACCCTTCTGCTTCTGCTTGATTCCCCAGGCACGCAAGGCAACCACCAATGCTCATTGGTCCAATCACTTCATCATGTTCAACTTCAAACCCTCCCATCATTATCAAACCGTTCCCATTGAGGAAGACGCCAACGTCCTACTTTCAGATGTCGATCATTCGTCATCAAGTCACAAGAACCCAATCGACCCTCCAGATTATTCCTCTACGGCTCCCGTAGACAGCGAAGCGGCAGAATCACCTCAAGAGCAAGGGGCGGATGGTGAATGCGACGATTCTCGTAACGACGAAGAGAACCAGAACGATAATGCTGATTTCTTCCCTTCACGACGGCCGGGTGAATTCGCATGTGACTCTTGTTGCTTTAAGTCGGTCTGCTCAGAGAAATCTGCTGTTCTCTGCGGATTGTTCCTCAGCTCGGCACTCGTAGTTCTTGCAGTCGTGGTTGTGACTCTGGCATTCACGCTGCCCCCGAGGCTTTGAGTCCGAATCTACATTCTTCATTATGGATCGTGTTGAAGGGGGGTCTTCCAAACGCCGTCGATTGAACGAGGCAGAAGGCGCACTACCGGATTCGAGCCAGTCTTCAGTTAACCAAACTCGTCTGTCCTTGGCATCACTCCATCGAGTTATAAGTCCGCCACGCCAAAGTAGAGGTCAAGGAAAGCGTCAGGAATCACGAGAGCCAGGTAGCCAGACAGATAAACGGCAAATACCACTCGATCAGGATCACCTTCAAGCATCTCCCATCCACCTCACCAAAATCCGTGATCTACCTGACCAGAAGAACATCAACGCCGTCTCACTCAAAGACATTATCTGCGACCCACTCATCAAAGAGTGCTGGACATTTAACTACCTCACCGACATCAAATTTGTCGTATCCAACCTCGATCCTGATGTCCGAGGTTCTCTCGCCCTCAAGATCATTCATGGCTTCTGGAAGCGGGACGATGAGCGTCGACAGCGGCTTACGGAGGAAGCTTCACGATTCTCCAATGTCCAACTTATCACTGCGCATATGCCGGAGCCGTTCGGTACTCATCATACGAAGATGATCGTCCTTCTCCGCCACGATGACTGTGCTCAAGTTGTTATACATACCGCGAACATGATACCATTTGATTGGACTAATATGACCCAAGCGGTCTGGCGCTCTCCACTACTCCCTCGTCATTCAAACTCCGCCAGTCAATCGCCACAATCAGCGACCATAGGAAGTGGTGATCGCTTCAAAATCGATCTTATTCGTTATCTAAAAGCATATAGCGGCCGACTCAATTCTCTCATCCAACAACTTGAGAACTATGATTTCTCAGCGATCCGAGCCGCCTTCATTGGCAGCGTACCATGTCGTGAGAAGGTGACAGAAGCCAACCCAAGCCAATTCACCTCGTTTGGATGGCCTGGCATCAGAGAAATACTAAGCACGATCCCCCACCATTTCTCTAACTCTGGCCTTCCAAACATTGTCATCCAAATGTCATCTGTCGCGACTCTCTACGAAAAGTGGTTGGAAAACTTCTTCAGTGCCCTCAAGACCAGTGCCGGCCCAGTTGCGAGACCTGCGAGTAAGCAGCAATCGAGCGCATTTGAGAGGGTGAAAGGAAAAGAGAAACTGTCGAACCCAACCGTTCACATCGTCTTCCCTACTCCCGATGAGATTAGGCGCTCCTTGGACGGCTACCGCGCCGGTACTTCGATCCACATGAAGCTGGCCTCTGTCGCCCAAAAGAAACAGCTTGAGATGGTGAGGCCCATGCTCTGTTATTGGGCGGGTGATGGTGAAGGCCTAAGGCCGGACTCTTCCAATAGCCTAGTGAATCAGCCAAGTTCAAGGAAGTCTTGCGAACCAGCCGTCGAAACGGACTCGGAGGCTGTCTCGGAGGCTGACTCGGAGCCAGAAAGCAATCTGCCTTCTAAAGTGAGGGAAGCGCATCGTCGCCGAGCTGCGCCGCATATCAAGACATATATCCGGTTTAGCGATGCTGTTCAGACAACTATCGACTGGGCGATGATCACCAGCGCGAATATGTCGACTCAGGCGTGGGGTGCGGGTGAGAATAAGGGAGGGGAAGTGCGCATCTGCAGCTACGAAGCGGGGGTGGTCGTTTGGCCCGGTCTATTTAGTGAGAAATTCGGCACAGCGCAAAACGAGGAAGGGGAAACAGCATCGCCAAATCCAGTGATGGTTCCGGTCTTCGGTCATGATATGCCTAGTAACACCGAAGTGCCAGGCAATATCGAGAAGGGTGCAAGGGTCGTCGGCTTCCGGATGCCGTATGACTTGCCTCTGGTGCCGTATCGGAAAGGCGAACGGCCATGGTGCCCTACGGAGTCTCACATGGAGCCAGACTGGATGGGACAGCGGTATCAGATTGCGGGAACGGGCTGACCTCACTTCTTTCAGCAACAGTGTTCCGATATTTCGGTGGCTTATGTACTTGCTATGAATAATGACATATTACATCCGCACGCAACAGTATGTACGGTGTTACACCATCCGGTATTCCATACTAGTTCGTAGCAGATGTCTCACTCTATCATGATTGGACACCGTACTTCGCCTTGAACCCCTCGACGATCTCGACGTACTTCTTCTGGGCGTCCTCGGCGGAGATTCCCGTGTCAACCAAAGCTTGCCACGCACGACGCTTGGCCTTCTCCTACATATCCACACACGTATCAGCTCCATGTACAAGTATGAGAGCCTTGTTCGGGTCGAGAGTGTAATCGCATACCTCAAATTGAAAGGTCCCAACTGGCTCCGCAGTCGCGAGGTCATAGCCACCGCCAACTTTGTAATGAGCATACATCTACACGCAGGAAAAGTTAATCATCATTCTCTGGTAATAGTGAGAGGTCGGAGTATAGTAGAGTGTCATGCACATACATCCAGCTTCTCTTCATTGGTAGGGTGGCTATTGAATTTGATGTTGGAAGCAGCCAGGAATTCCGGGGTGACCGGGCCGGGAGGATTTTCGCGAGGCATCTCGAATATGAAGTCAAAGAACTACGTATGAGGCTAGACTTTGAGTATGAACTTTTCAAACGCTTTACACAAAGACGCAGTACGGGTAGCAGGTTTGTTAGGCGTTAGAAATGGGGAAAGGAAGTGGATGAGATTCACACGGAGCCGGAGTGGGGAGGGGACTGGGCAGTTGTCGCGTCATGTGGTCACGATTTGGTGGGGTCGCCGATCGTCGCTGATGACATCGTAGACGTGATATAAGGTGAAAGTCATGAAACAGAACTGCATTGTATTCCATTCCGAGATATATTAGGACATTATATTTCTCTAGCTCAGGTGCCCTCGAGATTCCTGAATGGTTCCTATTGTTCAGGCAATGAAAAACATCTCCGGTACACCCTCGAACATAAAACCATCTGTCACTCGCCTAGAATCAGAACCCGCTTTCTCCAACGCGCTTATCTAAACCTCTAGGAGACCTTGACGGTAGGCAAAGGTGTTATATCCCCTGGGCCATTTGCAGATCTCGACCATCCTATCGCAGCAGCATATAGGATCGGGTTCCTCTCCTGACTTCAACAACAACGCCACAACGTCGACCATGTGCTGCATTGCTCTTCTCCATATTCCTCCTCCAGGTCTGAGGTCCATCCATTCCTATCCAGGAGCTGGAAGATCAATGATTCATTCCGTTTTCGCAGGAGTATTTGGAGAGAGGTCTAGATTGATCGGCTTTCAAAGGTCATCGGAGTGTTTTGTCCTTCATTCCCGTTCGGCACATATACTCTAGAATTGTGAAACGGTATCTCAATCGCATGTCTAGTTCGTGGTAAACCATCTCAAGGAACCATTGCGGCTGAGCGCACAGTAATGGGCCAAAAACCTAGCCCGTATGCTCAAATACCAGATCCTCGAAAACCGACCATTTGTCGTCCATCGTAAAGAACATGTCCATTGGCAAACTTGATATATTCGCACCCGACAGTCGCCATCATTCCAATCGAAGTTCAGGGTGATGGAATGGATTGGAGCGTGAAAACCGAACCCATCTACACGCTATCTTGCTTAGGATCTTCCAATTATGTGTCGTATCCGCAGCGGAATCTGGGTAGCCGAGACCCTGAGTGAGCATATGCTCATGGTGGCCGAGACCGACTGAATGCAATACGCGTAGAACTATCTTTCCTGGATCCGTTCCGCGAGATGAGATCGACCACATCGATCACGTCCTCTTTCAAATGCTCGTTCAAAACAGAGTCCAACAAGCCACAGGATCTCTCATCCACATCAAATGGAGATGTCTGATCGAACAGGTAACGAAGCCAGGTAATTTTCTCCTACGGGTATGTTTGAAAGACAGGCGAGTCGGAGGGGATGACGTTGAAGACGTGGATTCGCATGTCACATCTTGGGTTCATAGTCATTTCTCGACCATATTCCAGCCTGACACCATTTCCATACCCATACTGAGAAGACCATCACGGCGGTAATACTCCAAGTCACGAGTAGGCCCTCAAAACAGAGGGTTCATGTCCATATTTATGGACCAGGCTTGTCACTAACTTTTCATATGTGACCTGTCCGAAGAAAAAGGAATATCTGTTCGAGGTCCTGGTTGTAACTGTTCGAGGCGCTCCAACCACCGACTTCTCAATTGAAGCTCGCCATTTTTGCATCTTGCCGCTGGGGTCGAGTTCTCGGGGAAATGGCTCCTCGAAGGAGCTGGGAGCGAGACTAGGGCTGGCCTTAGGAGGGTATTCGGTAGTGAACTTGCACACGGTGCTAATTTTCTTATCCCAAACCGATGGAGGTATTGGTTCGACTTCCACGTGTGTGCCACTCTGGAGGCTACAATCAATTCGTTGGGCGGCAGTCTTCAAGATATTGAGTTCACGTTCCATGTTGGAATACGTCGCTGATTGAACCTGCTTCAGCTCGCTAGTGCGTATATTATTAGTAGGACGTCTTGGGAAGCGACTAGAAGGAAATTGGATACTTCATCGCGTTCACTTGAGATAATTGAAGCGCGCCGGTTCGGAGGTTTCGGTTGGCAGCTTGCACATTTCGACTGCACTCCTCGAATTTTGCTTATGTGATCTCGTTATAATCCTCGTCCAATACTCTATCCCACGCTGCACCCTGAATATTTAACGCCCTCGAACCGTGTAATTGATTTGCGAAGGCGGTCGACGGAATGCATTTTTCACAGGCTTGATAAAGGAGGTCAGGATTCTTGGTGGGAAAATTATCCTCTTCCTTGACCGGCAGAAAAATGCCGTGCATAAAAACGACATCTTCCTTGAGGTCTTCAAGGGTTTTCTGTCCGTTCTGGACATCTTTGATAATACTCCGGATGTACTCGAGCCCTTCTACTGTACGGTGTACCAAGGCAATGACTGCTATCACGAGCTCTGCTCCGGACATGATGACAACGATCTAAAGACCGCAATGACAGGAAAGAAAAGGAGACAACGAAGGACTTCATGATGGCTAGACGCGAATCAAAACTCGGGTACAGGCACTTATAGTGCACCGGATGTTTGCACGGTCTTCCTTAAGGCCGGCGGGGAAACGAGAAGGATACTGCCCAATCGATCCTCAATTCCATTCAAAAGATGTCACCGAACCATGCCGTCGGGACAAGATCAAAGGTTTTGAGACATCAACCGCACACCAGTTTAAAATCGATGACAGTGTCAGGCAATGTCCATCTGAGGCTGTGGAATTTGGCACAGTTGCGATGAGCTCTGGGGAGTGGGGACTAAGCTTGTCTTACTAATTGACTTAAACTGCATATCCTCGGAATAAAGGACGAGTGGACGAACGAATGACGATTGATAGCTCGACAATACGCATCTGCGATCCAAGGGCCAACCCTTCAAGCCTGGGGGGGTTGGGACTTGGGAGGTTGTCGCCGCCAACTTTGCAGCGTTTCCCTTGATGCAGAAGCGGCTGGTTAGGGTGCTTACTTAATTAAATCTTTACATAAACTAGCAGGGTATGATGGTTCTGCCCAGGAGAAATTCCGTAATAGATGGTTTGACGAGAGGAAGAGAACAATACGGAAGTAGATTTTAGGATTACGAGTCGGAAATCATGAGAGTCTATCGTACGGAATACGGAGTACCTTACGCTAATAGCGGTAGCCACAGCCGGTAAACAGCCAGTAGGGACGGCGGGAGCCTCCGCAAGTGCATTGCCGATGTCAAACGCCGAATGCTATAATAAGTCATCGTGAACATTCGGGATTTCGGAGTCCTCTTTTGGCGAGGTGAGCATTATATTCATTGATTCATTCTAGGCTTAGGGTCTATGAAAGAGGCTTTCCTCATCTTATCGTCCATGATTGTGACTTACTGGCGGGCTGGGAAGGTCTCAGTCTCAGAAGCAGTGTTCCCTCCACTCCTAGAGGTGACTTTTCGATGCAGGTAGTCTCTCGTTGTCCTCGAAAACAAGTTTGGAAACCCACGAAAGGTCGTATATGTGGGATGTAACCCGAATATTACATAACGTAGAACGTCAGGTTAATGAATCCTGATACATCTTCCTGAACTAGGGCTTAGAGGAACTCTGTCGCCAGAATCCTCCGCCCTCAGACACTCATCTATCTCGCCTAGATGTTCGCCCGCTCCCAATGTCGGTGGGCCGTCTTCAACCCTCTTTCGCCATCAACCAGCACACACCAGCCCTCATCACCCCAAGTCCCTCCGTCCATACCCGCAATCGCAGCTTTGAACTCCTTTCGAGCGTACTCGATGATTTCCGCGTCGAAGCTCCCTGGCTGGAGCCAGACGGCGGGGACGCCCGCCTCCTTGGCCTCCTTCAACAGCGCCATCGTCACCGCCGGAGGAGTGATGATAGACAAAGATGTGTTTTGAGCGTCAACAAGCGCAGAGGGTGAGGCAACGGTGTCGTAGGATTTCGCCCCTACGGTAATACTAGGCGCCCGAGGATTCAAGGGCGTAGCGGGGAGAGAGTGAGTCAGATACCACACGAAGACTATATATACCCAATCAGACCGGCAGCGATACCTATCCAACGTGACGAACCTTTGTGCCCATATTTAGAGGTGTCAGAGCTAGCTCCTGCGACAGCGAACCGTGCCGAGGAGAAGAAGGTCTTCAATGCTGCTTCCATGTTCGGGCCAACGAAGTCCTTCTCTTGCTTAAATAAATATATGGCGATTCCCGATCTTCGGAAATGGTTTCGGGTTCAATCACTGTAGGACCGAGCGTCAATGTTGTTGAGGGAGGAATGATTGACCAGGTGAGCATCAGAGCATCCCAATATCAGCCCATGATGCGATACCCATAGCGGAGCTGCACGAGTCAGACCTCTTACTCCGTCCGTCTCGAGCTGACTCGATGCACTACAGATTTCAACTTCAACGCTTCCAACTTGTCGACCACAAGGCACAACAAGATAAAACATAAACTATCGTCTACAGTCAAGATGGCTTGGTCCGATCCAGATGGCTGGCTAACGAGGGCCTGGTCCCCGCATGCTTCTACTATAATCATTACCGCTCTCATCGTCCTTTTTGTTCCCATTATCTTGCATGTCTTGCTCTACCACTCCGCGCCTTCACACACGCTTCCAAGCTTTCTCCTCCTTGGGCCCAGTGGTTCCGGAAAGACAACGCTTCTTGCACATGTACGATACCGCCTATCCGCCCAAGTGCCTTATGTTGCTAATATTCTGTAGTTTGAAACGAGCGCCTTCCGCCAAACCCATACCTCCCAAAGCACAACCACATCCAGGGTGTCTCTCCCATCCTCCACCACCCCGAAATCCGACCAATACCGCTCCGTCCACGACCCCGCCCTCAAGTCTCCCAAGAACGTCTTCGTAACCGACACCCCTGGCCATGCCAAACTCCGCCACGTTGCCCTGGAATCCCTGAAACCCATCCAACCCAACGCCAAAAAGGCAACCCCCAAGTTCGACGGCATCGTCTTCGTGATCGACTCCACGGCCGTCAACCCTGGGACCTCGGCCCTCGAACAAACCGCCGAGTATCTCCATGACGTGCTCCTCCTCCTCCAGAAACGCCACACCCGCGCGAAAACCTCCCGCCATCCGCCCGCCACCCCGGTTTTGATCGCCGCCAACAAAGCGGACCTCTTCACCGCGCTGCCAGCGGACATGATCCGGAAGGGGCTGGAGAGCGAAATCGAGCGGATACGACAGTCGAGGCGGAAGGGGGTGTTGACTGTGGGGTCGACGGAGGAGGAAAGGGATGACGAGAGGGAGGAAGAGTGGTTGGGTGAGGGGGGTGATGGGGCGTTTGAGTTCGAGATGATGAGGGAGAGCGATGTGAAGGTTGATGTCGTCGGAGGAAGCGCGTCTACTGGGGATGTAACGGGATGGTGGGAATGGATTGCAAATCAGATGTAATAAGGGATGGAAGCAATAAATCCGCATATCCAAGAAAACAGATGTATATCCTGAATGTCGTATCCGTTTTATAAGATGCCCTTTACGACTCAATCCTTGCCACCTTAGGACACTCGGGTCTCAATTCCTAATACGTAATAATCTACGATGAAGTTCAATCGAAAGCGTACAAGAATTTCGCTGCCCAACGTTCGCTCCTGGATGAGTTGAGGGAATACTTTCATACGACATCAAGTTGCTAGGTCACGTTCACACGTTGAAATAAGACCAATAAAAGTTTAATCAAACGGGGCCGCCTCAAATTCAGAAGAGTGAACACTGAAGCCGCCAAGAAATTTTCCCCCATCATCTCCAGCATGGCAGCGTCGACCGTGTCCTCTCTACCTATCGGCTATGGGACTATCTCGCTTTCCCGCACAGTGGTCATCGGAGCCCATGTCATAGTGCGTTGCCCATCCTGCGCTTCTGGAAAAGCGACTCAGTGCTCTCAGTGACTTGAAGCGGTGCGATCATTCTGAACCGTTTCCATCCCTGTCCTTACCTCCATCGCCGTGCCTTCTGAACCGTCCCTTATGCCCGTAGTATAGTGCCAATGAAATACCGAAAATCCTGCGTAAACCCACCAAACTCGTCTCCCATGCGGCTGCCTGAGTTCCGATACTCCACCCCGCATATCTTGAACCCGAATCGACCATCTAACCCAAACACCCGTGAGCCAGATCCACTTGGCTCCAATGCGTGCAATTAGGGAGATGACAGAGGAAGAAAAGAATAAAATTAAGGAGGGGACGGAAAGGCATGACGAGGGGAGAGGTGCTGTCATGCGATCGTCAGGTCATCCATCGTTATTAGGTGGATGTTCCCGTTTTACACTGCCTAGTAGCAATGGGGACGTACCGGTACATCATGAGATAAAGTTTTCGTGATGTTGGTACATGGGAAGGGGAGACCGAAATTTTGAAATGACAGCAATTGAACGCCCGTGTGTGCAAGGAAAGATGGGGTAGATCCGCAAGAAATTACGCTAGTCATAATATCAGAAGAGTCTCAATCTGTTGCCCTGCAACAGAAGGAGACAGTAAGCGTAAGGGAATGGGAAAGCATTGCAGATGTCGGATACGCACAACTTTTCGTGGGGGAGTAAGATACTAAGACAGGGTATGAAAGGGCAGAAACATAGGACCCCAGGAAAAGGAAATCCAGGACGGATTCGTCCATTCACAAGCTCTGCTTTTTTAGACGTTGAGGAACGTGAGCGAGCATATGTCTCGGAAGTCGTGTTGATGTCGGGATCTGGAGGATTCGTCGGACCAAGCTTCTCAACATCGCTCCGTATTCATCTCGGGACTAATAGCCGGTCGCGTTCAGGTCCGGATAGTACCCACGACTGGTCTCGGTCGGCTGAAACTTGCCGCCGGAGCGCATCGACCATGCCGATCCTCCAGACGCAACCGCATGAGAGTGTGCGGTCGGCATCGCATGGTCTGCCTCTTCTTTCGGCGGACCCGACGTAGCCCCACCATTCGCGCCGTCATATTCGTACTTCTGCACGCTTGGCAGCCCCGTTTCGTACAACGTGCTGGGGAAGTATAGATACCGTTCCCCCTGGTCAATCTTTCCCTTCATCTCCTCGTCCTCTGCAAGCATCGCAGCGGCAGAGTGGTGAGGGTGGTGTGCATGAGTCTGCTCCACGAGTCCATCCATGGTGACGCCGCTAATTGATGATGCAGAGCTGGCGGTGTGGCTTCCACCAGGGCTCGTGTCCACATAGTATTGCGTCCCTTTGTAGCCACCCATCATATTGGAAGATCGGGACGTGAAATCCATACCACCCATTGACCGACCTTGCAAGCCGTTCATAGAACCATGGTGATGATGCCCACCTAAACCTCCTCCCATGCCTGGAGCACCGCCACGTCCGGAGCCTTGGGATTGCGGACCTTCATTTTGATAGTGCGACGGGCTCCGGCCACGAACAACGACCGATGCAGAAGCCCTTTGCGCCACTTTGACCCATGTTGGCTCCGAATCGTGGGAATTCCGCACGTCCACATACAGCTCAACAATCAGATGGTAATATTGTTGCTGTGCACGGCGTTTGCCATTGTTTGCCGTGGCGCTCTTGAACTGGATTCGCTCAAAGGTGTGCTGGCAGGGAGGATCGCTGCGAGTAGAAGGCGGAAGAGTGGACGGTTGGAGGCTATGAGCTGCTGTGCCCGGCACATATGAATGTGCTGGCTGGCTGGCCTGTGCATGTTGGTGCGATGTAGGACTTGCCGCACTTTGGAACGGCAGACTAAAAGGTGCCATCTGCGTACTCGCGTAATGGTGAGGAGGCATGTGGTAATGCTCGTGCGCGTGCTGTCGGCCAGGCGGAGTAGGAGCCACCTTGATCTTTCCCACTGGGTTTTGCGGACCTTTGTCTCGCTTCGGAGTGTGTTGCACGAGTTCGATTTTCTTGCCATCAGTGCCATCGGCTGTAGCAGACAGAGACATCGCCGTCGCCTGGATACGTTGCGGCGACTTCCCCTCACGACTCAGAAATAAACTGCCATGGGGAGTGTGTGGGTGGAACGAGAAGGAGCACTGAACCGAAAAGTAGTTTCGGCGGTAGCATGTCCAGCACTTATCTGAGGAGTAGAAGAACCCTTTTTCCATCTTCGCCTCAATCTGAGGCTCAATGGATCCATTGTCCCCCGTGATCGTGTGGAGCTTGACAATGGGTTCAAAAGGTAGAGTGGCATGAGTATGACCTTCGGCAGCCATTTGCGTTCCAGGTCCCTGGAGTTGGTACTGTGGTGCGTACGTGACACCAGTTGGAGATGACAGAGCCAGCGAGGTCACCCCGAGCACGCTTCGAGGAGGATCAGGGATCCCGAATGGACCTCGAAGTGGTTCGGCGTGGCTTCGAGGAGAGAAGCCGTATCTGGGGAGCCCGGGTGTGGTCGTGGGATACTGATCGCGAAGGCTGGAAGCGTGAGTAGAGGCGATGGCGGAGTTCGCAATTCCAGAAGATCTGTACCCAGTCAGTATCACGGCAGCGGGACGGGCCATCGTGCATTCCCGCAAGTCCATGGGTCATGGCTGAGCATCTGACTGAGGCATGCTAACGGAAATTGTGAACTATGGTCGAAGAATACTTTACTTACAGAGGAGGGACGGTTGATCTGATATGCGCCACACCATTCACGGGATGAGTGTATGCTAAAGAGTTTGGAATCACCTGAGAAGCACCCGGATATAGTGAGCTAGGTGGTTGAAACGCGGGTTGGAAGGGGGGATATGCGGTTGAGGACGAGGCTGAACTAGGAGATGTCGAGATTGAGGCCGAGCCTGAGTCGGAAATACTCACACTCCCAGATGAATACCTGGACGGATTTAATTGGGTTAGCCATCGAGGACCTCAAGATTTGAAACGAGCACTATTTCTTCGAGCCATCCAGGCTTTCGGACATTTCAAAAGGAACCATCTGCGTGTGAGTGCAACAGGAGGCCCGGTGTCGTACAGTCTCGATGGTGTGCTGCATAGTTGGAGTCAGACCAAGTCGTGTGATCAACACTGCAGGCTCCGTCTGGATGGTAGTTCGTGACGAACCGGTCCTTCGGTTCTGTGCGACCCTTTCACCGATGAGGATGAGCAACGTGTTGTTTGCCAGATCGCTCACCGACGAGCTTCTGCCTTGAAGGCCTCAAGCGGACAAATGACTGAGAAATACGTATGGTGGTCCGGGGCGCGTCAATTTCCTTGGCGGATTCGTTTCGACGGTCGAAACCACCGGGCTAGGCATCCAATGGCAAAGAAAACGGAATTAATACTCACTGGCTATCATGACCAGTTGGTCGATGGTTATGCATGAATCGAGCACCAGTTCCGGTCGACACCGGCCTCATCCCATCGCGGCGGATATGCGAATCAGAGACCTCTCCTGCGCCAGCAAATGTCTGATGTGCATGGCTTGTAATCTCCATGCAATCTTGGTCGGAAGGGATGGGATACTCTGCGCCCAGTGGCATCGCACTGGTGTGGATGAGTGCTGGAGAGGGGGATTAGCCATAGTCAACAGTTTCGTACTTTAAAACTATCTTTATGAACCGGTCAAGGCGCCCCCCGGCATAGTGATGAAGCGAATCGAAGGGCTGAAATGGGCGGGAAACTACGGTTACACAAGAATCCTAAGATGCGGCGGGGGAGGATGCAAGCACCAATGGTCCATATCCATATATGGCCACTGGGCTGAACCTTGCCACTACCACCAAAGTATCGAGCGCAACCTGGAGCATGTTTAAACTCGAAAAAGACAACACATAACAAAAGACAATGACCGACACATCAAAAGCCAAAGAAACTAGAATGAAGGCGCATATTCCAAAGAACCAGCTGTCACTTCAATCCGAATTCACTAAACACGCAACATGGTAGGACATTGACAAGGAAATGCTGGATGGAGATTTGGAGATGATGGTGTGGTGTGTCGTGTGGTAGTGGAGGGGAATCACTTGCAGCAAGGTATCGGGAGCGGCAGATTGCAAGGGTTGTGGTTGGTGAGAGAGTACGGGGAAGAGAAAATAGCGGGACCACTTACTTGCTGCTTGATCCATCATCTTGTACACCACTGCACTTCTATCACATTCAATTGCGTGAAGTATCGGGAATTCCACCACGTCTTGGGATTCTTTCGAGGAAATATTCGACGATATTTCGAGACGCCGTCACGGGATTCCAAATGTTCTCCAATTCCAAATGAGGCAATCGGTCGGATTGCACGGGGAGCCGCGATGTTCTGCGCTTTCCCAATTCACGGAGTCGAGTACTTGACGACTCTCTCTGCCCGAAATTGACCAATCAAGCCACCACCCCTCACGTCAACTTGACTCGATCTGTCACTGATCGTCCGGGTCTCCGTGCTGCTCGCTAACGGCAACAGATCTTGTGCGATGCCTGATTTGCGGCACAGCACAGCGGCGACAGGCTATAGTGGCGCCTCAACACCTCTCGTTGGTCTGAATATCTGCCGTTCGCCAGGATGTGCTGCGTGTCAAAGTTGTTAGGCGCAGGGAGTACCGCTGTGTCGGGATGCGCGATGGAATGTGGCTCGCTTAGTTAGTGATGCGTTGCTTTGCACTGATGGTGGCGCGAATCGACCAATGGCGAGTGGCGTGAGCCGTAATCGAGGCGTGGACTCGTAGTGGAGGGAGGATCTGCCTGCACTGCACGGGGATGAGACGGGCCAAAGGACTCCGTCAGTCCCTCGCGTTGGTCGGTGGTGGGGAGAGGGATTCGCAATTTGATACGGGTTCGGCCCGTGATGAGGCCGAGTGAGTGGACGGCCTGAGGGTATTTCAACGTCGAGTCGCGGCGTGTTGGGGAGCTAGTGGGCGATATGGAATTCCTTGCTCTTGATATTTCTGCTTTTCTTGGATGTGCAAGTCCAGATAACTTGCAACTATCGAATTTCAATAGACAGTGCCAACTTGCCACTCTTTAAGGTTGGTTCTGACGTGCTGAAGCCTTGCTGCTGGCCCAACCGAGCTTCTGTCAGTAAAATGTGACCAGTCAATCCTTCTCGCCCAAGACTGAAGCACTCACCACTGCTTTCGCAACAACAAATCTCGACCAGTGAACTCAGATTGACGACGCCAGATATGCACCGCCAACGTCGTTGGACTAAACGGTCCAGGTTCAACACCCAAAACGTGATCGCGTCTACAACAGCCGAGTGGCGCCGTGGTCTAGCCGGCTCGCCGCTCCGAGGCAAAAGTATTCAACGAGGAATATGCCTGTTGTAGCCTCTTGATCGTGAGAGGGGAAGAGAAGGAGAAGAATGTCGAAGAATTCCACTGAGGCAACTGATGACAAGATGAAACAGGGACGGAGAAACGACAAGAGGGGAACGGTATAAGGGGTCAGGATGGGATGTGTGTTGAACCACTGTGTGAAGAGGATAGGTATATATGAAGAGTCGATGTAAAAAGGGACGGAGGCTTGACAATGACCAGGTCAAATGCAACACAGAGCGGTGCTGCGGATCCCCGAGTCGGCGTGACCGTTGAGTTTCCAGAAACGAATACCCTTGATCACTGATGTGCCATTCAGCAGCACTTTATCAAAAGAAGAGCAGAGAAGCAGTTCGTCGTTCCCTGGGGATGCTCGCCGATATGGGTTATGATGATGATAATGGCTCAGAGGCGGAATTGATATGTTGAAGGTGTGGGGAATGGCGTTTGCCATGCAGCCAGCGAAGCAACCAAGAAAGTGACAGAGTTTATAGGGCAGGATTAGTGAGGTAAGAGACTAGTGAAAAAGGGTACTCCAAATTACAGTCCGTTATAATGTGGGCTAGTTGGATATGTCCCGGACCAAGCTGCTTCGGATCGCTGGACCAGTCAGATCAGCGAGGAGTTGGATGCGTGATAGGCTTACATGAAAAAGAGCCGTGGTATGAAGCGTTTGGATCAGGTCAAAGTCACGGCAATAGCGGCAGGATGGAAGCAACGCTCAGGTATCGTATAAACAGTCTTCAGCACCGACACTTCAGTCTCCCGTCCACTTGGTCTGGAGGGCGCCGTGTGTTCTCAGATCGAAGCAAGAATAGGCAAGAACAAGAGAGAGGGCGCCTATCGAAAAACTAGACGGTCCCCGTTCTCACTAACTCGTCAAAAGTTGTAGAGAACCCCTCCGTCACATTGGACAGCTGCAGCTGCGCCATTCCCGAACCGGCCTCAGATCAATGTCGACTCGTCTCACGAAGCCAGGGAGAGACCTTCTTGCGGATTGCCCGATTCAGACGCACGGTTCGACTCTTTCGCGGCCATCTCGCAAGTTCTTCGCCTGACCGGCGCCCGGGTGGAGGTCTAGGCCCCGCATTGCGAATTCATATTCCTTCCCTAGTTCTCCAGCCTCGGACTTTCTTGCCAGCTTATTCCGCTGCAGTGAATGCTGTCATGCTGATGCCTCCGTCTGGGCCATGATAGGGAAGGGAGGATCCCCGAAATCCAAAGGGAAGCCATGCCAATCAGTCAAGTTCGCCCCGGCCGCAGCATTACGGGCCGTCCGCTGACCAAGAACGGCGCTTGACTGATCGTGATGCTCCGCTGTCAGCACTCCAACATCTGTCAACAGTGAGGACAGGTGATCGCTGCCCTCCATGAGCGTCCTTCCCTCAAGAAGATTGAGTCTACTGGCAGGCTCCCAAACACATAGCCTCCATTCCCCCGCATCCAGTCAATTTCGCCATCCACTAGCCTGCAGGAACACGCGCCTCGCCTACACCCCCAACTCTTTTGGAAACCTTCAGCCCAGTCGCATGATTTCAAAACTGGGACCCCATCCACATGCATGCCATGGCTCAAGTCAGCGACGACTGGTTGCCAGACACCTGGTAAATCAACGTTTCATCTTCGAGCGTCCCGCATAAAGGAGGGAAGGGGGATGAAAGGTTGACAATCATGGTCCGTGTGGCCCTTTGCCCATGCAGTCGGTGCATGTCGATACGTACACAGGACGGGAGACATACCGCACCGCAACTCAAAGGTTGTTGACTAGGTTATCCAGACTGCAACTTTGAAGCTAGGACCAGAATCGGATGCACTGATTTCTAAAACATCTCCAGCATGCTGAATGGAAAGATGCGGTGGCGCCCTCATCCCATGATGCAGCGGGGAAGCAGTGGCTCTGCTTGCACCAGAGTAGTGGGTATCAGCAGGTGGGCGCCAACTGCCAAGGGCATCAGGTCGACGGCTGCCACAGTCAATGAAGAAAGGCGAGC